GATCGAAGGTCTCGTATGCTGACGGGTGCAGATTAGGGGAGGACAATATAGGCCGACGACCTCCGCAGCAAATCGACGGTGAGTAGTCCTCTAGGCGAGTATAGTTAATAGGGCAGTTCCCAAAAAAACTATCAAGCAGAATCTACTTTATGCCTAGGAAGGTCAGCAACAACATGCAGAATGTTGGTCATGATCAAGTGAATGATCAATGAGAGCACTGACCCTCTGATAGCTTGATGAACTGCTGGTTAATGACCGCCTAACTGGATTATCAACAGGGACTCGGGATCAAACAACAAAGAAAACCTGAAGAAACAAAGACTCTAACAAATTTGGAAGGTCATATGCCGTTTCTCATAATCTTTAATAACATTATAGATCAGCAAACATCACAGGGGTCACTTAGCTGCGGACTGGAGAGAGCGATACCTGTAGGTAGCGATACGAATACGAGATAACGGAGCACGGGATCGGCCTCTGACGTATCGGCCGCTTGACTTTCCCCACAAATCACACTATTCGTTTGAATAGCCAGCCAGCTGAGAGGCACCCACATCCAAAGCTGCCATTACGGCAGGGCAACGAAGTGAGCTGTCCAGCATGTCAACAAAATCGGCTCTGAAGGCAGTGCGCATTGCGCTGGACTCCAGGGATTTCGAAGATGCTGCCGAAAAAGCCAAAGCGGTGGTGAAGCAAGAGCCTCAAAACTATCATGCGTATGTGACGACCAAGCTTGCTAATTCGACTTGGAGCTAATCTCAATTCTGTGACTAGAAATGTCTTTCTTGGCCTAGCGCTGGATAAATTAAACAAAAATGAAGAATCGGAGCGCGCATATCTCGCAGCAACTCGTGCAAAATCCGACGACAAAACAGCGTGGCAGGGATTGATCAATCTCTACGAGAAGCAGGGAGGCTTTAAGCTAGATGCTTATCATGAGGCAGCCCTGAGACTCGGTCAAGTATTCGCCGAAGTGTACGTCCCGTGTTCGACGCTGTATATACGAAGAACAAGTGCTAATCTGATGCTAGCGACGACAAGCACCGTTGCCAGGATGTCGTGGACAAATATATCAAGTTCGCAAAGAAACAGGGCACTCGATCGCAATATAAGAAGGCCCTCGGACTACACCTCCCAACGAGTCCGCTTTATGGCTACCTCGAAGGACGGATACCACATCCTTCCCATACGTACCTCCGCCTCACAGAAATGACAGAATCCGAAGAAAAGGAGTTTATTAATAGAGAAATTGGAGAGCGAAGGACCCGTCTCGGTGCGAGAGTCGAACATGTGACCATGGAGGTGAAAAGAGAGGCTTTCAAACGCGGGGAGCTTGAGCAGCTATACCGTGGGATAGTGGATTGGACCCATGATGACCAAGTTCGACGTACCTACGAAGAAAAGCTTCTCCAGCGAGCCTATGATATACTGATTGTTCTCCCGCCAGCCGAGAAGGCCGAAAAGCGTGCTGAGGTCTTGCAAGCTGCTCGCGACATGGTCATCATTAAACACCCCTTTGAGCTAGCCTGGAAGATTGTACTTGAGTGGCAAGACATTCAAAGCTTCTCGGAGTGGGACCTCAATTTCCTGAAGGACTTCATAGAGTTTTTCCCAGAAGATGGGCTTACAAAGATTTTGAAAGGCTTCTTAGCCAGTGACCTCTCCCCCTTCCCGAAAGAGACGAAGGAGACGAAGGAATCTACACCCGCTGAGGAAGAGGCCGAAAACGGAAACGGCGATAATCACGAGCTGGCTGTACAGGATCGCTTGTTAATGATGGTGGAAGGCCTCGAAGCGTCTCGCTCCTCAGTCGTCGCAAACCGCATCATGGGTGAGCTTTATTTGTCGCTGGAAGAATACGATAGCGTTGTGGATGTTGCGCGGAAGGGTCTTTCAAATATCACAGATCTCGACAGGCTGACTGGGGTAAGCCTAGTCAACACTACTGACTGCCTAAGAACCCTATTGGCGAATTCTTTGATCTACTACCAGATCCCTCGGCATCACCCGGAAGCTAAAGAAATTTTCGAAGAGATTCTGCACAGAAAACCAACATCCACACCCTGTCTGCTGGGCATTGGATTGATTCTCAAGGTCGATGAGGATTATGCTGAAGCCGTCAACTTCTTGGAGCGTGCTCTCGAGCGTGACCCGTCTAACCTCAAGATCAGGGGTGAGCTTTCGTGGTGTAAGGCCCTCAATGGGGACCTTGAGACTGGTCTGCACGGCCTTCGGGATGTGCTCGCCGAGTTACAAGACATGGAGTCGCCAAATCGCGATTTTAAGAGTGAGATCCTTTACCGTATAGGTTATTGTCAATGGGAGCTCGATCCATCGCCAACTGCGCGCAAGGATCGCAATGGTGCTTATGCTAGTTTTCTTGGATCCATTCAATCCAACATCAACTTTGCCCCTGCATACACCAGCTTGGGTATCTACTATGCGGACTACAAAAAGGACAAAACACGAGCACGCAGGTGCTTCCACAAGGCGTTCGAGTTATCTGCATCCGAAATCGAAGCTGCTGAACGGCTCGCGAGGACCTTCGCAGACCAAAAGGAATGGGATTTGGTTGAAGCCGTGGCTCAGCGCGTCGTTGATTCGGGCAAAGCAACGCCTTCACCGGGCTCGAAGAGAAGGGGCTATAGCTGGCCATATGCCGCTTTGGGTACCGTTCAAATGAACAAGCAGCAGTATGCCCAAAGCATCGTCTCGTTTCAAGCAGCTCTGAGGATCTCACCAGGCGACTACCACTCGTGGGTCGGCCTTGGAGAAAGCTACCACCACTCTGGGAGATATATTGCCTCTGCGAAAGCTTTCGATCATGCTCAGCAATTAGAATCAGCTCTTTCACCCGATGAGAGAGAGCATATTTGGTTCGCAAGGTACATGCTCGCAAATGTAAAGCGGGAGCTCGGTGAATTTGAAGATGCCATCTCACGCTATGAGGATGTTTTGAAGTTCCGACCGAATGAGCTTGGGGTGACTATAGCGTTGCTTCAGACGCTCACAGAAAGTTCTTGGAAGAGCCTCGAATCTGGCTTGTACAATGACTCTGTCGAACAGGCGCGCAAGGCTATAGTCGTTGCAGCATCGCTTGCGAAGGAACGCGTGGACATTTTCAATCTGTGGAAGGCCGTTGGCGACGCCTGCTCCATGTTCACTTACGTCAAAGGAAAGGCGAGCAAGTTCCCAGTTCAGGATGTGAAGACGCTGCTTACAACTCAAGTTGAGCCCTCGGCTTTCGATATATTCGCCGAAATAGACGAGCTTGGCCAAGATTGTTTGTCGCTTCTTGATGAGGATAGCGACACCATCAGTCCGTCAGATAAGTGTATGTATGCCTCGATTCTTGCATACAAGAGAGCTATTCATGTCTCGGCGCAAGATGTACATGCCCAAGCAGTCGCCTGGTACAATCTGGGATGGGCAGAATACAGGGCTCTGAGATGTGTCCAGGTGCATTCTGGCAACAAGGGCAAGAAGCCTACACGCCGGTTCCTGAAGACAGCAATGCGCTGCTTCAAGAGAGCGATTGAATTGGAAGCCGGCAATTCAGAGTTTTGGAACGCCCTGGGTGTGGCAACTACAGCTATGAGCCCGAAGGTTGCCCAACATGCTTTTGTGAGAAGTTTGCATCTGAACGAGAGAAGCGCACAAGTGTGGACAAACTTAGGAACGCTTTACCTCATTCACAATGATATCCAACTCGCCAATGAAGCTTTCACGCGCGCGCAATCCACCGATCCGGACTATTCTCTGGCATGGGTTGGCCAAGGGTTCCTGGCTTTGCTATTTGGGGACCCACATGAAGCAAGAGGTCTTTTTGAGCATGCCTTCGACATCTCCAACTCCTCATCCACATTGCCGAGACGCCAGTACACGCTCACCTTGTTCGACCGCCTCCTCTCAGAATCTTCAGCATCGAATGAGGTATCACAGCTCATCCAGCCATTGTTCGCGCTTCTGCAACTTTCCTCTCAAGACCCGTCCAATTTACAGTTTATGCATCTTACCGCTCTCATGGCCGAGAGAATTGGCGAGCTTTCGGATGCGGAGACTAGCTTGCACGTCGTCTGTTCAGGTGTCGAGGCGGAATATGAGGTGTCTGAGTCGAGCTCGTCGCTCTCTAGATACGCACAGTCGAATGCAGATATGGCCCGTGTTCTTCTTGCACGCCAAGAATTTGAGCAAGCAGTAGAGAAAGCGGAAATGGCTCTTACCCTGTCTGGTGAAGAAGACGCGGAGAAATTCGACCCGGAGGCAAACAGAAAACTACGTCTGTCCGCTCATCTCACTGCTGGATTGGCGCATTATTATTTGAAGTCAATGGACAACGCGATTGACATGTTCCGTGATGCCCTGCAAGAGGCAGGTAATGCACCGGAGGTTGTATGTCTCCTAGCACAGGTTCTGTGGGCCAAGGGTGGTGATGAGGAGCGGACCGTGGCTCGCCAGCAGCTGCTTGACTGTGTGGAAGAACACCCTGACCATGTTGGAGCGGTATCACTTTTGGGAACTATCGCGCTACTAGATGACGACAAGGACGTCATTGAAGCAGTTGCTTCCGATCTTCAGAACATGATCACGAGAGATGACATTGATATCCACGACCGGACTAGGTTGACTAAGCTGTTGATGGCGATCTCTACTTTGGGCTTGACCGAGGACTCGCAAATTCCAGAGGACCTCAGACGCCTTGGAGAGGCTACGGCTGCCGTCATGAGATCGCCAGGTCAGCCACAAGGCTGGCAGGAGCTAGCAGCAGCATCTCAGGAACTGTATCCCGCGGAGATGGCTGTTGACAGAGCACTACGAAGTGTTCCACCACGGAGCAATCTGGATGCTGTCGACCTCTGTGAAGCGTATGCACAGACTGGCAAGGCAGGTGATGCCATCAAGGCCATTATGGTGGCACCATGGAAGCAATGTGGCTGGGAGGAGCTCAAGCATGCTGTGTCAGAATTAGTCTAACCCCTTTGACGACCCAAGGGAATGCTGTACTGTAGATATTAGACACTTTAGATGCTTAGAATACGTACCTTGTGTACACGAACAATCAATGCTATAATTTTGCTTTTAGAGCAAAGCAGGCCTTCTTGGCGCTTTCGGGTTTATGGCAAGATAGCCTGTCGCCATTCCTGTAGAATGACCGATACCCTTCCTCGGTTTCAGTAGGCCACTAATGCGCAACGACATCCACATTCAGGAAAGGCATGCAATGTACCCTGGTGGAAAAGCCATAGGCATGATCGAGTATTATGATAGAGGCCACTTGATGTGCAGACTTAGATGGCCCAGGCCTGCCTTCTTGACAAATGGAGATCGTGCAGAGAAAGTCACTAGATCTCCAGATGTGCCGCTTCGGCGCCCCTTGGATCTATTGTTTGGGATCACGACACCTGCGACCTCTCCATCTCTGTAATTCGAGCCATTAACTTGGCCTTCCTTCCCTCTTTCCATGCTTGGTCCAAGGTCTCAATCTTGCCTCCAAGCAGGGTTACACATTCAGGCGTCAGTAGAATCATACCCCGGGCGACCGTCGCATCACGCAACAGGAGTTTCGCGCCAATGGGTATGTTACCCAGCCCAATGCCTTCAACGCGTTTCACCTCGATAGCTACGGCTCGAGTCCCTGCCGCATCCTGTAGTATCAATCGATGAGGGCCGTTGCTAGTACTTCCAGCTCCGCTTGCCGCTGAATTTGCGGTTCTATTATTACCAGCACGTGCTGCTCGCTCCTCACTGTCTTCGTCCACGTTGACTGTCCGCACGATCTCGCGTCCCCGAATAGCCTCTCCGCGTTCAATGCGCTCAATCGCTTCGACTTGACTCCATAAGCTTGTTCCGATGTCTTCTATATCCACGATTTGCAAAGGAATTGGGCCTTGTAGACGCCTTTCTTGAACGGAAGTATCGAATACGTCAACAGGGAGTAGGGACGATGGCGTTCTTGTTGACAGCGATTCTCTGAAATCCGAAGCAAGAATACGAAATAGAGCGGTCCGAACTATGGCGGAGAGTGGGACATTGCGTTGAGATGCTGTTGATGTAGAGATGAAGTTATTCAGCCAGGATGGAGAGACGGGTAGGGATTTGCTGCCGAGTAGTTCGGCGGATATTTGCGCTTGAATATTCGCCATCGTGATTGCAAACTGTATTAAGTCAGTCAGCAGATGTAGGCGTATATACAAATCGTGTCATGCTTATATTGATTGCACATATTGCAAGCCGATCAATATCTGAGAGCTGAAGCTATTCTCAGTTCCTGATGGAATTTGGCTTGGGTATCCGCAAAGCACAGACCACTGCTTAACTCCGTCTCCTATCGTTTATGTTTCCCCCGGCTGGCATGTCATTTCACAGTCACTTCGGCCTCTTTCTCTCACCATCCAAAGTCCTGCCCCGCCTTCATAATGTCGACACTCTCATCTCCCCGTCCGTCGATTGCTTCTTCTCGCGCACACTCACCCACACCAGCGTCATCACGTCGTCCCTCTCTTGACACTTTGAACACGAATGTCGGCGGAGGTCTAAGTGCCTCGTCCACCCCCTCTACAGCCCGAGCCGTCTCTCCATCTCTCCATCCAAGACGCAATCGCACCGCGCTTCGGGACTACTACAATTTAAGGCCTTCCGCTGCTGATCCCTCAGGCAATGGAAGCACCTTTCGCTCCCGCAGCATCCCCAGACACACCGATGCCGGGGACATGTCCAGTCCGTCATCAGTAGTAGCTACAGGAACCGAACTGGATAGCCCGGACTTCGACCCTCAACGTTACGTCAATCACCTGTTGGCTACTTCTTCGTTGGCGACTGTGCTCAAGGCGGAGAATACTCTTGTTGGGGATATCAAAACACTTGACAGTGAACGCAAGGCCCTTGTCTATGACAACTACTCAAAGCTGATCCGGGCTGTGGAAACCATTGGCAAGATGCGCCGAAGTATGGACGAGCGTGGCGCTCCTCTGACCATGACGAAGACTCTCGGTCCGGCTATTGCATTTGTGGCCGAAACGGCCACAGGTCTGATACAGGAAGGCGAAGAGCAGCAGCGGCGTGTGCGAGAGGCCAAGGCTACAGATGGAACAGACCGCCGGAAGGCAGAGAAGGAAACGGTACAGTGGGTTCTTGGAGCACCAAGTCGACTAGAGAAGCTTCTGTCCGAGGGCAAGGAGGATGAGGCCACCAATGATTGGGAGGAGATACGGAACCTGCTTGATACGTGGGAGGGCGTTAAAGGGGTGGCTGAAATTCGTCAGGCTTGCGAGAAGGCCATGAAGCGCGATGAAACTCCTTAAGAAATCGAGAAGAACCGTCTCCCACCGGAAGGACTCTGTTGAATGAGATCAAGACCTCTTCATCCCGCATATGAGCATACATTATGACTCGACCATCTGGCATTGACACCTCTCAATCGATCCTGACCATGCACAGGGGCACTGGGACGTGGGTTTCCCATGCTAAGTCAACTCGTGCTTTCGGGACCCACCATCAGGATGCCTTGGGAACCAGGAATCAGCCTCATCCACAAGGACCATGAGGACATCCAGCTGTCGTGATGTCAGTCCACACGCATGAGTCCCGTGAAATTGTACTGCACGTGAACTTATGTGATAGCTGATTACACGCCCGTAACGGTAGCGTGCGCTGGTCGTTGAGACAAGCAAAGACCAGCCATGTATTCCTAACTGAGGTATTGGCCTATTCCGGAGCGAAGCGTTGCACACCATGACGCTGGGTCATTGTGTGTACAGCCCAAACAATGCCTTGATCTTATCCTCGAACCTAGCATGCTTTATGCATCCATCTAATGCGGGATTGATGCATTCGTATATGCATGACTTATGCACTTATCCATGCTCGCATAGTTGCGTGACTTCATAGCAATAGCCAGGCCCAGTGCTGAAGTGGGCTGCACCTTTTGCAGCAACGTTGGGATTGGTCCATGTCTCACATGGCTCGGCCTGCGCACGCAGCATGTTAGGCTTACTATCCACGCACACATCGATGTCAGTGGACCCACATCTTCTGAGATTATGGTATCGTCTACGCGGGTATAATGCCAACAACAGTGGAGAACAATGTGTACACCCTCGCCTACCTCAGCTCTTAAGATCTGCGCACTGCACCTTGAGGTTACGAAGCGAGCCAACGACTTCTCGCCAGAGATTTCTTTATGAGATCTGTCGCATATCACTACCCTACGGCTAGGCGGGGCGTTCCCTTCCTGGAACATCATGAAAATAGCCTGTCTATTGAGTAGGACGCTATATAGTCGAGCCGTCAGGCATCCTGTCAGCATACTCGGGGACTCTCAAGCTTATTCACCCTTGCTCTTCAATCACTAGATTGACTTAAGTTTCATCTATAGATAACCTGCTTTTAAAGGCAAGCTGGGTATGGCATAAAAGTATTTGTTTGCTGGGGGGTGCCTCGTTAGTCAGCCCTTACTTTTCTACCACTTCATAAATTCTTATCCCATTGGTACACCTGTACATTTTTTGAATTGCCTATTCAGGAAGTGTATCCAGCTTCATTCTTTATTCCTTGGTTGTAGGTCACCACACTCAAGTCAAATGGCCATAGTACGCTAGGTAGATTGTCCTACGAATTTTTGTGTAACAGCCCAGTATGCTGCATTATCAACCACCGTATCGCTGCCATCGAAGTGTCATGATAGCATTGAGTACACGCTTCTGACAGGCCAATCGTATATTGTAAGGTAGCAACCTGTCGTTGTAAGCGGTGTGCTTGTGAAGCTGGCCCCTCCGAGTCGGTGTGGTGATTGGAGCGGAGCGCGTGGAATTTTTCTGAAGCTTTCTTTGGCAATTTTGGGTCTTCCCGCTTTCCCCAAGAAATCCATCCAACAACTCCCTCCCGCCTCAAGCACAATATAAGGTATACGAAGTTAAACGATAAGACTTCGAGGTACCGTCGAGGAGTGAGGGTAAATACGTTCCTCACGTGATCTTGGAGGAAGAAGGAGAAACAAAGACAGACGCAGATCTCACTCGTCTTTTAGGCAGGCATCTGCGGAGGGCAGAATCGGTGAATCGCCGTGGTCATTCTGCCCGCCATACAAACAACATCGAAACCACTCGTTTATTGTTCTTTTTTCGGGAACAATCCTAAAGAAGAGAAGACTGCGCAGAAAGCGTGAATGATGAAGGAATTGTTAGTGCAGCCTGAATTGGAAGTGAGCGCTTAAAGAATTCAGTGGGGCACTGAGACCTTCCTTCCTTTTCTGAGCCCATCATTTTATAGTGACCACCATTGGTCTCTGGACTGGTCGACGGAATGGCCGCCCAAGATGAGCTCTCAGAAGGCGGCATGGCTGACCTCGTTCGGGCACTGGAGCTCATCCACAGCCCTTCGTCGACAAATGAGCTCCGCAGGCAAGCCCTGACCTTTGTGGAGTCTCAAAAGGAAAGCAAGCTAGCTGCTCGTAATGGGTTCCTTCTGGCTTCACGGGTAGAAAACACTCCCTTGGTCCGCTATTTTGGCTTAACGCTCTTGGATCATGTACTGCGTCACACGTCTTTCACCTCCGCAGATCAGGTGGCCATCCTCAGAGACTTTGTCCTCAAGCTTGCTGAGTCAATCCGGCCAGAGGATCCGGCCTATTACCGCAACAAGATCCCGCAGTTATGGGCAGAGATCGCCAAGAGAAGCTGGGGCCTAGACTGGTTGGCAATGGACGAGATTCTTGTGCAGTTTTGGGGAGCCAGTCTTGTACACAAAGAGCTTGTTCTGTCTATTCTGGAAACATTGTCAGAAGACATCTTCTACCGCGAAGACACTGTCTCATCCTTGCGAGGAACAGATCTCAACAGAGCATTAGTAGAGATCTGCACACCGCTGTCAGTCTTTGAGGAAATCTATCCAAAGCGCGAGCACCATGTTGAGCTTCGGTGTGAGTCCGAGGGCTGGCTCGCAAGGACATGCGAGTTTCTTATCTACTGTGTTGAGAACCTGCAAGCTTCCACGCAGGCCAGAGACGCAGCGCTCAAAGCTCTTGCAACATTGAAGTCCATCTTGGTCTGGGCAATTCCCAAGGCCATCATATCCGCAAATTGTGTCTCGAGTATCGCAAGGTCGCTTACCTGCAGCGATGAGCAGGTGTTGTTGGTAAGGACACCTCGACCTTTTCCCAGCAGCACTACACGAGCGATGCTGAACTATTTATCCAGGCTGCCGTCGAAGCACTGCATGCTCTTTATAGCAGGTCGAATTTTGAAATCGAAGACTTCCAGCCTCTTGTGCACCTGATGTACGAAACAGAGTACTTGACTCTTCTACAGAAATTGTACGAGTGGTCCGTCGTTGGACCCGACGACATCGATGATACTAGGTACACGATTTCGAAGAAACTATCCGAGGTAAGAGCTTCTCGACCCAGATGGCTGCCATGATCTCGTGCTAATCTGCCCGGTAGATGCTCTCGTACCTTGCGGGGTTCCTTGAGGAGAAGGGCTTCTCTCTTGAGACCGCACATGGCATGAACCTCACTTTCTTTTTCCACCTCCTGGTCAGCGTCATTCAGAACCAAAGCTTGACCGTGTCGATACCCGTCCTTCACGTATGGTGCAAACTACTTGCCTCCGAGAGGATCGGGAACACCGATCTGGTAACTGGGTTGATTCCCCCTTTGCTTAGCATGTGTACTGAACGACTGATCCGCTGGGAATCGCTACCGGCGGACTCTGATAATCCTACAGTAGTCTTCCTGAATGAAGACATTGATACAGTCCCAGAACGGCATGCTTTTGTTGGAAACTACAGAAGATATTGCTCGTCCATCATCGAGACTATTGTTCAGAAAAGACCACAAGATGCTATTCCTCATATTCTTGCGGGCGTTGATGCAAACTTGGACAATCTCTACAATGGGGTTGAGCCATTTGACGGTGAGTTGTGGCGGTTTCTGCCGGTGAGTGCTTATGCTAACTTAGGCGTCAGTGAAAACGTTCTCCAAGAACTCTCTTCCGTTGATGCGCGCCGACACTCAATTCGCTGTTGTGGAAGCTACACTCAAGGGTTATAACAAATGGGTTTCAGCTCATGGCAAAATGCCTCAACAGGATGTATGTTACTTGCAATGTCGGCTTTTGCGGTTCTAACACAATGCACAGGAGCAGAAACGAATAGACTTGGAAAGCGCGCTTGAGACATGGGCTTTGAGTCTGATGCAGAGGAACTACGAGGTTAGCCTCTATCTTGTGCTTCGTCCTTGACTGCTTGACTAACTCTTATCGAAGGACCCTATTTTGAAACAGCGTATCATCAAGCTTATCGTTGACATCTCATCCAGAGCTCTTGACAAGAATCCCAGCTTTTCACTTAAGGTCCTTGAGCATATTCTCATGACTCGTCTTCCTGACTTGGTTGAATACCCGGCTTACTCGGAAGCTGTGAAGGAACTACATGGTCTGGCCAGCCATGAACTCCGACGCCTGGCTATGCGCTATGCTGACTATTTCTCTGTGAGTTGTATTTCAGCGCCTTTGGGATACTTATTTCCTAACAAGAAACTGGAAGACATTCTACGATCTGCTCGAGCTGAAAATCAAGGAAATCACCATGGCCAACCGGGTGGACGACAAACTCCACATGGAGCATACCTCAATCCTCCTAATTATCATGTATGGACACCTCGAATCCTCCTTCCGTCCCTGTAGCTCTGGACTAACTAGTTAGGCAACGTGCCAACAACGTCGATCCATATCTGCGTGAAACCCGGCTAAAGTCCTTTCTGGAACCTATCAGGCAAGCCTGGCAGGAAGAAGAATTTCGGAGCACAAGCTCCTCATTCGAAGGCTTCTGTGACATGCTTGGGCTTCAAAATGTCGGGCCCTATATGCATAAGAACCAAGCGCAGAAGCTGGAAGACTGGTCCGCAGTCCCGCTGGATGATGAGGGGAAGCAGATTCAGGAAACTATGACGAGGAAGTTTCAGGTACTGAGTCTACGCCTACATTCCGGGACCTGACTTTGACACTAATTCGCACTCCAGCAACTACCTCTGAGGGGAACTAAGACCATGCTGGCAGTCTCTACGGAGAAATTGAAGAAGACGGATCTTGCTTATGATCTTGCGTGCAATATCTGGCACGACATCATTCCCATTATCTTGCCGGTATTGTTACAGCTTGTCAGGCAAGTACACCATGTCGTTAGAGGTGCTTAGCTGACATATTTTCGGCAGTAATGCTCATGCCTTCCACAATCCGTCGAACTGGGGTGGCCTGCCTGATGATATGCGAGGGGTCGTCGAACGTATCCTGACCGACCGGTTCTGGCAGGCAGGCATATCTACAGGCAGCCGTGACGAGTTCTATGCGAAGATCACTGCATCGCGGGCTTCGCTCGAAGGATTCGCTTCCTCCGTTCGAGGTAAGGTTCGGGCTGTTCGGGAATCTTGCTACTCAATGCTGTTCAGCATGAGCAGACTGAGAGAGCATTTCTATGGGTTTGCAGAACTTCCAGGACCTCTCTCGCAGGCTCTCTTTAAAGACTCACCACACTTGTCCTCTCACCAATTCTCTGTTCTTCTCAATATTTCGAGGTGCTTGATCGACGATTGCCCTGTCCGTTTCCGAGCACAGTTCCTTCCTCCCATGTTGGCAACGCTGTTCACCAACATTGACAGGAAAGTCACGGCCGAATGGGACCTTATCGAGCAGCGCAAAGAGGGACTTGCGGACGGCGATTTGACTGACGAAATGAAGTCAGAGAGTATCCTTCGCCAGCTGACTTATTCTGCGGTGCTCATGGTAGCAAGTCTTTTGGATCCGCAAAGAGGCGGTGCGTGATTTGACGTCGTAAAATTTTTTGCAGGACACAAGACTAACATTCATTGCAGATCCGGACGACGAGCCAGCTGAGCCTAGCGCACCGCAGCCACCTCCAGCACTTTCCGACTCGATTCGGCACTTTGTTCTTTCTTCGCCAGAAATATTCGAACCTGTCATGCTCTTCTGTACACATGCGCTTCGCATGCGAGATACGAGATGCTGTAGCATCATCACTCGGGTTATCCGATCGATCTTGCAGGACTTCGCGCCTCCAAATCACAGTCCAACTATAGTCACGATCCGCGAGTTCATTTCCTCGGAAGTTCTCAAGGCCTGCATTACATCTGTGCATGAGCCTTACTTTGTTGATATGCAGAAAGACTTGGCCCAGCTGATCGCGTCAATTTGGGTTCTGTATGGCTCGAGTAGCCCAACACCACGCTCGGTGATCCTCAGCCTTCCCGGAATGGATGAACAACGGGTGGCAAGTACGGAAGCCGCGCTTTTACGATCTACCGCAGCACGGCAGCAGCGCGCACTCGTGCTAGACCTTCTTGAAGGCCTCAGGGGCGTGAGTATTGCCGAGCAAGGCAAGATCTTAGGCTCCCGGGAAGAACGCCGCAAGGCACGGAGTGCCTTGCAAGAGAGATATATGAGTAACGAGATGGAAGGCCAACAAATCAGCAAAGTTGACATCAATGACGGGCCTGATTTGGGTGGTGTTGCCGACATGTTTGGTTAGAGTCGTCCGCCAGCGACTGGCTCTCTTCCTTCATGTTCGGAACTACTCGTCCTGTACAGTACTAGAGGATAGGAGGCCCGATTCGTAATCCCTGCTTGTACTTATTTTTCTCCTATAATTACCCTTTTCAATGTCACCAAAAGGATAGACCTAAATAGATCGCTTTCTAATTGACTTGGAAGTTTCACTCACAGCCACAGGCTGACACATCTGTTAGACTCGACGCAAAGGCATGCGTGTAAAGGCGAAAGGAAACGAAATGCATTGCAAAACTAGGCAAACTCCCCAGAGGCAATATATCTACAGGGAACATTTTTCTTGAAGACTCCCCAGACATCTCTGACTCCCGTGAAACACCGCTAAGACAAGCGGCATTTGATGCACCACTCAATGCCCTCGGAATCGTATAATGGCACCAGAATCATGACATCTGGCGCAGTAGAGAGACGATTGAGCCTGGCACCACAGCTCGTAACAAATATCATTCCATTTATTGAGTGACCTTGGAAGGGGTATAGACGAAAGTAGGACGAACGAAGCTAAAGCACACGCAAGAAAACAAACACGGTCAGCCAACTGTACCACACCGAATATCGACCCCACGGGATTCCACGTACCGATCAGAGTTGTAGACCTTGCTCTCCGTACCCAGGAGCTCCTTCTCACGAGCCTTGTCGGCAAAGTGTCTGCGGACCTGATCACGATCTTCCTCAGCCTGGAGCAGCGGGACCAGGTGCAGCCGGGACCAGATCTTCTCGCGGGCGAGCTCGTGCTGTTCGCGGATACCGTAGAAGAGCTTGTAGTAGCCGTAGGCCATGAAGAGGTGCATTCCAACGAGGTAGTAGATGGGCCGGAAGCCGCGGGCAGGGAGGTTGCGCTGTGGTTTGGGTTAGCTCGATGCGTGAATTGGGGTTTTCTGCGTTGGGGAATCTCGCAATTGGGAACTTACCTTGTACTGGACAGGCGCATAGCCCCCCGATGGGGGCATATCCTGAGGCATTGTGACGACTGGGATTGGAGATCTTTGGAACAGGCGTATGGAGGATTGGCCGATGATGCTGGCGGATGAAGTTGGAGTGGGGTCACGTGAGGGAGATCGGGATAGTAATGAGGGCTGCGGGTGCTGTGATTGGTTGCGGGAGGGTTTTTTCCGTTTTTGGGGTTTCCCTTTAAGTGTAGTACATTGGTCCGCAATAGATTATTTTATGTTTCAATACGACAGAGCTTCGATCACTCGTATTCCGTCTTTCCTTGATTGATCGAAGATGGAGGATGACGAGCGGCCTAGAAAATACCCTAAACTAAACCACGACGAAGCGCAGGAGGAATCAGAGCCCGCCATGACTGGCGCTGTCGGAGCCGTTCGCGACGATGACGCTGAGAGTGCGGATGCCGACAACCATGCCTCGACGTCGGACAATGGGAATGAAAACGATGCCGAGCAAGCTAGAGATGAAGAGGGACAAGAAACACACGGAAAGGAGGCACCGCTCACATTGTCCAAGAATCAATTGAAGAAACTCAAACGAAAAGAGCACTGGGAAGCAATGAGGGAGCAGCGGAAAGTGAAACGCAAAGAGAAGCTGGTCGCAAAAAGGGAACGAAGACGAGCCGCTTTAGAACTGGCGAAACAAGAGGGCGCAGAGGCTACAGAAGAAACTCGAAAGACATTCGAGCCTACACAAAGGAAGTTCCAACGGTCTACTCTGCTCCCGGTCACACTCGTGCTAGACTGCAGTTACGACGATTTAATGCTGGACAAGGAGCGGGTATCCCTCGGTGCGCAGATTACGCGATCCTACTCCGATAACAGTAGGGCCCCCTTCCGCTCGCACCTGGTCGTTTCATCATTCAACAAGTTGCTCAAGGAGCGCTTCGATACGGTGCTGGGAAAGACCCACGAGAACTGGAAAGGCGTTCGGTTTTTGCAGGAGGACTTCGCCGAAGCTGCCGAGATGGCAAAGGAGTGGATGCAAGGGCCTAAAGGCGGCCAACTGGCAGGTGTTTTCGCCGACAAGACGGACGCGAAGCCTGAGGATGGAGAGATTGTGTACCTCAGCAGCGACAGTCCCAACATCTTGACGGAATTGAAGCCCTACAGCACATATATCATTGGAGGTTTGGTGGACAAGAACCGCCACAAGGGCATCTGCTATAAATCGGCGGTAGCCAAGGGCATCAAGACCGCCAAGCTACCCATCGGAGAATATATCCAGATGGCTCACCGTCAGGTACTGGCAACGAACCATGTCGTGGAAATTATGATTCGGTGGCTGGAGCTGGGTGACTGGGGGAAAGCATTTATTCAAGTAATTCCTCAAAGGAAAGGGGGCAAGCTGAAATCAGCAGACCATGGGTCTGAAGATCAAACACCACGGGAGAGCGTCGAACCTGTGGAGGCCGGGCCAGATGGAGATGATGCTGCGGAAGAAGCAGGCGAAGCAGGCGAAGCGGACAAAGAGTAACCTGTGTTATTGTGTACAGGCAACTTAACTCTGTAAATAATTTGTCCTATTAGGCTATGTACGCCACTAATGCATGAATGATCTACCTATCCAAAACAATAATGCCTGTTAATGACAGATATGTAGTCCTTGTTCCAATGGTAAGGTTATGTCTACCATACTCCATATACGGCTAGTCTCATCTGCCACTTGACAGCACAGCCACAATGTAACGCCACACTGGTTGCCACAGGAGCCGATCGATGACGGCAGATCAACAGAAGGAAAACATGTGGTGTGGTGATTTTCCATTTTACAAGGACGAGCATCACAAGAGCCAGGCATCCAACAGGACTAGTTCTCAGGAAAAGAGATCTGCTGCTTATATTTCATCATTATTCTCTGGTGATGTTGGATCTCTTCTATTAAACTACTCTTTTTCTTTTTGCAGATACCGTTCTTTCCTTGTGTTTTGCCCCCCTGACATTAATTTCCTTGCCAACTGCGTGTCTCTAAGCACTACGTACTAGTAAGGAATAATCAGCTGCACCTTTTGAGGTAGCAGCCTTCTGAACTCTCCAGCTATGTTCATGCTCCGTAATGGTAGGTTTTCTCAGATCTGTCTCTTGTTTTCAACATCTACCAACTCGTTCACTCTACCCCGCCATCTACCCCTCCTTACCTTACCTCATATCCATTTTGGGTTCATTTCTTGCGCATCGTGACATCCAGCTAACTGACTTCGGTGACATCACAGTGAGCAAGTTCCTGTTTGGAGACACCTCTAAAGAATCCATTATCGAGATTCCTCAAGGCCAGCTGTATTTGGTCCGCCCTCTTTCTCCAAAGGGCTACTCGGAGCTCATCTTCAAGGACGCCGCGGCTACTATTCGACGCACCGGTCAGGAGTTTCAGTACCAACTCGTCATTCAACGCGCCTACGAGGAAGGTGAGGAGGAGCTTGCCGATGACGAGGACGAACAAGGTGCCAGCGACAGTCTAGACAAGGACGAAAAGGTATTCCTGCTTGACCAAGGCTTGCACTTCCGTGTTGAAGCCCGCGAAGGGGGTTCGAAAATACTAGCTTGGAACGATTTGAGTGGCGACGCCGGTGATCTTTTCGAGTTTGTCTGCGACCCATCTGTGCCAGCGGACAAAGTCTCCACCTTTGAGTTAGCAGCGTGGCAGTGTCAGTACGAGAGGAAATACAGGAAGAGCGCTCAGCGAGCAACGGAGCAAGAGCTTCAGGAATTCTCCTTTAAGGAAGAGAAAACTATCCCTGCCGCCAGTCCAATTTCCTCGCCAGTCAAAACACGCACACACTCGGTAGCTTCTGCCGGAGAGTCCGCCGCTGCCATGGCTCGTGACGTCGAGTATTCGCGGTCGAAGGGCCTCATAAAGCCAGTCGGGGAAGGGGAGGAACGTACAGTGGCCCCGCCCTCGGCGGCGCAGCCGGAGGCTAAGGAGATTCTCGCAAAGGAAAAGGCGGAATTGCACCTTTTCGACTTCCCCAGTGGGACTTTCATTCTTCAGGATCCTGATGTGGTTGCCACTGTGTCTGAAGTGGGCACCTGGCAGTATTGGTTGCAGATCAGTGGCGAGGATAAGGAATGGCTTGGTCAAGCGGTTGTTGCCGACATCAACCCCGTCTTCAATTTTGAATATCTGTCATTCATCTTCAATCATTACGGTGAAGATGGATCCGCTTACTCATGGCTACTCCGGTTCAAGGATCAGGCCACAGAAGAGAGGTTCCAAGAGGGCCTAATGCAGGCTCTTTGGGAACAGCTAAACGAAATGAAATGGACCAAGGTCAAGGAGAATGATCGCGAGTACGTGCTGGACGCTTTCCAGGACCTTACAATGGAGGATCCTGAGACTGAAGAGCAGGATGAGGCAGAGGCTGAGGCCGAGGATGAAGAGGAGGATGAGCAGGACGAGGGCCAACGCAGCGAGCACTACGATTCAGACGAAGAGCAGGAGGACGTCATTACGCGTGACGATGATGGCAATGTCAATTCTCAACTGGCAGTCGGCTACAAGCATGATCGATCATTCGTTGTCCGTGGTTCTAAGATTGGGGTTTTCAGGCATACACCAGATAACAACCTGGAGTTTTCGACCAATATTTCGAAGGTCGAGACGCCTAAGGGAAAGCTTTTCAGCCCGAAGAAGGTCATGTTGCATGCTGAGGATCGCAACATGATCCTGCAGAATGGCGATGACCCTCACTCGCTGTACCGTATGGATCTCGAGTACGGCAAGGTCGTTGATGAGTGGAAGGTGCACGACGATATCCCGGTGACCACATTCGCACCAGAAAACGTAAGTTTACTTTTTCGCCTATCTATTTGACGCCAGACCTAATTAATGTCTTGCAGAAATTCGCCCAGATGACCTCTGCTCAGCCGTTCATTGGTGTCTCGCGGAACGCACTCTACCGCATTGATCCTCGATTGGCAGGAGCCAAACTGGTGGATGCGGACCTGAAACAGTACGCGAGCAAGAACGACTTCTCCGCAGTGGCCACGACCGAGAAGGGATACATTGCTGTTGCCTCCAATAAGGGTGATATCCGCATGTTCGACCGCTTGGGTATCAATGCCAAGACGCACATACCTGCTCTGGGAGAACCCATCATCGGACTGGATGTGTCTGCCGATGGTCGCTGGGTCTTGGCTACCTGCCGAACCTACCTGTTGCTCATCGACTCGCTCCAGAAAGAAGGCAAGAACGAAGGCAAGCTCGGGTTCGAGCGCTCCTTCGCCAAAGACTCGAAACCACAGCCTCGTCGTTTGGGCCTCACTCCTGCGCACGTCGCCCAGTTCCAGCATGAGACTAAGAAGCCCATCTCTTTTACTCCGGCGCGTTTTAACACTGGTGTTGAATCTCAGGAGACATCCATTGTCACTGCCACTGGACCTTTCATCGTCACTTGGAGCTTGAAGAAGGTCATTGCCGGCCGGAAAGACCCCTACACCATCAAGCGATATGCAGAAGATGTCATGGCGGATAACTTCCGGTTTGGTTCGGACAAGAATGTCATTGTTGCTCTGCCGAATGAAGTCAACATGGTTGCGAAGAGGACTTTCCAGAAACCTACTCGGGAAAGCATTGCAGGACCTCCTGTGACGCCGAGCCGTCGTAGCACCCGATGGGGCAGTCGGTTGGCAAGGGATGATATTGTCAATTCTCCCTATTAGAAGTTTTGCGATATCACGCTTGGGATCGCCAGGCTGATGAACTTTCTCTTATATGTCATTTTATGATTTCTTTAATGTGTTATTGATCGCATACCCCCTTCTGTTGTCTTCTTGCTTCTACAATTCTACCTTTTTTCCAGTTTTAATCACCTATATTTCCTATTCCTCAATTTAAAATACCAATGGTCAATCACCGTAATGATGGTACAACAATGGAGTACGCGAAGGAAGGTTAGAGGGCGGTTCATGCTTGACATCAGATGTTAGCACGACCTATCTTTACTAGTATAGCTTAGGTAGCTAGGAACAATATGACTGCAATCGATGGACATGCTACAGCCACATTGGAGCATGGATTTCGCGCTCAGCTATCTTACTAGCTTTCATCTTCTACTCCCTTAAGTTTCTTCAATTAAGATGCAAGATGCAAGATGGAAATAATGCAACCAGGACTATGGCACGATGGAGAGCCAGCACGCATCGTAGCAGGGTATTATACGGAAGAAAATGCGTAAGAGAGATCCGGGACCCGTGAACTCACGCCCCGACATACCACACCTCCACGCCGAGGACGTCGAACTTGACGCCTTCGTCGGACAAAGGCTCGTTCCCGAACGTTTGACACGAGGCACTGACGCCTTTTTCCAAGCTCGAGTCTACCCATAGTCCGTAATGACCGTCCCTGCTGCACATTAGCTTCCGACTTTCGTCCACCAGTGATGCACCAGGCACGTTTGAGGAAAGGAAACTCACCCTCCACCCAAGCTAAGGAAGCCGGTCTCGCAGAACATCATGTAATCGTTTACGCCGCTATAAGGGAAGGCCTTGAACCGGATCCTCTCAGGCGTGCTGGCACCACTCGCCGCCCCAGCCCCTGCCCCGCCACTGGTCCGCGGCGCCGCGAGACGGCCATCGCCGTGACCTCGCGAGTCACCACGTAGCGTTGTCGAGCGGCCCGCATGCGTTGTATCCGCACTGGGGGGCAAGGGCAGGCCCGCGCGCTCGAGCATTTCCTCGGACTGCGGGCCGTTGATATTCAGGAGGTTCGTCGGCGAGGGGAGGACGCTCGCGCGCCAGAGGAAGCACTCGCCTGTGCCGAAGTAGTGCGAGTCGGGGTGTGGGGGTCGGTCATGTAGGCGCCGAAGACGGCACCGGCGGGGGAGGAGTCGCGGACGATGAGCACGTAGCCCGCCCGCGGGCTGCGGTGCGAGAACTCGCGGCAGTGTTCGTAAAGCGTTGAGAGGGAGGCGCCGTCGCGGTCGAGGCTGTAGGCTAGGCGCCAGGTGTCGACGAGCTGGAGGCGGGCTGGGACCAGCAGGCGAATTTCTTCGGCGAGGGCACGGGTGAGGAGTTGTTGTTGGGGGATACCAGGGCCGGGGGTGAGGGTTAGTGGCGTGAGGGGTGGTGGTTGGAAGGGTGATGCGGTGCGGATAGGGATGAAGATATCTGGGGACGTTGTGGGTGTGGCGTAGTTGTTTCTAGCGTTCATGTTCCTATTGGGACTGTTGCTGTCTTTGCGCGATGCTTTGGCGATGTTAGGGTCTGTTAAGCGGCGGTAGAGTCCTGAGACGACGTGTGTGACGGGGTAGGAGAAGTAAGATGCGGCCGATTGATTGAAGGGAGTGTTTGCTTTTGGAGCGCGAGATCCTGATGCCGAACTAGATGAGGACGAGGATGGGGTGGCAGTCGATGAGGGCGAATCTCCCTGCGAGAGGGACGACATGCGGACGGCGATAAAAGAGATTCAGCAGGCGAGGGTTATCTAAAGGACTAGACGAATGGAGAAGAGAATCAAGAGCTCTGTTCAATTGAGATGGAGAAAGCTATGGAGAAGAAATCAAGAGAGGATACAAAGAGATACAAGGGAAAGTGAGACAGCTCAAGCGGAGATGGTGATGGATGATTATGATGATGGCTTTAATAATAGTAATGTGGGGAGAAGACGACGACGACGACGCAGTTGTCGATCCCAATTCTTATCGCTTCCATCTGCCTCGAGAAATGATAAACATCTAAGATATGCTGCTGTCTTCCTCAGACATTGCTGGATTTAATTCAGATCGCTTTTCACGCTCAGTTAAGGACAAACAAACATCCCAAGGAATGGCAAACAAGCAATGCTGATCGCAACACTAACTTTTTGTGGAAGGCAAGTGGTGGCATGATCACCATGTTCATGGCCATCCTCGGTAGAAAACCAGTCGATAAACCAAGCAACATACGGAAATGCGATTAGATGTGTTCATGATCATTGATGAATGCTATAAGAAACAGATTGTTCAGTTCAACCAACTAACTGACTGAACATGAAGGTTTATCTCACAGCTGATTGACCGATCTATAGCCACCACCCACTTGCCTCTGGTCTCTTCTCCCGAATTCCATATTCTCGGAGCCATCAAGGAAGCCATGGTTCAGACACAGATAAAGTGCTAAGAGACCTGCCGGACTGTTCTTCCGAAATGAGGCAAACGACGCCATAATGACTTTCGCCCCAGCAACAGCCCCTATATATTGATGCGCATCTCGCAACATCAAAGCGCACAGCAAGCACTCATTCATAGCATACCCAGACCTTTTTTTGCGAGGAATTATATCCGTCACTCGGAGGCTAAGCAACATACCTTTGAACAGTCCATCGGGCAAGAACAAGAAGTATCAATATGACCGCTGGTCCGTCAGACAGACGAGCCACAGAGCAAACCACTACCGTTCCGGGGAACCGTAGGGGCTCGCGACTTCGGCGAAAGCCCACTCCCGAGCGAAGGCGTCAGTATAGCGCAGGTTCTGGTGCGCGGCGTCGCTCTCGATCGCGCTCCCGCGCTCCTTCTCGGTCCCGGTCTCGCAGCAGGATTTTGCAGGAATGAGCGGATCAGTCGAAGCCACCGGCCAGGTTGCATGAAAGATGTATGTAATGTATGATATTGTACAAAGGGAATGAGAGCGCAGGCATACATACTTCACTAAGTTCAATTGGGACCTGTAATGAGATGGCATAGTAGGTAGTCTCGACCTGTTGCACAATTGCTCAATTAATTGACTGCCAGTCTATAAGGGATGTCGTGGTACAAGCAAAGCAGTAACATCTTGTTGTCGTATAATGCAATGTATGCTAGACATGGCAATGGTTCTAAAGCGGAGGACAAACAGCAAATCACTGGAGATGGTATCATAATAGCAAGCCATATCATGCATAGTACATCGCAACATCAAACATCAAACCCGGGATTCCTTTGGGCGAAGATCCACAGTCTCGAATTCTAACCCTTTAGCTTCATAGACGTGCCCAGGTCGTAGCGCGTCGGTGTAGATATTAGCCTCCGCATGGGGATGGAATAACCCGCTCTGCGTACAGTTCAGGACCGTCTTAAGTCCCGGGGGATCAGTGAGTCGGAATACACCCCAGTCGGGTGATTTGCTCGGCGCGCAAACGATCGCAATGCTCTCAGGCAGCATCACTTGGTATCCACAATGCGTGTGGAGGTCCCTCGAACTCATAAAACATGTCTGTGTGGGGTGCGTATGAATCCAGCCTAGCACCATCAAATCTTCAGAATCGCAGTAGTCGAAGATTGCAGACTCATTTACGGTTTCGCATGTGTCTGACGTAGCCGTTTGTTCTGGAATAAGCAGCCTGGAGACAAACAGTGCGTTCGAAATCAAAGTTCCGCATAGGATGCCGCACGTCTCTAGATTGCGACGCGTGTTGGGAGCCGCTACGACCAGGAAATGCGTTCGTAGATCGGGAGGCAGCCACAAGGTGCGCAACGGTGTCCCGTTTTCTAGATATGCCGACGGCTTGAATGTGAAGCTGGAGGGGTTCAGGTCTGGACGTGAGCTTCCGCCATCTGCCATCGGCTGTCCTTTCTCTGGAACAGCCGGAGCTGGTGTCGACAAGACCTTCTCGGGCAGTGGTGGTGGGGACGCTCCGTCAGTAAATATCGACTGGTCTGATTCGAATCGCTCCTTTGGCGGTGGCAATGGAGCTTCCGAGCGCAAGCTCTTTCCGTCTCGGGACACGTTTGTCGACGCAGACGGCAAAGGCTCCAGCGGTTTTGTTCGAGGGACGGAGGGATACTTGTAGGTGCTAGTGGACGGCTGTGCCAGTTTCATCTGCTGCGGACGAGTGTTCGCATGAGTTTGCTGGTCGATGTTGAGTCTCACATCTTGAATCCGGCGGCTCAAGTCATTGTCCATCCCGCGTCCATTTTTATCCATAGCATCTTCCCAATTGTTCCACACACCCGCCGTACGCCGACTTTGCTCCTCCTCTGGTGATACACCAGCCTGACGCAAGGCTTTCCTGACGGTCGCCCTCCGGCTAATCTCCGTCCGTGCAAGCTGCACTGCCAAATCTCTGTTCTTCCCTGCCTCCAAAGGTTCGACTACTCCCGCCAACGCGGGATCGTATGGTTGCACCTGCTTCGACGAGGTTGTTTCCTGATGCGAAGTCCGAGCTTGACGTTCGCGCATCAACTGGGCGTAACGCTCATATCGTTTATTGATCCGGGGTTTCAGAGCCTCTAATTTCCCGAGATTGATCCGGACCTCCTTCTCGGCCTCCATGAGAGCCTTTCTGTACTTTTCATCTTTGGCATCAGGGTGCTTTGCTAGGTTCACGAGTACTAGCTGTGCGTGTCGAAATAACAGTAGGTATGTTTGCTCGTCATGGCCTTCCCGTTCGTATATTCGAGCCTAGGATGGAGCAGAAAGTTAGTGTTGAAAGCTGAGAAGGCCGCTAGGTGTCCTACCTCTCTGAGGAGTGTGGATGCGGTCCTCAACCAGTTTCGTAGCGGTATAAGGGGGTTGTACTCGTAGTCTTGCGCAATCCGTGTGATCTTCTCCACGCTCTGAGGTGGTGACGCTCCCATGCCGGGTGTGGGTGCATGCGAAGCCATGGTGTGCCTGAGCAAGTAGACGTTTACGTGGTCAGACGTCTGGGATTTGGTATCTGATGGTTCCAGTCCGGAGTGATTTCAGAAATGGAAACGGTCAGGTCAGGCGTGATGTGATTCAGTTCTGGTGCAACGACCAGCTAATGTTATGGTGGGGGAGGCCTCATTTAGGCAGCCAGACCTTGGTAGCACGGAATCTCAGGCAGTAGGTACGGGGTTGGTCATCACAACTTTGGAAAAGTACAGTATCAGAGTCAGAGATGGAATGATATGCGAGACGCATGGAGGTGTTCAGGTGAAGAGGGGTCCTTGATGTTATGGGCGAACTTGCCTACTTCTGATCCCGCCGGCGGAGCTTCAAGTTCAAAGCTCCCCACCTCCGCTATCACTTCTCCGACGTCTTTTTGCATACTTTAAATATTCTTTTTCAGACTGGGAGACTACCCACAAATCAGCATGGAGCTGCTGTGCGGGTTTGATTGTTTTTACTGTGATATATCTGACTGACTAAATTTTATTCAGTCGCATTGAGCGCGCATCAGCATCAGCAAGATGAAGCCGAACCGATGGGCGCCACTCGCTCGATTTCCGATAACAGGACTTCTGCAGAAGCAAATCCCCAACCCGCTGAAGAGGAAGAGGCTACAGAAACCGGAGATCGTCAGCGAGAGCTTATGTGGTCAGTGATGTGGAATGACAATAAAAGACTTTCGTGAATGATGCTGATACGCCTTGTCGCAGATGACATCCTTCAACGCCTCGGGCCGTATCTCCTTCGAAAACCGCCAGTGGATGTCCTTGATCTCAGGCCCGGTGCTGGATTATGGTCGTCCAAAGTGAACGATTTTCTGCGCCCTCGACGCCATGTACTTGTGGAGCCCAATATCAAAGTCTTCGGACCGATGCTCAAGACGCTTGCCGAAAGCAAACCCTGCTACAGTTTAGTCTCTCAAGATATACACGATCTCGATGAGGATTGGCACGGCTTTCTCGCCAAACATCTACCGGAACAGGGGTTCTCCAACTGCGATGCTTCGGGCGCGTTGGCTAAAAACGATGCGCTACTGGTTTTGGCCAATGTGCCTCCGAACGCTTCCAAACTAGATCACTACACACCGGCGCGGTCATGGTCGGCCCTCATGGAGGCCTGTATGCGGCAGTCCGGTCTCCATACATATGGAAGTGTCCGTGTTATTGCCACACTGCCTCTGTTCGAGACGCAGACGATCCTTCCACGATCAGTGTCCCATCGTAACCGTCCGGCTTTGGTCACGGAAAATGTCGCATTACACGCTTTTGAAGTCGCATCGACCCAGGATCAAAGCACCTGGACTATGGCCAAGGGATGGGACCTGGCAGCTGCTAACGCGGCACGGGTCGCTGAAAGGAGCGCGCAACGCAATATTGTAGTTCCTGCAGGACGACAAGTCCCGCCGATCCCGTTGGCTCCAGAGGCTTCTGAGCCGGGGCAGTCCCCTTATCCCTATGTCCCTCGCATCAAAACCGATATGCACGACAGGATCTTGAAAACGATTAAGACTGCGGAGGAGTCTCCCAGTGATACCGCCTTGAAGAAAAAGAAACAGAGGGCACTAATCCAATTGAGATATGACAATCGGAACTCATTCCTTCGCAAAGAGCTGGCGGACAAACAGATCAAGATAGACGGGCTCCATCGATCTCTGTCGCGTAAGGCTGCGGATCAAGCCGCCGACTTGCAGGGTCTCCAGCCGATCCTGGACCAAATATCTTCCCTCAAAGCCGACATCGCCAAGCTAAGCTCCGAGGTCCACTTCGAGGTCCTCCACCACGTCCCGAACATGATCGACGACGCCCGCAGCGCGCTCTCCACCGGCACCTTCGATGACGCGGTTCTCCTCTGGGACCGGCGCCCGTTTGAGCCCCTCCACATCCAGCCCGAGGAACTCTACCCAAGGGAAACCGACATGACCATGATCTACTTTGAGGCTGACGCCAATTCCCCCATCACGCGCCTTTCCAACCAGGTCGACGAGGCCTCCAGAGCCAATCTATACCGCATTTACGAGGCCGTCTCCCTCATTTTCGGCAGCCGCGGCGCAATGCCCGTCTCCGAGCTCCTCAATTCTCTCTTCCCCAGCCGACCCATCAACGACCTCGTCCGCGCCATCCCCAGCCTAGCAACACATGCTGCCAGAACACCCAAGCCGAACTTTGACAGTCTTCCCAAAACCGTCCACGGTCGTCCGGGAGAAGACCCCAGCAAACCACTAGACCCTGTGTCTAATTTCCAGGAGAACCTAGACTATGACCTGACCGACGTGCGGATCCGCTGTCTTTCCCCTATCACACTGTGGGAGATTATCATGGAGTATCAGAAAGATAGCAATACGGAGGTCAACGTGGTGCAGTTGAATCGGTTGCTTGGAGGGACGTTGACCTCGTTTCGAGCTGGCGAATATAGCGTTGAACCTAAGAAGCTTAGATAGCATTACCTTTTGTACCATACTCGCCTTGTACTATAGCCATAATCGGCTTGTATCATCACCATCGTCAATAGAATTATCATCCACTGGGTCGTCTCCAGACCAACATACTGTATTTCTTTAATGTCATGGCCACCAGATAACCACGGCCATACGAAAATCCAATCCCTCCATACATATAGCGACCTAAGCTTCAACTGAAGATAGCAACCGAGAGGTGTCTGTGACCCGACAGTGTCTGCTAGCTAAGGTAGCTCATCCCACCGTAGGACTAGAAATTATCCTCTGAAAGGACTTCCATGGCCTGATTCTTATCTGGGATCTTTGAACTTCAAAGTAAGAACATTTGTTGCTGAGTTGTACTGGATCAATAGTTCACATGTTATATGGCATAGGTTTCCATGGCGAAGCGTAGCGGCGGCAGGTCACAGCCACCCGTGACATTGTCCACGGCCAACATGCCCTAGAGAAAGGTGGGTTGGCCTGACGCGTGTAACGTACGTCTACATCGAATATACTCCCAGACTTTCAGGGATAGTACTACAACATGGCATTTTTGATCTGCCTTATTGGATACAACAGGAGTGCATCTCGTGGCAGGGATACTTGTCACACATAGCAGGCTGATAACACGTTCGTACACTGTATACTCAGAACCCAACGTATCCACATAACAGCCATAGCAAGAAAAGAAAAGTATATCGCATCAACGTCAAAATTGTCCAGAATCAATGAAAATCTAATCGGGTATCCTTTATAATGATTTGTTTAAGACAAGAGAAGAAGAGAAGAAGAGAAGAAGAGAAGAAGAGAAGAAGAGAAGAAGAGAAGAAGAGAAGAAGAGAAGAAGAGAAGAAGAGAAGAAGAGAAGAAGAGAAGAAGAGAAGAACGGCGCAGGCCATAGCCCCGACAAGGCAAGGAGAGACGAGAGGGAGAAACGTCAGATCCAGATCATCCAATAGGCCGGAGGATTGAAATTCTAGTAAATCAGAGAATGAAGGAGGTAAAACTGAAAGATCAAGTCATGGTGTTCATCACCAGCCCCAGCCAGTCGGCAGGATCGATGCGTTGGGACGGATCCTTAGCAATGGCTGGCTTGACAATCTGCTCGACTATGCCCTTTCTGGGAATGCGAGCGCCACTCTGGCCCGAACGAGCAAAGTCGATGACTTGGTGTCCTTCACGGGCCATGGCAAGACGCTGCATGCTGCTTGTTCCCGGGTACAGTAAGAGATCTCCCGTCGCGGCTGCGAGGAGAGTCACTGCGAGCGAGAAGACGTCTGACGCCGGAGTCGGGACGACGTCAGGGGACTTGAGCGCCGAGATGGACAGCAGTTCAGGGGCGGTGAATGGGGGCGTTAGGGCTGTCAGCGCCGTGCCCTCGGTTGCGGAGGTGCAGTCGCCGATGGGGTGCGCAGAGGAAAAGTCTGCGAAGAGCGGCTCAAAGGGGAATTCATCGGAATCCGAGTCATTGGCAATAGGGCGGGGGCGCAATAGAAAGTTGTAAGGTTTGATATCACCATGGACCATTCGAGCGCCGTTATGGAGCCAATCGAGTCCCGCGACAAGCTTCTTCGCGAGACCGTGCCATTCGGCCATGCCTTGAACGGGGTCAAACATCGTGCTGGTGGACATGTGCTTCTTGGCTGCACTGGCCTTTTCTTCAATATAGGCTGAGAGTGCAAGCGGCACGGCGCCCATGACGATGGCATGGGAATCGGCAATGTAGCCGTGGAATGGCACGATATGGTCCTCGCAACCAGGAACCATGCTCAGACGGGTCAGCGCTAGGGCCTCCGCGTCAAGCACTGGGGGCGCATCGCGTCGCCCAGGCATTTTGACGGCCACCACGCGGCTTCCTGATGCGGGCGAGCTTGGAGGACTCAGTGCAGCTGGGGTGGAAGATGCGCGGGAGGATGCCATGTAAACGACGCTCCAAACGCCACGGCCGAACTCGACCTTGCGACCCTTGGAGTCATAGTGGAACTCCAACGCGTCGGAGAACTTGCGTGGCGCGGTTACAGTCCGACGGTCAGATGGTAAGATGTCATGCAGCTGTCCTCCTGAAAAGGACACAGGAGATACTGAGCGACTGAGTGTGTCGACTCCGGGCGAACTGCTCTCATGACCGATAGTTGGGGTAATTGGAGGGGTTGGCTGTGACCCTTTTGGAAGCTGGGGGTGCTTGCCGTCTTGGGTGCCAGTGTGGACCGAAAGACGAATCGGCATATTAGGTGCCGCCATGATGAATATGTAAGTTTAATGCGCCTGCGATAGGTTCGCCTTGATCGTGCTGCAGTAGTTGGACAGTACGCGCGGTGTCTGGTCACTCGGCTAAGATGAAAGGCAACTTGAAGAGCAAAGGAATGCGATAAAGCGTCGTCACTGATCTTCAAAGATGTCGTGTATATAGCTCACAATGTGAAAAATAAATGCTGATATAAGTAGCTGATATGCGGAGGCGATTGGTGATAATGGTGGAAAATGCGCTGGATTACTTCACGTGAACGACGCTATATGCGACAGGAATTATATAGATGTCTGACGCAATAAGCGAGTAAGTAATATGCAGACAGCGGGCAACCAAGGCGCATACTCTGGATTAAGCGATGAGACGAACGAACACGATCTATGAATCTATAGAGGCCACGAGTCTGGGGAGCGAGTATTTAAAAATGATGTGAGTGGCAATGCGTGTGACGCGGGTGACAGAGGAACCTCGTGGTAGGATCCAGGCCCGGACGGAGACGGGTGGTCAGAGGAAACTAGGAGCGGAAGAAGACAGAGTGAGGGAGAAACGAAAGCGACGAAAGACCGAAAACATGATGGAAGACGCTGCAAGAGGAATAAGATCGAGGGAAGGGAAAGGAAGGAAGGACGAGATAAGGGCGAGTGAAGAGAGAAAAAGGAAAAGAAAAAAACAGAAAAAGCAAACGGTCTCGACCAGGGAAAATCGAGTCACAAAAAGTGGGCAAAAGTTCGGGGATCGACGAGGAGCTTAATTGACAATGTTAAACCTGAGAGATGGAGGACGATGGATGAAACCAAGGAATTACTATCTAGTCCATCACAATCTAGAAGAACGAGAAGGATTCGGAGGAATACGACTATTCATTTACTACTGTTACACTTGGAGTCAGCCATACGGAGTACAAGAAGTAGTTAGATAATTATTCGGTAGTTTTATTGCTTTAGGCAAGGTAGCACTGCCCTGGCTATCACAAAGGGTTACAGTGACATGAATCCTGTTTGGTCGACAGAAATTAACGATGACCAATCCTCTTGCACTGGTAGTTATAAGACACCACGTTATTCATCCTATAACCTTCAACTTGACCATACTCTCATCCTGTCTATCTATATCAAGTTCGAGGCAGACTACACTGATGCTTGAAATAAGTCCATGGACGACTATTTTTGCCCTTTGCATTTTTTGAGGTTACCCATGATTTCCTTGTGTCGTAATGGTACGGTAAGTAATAATATACCGCGAACAGGGTCTTGCCTGCCTTAGTCTTCGGCGCTTCTGCAGTTCCCAGATACGGCCACTAAACGCAAACAGGTTTAGTCGGCTCCCCGATTGATCCGGTTGACCCAATAGGGCAATCCGGTGGGTATTGGTTCGTCTCCGCTCGGACGCCACGAAATTACCCGGAAGCGCCCAAACGGCTGTCATTTCCGCGTCACAGAGAGCAATAGATTAGGTAATCTTACCGACAGAGGACGGCCTCAGGACAGGGATAGGTCTGATAGAGCATTCGACTTGAGGATAATAATAGTTCTCTTCGGAAACCGATAGTCGTACCCCGACCTTAGTTCACTCATTAGTTTCGTGTCCAAGAGGCCCTTGCCTCTTTGTCACTTTGATCTATCCTCGCGACAAGTTCGTAGCCAATCTCCACCCCCACGTGTGAGAGGCTCACTCTCAGCCACGGAAATTTACCGACTATTTTTGCATAGTGTGAGATTTGAGGACGTCTTTCTCCACATTTACGCAAGTCAGGAGCTGATCCTTGCTCGAGAAAGAATTAAGAACACCCATTAACCCTGCACTAAGCCTCAACAGTCTCCAAAGCCTCCGATTGCCTTCGAATCAAGTTTGAACTGCAGTACGCAACGTCATCGCCGATATCTTTTAATTCTAGTATGTAACTAAGAGGTATTCTGCTTCGGAATTACTCCGGCCTCACTACGGTAGGTTCAGCCTTGTACTTGATAAAATGCGGAGATATTTATCAACCTCTCAAACCCCGGGCTATGACCATATCTCCAAATGTTGGCTGTCATAGATCTGTGATTCGTTGAAATTAACTCATGCAGTCCTCATGGTCGACGCGGGGTAAGAGCCTGCAATAGCAATTTAAATAGCTATCTAACCGCTCAGGATTGTTAAATATAGCTCTAGGAGGGTATATGTGTCTTTGATATCGTAAAAATACGAGCCTCAGGAAACCAAGGAGTCATCACATCAGCTTCCCGGAAGTCGATCCCTGTACGCGAACATCCGCAGGAAATATGTTTGTTTTCTTGTGCAATGGTTCCACTGCATTACCGTTTAGCTGAGCAGCATCAAGATACCCAAGCAAGAGGTAGACCTGGAACAGCTGATGCACGTATTCATTATTCCCCAGTCTCTTGATCACGTCCTGCATGTCAGCCGACTGAGAACCCTGTTAAACCAGTCCAGATTCCTGAAACCCCGGCTACAACCAGTCGATCACCCTTTGCATCACTTCTCAGTTGTCACTCATTCAATCCTTCATCACACACAGTCAAGCTCCTGGCGACTTCCCCTCAACATACCCCTTCAAATCCCGTACCCAAATCTCAAAGTTCTCCTTCAATCGACCCCCAAACATCCACCGCACAATATACACCAAATACCCAACCTGAGCCTCCCAATTGCGCACCTCAGTCCCCCACCTCATCTGCCCATCTTTCCCTGGAACCTCTACCTCCACAATCTCGTGTACCCTTTCCGCCGTCAGCAGCGACGCAGGAAATCCGCCCTTGGCATCGGGGTCACTGGCCCACACGATCCGCCCAGGTTTCTTGGCGCCGGGATTGGGCGGCTCAAACTCGATGACTGTAAGCTGGGTATCGTTCACCTTTTGCGGTTTAGTCGACGAGGGATACATGTGTACGTGGAAGGTCATTTTGGTTCCCTTTTGTAGGATCGGGGAGAGGGAGTCGGCGGAGGCATCGGGGGTGTTTGGTTGTTCACGGATGGTGACGCGCGGGACGAAGGTGTTCCACGTTGGCCAGGTGGAGGTGTCGATTAGGGCGTTCCAGACATCTTGTGACGGTGCGTCGATGTGTGTAGCACTGCTGAGGTGGAGGACGGCGTCGGATGCGGAGATGTTGGGGGTCGAGTTGGAGCTGAGGGATGGGGATGTAGTCGTAGACGTAGCTGTCATGATGATTTGTGATCAAGTAGATGTAGTAGCCTAAAGGTGAGTACCAATAGTTTGGTGGTTCGAGCTGTCTAGCTAGAATCGCCTAGAGTCGTTGTTGTCGATGTCTATCTAGATTACGATGGCCCACAGTCTCCACATAAGCTTGAGTTTAGTAGGTCAGGTGCAAGGGTCACAGCCTGAGGCTGCAAGGCCCTCGGCGTCAGTCTGCCAACTCCAGAAGTCCCGATTAAGACTCAAAGCAGATACTATTGGAAATCTTCATCTCGAAATGATAATAACCTCGACTAGTCAATTAGCTACTGTCAACTATGGAGTACCCATATTGTCCCCAGTCTCCGTCCTAATTCCTCCACCAATGCGATGACATATGACCCCCTACTAAGCATCCATCTTGGCTCTGATCAGCTCTATACGGGTGGAGCTCAAATTTCCGTCCATACAACTTATTTGACTTTTGAGTTTCTCCGTGCAGTAGTACTCCGTAACTCCTGAAGGCCCTGCTCGATGGAGCTATCCTGATGGGAAACTGTTTAAATTCACTGAGTTGTGCGTCCGTGGTATGTGCCCCAGCAACTACTTCTACTCAATCCATCATGCTGATTACCAACCCAGCTCTTCTGGGCATTCTTGCCTCTCTTGCCCCGCTGGCTTTGGGAGCTCCCAGTCAATCGATACAAACTCGCTCGAGAAAATGTGTGATTCCTTCAAGCTACGCATCCCCTCAGGGAACCGCCGATGATTCACCTGCCGTCGCGAGCGCCTTTGCCCAATGCGCGGAGAATTCGGTCATCATCTTCCAGGAGGGTGTTGACTACAACATCTTCCACCCGATCAAAGCGACCAATCTCAGCAATGTCGAGATTCGAGTACTCGGGAACCTACATCTTCCCCAGAACATTACCGCCGTACAGAACATCGTCAAATCCGGCCAAAATACCTGGTTCACGTTCCAGGGCCCCCGCGTCGACTGGACGGGAGCCGAGGATATCAACAATGGCTGGATAAACTCGTACGGCCAGGCCTGGTGGGACGCAAACCCAGCCAACAGCAGCAGTTTCCCGAACCGGCCGCACCTGATGAGCTACAAGACGAGCCAGGCGTCGATAAAGAACTTCCGTTCGCGCAAGCCCATCGCGTGGAACGTCAAGCTACATGGCGACGACATTACCGTCACCCACGCCATCGTCGACGCCAAATCGACGGGCGGCTTCCCCTTCAACACCGACGGCTTCGACGTCGAGGGGACCAACATCAGCATCACCGACAGCATCATGTACAACGGCGACGATGCCATCGCCGTCGGCTCCCCGTCGCACAACATCGTCTTCGCCCGCAACACCATCGGCTACCAGTCGCACGGCATGAGCATCGGCTCGCTAGGCAAAGACCCCACCGACTTCGCCAACATCACCAACGTCCGCTTCGAGGACGTCACCGTCATCGACGCGCTGTACGCCGCCCGCTTCAAGTCCTGGTCCGGCGGCAAGGGTCTCGTCAAGAACGTCGTCTGGAAGAACATCCGCGTCTTCAACGTCACGTTCCCCATCTTCGTCACCCAGAGCTACTCGGACCAGAGCGCCTCGCGGGCGGGCACCATCGACCCCTCCTCATCCGTCATGATGGAGGACTTCACCTGGTCCGATTTCTCGGGCTCCATCAACACCTTCCACCCCGGTGACGGGTCGTGCGTCACCGATCCGTGCTGGTACAACGCCGGTCTGCCGAACCTGAAGCATACCGAGGCCATCGTGCTCGAGTGCAACACCGAGTCCTCCTGCAAGAACTTCAGGACGGAGAATATCCGGCTTCACCCACAGAGTATGGACTCGCCTAGTGTTATTTGCATGAAGGCTACGGCGCAGCTGAACCCCAAGCTTGGGTTCGAGTGTAAGAATGGTACCTTTGTTCCTCAGTGATTGGTCGACCATGTATGTATGTATGTGCCTGAGCATAGATACCTGAACCCTTACCATGCATCTCTTTATATTCTCCAGTATAATAGTTATCCCGCTCATTCAGTACGGACTTTTCACATCTCCACACAAAGTCTATAAACTTCGCAAACCTACAAAGAGCATATCTATACACTCCCCTCTTAAAGAATCAGGGTGCCGAAAACCAGCCAATCACCCCGCAAACCCCGAATCCCGTCTTTGCTTCTTCGCACTTTCCTTCTCAGTGGTACTCTCGGATCGTCTCTCTGCATGGTCCAAATCCCACCTCAACTCCCTAACAACCTGGATCCCATCCGTATCATGCAACTCATCCCCATTGACCGAGCAATTTCCAGTGATGCTAGCTGAGTAATTCCCACTCGTCACAGCGAACGGGTTATTAAGATGGAAAGAGTGGACAGAGGGTAGTTCCTTTTCGCGTTGGCGTTGGCTGTCGCGCGGGCGCGGGCGCGAAGAGAGCAGGCGCGGGCAGATGCGGGTGAGGAGGGGTTGGATGGGCGGTAGGCAGGTGCAGATGATGGCGATGTTGGCTTCGATGGAGGACCAGGTGGCTGCTGGGCCGTTGCGCTCTTATGATATGTCAGTCTTGTGGCGGATAGATATGGGGGAAGCAATCTTACCGGAGAATTCGTCGCTGTCGCCGCTAACGAGCTGGATGATTCTAACGAGGCGGATGATGCTCATTGCGCAGACGCTGGAGGCGTTAGTATATGGTTGGAAGACGGGGGAGAAGGGAGAGACGTACAAGAATCCCAGGGCGAACACTAATATCAGGGCGAACTTTTGTCTGGTTGGTAGGCGCAGCCGTGCGAGCGTGGGTATCGGGGTCGTGACGACGACTAAATCCGTTACGATCTGCAGCGCGGCATTGAGACACCACACTACCGCGAAGGAGCGACATGTGGCTGGAACGGAGTGGTCCCAGAACCCGCGGACTGGGAGGCATATAAGAAAAGTGCCGAAGAGGGTCCATAGGCCGACAATGACTATGAAGACGAGAAAGACGATGAGAAGGATTCGGAAGCGTTTGTTCGTGGAAGCGAAGAGACGCATATATAGCAGGATCATGGAGATTTTGGCCAGTGTAAGGGTGAGATTATAAAATGGGATGGTCAGCCAGAGGGCCTGCCAGTAGAGTTAGCTATCATGGCCTCACTTCAAGTGTGAAGTACGTACCTTGAGCTGAGTTCGCATATCATGCTCGCTGAGTGTATCTTGTTTCTCTCCCAAGTGGTGTCGAAGTTCTACTCCGGGATAAGTTTAAGCCACGGGCTCACACAAGCCGGCGACTTACCTATGATCAGACATGCATAGAAGACATAGTTCGTTCCCTTGGTTCGTCAACCAGTCGTACTCTGACATCAATCAAGCGACCGTTTCACGAGCTTACCACTGCCGCAACAATCAATGCATCGTCCCAACCTGGTGTCCGAACAATCCCAAACCGAGTGTACAACCGCAGGGCAACTGTCAAGGTCGACAGTACTAAGAGTGCAGTGGTAACGCCCAATATCCGGGCGGTCATGTCTATGAGTGAAGGGAGTCGCCGTGACGAGGCGACGGCATCTTCGACAGCACTCAGTCTTCAATTGATGCGAGTAGCTGCTGCTCCATACTCTTAGAACATCTTACAAACTTATCTGCCTGATGTTACTGTGTTGCATGGAGATATGTCGCTGTGGCCAAGTGCTTATTAAGACAGCCTCATTGGAATGTGACTCTATTGCGTCAATACAAACTCTGCCCGCATCTGGATCGTCCATCCTACCACGAAACATTAGCAGATGGTGGGCCTTCCCACAACGCACGATTTTGACTGGTATAGTTGAAATTTACTTTGTCCCAATGCGCTATGGGTGGCGGATCAGATTCCGGTATCGAATGCCCCTACATACCAGTTCCGAGACATCCCCGGCGTGACCCCAGTATTTCCCAATCAGGCATGAGGGTCCCTTGCTGATCCTCCACTCACTTCTCGAGGGAGTTAGGTGGGTCAAGGAAGTAGAAGCGTCAATTGAATCAATTGGTGTTGGTTTCGAAAAGTATAATGAGGAGCAGTTCGACACGTGAACAATAATGTCGATTGTCGAGAGACAAGCCTTACAGCTTGCCTCTTTGAGTGGGGCTGCGAGTCTGCGACCTTAAGCACAACACAGCATGCCTCAGACAGCTCCAACATCAACAAGGAAAGCTGTTCTGCTGCAAGATAGTCTTGAACGAGGCAACCAAATCTATCAAAAAATAATTTTTATATTGCGGCTATTCCAGAAAAGCCTTCATGCTGAAAATGGTATTTAAGTACAATCAATGCAAATCAAAGAATAGAACAGATAGAACGAGTTAAAACGCTTACAGTCTGGCCTTGAGGTTAGACTTGAGTCTGCGCTCAACAGCAGCCAAGTACTCCTTGGTGGTAACCCAGGCCTCACGCTCCTTGCGGCCACAGGCCAGAGCCAGGTCCTTGGTCATGATGCCCTCCTCGTTGACGACGTCAATGCAGGCGCGCTCGAGCTCTTCAGCGAAGGCGACGACGTCGGGGTCTCGTCCAGCTTGCCACGCTGGACCAGACCACGGGTCCAGGCGAAGATAGAGGCAATGGGGTTGGTGGAGGTCTCGCGGCCCTTCTGGTGCTCACGGTAGTGACGAGTGACAGTGCCGTGGGCGGCCTCGGACTCGAAGGCGCTACCATCAGGGGTGGTCAGGGTGGAGGTCATTAGGCCAAGGGAGCCGAAACCCTGAGCGACGATATCGGACTGAACATCACCGTCGTAATCTTCACACGTCAGTCCAGTAAACGACATTCATGGTGGAAAGACACCAGGGCGAACTCACTCTTCAGAGCCATAACGAAACCACCCTCGCTCTTGATCATCTGAGCAACCATGTCGTCAATGAGACGGTGCTCGTACCAGATGCCCTTGGCGTCAAACTCCTTCTTGTAGGTAGACTCGTAGATCTCCTGGAAGATATCCTTGAAGCGGCCATCGTACTTCTTCAGAATGGTGTTCTTGGTGCTCATGTACAGGGGCAGACCCTTCATCAGGGCCATCTTGAAGCTGGAGTGAGCGAAGCCACGGATGGAAGCATCGGTGTTGTACTGGGTCTGGGCAACACCGCCGCCGGTGAAGTCGTAGACCTTGATCGCCTGGGGCTCACCGTTCTCGGGGGTGTAGACGAGCTCGAGCTTACCGGGCCCAGGGACGACAATGTCGGTAGCACGGTACTGGTCACCGAAGGCGTGACGACCAATGATGATGGGCTTGTTCCAGCCGGGGACAAGACGAGGAATACGGGGAATGACGATGGGTTCACGGAAGACCGTTCCACCGCTACAATGGATTAGCATTTGACCCGAAGGAGTACCAGTAGGTTGCGGACAACATACAGAATGTTTCTGATGGTACCGTTGGGAGAGAGCCACACTTGAGGAACAAGTTAGAGAATGGTTCAAATGAAGTGAGGCGGCAAGGCTTACTCTTCTTCAGCTTGAACTCCTCGACACGGGCCTCATCAGGGGTGATGGTGGCGCACTTGACACCGACACCATACTTCTTAATGGCCTCAGCAGCCTCGACTGTGACCTTGTCATCGGTCTGGTCACGGTACTCAATACCCTGGAACGAGTTAGCGTCGAGGTCTTCTATTACCGAATATAAGAGTATATCATACCAAGTCGTAGTACTTGAGGTCAATGTCAAGGTAACTAATCCAGAATCTCAGTTCACATCCCGCTGGCAGTCCGCCGAAGACAATCGACAGGACAGACTTACGGAAGGATCAACTTTAAGGAGACAATAAGTCAGTGACATAAGTCTTAGCTTCACAGAGAGAAAAGGTGATTGATCGCAGAGCTTCGGAGGGGAACGGCCCGCATGCAGGTAGAGCTGACAGCGGCAGCGGGGAGGCAGGGGACGAAGAACTTACTTTTTCTCTAATCTCCTGCCAGATGATACGGGTCATCTAGAATAGTCGAAACACCATTCGTTAGCCCACATATCCATCAAACAAACAACATGTGAATCGAGCCAGCATTGCTTGGTATGAGTCAATAATCCTCGGAAGATTGACAGCTTTGTCCAGGTACAGCAGGCGCAGTCCGCCGTTTTTCCCCGCGTTCTCGCAGACTATGACGAAAATGCACGTCCGACGCGCTTGTGACAGTGAAACCAGTAAAGGCTATATAAAGAACGGAGAGGCAAGCGATCTAGCTGCAGATCGAATTCGAATTTCAAATCCGACGAGAGGAAACCTACCTCATCGCCATCCAGTTCAACGACTGGGTTCTTGACCTTGATCTTGGTACCTTCGGTGGCCATGGTGCGCGATTGGGTCAAACGAAACGAGGTTACTCCGGACCAGCGGGAAGAAGCAGGGAGCGAGGACGAAGCAAGAGTACGCTGAGGGCGAGCTACAGCAGCAGAGGTAGAGAAGGAAGAGGAGGAAGTCGAGGAGACAGAAGAAGTAGAAGAGGTAAGGGAAGAAAAGCGAACAGCGGAGGAATGGAGAGGGGCAGATCGAGGAGGGGCGCAGGCGTGGAGGGAACGACGCGCAAAAGCGGAACTGAAGCGGAGGGAGCTCATATCGATCTGGGATTAGGGAAATTGCAATATAACACTCTCGCGCGCCTGTCCTCGCTGGTTCTGCGTCTCGGCCCTATTGCAAACAAAGAGTATGGCGTGGATATTGGTCGGCCCAAGGCGGTTCGCAAATCGGTACTTCCGCTTCGCTTCTAACGGGAAAACCAGGTTGCTTCTGTCAGCCAAGCGTGGACTTTGCAGACTCACAAGCTCGCAGTACCCGAGGGAATAGCAAGAAGAGGCTCGGCTGGAAGGAGGACAGTGGAGTCGGAAGCAGCCGTCAAGCCGGAGAAGATGGTCAGGGAACAAGCATAACTTACTGATTCACGGGCTCTCACTTGCTAAATTTCTGGGGCAACACGGGCAGAACGGACCGCCCGGAAAATTGCTTAACGGTGATGACAGTAATAGTTTGGGGTGGGAGGAAGATTTGGGGAACGTCCAAGTGAAGAAATCCGGTCCAAAAGGATGAAGGAGAAAGCGTCCTCTTATCCCAGGAGGAAAAGCCTTTGCCCGGTTGCTTTATGACTGATTCTTTTTGCTCCTCACGTCCTTCCAAGTGATCTGATTTAGTTGTTTTGTTGACCTTTTTTCCTTAGCAGGACTTGGGACTCCGCTCAAAGCGCCGAAGCCGGACATTTCGAAATGAACCACTACCATGAACCCACGGACACTACTCCATATCTACCTACACTAATGTTCATGATCCTGATTTTCGAACTAACACAAAATGACCATGTCATCCGGTTTTAATACTAAGGTGCTCCTTATATTGTTTCCTACTCATATTGTTCCCTTTTGTCCCTCTGAAATGAGAGGTGTACATCAGAAATAACCTCGGTTTCCTGCGGCAACGGATTCCATAATATACTACGTACCGCCGGAAAGCGACACACCGAGATCGCCTATATGCGGATCTTTTGGTACCGCATGGGAGTGGAATTGGCTTCGGTGAGAGATTCAAGTTATCAGGTGATAATATCGATGATTAATCATCCGAGTCGATTAATATCAGTCTCCCAGACAGGGCGCACGTTGGTGGGATTTTTTGTCTGTCATTTCTATGATATTTACTATCTAGCTCTGTGCCACGTATCGGGGAGGTTAGAACCAACTCCGAGTCCCCGCTCTTATTTTTATCCCAGTATGTTGAAGACCACCAGCATCTAGACACAACCATCCAATCCAATGTCATCATGCTCATACATGTTGAATTAAGTGTACAACAATCAATAATATGATATATAACCGGAGGAGATAAACATCACTCCGAAAATGAGAAAAAGCGCTGAACACCAAGGGACGGTCTCAATCAGCCTAGAATAGGCCGTCAATCTCCCCCGTTTCGGTGTCGATATCAACGTTCAGATAACCCGGAGCAGTCGGCAATCCGGGGATGGTCTGAATGTCTGCCGCAAGTGCGTAACTGTGTGGGTTCATCCACTGGTTAGCCGATTGATCCGCTGGAGCCATGTGGTAAAATAAGCACTTACAGATATCCACCTCCAACCGCCAGCCGAACATCACGGATGGGAACTGTAAAGCCCGTTGGGGCGCCCTTGAGCGCGGGATCATGACTCAAGGAGTACTGGGTCTTGGCAATGCAGATCGGAAGATTGGAGAAGCCTTGTGCCGTGTAGGTGTCGACCTTCTTCTGCGCCAGCTCGCTGAACTCAACCTTCTCCGCACCGTACATGGCCTTTCCAATGCGCTCAATGCGTTCCTGGATGCTGCCCTCCAAGTCGTACAGGAGCTTGAAGTCCTTGGGCTTGGAGCTAGCTGCCAACACTCCCTTGGCAAGGTCAACGGCTCCGGCACCTCCCTCGGCCCAATGATTGGCAGGGATGGCATCCTCCGCACCGGCAGCAATAGCCTCCTCGCGGACGATGGCGATTTCGGCTTCCGTGTCCGTCTCAAACCGATTGATGGCTACAACCACCGGCACTCCGTACATTTTGGCGTTCTGGATGTGCTTCTTGAGGTTCACACAGCCCTTGCGGAGAATCTCGGTGTTCTCAGTGCGATAAATCTCGTGGAGCGGCGCTCCAGGGCTGATCTCTGGCCCACCACCGTGAACCTTCAGTGCCCGGACGGTGGCAACAATGACCACACAGTCTGGGGAGAGACCAGAAGACCGGCACTTGATGTTAAAGAAACGCTCACCTCCCATGGTGAAGTCGAAACCGGCCTCAGTAACCACGAAACCAGTCTTAGCCTCGTGATCCTCATCGGGTTCAGTACCGGCAAGCTTCAGCGCCAATTTATCGGCGATGATAGAGCTGGCACCAATACTGATGTTGGCGAAGGGACCGGCGTGGACCAGCACTGGAGTTCCCTCCAAGCTCTGCATCAGGTTGGGCTTGATAGCATCCTTCATCAGGGCGGCCAAGGCTCCTCCGGCGCCAATATCGTCGCAAGTCACGGGGTCCCCGCTCTTAGAGGTGGCAACGACCATGCGTCCCAATCTCTCGCGCATGTCTTCGAGACTGTTGCTCAACGCAAGGATGGCCATACATTCACTGGCCACGGAGATGTCAAAGCCCGTCTCGCGTGACAGACCCTTTTCAGTAGGGGCCTGTCCGACGGTAATGCCTCGGAGATGGCGATCATTGACATCCAACACACGGCGCCAGGTGATTGTCTGCGGATCAATGTCAAGACGCGCGAAACGACGGATTTCTTCCTCGGTGAGATCGTCAGGGTTCGTTTTAGTAATGCCAAGCTTCTTGAGTCTTCTGAACATGATGGGCTGGAATTCGCGCTTGCCCTTTTTGACGGGGACCAGCCGCTTGTAAAGAGCGGCATCCTTCTGGGTGGCTTCATGGAACATGCGAGTTTCAATGGCGGCAGCCAGAAGGTTGTTGGCAGCAGTGATCGCGTGGATATCACCGGTCAGATGGAGGTTGAACTCGTCCATGGGAATGACCTGGCTGTAGCCTCCACCGGCAGCGCCACCCTTGATACCAAAGGTGGGACCCTGACTCGGTTGTCGGACATTGGCAAATACGATCCGGTTCAGGTGTGCGCCCAGCGCTTGAGTAAGACCGAGTGTAGTCGTGGACTTGCCCTCTCCAAGAGGCGTAGGAGTAATACCGCACACCAGGACATAACGTCCGTTGCGACGGTGAGCCAAGCGGTCCAGAACACTCAAACTGATCTTAGCCTTGGTGTGGCCGTAAGGCTCCAGCTCGTGGGGAGCAATGCCAACCTCCGCGGCGACTTGAGTAATGGGCTTGGGGTACTGAGCACGGGAGATGGCAATGTCGGAAGGAACAGGCCGGACCAGCCTGATGGGAAGCGGCGTAACATGTCTGTCCCGCTGCTTTTCAAAGTATGCCTTGGCCGAAGTAACGACGTTCTTCAGCAGCATGGCAACTGTCATGGGACCGACACCTCCGGGAACCGGAGTGATCTGCGAAGCTACCTCTACGGCGGACTCGAAGTCGACGTCTCCGACGAGACGCTGTCCCGACTTCTTCGAAGGATCAGGCTTGTAATTAATGCCGACGTCAATAACAACGGCACCAGGCTTCAGCCAGTCGCCCTTGACGAACTCTGCCTTTCCAATGGCTGCAACAACAATGTCGGCATTCTTCACGATGCGGGGGATGTCCGGCGTCTTGGAGTGGCAGACAGTCACGGTGGCATCTGCATTTTTCAACAGGTAGCTGACAGGGCTACCGACGATGTCACTACGGCCAAGAACAACTGCCTCTTTGCCGGCGGGGTCTATTCCACTTGCTTTGAGGAGGTCCATAACAGCCAGCGGGGTGCAGGGAACGAAGAGGGGATGGCCACCTCTTTTGGCCAACTCTCCAATATTGATTGCGCCGAAACCGTCGACATCTTTTTCGTCCGCAACTGCAGATGTGACTGTATGTTCGGACAGGTGGCTAGGAAGGGGAAGTTGGACGAGGATGCCGTGCACCGAGGGATCGTTGTTAGCCTTTGTGATTTCCTGAAGGATCTCAGGCTGGGAGATCGATTCGGGAAAGTTGACAATCTTGCAGAGAATGTTCGCCTTAACAGATGCAGTGGATCAGTAAGGCTCCAAAGGCGTATGGTGGAGATTACGAGATTTATATCCATACCTCTTCAGCGGCCTTCAATTTCATGCGCACATATGTGCCTTGAAGCAAATTAGAACACCCCTTATATCTAGGCGTTGAATGTCATCAAACTTACTCGAATCCGATCGATTGCCGACTAGAATTTAAGCAATGTCAATACCTCCGCCGGGTCGGTTTCATGATGTCCGGCTAACGTACCCTGGAAGATAACCAAACTCGGCTTGAACCGAGGATTGGACTCTTGAATATTTGCAATCTCGGCTTTCAATCCCTCTCTAATGCTCTTGGCAATGGCCGTGCCATCAATCTTTGTGGCCCCCATGGCGGTAGATGTGCTGGAGAATGACCGACGGGAAAGTGATGATCTCGGGAAGGTCTTGGAACCGGGAAAGTCGACCACACGTCCAGCGAAGTGATGTCGAGAAGTTCCAAGGAGAGGAGAAGTCAAGAATGGGAGGATGTAAGAAGAGTAAAGCTGACTGCGAAGACGACAGGGGAAGATCTTCGAAATCACAGCGCAGCGGGGTAATGTCGCCGAACGAGCGGGGGGAAAGGGCATCGACTGCTGCTTGTTGGGGGCTTTAGGTGCAGCCCTCGGACGAGTGACAATAGGAGATTTCCGTCGGGAAAACAAATGACAACTTAAGCTCCACCTTGAAAGGGATTAAAGGAGTGACCCCTATAGATAATTACACAGTAAAAAGCACTGAAGAAATCCAACGATAGGCTCATCTACACACTGATCATTGAGTAAGTCAACGGACTTCCCAATTTCTCCCACTCTCTGAGGGAAACGAGAAAAATCTCTTCTGAGTTTTGAGTCATTCCATGATAAACTGCCTTGGGTACTGTCCCGCTAGATCCTCACATGCAAATGCTTGACTCTGCCTTAGAAAAGGGTTATGTAAGATGCAGATGGGTCTTGACTCGATCTGGAATAGTACCCGGGTACCTTAGGGCTGGTTTAGGTTAGTGGTAGATAAGGGCTGACCGATTTTGAAAAGCCTGAGGCAGACACTGCTCGACATCGGAATATCCTCACTCCGATAGTTGTTTGCCTGAGGGGCAAACAACCTCGAATAGGCAAAGGTCTTGGCGTGCAACGCCTGACTGAACTGTGCGATCAAATTCACTAAGAATAATTAGTCGACGACGCCAACAAGGACAGCCCGCCAGCATCCCCGCCTCAAATAACGCAAGTACTGGACACTCCTGTTACGGAGGACGTTTAATTCGAGTCTATTCTTTTTTCTTTACACCCGGACATTGTTTCTTTTGGCCCAAGATGAGGCCTATTCTGCTCTCGGGCCATGTACGTTGTGCCCTCAAATCTCCACCAGGATTTGCTTTGCCGCTTTTATTGAACTAGCGACTGATATTTCATCTTTACTGTAGGAACGGTCCCTCAACCAGATCAAATTCAACCGCGATGGCGATCTCCTGTTCTCCGTGGCCAAGGATAAGATCGTATGTGCTTGGTGGTCGGCCAACGGCGAGCGACTTGGTACCTACAGTGGCCACCAGGGTGCCATCTGGACGGTCGATGTCAGCCCCAACACAGTTCTCCTGGCGACCGGCTCGGCAGACAACACTGTGCGACTCTGGAACGTCAAGACTGGCGAGTGTGTGAAGGTCTGGGAGTTCCCTACCGCTGTGAAGCGGGTCGCATTCAACCCCGATGGAAGCAGGCTGCTGGCTGTGACGGAAAAGCGTATGGGTTTCCTCGGTACGATCGCTGTGCTCGACATCAGTTATGGAGATGATCAGGGTGGTGGTCTAGAGAACCAGGCCGATGAGCCTAGCTTGAGAATCACCTGCACAGAGAGCAAGGCCACCGTGGCTGGCTGGAGTTATCTGGGCAAGTACATCATTGCTGGACACGAAGACGGCAGTGTCAGCCAATACGATGGAAAGGTAAGCATATTCTGCTCCTGGAGTTTGGAAATCTATGCTAATTTACACGCAGACTGGTGAGCAGCTGGAGAACGTCCAGGCGCACGAGTTCGATCACCAGATCAACGACATCCAGTTCTCTCAGGACCGTAGTTACTTTATCACTGCCTCCAAAGACAAGTCCGCCAAGGTTTGTTCTGATCCATTCTGTCTGTCAATATGTTGTCAAAAGCTGACCATCGCTAGCTCATCTCCTCTCGTAACCTCGCCATCCTCAAAACATACGTCGCCGATACTCCCCTGAACAGCGCCGCCATCACTCCCAAAAAGGACTACGTGATCCTCGGTGGTGGCCAGGCCGCCATGGATGTCACAACCACCTCCGCCCGGCAGGGTAAATTCGAGGCCCGTTTCTACCACAAGGTCTTCGAGGACGAGATTGGCCGTGTCAGAGGCCACTTCGGTCCCCTCAACACTGTTGACGTCCACCCCAACGGCACAGCGTATGCCTCCGGTGGTGAGGACGGTTACGTTCGTGTGCACCACTTTGACAAGCCCTACTTTGATTTCATGTACGAGGTCGAGAGAGAGCAGCTGAGGAAGTGAATCGGATGATATCCACAAGCTCTTTGTTTTTCAAGTCATGCATTATCTGTATGAGTCATGAGACGAACGCTTTTTTGCTCATAAAGAAGGAAAAGCCAGGCGCGCCGCGGAAATGGGTAGAAGACCTGGCGGGGTCAAATACAGGGCATGATTTTTTGGTTTCATCTACGGAGTTGGTACCTCTTTTACTATGATTTCTTCTTGTTCTCCGTCATCCTCCCTACCTCGTCCTCTTGCCATCTTAATCAAAAGAATTGCCCTTTTGCTTCTTCCCGTCAGTTCTCTTTCACTGTCCATATTCACTTGAATTATGTGCCCAGGCGGACCAAATACCCTCGTCAGCAATACTATTGATGTCCATTACTCCGTTAGTGCCGATGGGTACCTGATCTGGATGGCTTCAATACGTTGACTTCTTTATGAGAATTGAGCACCTATCGTCCAAAAAATATTCATGGATAGACTTTTCAATCAACATATATGCTGGCCACACTTTCTGCCAATAAAGAATAGCACAAACAATTGACTTTCCAAGATTTTTTTCCGGAGACCCTTGGGTTTACTGCGCCACTGGCCACATTTACCCTGGTAGATGTTGGTTTGCCACCTCTGCTACTCCGGAGCAACCCAGTAACATTCTCGACGCACTGCAATTCCGTAGAGGCCTTTGCAAGGCATTGAAGCATTGCCGTGTCATTTCAGACAGGTTGTCATTTTGGCTAACATTTGAATTATTTTGTCCAAAGATCCGCAGACTAGGCACCAATTCATCTATTGTTCTATATCCATGTGATAGTCTATAGACAACTCGGCGAAACCAGCGCGCAAACCGAAAAGCCTCCAACTTTTGCAATCTGTAATTCCGCCGATGCCATGAGATCCCTCCTATGACGATGAATGTTCAGAAATAAGGATAAAAACGCATAGCGAATCCGTAGAAGCGCCCGAGAAGCAAGTGGTATTTTTATGCCGCGATATATGAATCGTTTCAATGCCAGCCCAGCGCTCTTCCGACCAGCAGAAAACATAAAGATCATAAAAAGGACATAGGTTCTAACTGAAGAAAGGCGTGTCATGACACAAAAGAAAGGACATCAGGAAAAATCAAAAACTTAAGGTTTTCATCTTCCCTAAGAAAAAGGCGTGGGCTCACCCCCGTTTTACTTCTTCTTAGGGAACTTCTCCTTCCCGATGTCCGAGCCTCTGAGCTTGACATTGAGCACACGCTCCATAGCGCTCAGGACCTTCTGGTCGGGCGCCGCCGTACCCCTCTCAAAGTCCTGGATGACTGTGATGGTGGTGTTGCACTTGGTGGCGAGTTCCTTCTGTGTCATCTTGTAGCCCTCCTCGTTTCGGCGCTTCTTGATGGCGTCTGCGACCTGGAGACCGACTGTCTTGGGCTTGACGATATCGTCGCTTCGGTCGACCTTTGTCAGGTGCTGACCCTCCATGGCAGCTGTCTTTCCGGCCTTTTGAGAACGTCAGTAGGGGCTCAATACGGAGAGGGGAGTGAATCCAGAACATACAGCATTGCCAATTGCGTACTTCTTCTCAGTAGCAATGACGAGACCCTGGCGCTGAGCAGCGTTCAGAGCGCTCTTTCCCTTGACTACTGTCTCTCGGGGAGCGGCACCAGCACGGTGCTTGGTTCCGATGCGTGTGACAGAATCCCACTCCTCACTCATTTTGAAGGATGTGTAGCTCGAAGCGTATGGAGGACTTTATGGAGGACGATGTTGGGAATGAGAGAGATGTCCGAGGTGGTGGAGTAGAGGGTGGCGGAGAGATTGATCGCGTGAGGTTGTGACTGAGAAGGAGAGAGTCCACAGAGCCACCGAATTTATACTGATGACACAGAAGCTTCTCGAGCCCTGAGCGGCGCAGTTTAGAGGGGTGTCATGCACTATTCCTCTATGGGACTAGCGCTGCTGACATCATTGCCACTCATTCGGAGTCTCAAAGAGGGTTGGAGATGCTCCGTAAACTAGATAGTCCGGGCCGAGTCAACATACATCTCCAAATCTATCGTCAGAAGTGACATGGCTATCAGTTGGGTATTATAGAACAGTTTCTCTTCTTAGTTACGTTACTTACGGGAGAGAGGGGATTGAGTGCAATCCCATTTAAACTTTTCCTCTTCGCTCATTTTGAACACTCTTTGACTGTACAATAGCCTTAACGCCACCATAAATAGGCCAATATGTGTATGAAAATAATGGTGCATGAACTACTTCAACGTCACACGGTGGAGAGTATGTGACCAAAAACAATTGGCATAGCCCCGTATTCCGTACACAACGGGGCAAAACCAGAATGGCAGGGAAAAATGAAATCTAGCCTAACTGCCTCCGGGGAGGATCGAACTCCCGACCTTGAGATGTCCCAGAAGTGCTGCTTCTGATCATATAGAAGATATGAGACTCACGTGATAACCAACTACACCACAGAGGCGACTATAGTGTACCCAATGCACCAATTTCATACAAGAGAGGTGATCAGGTCGAAATTGATGTCTATTAATCTGATGGGTGATTGCGAAGCGCAGACAACGTGTTTGAGCAGCAATGATCTCAATGCTGTGCGTCCTGATCCACATATTGTTATCAAATCTGATATTTTCATTAAGAATACCTAGGATAGGTTGAGCAAAAAATCCGCCTGAACGCCGTTCCCATGACTGAAGAAGGAACCATTCTCAAAACCCGAAAAGACTCGAGGGATTAACGCTAGAAGATACTATTCACAATGTTGGAACCGATAGTAGCACCGGCACCAAAGATAGCTGAGACATAGTTAGTGACCGCAAACAGAAATCAATGGAGCCACAGTCGACGTACCGGCATTGCCCATCTTCTTTCCGAACTTCTTGCCATGCTCCTCGAACTTGCCGCCCGGTCGCTTTCCATCCGGGGCAGCTGAGCCGGTCTGGCTAACCTCAAGAGGCACATTGCCATAGTTGGTAGGAGGGGGAGACGACACTCCCTTCTCTTCTATTACGTTCACATAGCTGCGAGGGAAGATACCCTCAAGGTTGGTCCGTTCATTACGGCCACGCCACCCTATATCTGTTAGCTTGAGTTTCCTGGCATCGCCTTCAAACCAACGTACAATCAGCGTTCATGTGTTCCAAAACTTGGACACGGTCATGTGGCTGCAGAGCAAGATCACCAGCATCCGTTGGGGTATAAGCATAGAGTGCTGTAGCGACGGACAACACGGGCGCAGCTTGAGGGTAAGCGGGTGGGGGAACAGTGGGGGTCGAGTATTGTTGTTGCTGCAGAGCCGCCTTCTCGTTCAAAGAGCTATTGGCGAACTGCGATGTGGGAGGAGCGTATGATGCCGGGGGAGGTTGAGATTGAGCGACAACCGGTTGTTGCTGTTGTGGCTGAGGAACTGGTGTAGCGGCCTGTTGAGGGGCCTCATTAGGCAGCTGGGCCAGGATCGATGAGAGTTGCTGACGTGTAATGACCGAAGCATCTGCAAGAAACTCGAGCTCCTGAGATATATTAGCAAGGTGTGCGACAGACGTTAAGGAGATGGAGAAACCAGTGCGGCATCATCATACCGATCGGACAGTGCGGAGCGAGCGGTTACTCATTGCGGTCATGAAGCTGCTTTGGGTAGCCATCACGATGCGGATATTGATTTAGAAATGATAAAGGGGGTTACGGCGATGAAAAGGATGGATGGAAATGGGATGGCCGCTGGAGCAGATGTCGACTACAGGAAGGCGTAGTCGATTATCACTAATAATATATGTTTTCAGGAACTCAGGCACACATGGCATTGGACTCGGGAGAGGATGGAGCCGAAACAGAGCCCCAATTTCTATGTATTTTATGGGGCTTGGCAGGCTATGTTACATTGCCATGCCTCCAGAATGCTACTAAGGTAGGTAAACTTGGATGTTTCCATAAATAATAAAACACAATCGTTGATTGAATGCGCAGTGTCATATACATATTACTAAAGCATTGAGAGACTGTACTTCTGGATAAAAGGGTCTGTATTCCGGAACTCTTCTATGCCCTAAATTTCATTGTTCATGCTTGATTTACTGGCTAATGCAGGCATAGACAAGTGTTATGCTGATGACTCCGCCCATACCGTAAGAGAACGTCTCTCTTATTGGGCTGGTGGGATTAATTATTAGATGGAAATACCTTGCTAAAGGACACAGAAGCTGTAATAAATACTTTCAAAACATCTGGATAATGCAAATAGCATAGCTATTGTAGAGATAAATCAATTCGCACCCTCCCTAAGACAAGGGTGTGTATCTTGTTGCCTAATTGGCTTTGCTCCATAACTAAGGTAGAGACAGGTTGTTCCAAAATGTTTCAAAAACATGCTAGGTCAATTAGTCAGGGTACCTGCCAGCTCTCCTCTATATACTGCTGAACTGACTGCGTAGAGAGATTAAGTGTTGGCCAAAGCTGACAAGAAATTGCGGTCATTATTATGACCATAAGTCATAAGTTCATACCAGAGTTACAAACCGACGATCACTTGTATCCTGGGGTTGTGGCTGAACGGTCCGCATCTACTCCGTACCCTTGACATCAATAGCCCCACCATCACTGGTCTGCCGTAGTACGGCTTCGGACTTCGAGATGCACACGAGGTCGTCGATATCGCTCGTGAATCAATACATGGTTAGATACTAACATAAAACAGGGAGTGAGATGTCTTCAAGATGCGTGACCCTTTGCGCAGTATATTTGGAGCACAAACTCTGCTTGTCCACATTTGACAATAGAAGACACCCAAATGAGAAGACTACATCGCCTCTCTGACTAGAACGTGCTTATGCTTCCTGAGCCGATGCAACGACGAGAGCATAGACAAAATTTGAGTCTTTTCTTGAATACAGAGTCTGATAGATATTCTGGGCGCATGCGGCAAGCGAGTTTAACCCCCTGATTGAGGCTAAGCTTCTCACTGAGTGTGCGCCTCAACTCGGAGCGAGGTTTCAGATTACGTCGAGATAAAATCTGGAATATGAGTACAGATTCGCCTTAAGGAGGATGAGTCCTCAGCTATAATGGTGAGCTACCAATGACTCAGCGGATAAGCTGTATCGCGAAGAGGAAGCACCAGGGCAGGTTATACTACAACAAGTACAAAATTCCGAAGGTGCTGAAGATCTTCGGATCTAGTTGGCGAAGCCATCCAAAATTTGGACTAGGGGCCAGCTGCTAAGGAGATTGAAAGTCACTGTCTGTTTTCCTAAAAGCATGTGCAAGACTTCCAGGATGCCATGATCGCAAGGCCATCTCGCAACAGATACAGGTTCGATGAGGTTGAAGAATTTCTATCGATTCGAACCTCAAGAAGCGAGCATCGCCGTCCTCTAGCATTGAAGAATGATTGTCGAAGACACGCCTCTTCTGGAGAATGCCGTGGGAAACAATCGGATGCTGTGAGATCCCTCTAGGGGCCAGTATTGAAGCCTCGATCCAGAATAGCATCACCAAAATCCCTGGACACTTTACCGAAGAGGGTCTGTGATAACTTGGCTCGAGGATCCTATACTTCCACAAAGATCATCTTCCAAATAATGATATTAGGGCGTCCAACAAGTAGACAAGGATGTGCATCCTAGCCACACAAGGAGAGACCCAACTGAGACAGATCAAACAAAGAGAAGCAAGCCAGATTTAGGAAAACAAGTCTCAGCAGCCTCACCTGAAGACAAGTGTGATAGACTGCTGATAATAGGAATAAGATAAGGAGGGAGAAGTAGCTGCACGGAAAGAAGAGGAATCCACTATACTTCATGTCTGTACCAGGAATCCTTTGACTGCTTTGATCAAGCTAACTAGGACTGCACGAGACAATAAGCTGAGACTGTCTACACTTAAGGGTTGTGGTGATGGCAGTCAATTAACTTGCGATGAAGACCTTTCTGTAGCTTGATATTCTAACCTAGCATTTGTTAGCTAATATGTGTGCTAGGTGAAGAATGGCCGCCCTTAATTGTTCTATGGATATAAATATATGTATGTCCTTTACCCCGGATATAACAGACTCTTCAACTACTGGATCCATATAAATAGCAGGAATTTCGATTTCTATCAACCTGATGATTTATTTTGATCTCCTTCAGAGAACAGAAGCCACTTTGTAACTCATAGCGCAGTACAATAACAATACGATAGTCTCTTATTCTCACCTGTTCATCTACCCCACTTCATCCCCCTCCCCTCGCCCAGACTGCCCGCAGTCTCAGCTTAATCTCTCTTGTCATGGCACAGAGTCTTCCACCATTAAGATTGCCGCAATGAAGGACGGGTGGCTCAATGACAGGAAGATACAAATTGCACATGCCGGACAGCTAAAGATGGATTAATCCTGCTCGACTGGGATCTTCTGCAGATCCTATCACAACTCTCCCCACCTAATTCCTCTAAGCGCCGACAGCTTTCAATCCAATCAGAGCAAGGAGATGGCAAGACGACAGATGCTCAGCGGCTACCGATGCCACAGCTGCGTGCTCATATATCTCACCAGTCTGCGCAGTTGATTTATTGAATGGAAATATAGCTGTCAACCAGGTTGCGTGGTCTTTGAAGAAGTCCCTCGCTCAAGCTGAACTGTGTCAGATTGAGTTTGGAAACGACTGACGAATACGAGGATATCCCATTTCGGTAGTGCTTACGTTCCCTTTTAAATTCTTCTCGTCCCCTCTGTTGTCTCGACTGCATCCGTCAGAAAACTACTGAAGAAGAGGAAAACAACGGAAACCATGGCGAGTTCATACCCACCTCCTCCGACTCAAGAGGGCCATTATCCTCGTAAGTACTACTCCAAAGCTGAACGAGACCAATATACATGCTAATACTCTCTGTGATTAAGCCCCTCCAAACTCTGGAGGTATGATAACAAACCGTTTCATGCAATTGGGGGTATAGTCTCATTGATGCTCTATATAGCTTTTCCACCACCTCCCCAGCCGTCACCGGGTTTCCCACCTCAGAACTTCAGCTACCCTCCTCCACCTAAGCAACCGACTGCTGCAAGTCCCCCGCCGGGAGATGTACATGCGGCCGCATATGCGACCAATCCATACGGACAGAGCTCTGTATCACCTCCACCGCAGCCGCAGAGCCACCAGCCGACACTATCTCAATCTTCGAACATGGCTGTGCAAGCCCAGCGGACATCTGTCGGGCCATCTCAGTTCGGCCAGTTCGTGACCTCGACTACCCAGGACGATGTTGGGACATTCAATGGTGGAAGCTACAGGATCAGCCACCGCGACTCGAATTCCCTCCTGACGCTGCAGCTGGCGGTAGGATGTCCGATTGAATCCAAGCCAGGTGAGTGCTATTTGTCCCAGAACCTAGAAGCCGACGAGACTAATGATACGGTTAGGAGCAATGATCGCGATGTCGCACACGATCACACTAAAAGGAAGCGTCAAATTCTCACTGAAGAAGATGTTTGCCGGCGGCGAGATGTCATTGTCCACATACACCGGCCCCGGCGAGCTTCTGCTTGCACCCGCGGCACTCGGTGATATCATTGTGCTGCGCTTATCCGGCTCGGAGGGGTGGAAGGTCGGAAAAGACGCCTTCCTGGCGTCGACTAGCGGCATCTCAAAGGACTATCAAGCGCAAGGGCTCTCGAAGGGTGTCTTCTCCGGAGAGGGATTGTTCGTGTACAAGCTGTCTGGTGTCGGTCTCGTGTGGCTCCAGAGCTTTGGCGCTATCATCAAGAAGGATGTAAGCTACTCTTCCCTTAGCTTCTAGCACCCACTCTCTGGAGATTCTCCTATAACTTACTAACAATGAAACTATCCAGATCGCTGACGGCGAATCCTACTACGTGGATAACGGACACCTCGTCGCCTGGAACTGCAAGTACAAGATGGAGCGTGTCGCCTCAGGAGGTATCATTTCCAATATGAGTTCTGGCGAGGGTCTAGCTTGCCGTTTCACCGGTCCTGGAACCGTGTACCTGCAGACGAGGAACGTCACTGCATTTGCCGCGCATATCGGAGCACATACTGCCAGTAACTAGACAAGGGCGCTTGATGGACGGACAGGAGCAGAGGCTTCTACACTCTCATTCTCTGTAAATTCTCATGTTTGGCGTTGTGATTCCTTGAGCGGATGCTGTTTTGTCTTGATCCATCTTTGCTGGCATTTTTATCTCATTATCCTTACGATAGCCCTTACAGAATGAGAATGAAGTGGTACCCAGACATGCAAGCTTTACTTCTGATCTTCACGTTGTCTCTATTTTCCCATATCCTGCATAACTCACGACATCACATTTCGATACTTTTTCATCATCATCCATGTAGAAGAGGAAGGTTTATACGAAAATGGGGGAAATAAACAGGAAAAAATAAAAGAAAAGTATCTTCCCACAGCTGGCTCCATATAGATCCCCCACCCAGCCATAACCTCGTTTAGCCTTGTCTCTTTCTGCGGCCGACCTGTCCACGGAAACCGGTCTTGATGGCGGCAACCGAACGACGAGAACCACAGGAGTTGCAGGTAACGAAGTACAGACGGTTTTCACCCTTGTTGAGTTCGGTGTCGGGGCTGCGGCAGGTTTTGCAGGTAACATATTCGACTGAAGACTGTCAGCTACTGTATTCAGATCCAAGAGGGGCGAAAAGTAACATACCGATATATCTTCTCAAGACGTTCTCAATCTGCTTCTGCTGGAAACGACCCTTGATGACCAGACGCCTGCTACCGTCGACACTGCCGCTGGTACCCAATTCGGCGAACAAGAACTGCATGACGTGGTCGTCCGAACGCTTCATACGCTTGCAGATATCGGCGATGTTTGCGAAGATGGTACGACGGTTACCTTCACGCAGACACTGAGGAGGAGGAATCTTATACGACTTGGTGCCGCTGGACAGCATGTCGGGGTGGTGGCTCTGGATGAGGGAGAAAAATCGGGAGACGAGGAGCGAGTACGGGATGGCCTGGGTCGCGTCGTGGGCCCAGATACCGGTGCCGGCTTCGAGATCGCCCTCGGGCAACTCGCCCTCCTTCTCCTCGGCAGCGGCCTTCTCTGAGATACCAGCTTCGGCGAGCTTGGCCTCGAAGTCACCAGCATCGACCTTCTTGACCTTCTTCTTCTTCTTTTTCAGGGCAGTGGGATCGAATTCGCCATCGGCGGTGGCAGGGGCGTCGTCGCCTTCACCGGCCTCAGCGTCCTTGGGCTTCTTGGTCTTCTTCTTTTTCGAGAGGCCCTTGAAGAGTTCGGTTACTTCGTCGACTGCGGTGTCTGCTGTGCCTGTTTGGAGTCAGTTCGCCTGCGGCCGCGGGTTTGAGCGAAAGGAAAAATGAAAGCATACCAGCTTCATTCTCGGCTGTGGTGATTTGAGGAGCGGGAGCCTCTGTGACTTCGCCGTTTGTGTCCATGATGACTGCACCTTCACTGAAGGCAACGGATTTGCGTTGCTTTTGAGGAGTGGGCTCGACCTGCTAATGGACCCGATGACAGGTTAGCAAGGTGGAAATAAATTAACAGAGACGATATCCCTCAGAAAGAAAGGGTCTGGCTATTGTTCACTGCCTGACACAGCCAAACGTTACAACTGAAGGTGAGGCGGCAACGTAGTGTGATTAGGCCGATGGGGGGCATGAAATGTGAAGATGTCCGCATTAAAGAAAATGTGGGAGGGCAGAATCGGTAAAGGGAAAACAGGGTGTGACGTACAGCATCCGCCATATTGTATATGTCTTTCTTGCAGCAGTAGGCACTTCCAAATATGATAACAGTCAGGAATAATGTTATCTAGCGGTAAAGACTTGCTTATAAGTAGCCTGACAAGAGGTTGATATATTGATAGAGCCATATCTTTGGGTTCGCGATGGCAATTCTGTTATCGCGGTACAGGCTCACGTGACCGTGAGTCAAATTGCTGTGCTCTTGTATTACCGTAAGGTATTCACGTGACTTGGCTCTCCTGGATGGATTACATCAGGCCTGTCTCTAGATGCCTCTCAAGTATTGGGGTTCCCATCTTGAATATCTCTATCGGTCGGCAACACTTCATGCTGCAATTCTTGTTCAGGCAGTAGGCAGGCCGCTGCTTGATTTCATTATCGGTGTTTTATTTCGCTCATTAACCTGTCCTGTCTCCCCAACCTAAGTCAATTTCACCATGTCGTACTCCTCACCCTCTGCCTCTAATCCGTCCCTCGCTACGTCTGCCTACATGGTGTCTTCGGTAGACAGGTACACGTCCGGCTCAGACGATGAGATTGCATCCCTTCCATCTGAGTCTACCACCGCTTCAGACCTAGACACACTTTCAGATGACTACTCAGATGCCGAGGAGGAGTGGAGAGAAAGCATTGAGCAGTTGGAATTACTATTGACCATGGTCATCGTCCCGTTTATCGGGAAGTATCTGGGAAGGAGATGCGCTTATTGGGGTACGCCGGTCGACTTCTACAGCTTGCAAACAAGACTGACATGAGTGATGTAGGCTGGACTCGCTTTATGGAATGGAAATACCCCGTCGAAGTCGTCATGACCAACAAGGCAGCCTTCAGAGGAGCCGGTGTCGTTGAGGCTTTGTCTCCACTGTGAGCGTCTTGACAAAGTCAAGCGATCATAACAATTCGATCTGCGGTTGCGGTCGTACCATGGACGGAGACGCACTGTCGTGATACCCGCAGTCCTCGGGGAGCCTCTGCGAAGAGCAGCAGCAGCTTCCATCTCCGGAGGTCGTTGCATCATTCCGCGATGGCGGCTCTCTGGTTACATTCAAAACGAGAGAAGCTTTACCTCGCAGCGTAGGAGTTAGGGAACTTGTCCGATGAGCTGCATCTGGATCCGAGTACAGTATTTATGTAAATATAGTCAGAGGCACACTACCAAGTTTCATTTTATACCCAATCAAACCATTTGCCTATTTGACGAGCTCGCGAGGTTCAGAGAGTGGACTATACTCCGTGGTCGTATGAGCGTTGCGAACTGTCGGACCAACAGCCAGATGGCCGAATATCCATATGACTGCTTCCATCAAGTCTGGAACGACGCCAATACATCAATGAAGTCTAAGAGGAGTGCTTGAGTATTGAGTGTTTAGTCTAGAAGGAAAAGAAAAATAGGTGGAAAAATATGTCGCCATGCAACGGCCGTCAACCAATCTTAATTATCTCGATAGGCGAGATGAAGACGAAACTGAGAGACAAGCAAAAAGCACTAATAAATTCCATCATCATGAACTTGTGCGTCATTCACGCTCAAGAAATGCGATAAAAGAGCCCGGCATGATCATTTTCATAATCGTATCTCATAACTTATCTGGCGGAAAAGGTACGGAGAGAAACGAGCTAGGTATTTTCGACTGAGGCATTTAAGCAGCGTTATTCGAGGGACGCCACTCTGGAGGGAAATTAGTGATTATTCGGAAGGACAGCAATCGGTTCTACTCACCGCCGCCACCGCCGTAACCCCGGCCACCTCCATAACGTTGGCCACCTGTAACACTTGTCAGAATTCAGATTCATTGAACAATTTGATGTGAGTACATACCGTTTCCGGGAGCACCCTCGGACTGGTTGTAGCCACCACGGCCGTGGAAGCCACCGTTGTTACGGGCAGGGCGTTCAGAGGCCTTGTCAACACGAATGGTGCGTCCATCGAACCTATATGCGTCATTTGTTAGTGCTTCTGCGACGAGAGGTACGGTTCAATAGAGTACAGTTGAAGCACTCAGGTATAATCAAGGATCTGAAGAGATTTGGGAAAGCTTACTCCTGGTTGTTCATAGCGTCCATGGCAGCATCAGCGTCGGCGTCGTTGCTGAAACGGACGAAACCGAAACCACGGCTGCGGTTGGTGTCACGATCCTTGACAACGATCTGCGTGTCGTGAAAGAGTCATTAGTATGGTATGGTAAGGTAGTAACAATCAAAAAGATGGTGTGATAATGAACAATGAGAGGAAAAGGGTACTACTAACAGCTTCTTCAACCACGCCGTACTGCTCGAAACCCTGACGAAGGGAGTCATCAGTGGTGTGCCATGCGAGGCCGCTATTGAAACGTTAATTGAGAAAATGCGTTTGAGTTTTGACGTAGAATGAAAACACACCCGATGAAAAGCTTAGACATGTCGAAGGTTGAATGAAACTGTTTAGTTGAATTAGTACTGAGATACAGTGATAGTTTTCCGAAGATCAAGGTGATCGAAATAGGTGGATGAAAAGGAAGAAGAGGAGGGGAAGAAATAAGGAGTAGAAAATTTCTCCCTTTTCTGAAAGAAATTTTTTCACAGGTAATCTGACTGCGGCTGTGCCTGAGGATGTCGCTGGTCTGTGAAACAACCAGAGCATACAGCAAGACAAGGGACACTCACAGTAGAAACTTTTGTTGCTGAAAGACAACGAGTGTTAATATCACAGGTGGTTTAGATGAGGAGGAAGGGTATTCTCACAGTTTGATAAGACAAGAAGAGTAGTGGATTAGCTGTGCAGAACTTGCGAAGTGGGAGAATGGAAGGGAGGACTGGAGGAGGTGTAGCAAAGATGCAAAGCGGGGGTTACTGATTACTACTCCTACGGGCTACTAACTATGGTACTCGGCAATTTTATTATTTTTTCCTTCATAGCAATTATAAACTGATAAGCGGGAGCCATTATATTACCATTATTCTATTAATGCATGACAAGCGCACAAAGGCAGCAGTCTAAGGACGCTAGAGTATGGCCACTGACCTGAGAGCTGATGCGCACCTCCGTCCCCCTCATTGGGAAATCAGCAGCCCATCTGCAGCGTTTACGCAGTAGCAGGTGGGAACCCTAAGAGTCACGAAATCCGTGCTTGAAAGAGTCGGTGACTCGAACGCGGTTCTGGGGATAGGAGCGTTTCGATTTTGAGAAGATACTTTCTAGTCCCTCATTTGTCGTACCATGGGTGGTATCTCACCCTGTACCTCGCATATGATCCTACATTAGCCGGAGTTTGTCCATCCTTGTCTATGTACACTTTTCTGCAGAAGGTAGCATCTCCTAGGATTGCGCTCTTTCTCATCTCAGAACGTGATGCAGTATGGTACAGTATGCTGTAGTCCATCCCGAATCTTCAAAGGCCCAGTGAATTTTTTGTTGAATTGTGGAGGTCTTTGATGAGATTGGTGAAACTTTGCCTCCCCGTTGGGAAAGAGTAAAACAGTAAAAATATTAAAAAAATTAAAATTAAAATTAAGGGGAAAAAAAGAGGAAAGGGGTGGGGAAGGGGAGGGCAAAAAGGAAAAAAAAATTTGAAAAATTGGACAAGATCGCCATTGCTTGATTGTTTTACTGAAAAGCTACGGCCTAGTCTAAGTGTAGCAATAATAATGTGTAGCACGCAAGAATGTCAGTCACATCTCACAATCACTGTGAGCCGGCAGATTGTCGTTTTGGTTGGTCAGCTTGCAGTTGACACGGGTGCCAAGAAGAGCCAGATACTCCTATTAGAGCAAGTGATATGATAAATTGCTGCTCCCTTTGCCCCTCCTCACACTACGGGTGCAAAAGTATTCGACCACCCCTACCTTACCGCCCACTATTCTGCTGGCAGAAAACCACGGAACGCGTACATATCCATTACTTCCATAGGATATCAACAACCAAAATGGGCCGTGAAGGCAAAGAATAACTGGGTGAAGGGCAGTTATAGAGGCAGATAGTTGGTATACAAAATATTAGTTATAATGCAAACAAAATCCTTCCTAATTAGGTCTAGCTAATAGTAGGCGGTAAGGTAGGGGTGGTCGAATCCTTTTTGCACCCCACAGTAGTATCGAAGCTGATCTCCGATCCAACCACTTTATATCACTTAGATGGAAGAGGCCAAACAACGAAAGTTTGGAGAGGAGGGGCAGAATTGGAGAATTGATCCACATGTGCCTGGTTATCAACTTATCTAGGCTCATGCCTTGATAGGAAATATAAGCGAGACGATTGGAACCCACCTTGGCTTAGTACTTCGTAGATAGACTAGCTTTATCGGACTATGTACCTCTCTAGATGCATAAGAAGAGTATTATGTCTTGTCTGAATCTCAATGTGATGGGGTCAATATGTTGATGTTCTTTGCCATGACTAAAACTCACACATGCTTCTTTGGTACCTGGATGGCCCAAGACAGCTGGCGAGGAAGCTACTGCCTGAGCCATGATTTCCCGTTATGGAACAGATGCAAATAGACAATCATTCATCGTCGATGTCGTCAACTCCAGAAACAAAAGCTTGCGAGCCGACATGATCCTACTGGCAACAAGCTCAGCGCAACGATCAGCCTCAATCTGAGCACAGCTATATACATGCGTCAATCCTCGCGAAGACATCGTCACCTGGCACCAGATGCCCAGGGATTGATTCTCAAATGGCTTCTTGAACGGGAGAACTCGCCGAGGACTTATACAAACCATCATGTCTCGGGTCCTGCAGAAGGTGATTTTTATCCATGTCGCCCAGAAGTATTTCCCTAGGGACCATTTTTCGCTGACTGATTCCTGTTTATCATTGACGAAGCGACTCGAACGAAGAGCCAGCAATACTGCAGCAGTGGGCTTCCTATCACGCAGTCTGCATCAACGCCTCCGAGAAGGGCCCTGTGCGAAGGAAGCTCCTTTGCTCAACGTTCCCCTCCTTTGAACCGTATCAGATGGTCACCCTATCCTGGAAGGCATCCTGTTAAAAAAGGGACAATTACCGAAAAGGGAAGCAAAGGTGGATTCGAACGCAAACCACGAAATAAGACCAGAGAAGACCGTTACGAGTACAAGGGCTCAATCTCTCGAATACAGCGAAAGCAATCGCCGACACAAGCGAGAAAGTCATCAAAGCAGGTTAGGAGACATACAATCAATGACAACTTCCATGCTTCCAATGTCCCACGAGATCGATTAACAGTATGCATTGTACTCCAGTAATCAAGGGACCCATTGCTGACGGTTTGAACAGCTACATTCGCACCTAGATCTGGGTATTTTCAGAAGAGGGAAAACCTCATCACCAGTGAAAGCCGGCGAGCTTCGACATTTACCCCATTTCTCGGGGATTCGCAAGCTGGTAAACCGAGGTCGAGTGCCTGAGAAGGGGTTTTCAGAGACAAGATTCTTGAGCAAGAAATTAGGGAGCGATAGCAGAAGATACACAAACCATCAGAGTCCGAACAACAAGAGGAAGGCTCGAGCAAACTCCGAGGATTCTCAACTACTCATTTCGAGCTACTTTCCACTTGGCTCACTCGAAGATGACTCTCGTATGCACGGTTTCAAGATGGAGGCAAGCGGTATCTTGTTGCATTCATCTCCGAACTTACAACAACAATCCCCGGCAGACTGCAGCGTGCGCGGCATAGCAGCGAAGAGGCATGCCGCTGTTGCCGTTCAATCTCCAGCTGATCAGCCTAAGCACTCCAGAGCGTACCATCCTGATGTTCAAGGGTGCGAACTCTCTTTGTCATCAACACCTACAAGTATTTCGTGCAATGAACACGCCGCATTCTTGTCTGAAAGCTGGTCAGAGTTTTACATGAGACAGCTTCTGCATTTCGATTTGAGCTCACAAGACAAGGACAAAGACGAGTCTACCCATCCAGTTAGAAAGTACTGGAAATTGGAGGACCTGAAGCTTCTGCTACAGGAGCGGGATAAGTTCCGGCAACAAGAGACGGGCCCCCAAGTTGTCTCAGAAAGGTCATTCTCAGGTAGCAGACGCAACAGTGGCAAAGCAAGCTCTATCTATAAATTGGAGGACGCTGATGAAGATCATTCAAAGCAACTGAAACAAACGGTGTTATTGGAAGAGATGGGAAATGGTTTCGTTGAGGATAACGCAAGCCTAGACACGAAATTTATTTTTCCTGCCCCTCTTGATAAGGGTCTCAACGACGAGCCAGATTTTCAGCACACTTCTAATGCGCCTCTAGCGAGACCCAGGAAGACGACACTGGCTAATAGGAGCAATGCTGGCCCGAAGGAAGCCTTTGACTCGGGCTCTGACACATGGAAATGCCCCGAGTATCCTACCAAAACCCAAGCTGAGCGCTTCTCCTCCTCGGTATTTCAAGCCGGATCGTTTGAACAAGAGGCCGACCCCCAGCTCGCTTCAGGAACAGGAAGGGACAAAGTTGATGACGACATGATCATGTTCTTTGCTGAGGAAGCCCAACTTCAGGATGATATTTATGATTGCTTTGCCACGCAGGCGCTCGATGCGGCAGCACATGACGTGATCATGCATCCAGAAGAAGATACGTTGGAATGTGTGTGGGACTATGCAATGCGGATTCCTCTGAGTGCTGACAGTTTCGAAAACACCCAAGTCGCTCAAGACGTCCTTCAAAATCGTGTCCTGGTGGATGAAGCATCGCTACGTTGTCCATGGGAGACTGTACCATGTCCGTCGCATGGTGTTCTATCCTCACATGGAATGGAACGAGGGTTGATTGATATTCCCAGGGATTTTTGGCGGCAGAACAGGTTATATTGATTGTGGCTTGGTACCAGTTCGCATCAGCTTGCTTGGGAGAAATATCGTTGGTACCGATTGGTAACCGCTGATTTTGAAATATATATCTAAAACTGAGCGCTATGATAGCATTTGAAGCTTTACACATCCGTATCTTGTTCCTTCTCTTTCTTCTTCTTTCCCTACTTGCAATTCTACTTCTCAGTGACGGGGATCTTTCATTCAGGAGAAGGCCCAAATCTTTATCGAAGGTGGTCGAGTGTAGAGTCCAACAGACCTTCAGTCGGGTACGGGTACATGTATATACCCAATGTATACCGTCTATTCTATCTAATCATCATGTATAGCCGTCATCTGTACATAAGTTTGCACACTATTCGATCTGCGAATCCCTATGCGCCTCGGCCCAAGACGCTTCGAGGGATTCCTTCACATCTCTCTCCGCAGCCGCCTGTTCGGCTGTCGCTTCCTCCGTGCTCTCAATCGCCTTGACCCGTCGTACCAGGTCAGTGACATGCATATCAGCACTCCCGAGCCCTAGCCCCTCTAACGCTTTCTCGAGCAGGTACAGATACTCGGTGTTCTTCCCGCTCTGGCCACGCCCGCAGCTAATCACCTCCGCGACATCCTGCGGTTCGCGCCGAGCCGGATCGCGCAGGAATTGCGGATTGCTAGGCTGCCCGATGTACACCATGCAAGTGATTGGTGCGGCGTGCGCCTGCGATGGCGACTGTGTCTCCGGCACCGCATCCGTCCCGGGGCCTTGGAGACGGTGGATGCGGAGACGGCAGATATGGGATGAAAGGGGTGTAGTGGACGGTGTAGCCGTCTATTTCCCGTTCGTCGAGGTAGTCGTGGACTTCCTCGGCATGAGAGGCGGGGATGTGGTATGCTGCGCCCCAGACGCGGGCTGTTGAGGATTCAAGATGTGCGTGCTGTTCGGTTAGACGCTGACTTGAGGTAACTTGTGAGAAAGAGACTCACCGGGTCGTCTAGGGTTTCCCAGAAACCCCGTTCGATGACTGTTACCACCCGACCTGGCGCTTCTGGGGTGCCGCGATGGTCGGTACTACGGTTATCAGCGATATCTCGGCAATATATGTATTTTGGGAGTGTTTACCTGGCCTAATGAATGTTAGAGACAATTAGAGAACGAACGGGTGCCTCTGGTTAAGCACAAACCTGCCAGAAGCGTCGGACATATCCATCGATATAGCCTGGAACTCGCTGGTCTGTACCAGAATTAGAGACAGAGGCCAATGTATGGTTTGACAGATGATACACACCATAGTGTGGTGGTGGCTTCCAAATGAGACTCCTTTACGACGAGTCAGCCTTAAATGCAGTTGGATTGGACCCGAAGGAGCATGACTTACCCATAACCAAATACCCAAAGGTCACCGTCGGGAAAGTAGTTGCGCCATGTTCGGCCAGCTGGCGGACTTTGAGTCGTTTCTGGAGTGGTCATATCTGCTGAGCCCCCAGAGTAGCTCGAACGATGTCCAACACACTTCTATAGATGAAGTTCGGGAAAAAGGATGGTATCTAAGCCGATGACCCCTGCCTCCGATCACACACGACACAGAAGACCTAGCGAGCGATCAAACCGTATTTAAGGCAATTTTTTTTTTTTTTTTTCAGATGATCTCAGTAACATTTCAAGTATCTCAAAAAAAAGAGGGTATGTTGACTGAGATGTCGATAGAATGGCGACAGTTTAATGCCAGATTATACAAGACGCGCTCAGTGTTTGCAATGTTTGTCTCCTCTCGCTCTACAGTCCGTCAGAGTCGATAATCAACCAGAAGTCCTCCAGATGGAACTGCTCTGGGAGCCACTACCAGTCTTTCCAAGGAGCGCTTTTGCATCACACCGCGGCCCTCTTTTGTTCTAAATGGCTAGTGGTATGCCAGCCCCGAGTTGAATGGAAATCACATCCATGGCAGAAACTGATCCAGCCGCTCCCTGCCACATTGTTCATTGATTCAACATCCTTCCCCGAGTCGACGACATCCCTCAGTCCGGAGCGGTTCTTCCTGCTAGCCATATTATCTCTAAGGTACTCAGGAAGGAGTGACGGACTAACGCGGTCTATCTCGTAACTTTCTAAGTGGGCTGCCGAGAACGCCACGGCGAGCTCAAGCAATTGACTAATTATTGGCTTTCTCCTGTCTTGTACACAGACTTATGAGGTTACAGACTGCTCTATCTCTTATACCAGGTAAGTTCAAAATGTTGCAATAATTAAGTGGCTCTTTCTTGTCAAATATTGGTTGATATTCTACCTTCCTGCTTACCATAACAAGTTTGAGCGTTGAACTGATAATATAGGTCAAAATCTGCTCGCTGAAGCGCTTTGTTATCAGCAGCTTGCCAAATTTACCTGCTGTATAAGGTCATGTAGCTCAAGGTTGCTTTTCTAGCTCAGAGCAATATATATCATTCTGATACGCCGACATCAGCAACATAGCCTTATTTTCTTCAAGTTGCTATCATCATTAAGGCTGGCCTTTTCGCCTTCTGCAAATGTCGTCCCCAGAAAGCCAGACCGGAATTTCCTTTGCAGGCAAAACGGTGGTCCTGACTGGGGCATCCTCTGGGCTCGGATTCGAGGCTGCCATCAAACTGCTCAATCTCGGTGTCGACTCCCTTGTTATTGGCATTCGCAACCTGGAGCGAGGAGAAGCGACAAAAGCTGAGCTGGAGCTGCGCACCAACAGACCAGGGGTAATCCATGTCTGGGAATTGGACATGAGCAGTTTTCAAAGCGTCATGCATTTCGCAGCTCGCGTCAACGCAGAGATCAAGCGGCTGGACATTGTATTACTCAATGCGGGATTGTGGAATCGAAGTTACACAGCGTCACCTGATGGATGGGAGGAGACGTTGCAGGTCAACACACTGTCCACTTCGTTGCTGGCGATTCTGCTTCTTCCTAAACTCCGGAGTAGCTCGTCTCCTGAAAGCCCCAGTCACTTGAGTGTGGTATCAAGCAAACTGTTTACCAGAGTAAAAGTGGACAGTCTCCGGACTGAAGGCTCACTGCTGGAACATCTCAATGACCCCCGGCGCTTTACTGGGCCCCAGCAATACCGGATCTCGAAGCTCTTGATGGAGTATGTCCTCAAGACGGTGGCGCTACACGCGCGTGAGGAGAATGGTTCAGTCCCAGTGATTGTCAACACTGTCAGTCCTGGGTTCTGTGCGTCCTCTCTGGGACGGCAGTACGACCGATTCTACGAGCGATGGATGATGTGGTTAGTATATAAGCTCTTTGCTCGCACGGCGGAACAGGGGAGCCGGTCTCTGGTCAGTGCAACTTATCAAGGAGTCGAGTCACATGGGAAGTGCTGGAGAAATGATGGTTATGTGGAGTAAGCATATGGCCAATCTTTGTCCATATGTACTACGCTAATAGATATACAGTGAATCGGCTGCTTTGACCACGGGGGAAGAGGGCAAACAACTTCAAGCCAAAGCGTTTGAGGAAATATTTCAAGTCCTTAGGCATTCGGCTCCAGAGGTTGAAGAAATGATCAAGAAATCGTAATGAAGTGTCAATATATGGTCTGCAAAATAGAGGATCCACCCTGATATCAGCCAGCAAAAGTTACATATAACTGGTGGGCCGTTACCGTCACCCAGGACTGGAAGGGCTGAACGTCACCTTGCCGTCCAAAGAGGAAAAAACAACCCATGGTGGTTTGTCATTTGCTACGGGAATTACATTGGAAGCTCGGGAAGAATTTAGATAACATACTCTCAGAGGTCATCTTCTGGATCCCAATGTTAAATTCATCCCGTAAATCTATTATTTTGCTCATATCTTGGCAATCAACGGACTCAGAGATTGCCCCACGGCACCGCTTTCACTTTTACTATACGAGTACGACGAAAGAGCTAAAAGATAGCCCAAGTCGCACCTGAACTTACTCCGAACTCCTGAATCACCTTCCATCTATCTACTTCATCTTCCTCATTTATCTTCTCTATGAAGACGTGGATGTCTTGAATTCTCCCCGTCTTTTTGAATAGGAGCGCTCTCCTCCGTGTCCCTCACTGTTCCCGCCCTCTGTTACACCCAGGCTACCATGGCTTACAACAAGTCCTACAACCCCGATGCGCTGCCAGCGTAAGTGATTGTGAATGATGAGGTGACTCTGTGTCTGACTGACCGAGGAGGGCAGGCATGCTGAACCGGAACAAGTACGAACAAACTGCCGTCAGACAGATGTCCCACCCCCGCGACTGACTAGCAGCAGGTCGCCCAGTTGATCGGCTCGATGCAAGTATCCTCGCAACCGCAGGCTCAGCGACCTCCTCGAACATCGTCTCATGCTCCGCCCGGCGGTCACCCTCAGCGAGTTCCCGCCACGAACGCTCAGATCAACAAGCCCCTACCTGCGACCGGGCCGCCACCCACAAACCATGCGCGTCCGCATCCCCTCCACCCCTCGCCTCCACCCCAAAACTACGGCTTCGGGCCCCCTCCCTCGCAGCCCGTACGCAATCGTCCTTCCCCAGTGTCGCGTCCACCTCAATCCCCCATCCGCCTCCCCTGTCCGCACCGCACGATGACCCCCAGCAGCTCTTCCCACTCTTCCGCGCGGCCAATGCCTCGCACTCGGGTGCTCTGACCGAGATGGAGCTCGGATCCGCCCTCGTAAACGGCGACTATACCTCTTTCCATCCCAAGACGGTCAAGATGATGATCCGCATGTTCGACCGGAACAGCAGCGGGACCATCTCGTTCGACGAGTTCGTAGCGCTGTGGCGGTTTCTCGCTGCGTGGCGGGAGCTCTTTGACCGGTTTGACGAGGATCGCAGTGGGCGCATCAGTCTGCAGGAGTTTGAGAAAGCGCTGGTTGCGTTCGGGTATAGGCTCAGCCAGCCATTTGTCACGGTGCTCTTTACCACGTTTGAGAGCAAGAGGCAACAAATAAACGGGGGACATGGACCGGCCAAGGATGGGATGAGCTTCGATCTCTTTGTGCAGGCGTGTATCAGTCTGAGACGGATGACGGACGTGTTCAAGCGGTATGACGAGGATCGGGACGGGTATATCACACTGAGCTTTGAGGAGTTTTTGACTGGTAAGTGGCTCTTCGAGCAGTCTGGTCTGATCGATTGACTGACTGACTGATGATGCGATATCGTGCAGAGATCTTACCGTTACAGGACTAGAGAGGCATGGGTGGACTGTGCATTGTGTGTACATGATTATTCTGTGTTTTGAAAGTGTGTTTGACTTCTTGTGTTTTTATGCTTCTTTTCCCCCCTACATACATTATACCCCTGAATCAATCATTGAAGCCATGATACAGCTCGTCACAACCTCAATGGTTGTCTCACTGATGCTGTGCTCCCGTGCCAAGGAATGCTTGATATTAGACATTGCATATGACGCTTGAGGAAAATAAAAAGAAAAAGAAAAGAGCTCGGAGAATAAATTATTTTAAATTGTTCTATCAAATCACATCTTCATCTACTTTAAAGACTTCTGCCTAGTTCTATTGCGAAAAGCGTTGCACGTCAATTGTTAAGAGACTTGTGAATGATATCCTAAACTCCATGTAGTATGGATATCCACATTCTTTCCATTAACAATCATTCTCCAACCGTTCGTGTCATCAAACAGATCGTATTCGGACATCCGGGTATGACTCAATGACCATCATGAAGGAGAAAATATGTCCTAGTTGTTGGAGACTAAACACGTTATCGGCCATCGCGTCGGAGTCGGAGTCGCATAAGTTCGTTAACGCCGACACTCTACCACTCTACACTAGCGGTTGGCTTCTTTTAAGGCTTCAAGACTCGAGGCTTCAGTAGTTAAGACTGCAAGTGACGCTGGTTTCTTCTTCACCTTGATCTAAATCACTGAACTTGTCTTCGAGTGAAGCTATCCCCCATTGGCAGTCCGTCATTGTGCCGAACGACCATCAACGAAATCTTCTCTTCTGTATTTTTATTTTTTCTAAGCTCGGCTTTACCCGAAACTTTTCCAACTACTCGTATTCTCTTGCTACTTTCCCCGCTGCCAAGTCAAGGCGACTGGAGTAGATAGTCGTCAGATTCCTTTTTCTCTGCTCGTCCGATTCTGCTCAGATCATGACAGTAGACAGGGAGAAAGATCATGACTACGAGAACGATAACAACAGCAGTTTAACCATGTCGGACAAAATTTCGCGCTCTGGGGAGGACAACTCGGAGAAGTCCGCCACTATGACGCCTCCGTCAATTGGGGATGATCAACTGCCCGTCAACAACTCAGATCACCCATCCCATGAGAAATCTGACGGAAAAGATGTTGAGAAAGATGGCGCGCCGTTGGACCGGACGCACTCTCAGGCGCAGAAGTTGGGGAAGAAGAAGATTCTGATTATCATGCCTGCGCTTTGTGTATGCTTTCTCTCTAGATATTGACATAGGACTGTACTGACGATGTCTAGTTGGTATTGTTCCTGGCCGCTTTGGATATGGTACGTTTAACTCATATTGAGTATTCACAGAAGATGAGACTGACTTGTCTAGACAATCGTCTCAACGGCCCTTCCAACCATGGCTGCCCAGTTCCACGCCTCGGAAAGTGGTTATTCATGGATGGCTTCCTCGTATTTGCTCGCCAATGCGGCCTGCATCACCCTCTGGGGCAAGATCAGTGACATCTGGGGCCGTAAGCCGATACTACTTATGGCCAACGTTGTGTTCCTTGTTGGCAGTCTGATTTGCGCTCTTGCGGTCAACATGACCATGATGCTAGTTGGACGAGCGATCCAGGGTGCAGGGGGTGGTGGTATCATTGTCTTGGTCAATATTTGTGTTACTGATTTGTTCAGCGTTAGGTAGGCTGAACCTCTTTTTTTGCTTTCGACTACTCAGTGCTGACTCTTCAAGGGAACGGCCGATGTACTATGGTCTTTTCGGTATGACGTGGGCCATCGCGGGTGCTCTAGGCCCCATTATCGGAGGCGCCTTTACGACTGCTGTGACCTGGCGGTGGTGTTTCTACCTGAACTGTACGTATAACTTCGTTGGCCTGTGGTGAAACCAAGCTGATTTGCTCAGTACCTGTCGGTGGCGTCTCCTTGGCAATCCTCGTCTTCTTCCTCAAGCTCGAATCCGGTGGCACGCCGCTGTTGGAAGGCCTCCGGGCTATCGATTGGTCTGGCACTGTCCTCATCATCGGAGGCACGCTCATGTTCCTCTTCGGGCTGGAGTTCGGCGGCGTCAACTACCCCTGGGCCTCGGCCACAGTCATCTGCCTGATCATCTTTGGCGTGGTGGTCTGGGTCCTAGCGATGCTCAACGAGTGGAAGCTCGCCAAGTATCCTCTGATCCCTGTGCGACTTTTCAAAAACTGGCACAACCGTCTCGTCCTCATCGTCTGCTTCTGCCATGCCTTTGTCTTCATTGCCGGCTCCTACTACCTCCCGCTCTACTTCCAGACCGTGCTGCAGGCCAGCCCGATCCTCAGCGGCGTCTACGTCCTCCCCCTTGTTCTCAGCCTCTCCGTCGTCTCCGCAGGCACAGGCATCATCATCAAAAAGACAGGCCGCTACCGCGAGCTGATCATCGGCGGCCTGGGTCTCATGACCCTTGGCTTCGGCCTTCTCATCGACCTCAAATACTACGCCTCCTGGCCCCGCATCATCATCTACCAGATCATCGCCGGCGTAGGCGTCGGGCCCCTCTTCCAGGCTCCCCTCGTCGCCTTCCAAGCCAACATCCACCGCTCCGACATGGCAACCGCCACCGCAACCTTCGCTTTCCTTCGCCAGGCCTCCTCCGCCATCGCTGTCGTCCTGGGCACAGTCGTCTACCAGAACGTTCTCGCGCGCCAACTGCCCGCCATCGAGGCTGCCACAAGCCCCGGAACGGCAGCCACAATCACCGGCTCCTTCGCCGGCTCCACCAGCTCGCTCGTCAAAACTCTCCCTGAGTCTGCCCGCATCGTCGTACTCAAGGCCTTCACGCACAGCCTGAGCAGGCTGTGGATCTTCTACACGGCTGTCGGCGGCTTCGGCTTCGTCGTCAGTCTCTTCATCCGGCCCGTCGAGCTGAGCAAGGCGCACACCTTTACGAAGACCGGCTTGGCGGAGCAGGAGCGCGCCCGGAAGGAGATCCTCGAGGAGCAGAAGGCCGAGGCTGCAGCTGCGGCCGCGGCCAAGCGGACGGATCCGTCGCCAAAGGCGGAGGTATAACCCGCCTTCCTAGCTTTCTTCATTGTTTTTTTTTCTCGAATGTGTATACTTAGATTTAATGTACAAAGTCGGTAATTGGGATTGTGCATGGCATGCTGTGTTTTGTGTTCCATGCGCGGTGCGTACATAGTGCTTTTGCATTACACTCTCCAAAAATCAAGCACCTAATAGAGCGTACCTTCATACATCAGAATCTCTGCTTTCAGTAGGACGGCTGTGATTACTGGCTGTAAAAGTCGGAGGAGAGTGCTACGTACTCAAGAGATCCATACAGGAGCCTCGCAGCTCAAACAATTCTTTACCTAATTAGTACAAGCAAATACGAATCACATTCCCAAGTTCTTCCAGAAAACGCACTGGAGCCGTATCAACAGCAAGAGGACCAGAAAAAAAGGAAAGGGGTATAAGCTACCAACAAATCCAAACTGTGACAAATGAGAGGTGACAGCAAAAGGAAAAGAGAAAAAAAAAAAAAGAAAGATGAGCCCTTGAAGCCATCGCAATATTCAAGAAAGTAAAGAAAATAAAAAAGCCCCAACGCCCTAAAATGCCTTAGGTGAAACACGATTTTAAGATAAATCAAATTGCAAGTCCAGTCCAACGAGCAATCAAGTCTTGGATTTCTTCGCTGTTCCCTCGACGCTAGGACCGCTGTCGGGACTTTTGCGCTTCTTCTCCTGTTCATCTTCGCGCGTGAACCCTGGACCGGTCTGAACCGCTGGAGTGGGGAAGGTCAGAGGACTAGGCAGCATATTCGTATCGGGACCGGACCTGCCGAACCCCCATTCCGGGAAGAAACTCGACGGCGATGGAAGAAGAGCATCAGACACAAATCGACTGGGCAGAGCAGATATCGGCGTCTCTATATTGTTGTTGCTGTTGTACGCGTTGCTGTTCTGGCTTGCAGTTCCCGGCGGCGGTGGCCGAGCGAAGGGATTTGGGGGCCCTGTGGCGCCTGCGCTCAGGATTGCACCAGCAGATGGCGACGGTGGAGGGAGAACCACGCCGGAGTGATTGGTGTCTGGATTAGCTTTGGCAGGAGTCATGGTCTTGTTGCCGGTGGACGCCGAAGAATCTGCTGTAGCACTTCCCCGGTCAGAATTTTCGCTTGGTATTTGCACCTTGAGTTGTGGGCGCTTCGAGGGCAGTTGACCACTATTCGTCCGTGGCGGTGGCTTAATATCAGGAGCTGACTGAGACCGCGCCGCGTCGGCTGTGGTCCTAGGCGGGGGTGGAGGCGCAACAGATTGAGCGGGTGGCTTGATTTCTTTCGAGTCATTCTGTTTTGATTCTGTCTTGACGTCTGTACTCTCAGTGCGTGGAGACTCGCATGTAGGCGGGCCGAGTCCGAAGTGACGGGCCAGAACGGAGCCGCGGTCATCGATCGGCGTGAAGATACTGCGCGATTTCGAGGACAACGATCGCTGGTGCGGGGGAGAGGGACTTGTTTCCACCTTCAAAGGACCAACCATCTGATCTGCCGAGGAAGCATCGGGTAGGGACACCGGCCGAGGCGGTTGCGACTGTTCTGTCGGAAACGCCGGGGGCATCGAGTTTCTCCCTTGTTCAGGCAAGAAAGGCTGCGCGACCTGTGGCATTGACGCATGTGGCGGTTGCGAGAGTCCCATCGCAGGTGTCTGCTGAGCAAGCGGATGTGGATGCTGGGGGAGATGCTGCGGGGCTTGATGGTGCGGCGGGACTGGTTGAGGCATGGTATGTGGAGGCATAGCGTGCGGTGGTAGTGGCTGTTGCGGTCCATAGTGTGCGAATTGGGGTGGCCGCGGTTGTTGGGCCATGTTGGGGTTGGCATTGGGATGATACATCGAGGGATTGGGAATATATGCGAACCCATTCTGTGGAGGAGGCGGTGGAGTTCCATGATGTTGCTGCGGGCCCAGATTCGAACTCACGCGTCGAAGATGGTTTCTTGAGGATGGTCTCGAAGCGCCTTGAGGTTGCGGAGTGCCATGTCGCGGGTCAAAGGATATTCCATTAGAAATGGGCGGGGAGGCAGACGGTGCGTGGTTGACGTGCTGAAAACCGGGATGGCTAGGGATGTGAGCTGGAACCACAGCAGGTGGGTTCTGGGTTGAAGGTTGCATCTCTTCCGGAGCAGGAGTGGTTTCATCCTCGTCATCATCATCGTCCCTTTTCCCATTGAAGTCCTCGGGGCCTTTATGTTCGTGCGGCGGGCCGTACTGATATTCATGTCAACGTACTTGAAATTATGCGGATAATGGATGGAACGCACATATTGATATCGACCCAATGTCTCTCGCATATCACATGATGAGAACTCGTAGAGCTTCTTGTTGTGACCAAAAATGATGACCGCGACATCTACCGAACATAATACCGCGAGTTCATGCGCCTTCTTGAAAAGACCGCCCTTTCGTTTCAAAAAGGTACTAGAAGCAGATGCCAATGTGAGTCAGTGTCGCATTCAAGACCCTACTGGGTGATGGATGCCGGACGACTTACACTGATCGGTTGCGATCATCCTTGATCGCCTTGATCTCGATCTTTCTTCGACCCATGGATAATGCTTATATGATAAGCAGTAAACGAGGAAGACCACGCGTCAGACAGGTACAGAGGATTGCTGAAACAGACGACAGGACAACCAGAGGACGATGTGGAGATGAGCTTGTTCGTAATAAATGGCGCGGCGCGAGTTGAAACTCAAGAAGCGCCGCTTGAAGGGGGGATAGATAGATAGCGGAGCGCGACGGGGTAAGGATAAAAGCCTGTGTGCTGCGGGCGCCAGATTGCAGCCTCTCCCAGCTGCTTTTGGTCTCCTATTTTTTATTCCTACTTATCGTAGAATACTATCGTTTGCAGACGGCCTTCTCCACATCAGATGGGATGAGATGGCAAAAAATAACGAACGGAAGGATCAGGGGAGTTAAAGAGCGCTAGAGAGAATATGATGGGTGATGCCAGTCCGCGGGCGCGAAGACAATCGGGGCGTTTGACCCGTCGGGAAGAACACACAACACAAATCCGGTGACAGAAGGATAAGGAGCCTCTGGATTCCTCAGGCAGTCAAGTCAGAAGAAAAGTCAATCAGGGGAAGAATAAAAACGGGAAGATGAACGGAAGCGAAAGCTCGATGAAGATAGGATGGAACGACAAGAGTCGATGGACAGCGACACGCGGGTGATGCAGAAGATTCTAAAGATAGAATAGAATTGATGGAAGGGAAAAAAGTGGGATGGTGACTTTAAGCCATCGCTCCCAGTTCTCCATATGTGGCTGGTGCTGGCACATGATTCGTCCGTCGCTCGCGATAGACAGCCGCCGTTGCCGACCATTAGGCGCCGACTATTTTTAGCCTGCTCGAGTCGACATCCTATAACCCGTGCTTTCTCATGAATCGCTACTGACACAGAAGATATAAGACTTGGATCTCACTGAGATGTCATTCTAGTGGATACTGCACATCATCAGCATCATCGAGTAGGTGGCCTGGTCAGGCTGGCAGCCACACGAGCCTGGACCTGCACAGCCACATCCAGGCCAGAGCTCCAAGCTTCGATAATCTGATATGGTCAGTGCCGTGCTCAAGCGTCATTGATTCGATATTGATTGGTTCTTTGGACTCATTATTGATGCTTTCATAAATCATTAGCTATGATTGATGGGCCGTTATAGATCGACTGTGTCTGCTTAGCATGGTTAACAGATTAGGGCTCTGAAGCAGTATATGGAAGTTACATATATTCCACAGCATGGACCCTTGAAGGTGTTTCCATGATAGAATAATATCCCATTGGCAATTGTGCAGAATGTGGATCATTTATCATTGCGCTAAATCTTGATAAAATCACCAGATGAATAAATATGAGATTCTTAGAAGTTCCTCGCAACCTGTCCAGGGCTATTCCCAAGTGTTCGACAAGTTGCAATGCGTAACTGTCGGGCCAGAGTTGTAAATCCATAACTCATAGTGCCCAAATCTCCTGCGAGTCTCCATCCAGATATAGAATATACTAAGCTGCAAGCTTGGTAGTCACTTGACATGCAGGCGTACAGACGTACAGGTTTGGTTCCATTCTAGTCTGTTATGCTTGTTTATGCGTGCTGTGATCAGCCGGCCTTGATCATGGACGACGAGGGTTGGGCATATCACAGCCAGACCAGACGTGATTTGCATTGCACAGCTGCCAGATGCGCCTGTTCCCTTCTGATTTGTCGCTCATCACAATGAGCTGCGGAAACCGGGGGTCGATAAAGAGAGGTTATCCTACCAACAACCTTATCTAGCAATCGGCTCCGTCTCCTTCATGGAAGGCTTATGCTGGCGGTGAAGACGGGTTGAAATGTCGGCTTCCTGTCTGCAATAGGCAAATATGGGTGACAGTAGGTAATATTTGACTGTACTCTGATGACTTTTAGGAGTTTATAGAAGAAGGATCAGATGCATACTACATTCTATTTATCAAGGCAAGATAACTCGGTGCTTCGTATTTCTTTGATTATTGTGACAGGAGACTCACCGCTCATTGTCCATGGATTATGAACAGCAACAAGCAACAAGCAAGAAAGCCAGGAGCCTGAGAGGTATATGTCTGAGGACCTTTAGATTCATCCAATATTCAGTCCTCCAGCAATCCAAACTGAAGTATTTGAGTCACGCTGGATTGTGCAAAACCAATACAATCTTTGTAACAGCTTCAAACTGGATGATACTGACCTTTCCTAATTAGGTGTAGTGTGTTTTATAGTTGATTTTATAGTTATGGGGATCAAGTCTGGGCTTATCTAGGTACCTACAGAGTAGACTAGATATATTCACACAGAATGCTCCTAGCATCCATAGGACAATATGACAGACTCAATCAATAAAGATATGCCCAATTGAATACTCTCAAATCCTATTTGTGAAGTCAATTGCTCATTCTTTTTGATACTGTATTATTGTTTACTCGATGGGCATCAACTATGGCTGAATCGTCTCCCCGCTCTACCTATCTAGTCAGGGCCACTGAACCATGGCATGGCACCTTTTTGGGTGTAAGTAATCGAATTTCAGCCCCTGAAACGAGCAACACAAGTGTAGCTAAGGCAGATCCTCATCATCACCAACTCTTTATTTCACTTCCTGGTTTCTACCTTCATCGTTCCTCCTTTCTTCTCATTCTCTGTGTTTTGGGGTCTTTTTTGTGTACTTCCTCATTCCCATGTTCTCTTCTTTCTGTCTTGTCTGACTCTTTCCACTTGTCCCACCCACGATCTTCGTGGTTGTCCACTCTCGTTATACCAGATCCAATCAATCCACTTTCATACATACATCACATAGTGTTCGCTGCACGCTAGGTAGACGTGCTGCCCCATTCTGGGCTGCAGTTGTGCCAGTTGATCCCTTGGACACCTGGACGTCGACCTAGTTGTCTGTCCGTCTGCTGTCTGGCATCACAGCTTTGGCAATTGTTAGACTCAATTATTGACTGCCTTATAACTGTTTCTTCTTTCGTTTTCCCCGCCTGGCCCTGCCTGATTCCTTGGTGATCTCCTTTCTCCTGTCTATTCTGTAGTCTTATTTTCTTTTCTTTTCTTTTTTCTTTTTTTTTCCCCTGCTCTATTCCGCCAGTTTGACCCTTGCATTTTCGCACGGTGCATTGCGAAAATCGCAGAAACTGGTCTGTCAATCTCTTGATCTGTTTGCTATCTATACCCATCGGTTTGATCCGCATTTTCGGGACGCGACTTTTCTACTCTGCCCCTGAGTACATTTTCCTGATTAGCCAAGCAACATAGCAGCGGTTTTCTATCCAGTGGAGCCGACATCCGTGGAAGAAAGATGCCCTTTTTCACTCGTGTCTTTCGGAGTAAGGACTCCAATGCTGCAAAGAAATCAACCAAGAACCCCGTTGTCGAAAACACGGGTCCCGCAAAGCCCACATGGACCGACGCGTGGCAGCGAACGGAAGTCGCTCCTGAAGAAGTTCAGGAGCTCCTTCGTGGATGCACTCAAGAATTGAAGGCTCGAGGTATGTTTGATTGTTTGCTATCATGGAGTTCCAGTATCTGATGGTCAATTACTGGCGCCCACTCCTCTGTCAAATCTGAGATATCCACATTCTTCAGATCGCTGATCCTTGCTTCGTTTTGTCCCATTTGACAGCTCTCCAAACACCGTTTCTACTATTACCGTTCCGCCCGACCACCGAGTCCTCCGATGCACGTTATTTCATCCGTAACTACTTTAATAAGTCTGTCGAGAAGGGCGCGCCTTGGAGTGGAGATGCATTGTCGCAAGAGCTCCGACTTACGGACCCGACGGTGAGCCCATAGCAACAAATCGCCCACACTTCGGAGCATAACATGGCTGACCGGTTCGATGGACAATCATAGGTCCTCTGCAGTGTCTTGAAATGGTGCTGGAGCAGACTCCCCGGAGGAGTTGTCACCTGGGACGCGTATGAACTCTTCAAAGTTGGCGAACAAGGTATGGGCTTACACTACATAACGGCCGGCGGCAGGTTGCACAAGGCTGATCGGATCGCAGATTCTCAACTCGCCCGCGACGCGTTCTCAACATTCATCCCAATCAGTGTCGACTCGGATGCTCGAACCAAGATTATTTTCGACTTTTTCGACCTGCTAGCTGCCGTTGCAGCACACGGCAAGTCCAACGGTCTCGGAGGCCGGAAGCTCTCGAGGTATGCTGGGTGGTGGGCTTTTGAGCATTCGGATACGGGCAATGGCTTTGAAGCTGCCTACAAAAACTGGGCCGCGTATGTTTTCTTTCAATCGAATCTATCTGGACTGAATTAGAAGTGACTGACCATTTGTTTCAGCGCTGCTGATGCCACGAGCCATTTGTTCTTCGCCTATCTCCGCTCGATATCTCCCGACTCTCCCCGTGGTATAAGCGGTATCTCGACCTTGCCCATCGCTCTCCAATCCCTGGTCCAAGCAACGGAGTACCCCCCTGAAACGCCGACCCTTCTGCAGGTCTCGACCACAAAAGTCGTCATGATCGTTGATACCGTCTCACCGACTCCGTTCGCCCTCTTGCGACGTGCGAAGAACTTCGAATACCGGGACAGTGACCGGCATCTGCAGGAATTCGCCAGCTTTGATGACCCCGTCAAGGCCCTTACCGACGAGTGTCTGCGTGTCTTGAAATGCATCTCGTCAACGAATCAGTCCAGTACCTCCGACCCGACGACATCGGTGCCAGAAGCGTCCTGGTCGCGGTTTGAGGATCTGGGATTTGGCGCCGCCGACTTGGACAACGATGCGGATGCGACTTCGTTAGCAAGGAGCGAGTTTGCGGGCGGTCTTCGGTCCGCTCCTCATTCCGTTGCGGGGGACCTTGGTCGCCCAACGACTCCATCTTGGGCAGATTTCATGTCCTCCGGCTTCAATGACGGCAACGGCCTCAAGCCTCAAGTTGCTCCTTTGCTCCTTCCGCCCGACAAGGTCCTGCCTCCAATTGCTACGGTGCGAGGTCAAAGCTCTCAGTCTCACAAGCGTACCCTGGACTCAGAGCTTCCGGTCGAACCCGCCGAGCTTGCCAGCATCACCACAATGGATCTGGACGACTCTTTCTGGTGGGTCTGGATCAGCAGTTTGGCAGTAGAGGAGCCTGCTTCGCGGAAGGCGGTATTTGGTAGGTGCGCATTGATCGAAACGATCATCAAGGACACAAAGTGGTTAGTTCTTGAGGAGCAGGTTAAAGGCGCTGCGCCGGAGCCTGAACCAGGTGCGTACATTGTCGAGAAGAAGAGGTTTTTTACCTTCTCAACTCGCAAGGGAAAGATCGGTCGGCGCAAGTCGTCGGCCAAGAAAGTCTCTGCCGTTGAAGAGTCTTATAAGCGCGCCAACAATCTCGCTCCTCATAGTAAGACTAGCATTGCACCTGATCAGCATGCTCGCATTCAGGCTGCTGCTGCGGCTTTGCAGAAGAAGCATCGGGAACAGGAGCAGGAGGCCGTTAACAGATCAAAAGCTAGCGTGCCGAACGACTCGCGGTATTCGAAGGCAAACTCCATTATGTCTTTGCAACCGGGAATCATGAGTGAGGCTTCGCAAGCGATGAAGTGGGCCAGCAATTATGACAAGAATGCCTATCGCGCCGCCTACCTCAAGGACAGCCGGGCCGGGACAGGTACGCTAGCCGAGGAAAATGGGGCGGCCACGAACGACAACATGCCAGAGCCGCCAGCTTCTCCGGCACTGAGCTCGTCAACCCGCCAGGCGCCACCTCCGGTGCCCAAGGACAGCGTGCCAAGCTCTCCCACACCGGTTGAGCATCAGCAAAGGGGCAGTGTGGACGAAAATGCCGCCAGCAGACAGGACAGTATCAGTGCTGCTGCTGAATCTTTGCCCAAGCAGTCAACTGACACGACAGATGATTCGAGAGCCAGACTGAAGAAGAAGCCCGGTAACACGGGCTTCAAGAGTATGTTCGGAACCAAGAAGAAGGACGTGGAGTCGAAACCGCCAATGAAACCTACTGGGGCTCAGCCGTCGGCTGTTGCTGCTGCTCGTGCGGCTTTGGAAGGCAAGGCCAAGGAATCCCAGGAGACAGTTCGCCCCAATGGCGCCTCGACTTTGAGGAAACCCGTTCCAGCTCCGGCGGCGGCTCCCTCCGCTGCTCCGGCCAAAGTCGCAAGCCCACCGGCAGACGTGGAGAAACCAGTCCCTGAGCCGCAGACCGTCACTGCCGACGAACAGCACGATGGCCCCCCAAGACCCGTCGTGATGCTGAATACGATGCACTTTCCCGTGTAGACACCAATGAGCGAACGGCGGCCGATCGTGAGTTCTCTCGATTTGATCAGGGCCCTTTGGTGGAACAGCCAGCATTCGCTCCTGAGGATTCTCCTGTCTCTGAGACATTCCCTGACAAGTCCGCGCCTGCTGCCGCTGTTGACAAAATCCGCGACAGGACCGAAGTTTCCGAACGGGCAACGAGCCCTACGGCAGCCCCGGCCAATTCATCTTATGACCGCTGGGCACAGATTCGCAAAAATGCCGCGGAAAGGGCCGCTAAGCTTGAACAGTCCGGTTCCTACCGATATAGCCAAGATGACGGTAACACAAGCGAAGAAGAGAGTAAGTGGAGCCGGTTCCTTTGAACTGGCAATAAACGATGCTGACTCTGACCAGGCTTCGAGTCTCGTGCTGCTCGTATCAAGGCGAGAGTGGCCGAATTGACCGGAAATATGCAGGCCGCGAGCTAAAAGACGTTTAATTTCGGCTTGTCCTCTCCCATTCAAGACCATCCCACTTCCATAAGTCCGTCGTTACTTTACTTTTGCCTCATTGCCTGGTCCAGTGCCCGGCTGCCTTCGATCGGTAGACTTTATACGCCTGATGTTTTTGATACTCCTTCCATGGCTAGGCCTCATCTTTGACAGCGAAAGGACAACAAAATCACGCCATTATGCCGCTTGTTTTCTCGCCAGTTTGCACTCGACATTGTTGTAATATTCTGGTCGATTCCTCTTATCTTCTTTCGATGACCAGATGTGATTCTATTTTTCTATCTCCTGTCGCTTCCATTCGTGATTTCACTTGATTCCCCTCTTGTCGTATGTTTTCTGCGTGTTCTTGTTCCATATACCTTGGCAGACTGTGAATCCAAACAATTCTGCTTTTCGTCTCTTGACGCACCCCTTCTGACACTCGGCCCAATGTGACTCTGAACTATGGTAACGAGATCAATCGCACCCCAATACCCTCAGAATCTCCCTAGCCACACCGGCCGCACTGGCCGGATTCTGCCCTGTAATCAGCGGCGAGTGCAACCCGGCCGTCGTAGATACAACCACCTTCTCCGTCCCAGATCGGTCCGCCTTGACATATCCTCCCCCAGATACCCGCTCCAGCTCTGTATCCAATTGAAACGGCATAGCAGCCGCCATCCCCGCCGCATCCTCCTCCTCCCTCGAGAACCCCGTCACCCGCGCTCCAGCAAGCAAAGGTACCCCCGATGGCGCCGTCGCATTCAGCAGCGCCGCAGGCCCATGGCTGACCGCCGCGATGGGCTTCCCCGCCGCTGCGACATTCTGTATCAGGGCAAGCGAGGCCGCGTCCCTTATGAGGTCAAACATCGCTACACAGTCACCATCACCATCAACGTCATGTAATGTTAAACCTCACGTGCAGATCGTAAACATGGACATAAAACGTACCCCCGCGCCCACCCACATAAAAGACCGCATCGAACTCCCCCGCTCCCGCCCGGGCAACCATTTCCCTAATCTTATACGTGTGCGTCCAGGCCTCCCAGTGCCGCGCTAGAGCGGTCATCTCGGTGGTATCGGGTTCTGGTCTCGCGGAGGCTGAGGCTGAGGCTGGGTCGAGGGGTGCTTCGCCGCCTTGCGGGGAGGCCATGGTGAGGGTGACTTTGGGTTCGAGGATGGAGTATGGGTGCGCGAGTTCGGACTGGATGGTCCGATTTGTTTCATTGTGAGTGGTTGAATGCTTGGGAGGAAGTGGACGTAACGTACCAGGTGCCAGCCTGTTTGTTGGCGGGTGGCGGGGATTAAGCCCTGCGAGGTGAGGATTATGAGGACGTGGGGCATTTTCACTGTTGCTTTTGTTCGGTTGATGATATGGAGAGTGTGTGCTAGCTGTTCGGTAGAAGTATGTTGACTGGCTTGATTGGACTATATCAGTATATCGTCATCTCCTACGTCAGTCAGGTGCTACTTAGTCTGGAGACAGGTAAGAACCTATGTCATATTATGTATTATCATTAGTTCACTATATACCAATCATTGGCATGGATGGTTGCCGTCAGATCTAAGAAAGGATATATCCAGAATGTATATACAGTCGGACGATCTGGGTATCAACGGACATGAAGCAAGGGTAGTCAGACGAAGCAAGACAAGTAATTGAGCAGGAAACGAGACTCGCTGATCGTACATCGTCAGGGGAATATATTGAGATGCCAGTTAAGCACTCAGAGCTGTCAGCGAGCATAACGTAGTCGTCGAGTAGCTTCAGCGGCTACAAGTGCACACAAGGCACCCACAAACAGGCAGATGGATATAGCATTAGGACCCTCTTTATCGCGGCGTATCCATTGTGAGTCCTGCGCGGAGTCGTCCCGTTTCGTACTACCGGGTTCGAGGAGGCTGAAGACTATCCAACTGATGAATGTGCCGACAAACTGCGGTAGCGTAGTGTATACATTCAACACGCCGAGGTAGATACCAGCCAGTTCGCCAGTGGAAGGAATATTTGCGTCGTCATCGGAATCACTGTCGCTATCCGTGTCATGGTGGTTGAGTCGCAGGACGTCCATCTCCGTGTCCGTGTCATAATTGCCGGAACGGATAGTAGAAGAAGTAATCATGGTCACGCCAGAAGAGCGCGCTGCAGCTGCAGGTCCCATCGCCAGCTTGTTGATTTCCACTCCCATGAATGCAAATGGGGCCCAGCTGCTGATCGCCCACGGAATACCACACAGGGCGACGAGGCATGTTGCAAATGCCCGAGACCGGGCCAGAGGTGCAAAGATCATGGTCGCAGCAAACATCACATGAGATATCAGCCAAAATGTCTGCAGGTCTGGTCGTATCGCAGTGATCTTCTTGAGAAATGCAGCTATACCAGGTGGTGGGCGCGGTGTGAATCTGGACCGTTTGCTGTCCGGAGGTTGCACACAGAACGGTAGAAGCACAGAGCTGATGAAAGTGATGGAAGAGAAAACGACCAGAGACAGACTGCCGACGCGTCCAATTTCGCCGAGAAAGTCGCTTGACTGCGGAGCGTCTTTGGGGACTTCGTACCGGAAATAGGTCTCACCGACCCAAGTAGTACTGTAGAAAAGGAAGGGGAACCATCCTAAAGCGAGTCAGCAACAATTTCTAATTCTTTCGAAAGGTGCTATACCAATCCAGGCCCAGAACTGCGCCCAACAAATTGCCTGAATGCGAGGAGGAAGGTCCATTGTCGTCTTGAAAAGCTGGGAAATGACTTGGACCGCTCCCGCTTTTCCATCGGAGTCCCTGCATGATCAAAATTAGCACTAATATAGAGAAGTTGATTCCGATTATGGTTACCTGGCAGTAATCAGGATCCTCTCCTCCACCGAATAACAGGTGACGGAAACAGCCCCAATCAGCGAGAGTGCAGCAATGACTGTCATCTGTTTAAACTGCGTATCACCGATAATGGCACCGAAGAGGCTGACCGTATCGATTGAACCAATAACATAACTAATCAGCTGACCAATTGCGGACATTCTTGTAGCTGAACGTTGTTAGCTTCTGGCCTCGTGGATAAAGGTAGGATCGTACCCCATGCTGAACCAGCTTGTTGCAATGGAATCGGCAATGTGTCGACGATCAAGCTGCGACAACAAGCTTGGACTGAAGGATGTCAGCGTAGTCCAGATGAATGCGTCAACTTGCTCACCGATATTGATCGCAAAGTCAACTGCATAGATACTTAGGACGGCAAGGGCGATGGTGACATTTTTTGCCTGGTAAAGTGAGCTGTGAAGTCGAAACAGATGCCAAAACCTGGCCCCAATAGAATAGACACACCTTCTCTGCGTCTTTCACAAATAGGCTGACAATTTCTGTCGTCCACCCCAGCACTAGCAAACACAATGCGACAATAGACGAGCCAACAACCATAAACGGCCTGCGCCTTCCCCATTTCGAGCGCGAACGATCCGCAATGACACCGATCAAAGGCTGAATGATCAACCCAGACAAGGGGCCAGCGATCCACACAAGTGAAGTCCGTGACTTTGTAAGACCCAGCTGGAGCAGGTACGGCGTGCAATCTATTTCGAGTGCAGGACTGGTCAAATCGCAAGACCCGGTGACTGCGGTGGAAGGAAAGGCTTACAGGTCATTTCAATGCCCCATGTAAATCTGCAACAGGAAAAAAGTCAGTAATCTGGTTGTTGAGCAAGATCAAAAACATCGGTAGTGGTAAACGAAGTACATACTGTAACCCCAACAAGCTGAATGTCAACAGTGCCATTCGCATCGACTCCGATTTTCCCTTGATGGAGGGAGAACCCACCCATCTTGCAGCCTGTGGCATCCTTACGACGCCTGCATCCACCTGAAGGAATTCAACAGTATCCTCAATTTGCCATGCACCGGAGTGATATCTGTAGTCTCGTGCTGTTGGTTAAGCCGAGTCGCAACAGCCTGGTCGCAATGAACCCGCAATCGCCAATAAACAAACGATCCTCGTACGTAGGCAAATTTCTAGGAGCGGAGCGTCACGGATCGCGAATCGACTGTTAATCTGCGTTCGAATGTGTCGTATGCTCTTTGCACTGTCCAAATCGATAAAATGACCGGAGTTGGAATTGTTGATTACTAGCTTCGTAGGGTCCCGGATGCGACGAAATTGTACGTTGGTCGATTGGAAGGCGAGAAGCCGATTTTCCCCACGAATCACGTCAAAGTAGGATAGGGAGGATTTGATGCAGAAATAAAGAAAGGAAAGAAAGCAGGGGAATAGGAAGAAGATCCTGAAGGACTGAGCTGAGGCCGAACGCCCAAAGATGCCCAGTGCTCAACTGCCAGAAAAGTGCAAATCAACGCATGCGGGCCCCGGGCCGTCCATGCACTGCGGTTCAAGTCTAATCCGCATCGGTTGGCACTCTTAATTTCCTGTGACCCACCAGCCATGAGGTAGTTGTTATTAATAGCCAGAGAAAGAATGATGATATCTAGAGTTGGCTTGACAATCCCAGCTACTTGTGTGAGGCATGTGTCTAGGGACGATCTACAGATTCCCCCGATATGTGGTGCGCACCGCCCCTTATTCCAGCTAGACACCAACATGTGTTGAAACGTAGGGATTGACTCGAAGATTTTACGCCAAGCTTACATTACTGACAAAGACGAGAATGGCCTATCCTTTTGGCTATATGATTACTCTCATTCTTGATAAAAGGCTAAGATGAATGGTAGGCTGCGTATCGAGGCGTGACCTCGAGGCCGTTATATGGACCTAAGGCAGCGTAGTGAATTCCTCTTGACGCTCATCAGGATAAAGACGACATCCTTTCAATCAGGCGATACGGCTTGCATGTTACATACCCACATCCGTTATACCAGCGTCCTGGTCTGATCGTGTTCATAAGCTTCTTCATTTCTAATAACATATCAAAGCATATCCGGCTGATCAAGCACTAAAGAAAAACCTGCCATAACGACCCAGACATCATGAAATCAACGGAAATTCGTACATTAATGCTTTTTCTTATTTCATAGTCATGCAATATCCCATCCCTCTACAAACGGTTGGGGGTAGTGCTGGTCATGGGCCACTGGTAACCAGCAGCATCACTGAATTTGTAGCCGAACGAAGCAGTGAAGTCATCAAGAACAGCGGGTCCTCGGGAGCCTTTGACAGGATTAGTAATGATATCAATCAGAAGGGTATATTATGGCACATACCGTAGGGGTATTCCATGGGGATGATCTCCTTGTTGTCGTCAAGGTAGTGCAGGAGAGGCGTGAAAATCTTCCAGCTTGCGTCGAGTTCATCGTCACGCACAAAGTTAGAGTGATCACCCTTCAGAGCGTCCAGGATAAGCGATTCGTAGGCTTCGGGAATCTTCAAGTCAGAGAAACGGCGGCGATAGGTGAGATCCAGCTCAGTCATGACGGTCTGCATGGACAAGCCAGGCAACTTGGAGTTCATCTTGATGTACACCGACTCGTTGGGCTGCACTCGGATAACCAACTCGTTACGAGGGATATCCTTGAAAATACCAGATGTGACATCGCGGAATTGGATACGGATTTCGGTCTTCTGCTCATTCAGGGCTGCGTGAAAGGTAAGTATGCGCGCGACTCTAGCGGTCCGAAAAAGTTAAACCAGGCTTACCCTTTCCAGCCTTCAAAATGAAGGGAACGCCATCCCACCTCTCGTTCTTGATGTATGCAACCATGGCGCAGAATGTCGGACACCGGGAATCCTTAGGGACAGTGTCGTCCTCCTTGTATGCGGGCTTGCTTCCATCCAGAGACTTCCCATATTGGCCGATGATTACGTTCTTGGGTTCGATGGGATCCATGGCACGCAAGACACGAACCTGGGATGAATTAGTTTCGCTCGTCGGCCCTGGTCAAACAGCTGAGTGACCTACCTTCTCGTCACGGATATCCTCAGAGGAGAAGGAGATGGGACGCTCCATGGCGAGCAATGTCAGGACCTGCAGCAAGTCTGAAGAGACGAACATCAGTATCGCTCATTGACGCACAGCAGATGGTGAAAACATACGGTTTTGCATAACATCACGGATAATACCGAATTCATCGAAATAACCACCACGACCCTCTGTACCGAAAGGCTCCTTAAATGTGATCTGCGGCAGGAGCGAACCTGTCAGCAAGTTGCTCTCATTTCGGAGTATTCCAAGCATCCCATACCTGTACATTGTCGATGTGGTGACGGTTCCAAGTGGCGTTGAAGAATTCGTTGCCGAAGCGCATGATAAGGATGTTCTTGACCATCTCCTTACCCAGATAGTGGTCAATCCGGAAGATCTCCTCCTCCTTCCAGTTGGGGTCAAGGGCTTTCTGGAGGTCACGGGAGCTCTGAAGGTCTTTACCGAAGGGCTTCTCAACCTGTATATGACGAAATCATGCGCATCAGTTGCTGCTCTCCTCTTCGGATTTTGGTGGGAAACTTACGATGATCCGAGCAATGCCGTTCTTGGGATAGCAGTTCCTCTTCAGTTGCTCTGACACAGTGATGAAGACGCTGGGAGGCAGAGCCATGTAGAAGACTCTGTTTTGCTCCTTGTGGCCCTTCTCAACCTCCTCGAGGTGCTTTCTCAGGTTAATGAAAGAGTCGTCCTGGTCATATTGACCGGAGATGTAGGTGCAGAGACTGCAGAAGCTGTCCAGCTGCTCCTCGATTTCCTTGGTGGGAACCTTAATGTATGATCGCACTCGCTTCAGGAATTCTTCGTGGTCCATCTTTGTCCGAGCATATCCGACGATCTTGATATCCTTGGGAAGGAACTTGTTGCGGAACTGTGCATACGGTCAATCTAGGTGAGTTTAGACCCTCGTCAATAGAGGTGGAACGTACGAGTCCGAAAAGAGCAGGGAACTATTGAGATGTTAGCCTAAAACAGCTGTCTAGAGAGTAAATATCCGTGGGACAACGAACAGTCTTCTTCTTAGCAAGATCTCCCGAGGCACCTAGTACTACGATGACGGTGTCATCTTTAAGTTCGAGTGTGCTAAGCGCATAATCCATGTTAGCAACCGATTTGTACTGATTATTCGAGGCGAGAAATATTTATCTAGGTCGATCAGGGTTCGGTGTGTGACTTGATGGACGCAGGGGGAAAGAGACAAAATGAGGGTGAAAATGGATGGAGAGCCAAAAAAAAAAAAAAAAAAAAGGGGCAATAATGGACAAATAGTCAACTTTTCAAGTTGCAGCAGGAGCGAGGCTGAATTGAATTGAGCCAAAAGACAAGGGAAAATAAGATGCTGGTCAAAGGTAGCTGACAGGTTGCACGTCGGTGACCAGTACGGAGCAGTCGCAAGCGGTAGTAGGGACTGAGGTAACGGGAGTGTTTCCGCCGTTGGAGGGGGAGGGGTGTGATGTCAGAGAGGCAGAACTATGGGAGAGACGTACCCAGCATTCTGCTGTTCGTCAGATCGGGCTATTGTGCTGGACATTTTTTCGCACGAAATGTTTGAAACTGACGATTCAATCTTTGGGACAGATGTGACCTTAGGAGTGAGATATAAGGGACGAGAAGAGAGACAAAGAATGAAGAGGGATTGTTGGAAAAATACCCAACAGTTCCGGCGGAGCAGGGTACTTTTTATTTAACACGGAGGGCTCTCAAGCTGACTGCTGTAGTAATGCAAGGTGGGTGTTGGTGGGGCTGGCTTGGATTCTTCCACTACGTCGATGCTGCCGCGGAACCCCGTGTGCATTATGGGAGGTAGTATTGGGGATAATCGAATGGGATTACAGGGAGGAGCATTAATATATGATTACTGATTATTATTAGATAGCCTAATTGTTATGCTACAGCGCCTAGCAGAGGCCAGGTCATGTTCTGGTGTAGGCATACAGGGCAGCATCGATAGAGACGAATGTCATCGCTTTCACTATTACATCCTCCGTGGCAAACTTCTTTCCCCCTTCTTATATCATCAGGGCTTGTGGATGTTATCTCCTTAGGAATTCAATCATATAATCGAACATCTAGTTTTATCCCGGCTAATTAAGAAAGAGATACGGAGTACATATGGGACTCTCTAACACAGTCAGCTCCACTGCGACCCAACGGATGATTTTCATTTAAAGATACGGACTGATTTGATGCTGACTTGCTGACCCCGCGTAAACCAACCTGGCGTATCATACTGTTTGCGCCTTCAATGAGGGGAAAGGTTTACAAGGACAAACTTCTTGACTCCTGCGTGATGTCCCGCGCAGCTTATATAGTAGGCCACCTGTCTCGGTGCTGCATGGCCAGGAACCTAATATCTCATAGAGGCGGAGTTTTCCCTTCCCTCCTGATCGCGTAAACTCAGGTTCATGATCATCAAATCTCAACTGAGGTTTGCGTCGATGGCTACGTATCTGTTCATGTCCGTGTTCTCTACAAAAAGGTGCATCCTGACAGGGCCTATTTAGGATGGATCTGGCTTAAATTTCGGTAGCGTAAACCTTGGGAGGAACAAAAACTTCGAGAAACATGCCTTTCAATTCCTTCTTCCTCCCTAAGATTATCATGCAGCCCATGATGCTGCGAGCAGCGACTTCGGACTCCACTATCTACCGGCTGGTCGCAGAGATTGCGCCAGAGCTACGGAGTTGGCACAGTGGAAACTGGAAGCTAGAGGCCCTAGTCCTGTAGTTTACAGGCTAGGGAGGAAAGCCAGAAGAAGCTCTCCCGGTGACCTAAACCGTGGAGATGGATCGGCGGATTTGTCATGGAACAGTTGGAAGTAACTGATCACTACGGATTCTAAGGATTCTAATTTCCCGAGAGCAAAGAAATGTAGGAGAGGTACGGAGTACGAATAACGCCCGGGCCTTTCTTTGCTGAGCCATATGACGATGATGGAATAGCTTACGAGAGCTCGGGGTTAACTGGCGCAGCTCCGTAACCTGGCGATATCAGACAACTGCCCCTGTATTCAGATCTGCAAAAACACACCGGTAGCTATTCACCCTATGTGAACTGTGAAGATAAGAGAAAAAAGTATAAGCTGACCCTCGGCATCAATTCGACGATTGCGTGCTCATCAACAGAACCGAGTCCCTTCTCCTCAACGATTGCTGATAAACCAGCAAATGTCAGGTCTATTGCCGATTTCCTTGCTAGTGGGGCAGCGGGACTCGCTTTATTTCCAAATATGTGCTCTCGGTCTGCTGGACCGTTCGGAGTATACACTGATTTGCTGGGAGGACCAAAAGTAGTATCAACAAGTATCAACAAATTACTGTCTATATACACTATTATAGTCCTACAGCACGAAGGTAATTGATCGCGACAATGAGATTGATCATAAAACGGACTGCGTTCTCTCGGATAGACTTCAAGTGAGTCCCCGCGGAAATGGAAATGGTATCATAAAGGATACCTCACTGGCTGAGCTTATCACCAAACGAAACCCTTTCGTCGCTACCTCTTAGAGAGGGGGAAGCAAATAAGAATCGTTTGTCAGCGCTCGACGCTCTAGACAATTGCTCATGTCCACCGGAGAAGCAGGGGAAAAGCAAAGTGAGAGACATATCCGATGTCCAATGATCTGGGAAGCCGTCGAACCGTCTTCGGACCACTGTAGCCCGACGGCAAAATAATGTCGAATGAATAATAGTGGAAGCAGTGGGGTTGCCCTGGCTCAAAAGTCACCTGCCTTGGCGGAGAGATTGTTATCACCTTTATCATCTCTATCAGCTTTTATCAGCTTTTATCAGCTTTTATCAGCTTTTATCAGCTTATCTCGGAGGCGGAGAATACCATCTTCCAGGACAACCCTAAAACGGCTTAGACTTTTTTTCTCGATTCCCCATCACGGGACTTCGCTTAACCCTGGGGCGATTCAGCTCGCTAAGATCCCGTTTTGGGTTAGGGCGAGTGGCCCCGAACGCACCTTGCAAATTGATCATTGTGCGGTCGGCTGCTCGTCTCAGACTATCGAAGCGACGACAATCACGACAACCCGGACGACTTTTTGCGGGTCATCTTTGCCTTCCTTCGACTTGTTTGCGTTGCCCGCTGTTGCTCAGATAAACCGTCATAATGCCTTCGGAACAAGGTCACAGACGTGAGTGATCCCTCTACGTTTAGCTGGATATCGATGTGTGCGCACAGGTTGGAGAATGGGTTTCGGGGACGGATGTGGTGCGATTATGGAATTTATGAAAGATCTTGCTAACGGGATATTTTCTACTTGCAAAGTCTATGTCAAGTAAGTTACCACGATCTTTTCATCGATTATCCGTCGGGTCGCGATCATTCGGAATGCGATATACAAATGTCAAATGTCGCACTGTGGGATCGGGCTAGGGGCCAAGTCGAAACGAAATCATATGGACAGATGGGTTAATACGAATTCTCTATACAGGGGTCGCCACCTGAGCTACCAGCGCTCCAAGCGCGCGGTCAACCCCAACACCAGGTAGCTAACCACTGTGAAGATGGACGTCAAAGGGATATGGGAGGCTGACACCTCGTATAGTCTGATCAAGATCGACGGTGTTGACAGCACTGAGGCCGCAAAGTGAGTATACGCCGCTCGAAAGGGTCACGAAACAAGGAAGAGAACATGCAGCTAAGACGGTTGTTTTACAGCTTCTACCTCGGCAAGAAGGTTGCTTTCGTTTACCGGGCGAAGCGTGAGGTTCGGGGTTCCAACATCCGGGTCATCTGGGGCAAGGTTACCCGGCCACACGGTACGTGAATTGAATGCGATGGATCGGTGATATCGGCATTGTGGCCCTGTTGGACGATGGCTACTAGGAGGAACAAACAACTGACGATATCAACTTGACAGGCAACTCCGGCGTTGTCCGTGCTCAGTTCCGCCACAACCTCCCCCCCAAGTCCTTCGGTGCTACCGTCCGCGTCATGCTCTACCCCTCCAACATCTAAATGACCCGTGTTTATTACCTGTTAGTTGGGCAATCCGGAAACTTCGCACAGACAGTCGGGCAAGGAGTCGACGGTATGAGCCGATGTTGAGATGATGGAGTTGGCGGGCTGATAATGTTCGTGGGAGAGGCAGGGCCGACCAGCCCTACGAATTAAAATCAAAAGAACTTTTGTTGTTTTTTCAGACTCTACCAGCGTGGTGACATTGTCGGCCTCCAGGCATCTAGAAGGGCTTGTCGTGTTTTCTACATTGGCGAGCATGACGTGCCTTGTCTGACAACATGGCTTCTTTCCCAGTGTATCTGACACTCATAAACAACCAAATCCACACATTTCAACAAAGAGCGCGTTGCATTATGATTGGGCGTATGGTAGCGGAATAACGGGCTGGTTCAGGGATAATTGGGTCAGGGGGTTTATTCACTTCGCCGCTCTGCCATCCACGCCAGGGAGCTCGACTTTGATGGTCTCGTATAGTCTCCCAACGCCCAACGCAACATGGCGAGTGCAAGTGCAAAACGGTCTTCTGGATCCTCTGCCACGACTCATCTGCCAGGCTCATTTTAGTAGCCCCATCGTACAGTTATACTTGGGCTTCCCATAAATTGCGGCTGGTTTATGCCCAATAATTACGGCTAATGATTCACCAGAAGTGAGTCCCTGGCAGTAACCGTATAGAACAGCAGATCTGGACCAAGCAGTCTATGGCAGGTGTATTAGGAATTAGTAGTCACGACTTCTCTCTCGCCTGTAAAACCATACACGTATAGGAACCTGATGCCATACTCCGATTGAAACCTTGACAGTCACAGCTTCGTTGACATGCCCCCAAGACTCGATATATCCAGCCTGGTGTCGACACTTCTCCGTTCAGTATGAGAGATCGACCACCACATGATGTTCGCTTATTAGCTATCGAGTTAAAAACCAGGCAGGTAGGACTATGCTCGGCGTGGTACATAACCTGCAGGCCCAAGAACGAACTACCGTATGTACGAAGTACCACAGCTTTGCCTGCATTCAAGTCAAAGGTATTTCAGGGAAACAGCCAGTGCTGACTGGTTTGTAGAATCATCGCGCTGGCTTGGTAATGGAGCGAGTAATATGATGCTTCTGCTGCCACAGTAGATATTCCTGCGATCTGTTGGTTTGCAGGTTTTACGACACGCATCCGGTTTCGTGATACAACTGGAGTGCCCGAGTCAATTTCGAACCGCGACTTGTCATGCAGAATGGATTAAGGATGACAGGCTTGTCTGAGTGATAGTTCAAGTGTAGATCAATTGGAAAACAGTTCAGTCATAGGAAGTGGTGCACATATATCTAAGCAATCTGCTCTTGCCCGCTGAAAACTATCGATCAGCTTTTTATATCTTGTGTCCTTTCAGCGTGGATATCTGTACATGAGTTATCTTCCAGAATACAAAAACGCCATCGGCCGAGCGAATGTGATATCGGAACACGGAGCAAAAATATCAAGGTTAGCGGAGTCCTGAACCCCTTGCCTCAGTTCGTCAGCAGATCTGAGACGAGCGCGAGCCAAAATCATCTTAATGCTTGTTCGTTTGGAGTATTTGTGGAGTGATAATTAAAGTAATGCGCCATCCCGCACCACAGAGACCCACCAGATCATGCTGATGATCCTCACCAACTCTTGCGTCGTGACGACTCGCTAGCCAGAGATCCCCATCCAAAGCAGTGTTCAAAGCTTCGGTGCATATTGGGGATCTTGTTAGAGCAAGGGGTTAGAGTGACTTTTCTTTTGACTCAACAAATCTCGACTCTAAAAGTTCAGATGTATTTACTAGTAATGTCTGAGCTATGATGCTGTCCAATGCTCACTTCAGGTGACAACAAATAGGTAAAGACCGTGTACTAGTCCTTTGTAGTTTGTGCGGTGTCGCATAGGGCAACGTAACCCGCGGTGAAATGACCTCGGACTAAATTATTGGGTTGTATCCTTCAAGTCTCCTAGCTGTTGGCACGGGAGAGGAACCAATGGGAGGGACGCGGATACAGATGGACTCAAAAGGTTCAGGATTATCATTGTTTGTCCTTGAACAAGGGGTGGCTGGGCTTTTCAGCACCTACATGCCTAGATTCTTACCTAGGTACACTTCTAAGGTACAAATAATAATAATGCAACAATCGGCTGCTGTATCAGCACTCGGAGAACAAAGCACAACGACTCCTGTCTAAAGCTAATCAGTCTTAGAGTTAACCTAAAAGTAAAAATAACCTGCCCACCATGATTAAGTAATCATGATATAGTCGGTGATTCCAAATGCTTCACTATTAACAATCAGTAAGAATATTCTTGCCTTTTAAACAAACTATTGATCAAAATAATTCTCTTGTATTTAAGAATGGTCCTATGCTCTTTATTTTTAAAACAACCGCATTCTGTCAAGCACACCACTCCATGACTCTCTCTTCCGATCACATCCAAGGAACTGTTGACTCAAGAACAGGATGGACCCAGTTCCTGGACTTATCCCGGCCAACGAGACGATCCGATGACAGTGGCTGGGGGAACCCCCGGTAGCCGATTGGTTTCTTGCCCTGGGGCCACCAGCCAGTGGGACGCTCAGAGCCCTTTTTGTCTTAAACATTGGAGTGGGCGTATTAATTCCTTCGGATTCTGATTGACTTAATTGACTTTTGGGCCTAGCGGTATTTTACCTTTTTGAATTTTCCTGCATTTATTGCCGGCTGCCTAGGTCGTGGTCTTGCAATTCTATGAAGATGGAAAGAGATGCTTTGTCGCACTTGGGCACAGTGGCAGATTCAGGGCTCTAGGAATTGCTGTTATAATGGCTAAGATATGGTCTTCTTTGATCCACTGGAAGAGTACGTAGCGTAACTCTGCCTACAAGAAAGGTAGCCGATACCACGATCCTACTAGGTTACCTAGGTACAAGAATAGACATAACCAGAGCCTTCCACGTACTCAGCAGTCAGGTAGCTTCAATAATAATATAACGCCATCATCCGACTCGTGGGAGGCAATTCAGTCAAGCAGCACAGCATGGCACAGTAGCACTTACTTTGGGTTTTTCCTTTTTATTTTATTTTCTGGTTAAGGTTCCCCTCTCTTCAAAATAATATTGCGTGGCGTCTGTCGTCGACGCACTTCGAACTCTGTGTTTCTCAATTACTACCTACCACTATAACTGTGGCCTGTCTGCCTTCCTTTTCTTTGGTCTCTAGCTAGTTGGATATTATTATTCTAGCACTTCTTCTCGCTGACCTTCGTTTGGAGAGCATCCTAATTCTCGTGAGACTTTGCTGTCCGTCTAACTAACGTCTAACAACTTCCATCACCATTACTGTCGATCTTTGCGGGACAGATCCAATTATCTACGGAAAACGCTTGAACTATCTATTTTCTGTCGACCAGCTATCTTTCGGCTGCTAGTTATCCCGGGTTTATTTCCAGCCTGCTCGCTCGATACATCGCAAGGGCTCAAATTTACGAAGCACTCCGTGCACTCTCTCGCTTCCATTCTGCAGTGACGACATTCGGAGGTGCTTTCTTTTGCTTTTTTCCCGACCTGATGGCTGCTTAAGACAATACCAACAACCGTAAGAAAGAGATACCTGTCGGTTCAAATCGATCAAGCAGCGACTTCTCTGCAGCCTTGTATAGTACCATCGTCTCCGCAGCATAGACACTGCAATCTGCGGAAGCGTTTCAAAGCTCAAGCTGCCGCTTCCACTCGTTCGTCACCATCCACCGTTCGCTGCATCCAAGACTCCTATCTACCTTAGTTACGGAGCGTTTGTTAGAACCAATCCAAAGCAACACAGCGCGGTCGTGTTCATTCATACAATTCTTGGCAGTGTCCACCTGTTGCGCTCCACTACGGCCGCCAACCTGCCATAGTTCAGGCAGATCACGACGGAGCTACTCCTATCGTCAGTGGAGCTCTCTGTTGACAAACTTGTTTATCGGCCGCTAAGTGACTTAGTTGAAGCAGAAAAGAAGGAGCTTTGACATAAAATAAAGATGGCTCCCTCCCAGACGGTCGCGTCGCCCAGACCCAGTCGTGGTTTCAGTTTCGGTAGCAGGTCCGATAAATCTCGCCGGTCGAGCAACGCTGCCAGCAATAAAATCTCTCTCAGGGAGTCTTCTGAGGAAAAGCACAGGCGCAGTTTACATACCAAAGCCGATCCAACTCTTGCTATGAGCGAAGCGCAACCAAGTATGTTGGTCCCATATCTAACTCTCTTTCGGTCGCTCAATATTCTGCGATATCGTCCACGATTTGGACTCCATACCCAAACTTTATTCCTCCCCTTCTTCTTTCTGTTAGCTCTGCGTGCGCATAGTAACTGACCTTTTGATCAATTAGTGGCTGTTGCCCTCGAACAGTCGACTCTGGGCTCTTTAAGAGCTATGCAGCACAAAGACCGATTTGGGCAAATTATCAGTACGTAGTGAGGGCTTGTACAATCTGCTGCGACTTTGCACTGACAGTTCTTGTGATCAAAGCTGATCCCGATCTTTCCAACCCCACTCGCCCTCGATTCGAACGTCCATTAGAGACCATCCGAGCTTTTGAAGCTGCTTTTGAAGGGACGTACAGTAGTAGACCCGTTTCCTGGGCGCGAACAGGTGAGTTTGGATCTCTACCTGTCATGTGCATTTCAGATGGTTAACAAGCGTGTCTACAGAGTCACCTAACGGCGGAGAGCACAACAAACGTGGCAGCTACTATGGAGGTAAATACGGGCTTTAAACCTTTCGTCTCTGAAGACAATATACCATCGGTCTAGACTGTCATTTTGTGAACAGTATGCTAACAACCGTGGTTTCATGCAGAGTCCAGCCGTGGAAACGGGTACTATCCAAACAGAGGATACAGTGATCAGAGTGGGCACTTCAATCAACGGGCAACCTATTCGCGACCGGAGAGCTATGTCGATACTTACAATGGCCAGCCGCAAGATAATGGCTACTACCCGTACAACCAAGGCGGCGGCGGCCGTCGACCACGACCCAACCCGCGGATGTATACCGATCAGACAGGATACAGCAACGGCTCGAATGGATACGCACAACATTCGTACGAGAAATCCGTCGATAATATCACTGCAGCCTCTGGGTCGGGTGGAAGCCACGCTGATGCTTGGGGCAATTCGACCGACCCCAGTTCCGTGAACAGTTCGATCGACCAATTGTCCCAGCAGCTACAATTGGGACAACGAGGGTTCAATTCTCAACTCAATCTCAATGGCTATGCGCCAACACCTCCAAAACCTCCCGTACATAACTTCAACCAAGCACCAGCCTTCGATCCTAACGCTGGGGGCCCTGTCGGCGGCACCCCAGCCGCCGTGTCAGCGCCCAACCGTCGTCAACTGCGGAAATCGGTGAACATGTCCGATACAGGGGACAAGCGAAAGAGCTGGTTCAAGCGCAAGTTTAGCAAGGATTAAGGCATACGTCGGTGGTTATCTGGCTCTCATTCGCTATTCTTCTAACGTATGTAATGATTGTTCTTAGTGGGCGTTTTTCTCGAGTTCAGACATGGGAAAACAGGGAAATTGCGTCTTTGCTTTTTTGTTAATGTTAATTCTCCTGATTGTTTTCATCGGGCTGTCTTACAGTTTGATACGTTTATGCTTGACGATGTCACGATACATGGATGCCCCGGCGAATCATCAATTGATCAATGTGCCGTTCTGGTGTTTGCCTGATATTTCGAGTACATATTTTGCGTCCTGTCCTGATTACGCCGAAGGGATCAACAGGCGGTGTATGTTGATAGCAGACCTGAGTTCTGCATGTTCAAAAGGCTTATGCAGGATGACGATAGACTAATGAGACTGCAGCTGTTTGATCAACAGATGTTTACAACTTGACATAACGAGATCTAGACTCGGTTGTGCCTATCACTTTATTCTACAGGCTGACCAGAAATCCACCCTCGGTAGACAATCACAAAGACAAACAAATGATAGCCCTAGGACTATCAAAAAGCAAACAGGGAATCATAAAATATCCTAAACACAGTACTGCAATACCGACAATCTACCTTTCCCTCGCCCTAACGTACCATCTAACCCCTCCCAAAAAGCTTATGCTTGAGCTTATCCGCCAACCCCTCAGGATGATGCTGATGCTGCTGGCGCTTCTTCTCCTCCTTCTCCTTACGGGTTTCCTCGTCCAGGTGGACGTTCCCCTGGCCGCCGCGCTGGATAAGTCAGGTACAGTTAGTTACAGCACACCACAACACTCCAACCCGCTCGCGCTGAAGATAAAAGCGAGACGGGACGGGAGTAAAGCCATGAACATGAGCAATGACATACACCAACATGATAATTCTCGTCCGTCGACTTGCGGATCGCCAGCTCGGGGATGATTTCCGCGTCGTGGGGCACCCGCGACGTGGGCCGCACACTGGGGGAGCCGATGTTGCCGGCTCCGCCGCGCTGTCATTGCATTTCTCTCAGTATCTGCTCGCTTGTTCCGCAGCCTGCTTGATTGGCGTGGGACACGGTGGTACTTACACCAGCCGAGTAGGCGCCGTCGCCTTGGTCGCCGTAGGGGCCTTCACGGACGATGCCGGCATCGACGTATCTGGGGTTAGGTTAGAGGGTGGGTTGGGTTGGGTGGCTCCGGGTGCGGGGTCGAACGTACTGTGTAGAGTCTGCGCCGATGTTGCCCTGGCCTGGTTTGCGATGTGTGTTAGAGGGGGTTCGTGAGGCTTATGTTGACTATGTACGTATGTATGGTGTGCGTACCTCCGCGGCCGTGCGAGACGATTGGTTCGTTTTCGCCCATGGTGGTGGGCTGTTTTGTTGTTTAGATGGTGTCTGGTAGGTATGTACTCTGCAGAAGCGATGGGATACTAGGATGAAGAGGTCAGAAGTGTGGATCAGTTGGTGCTACGGACACTATAGACTTACCTGATATTAAACAATATGCGGAGGGGAGGGGCCCGTAGGCAAATGCGGGATGTGAGTGAGGGATATATAAAGATAAGGACTAGAGATGGGGCAACTTCGCTAACAAGTCAGACTACAAAACAGGCAAAATTGGCACCACTCATTCTACCCCTGAAAGGATCGTAAGGATTGCTAGGAAACCAAGGTCATATATGATAATGATGACCAGTCGCCAAGCACGCATCGAGCCTCGTGGTCTCGGAGACTGGAGAGAGTCCCTGTGACGTCGAGGCGCAGTGGGCTGATAAGATACGCCAGCAGTGTTTAACTACTGATTGGTCCGAGCTGTGACTAAAGTGGTTACTGATAAGAGATGTCTTGGCGATAACGACACCTATTAGCCAGATCACTGGAGTGAGCAATGGAGATTATCATAGTCGAAGAGTCGATGAACAAACTTTATTCAATATTTGAGTTATGACTACCTTTTACATACTGTATGAAAAAGACCGTCCTCCATATCTCACTGTAACCGATAAAGCACGAAGATACTATCACGATACCCTACCCTCAATTTTTCTAGAAGCCGGCGGTCTTTGTTTCCTTCTTCTCGGCGGGAGGTCCACCGCCGGTGGTTGGAAGGCCCATGAAGATCTTGAACGAGTCGTAGCTGAGAAAAAGTCAGTATGCCTGCCATTGTTTATCGCGCTTGAAGGGTGAAACTCACATCATCCATTGCAATCCAGTCTGTACAAGCAGTTGTTAGCTCATGACCGCAAACACATGCGAAGAGAGGACTCACCAGGGTTCCGATCATAACGATTCTGACGGGGAGACCGTTCCAAAGACCCATGAAGCCAATATCCTTGTAGATACGGCTCATTGCAGCACCAAATGCCTCGCCAGGCAGTCGGTTAGCATTCAGCTTACTCACCATAACATCAGCGGGATGAGACACGACGGCGCAAAGGATACCGGCCAAGTAACCACCAGTAAAGGCGACTGCAGTCTGCGCGCCCTTGCCGTACTCTTCCTTCTTTCGCGGCAGCCTCTTGTAGATGGCTTCCACAATGGTTTCGAAAGACGCGAATTTCATCATCGTGTATGGGATTTGCCGACCCCAGAGCGGATACAAACCTTTGTAGAGACTATGTTGCGATCAGTGGTGAGAGACTTAGGAGGTAGATTCTGAAGCGGCATGAACTTACCCAGCCACTCCTTCCTTGCCGACGACTTGAGAAATTCCAGAGAAAGTCCCCTTGAATTCAGGAGGAATAGTTGTCTGCGTGCGCACCTTGACAGCTTCGAATGGGCATAGGGCGACATCAGCGATAAATTCCGCCGAAGCACTGGCGGCCAGGTACACAGAGGTCTTCCATTTCTGGGCACGCTCCGGTCCTGCAAGATCAGAATAAAACTTCTTGAAAAATTCGTAACCGCCATATTTGAATGCTCCTTGAGCCTTTGCCCCCCGTCAGTCAGTTCTGATCAAAACCGCGCCATAAACCGTCAGCTTACGCTGTATCCGAAAAATGTCGGACTCCAACCAGTGAACACGCCTCTGATGCCTTCTGCACTGCGAATTACGCGGAACGCCTCCATGTTGCTCTTGTACAGCTGCGAATCAACTTGTCGGCGGCATTTGACCAAATCCAATGGCGTCACTGCTGTGTGGGTGAGACCCTGTTAATCGGTTAAATATAGGTCAAAATAGACGATATTAACTACTGAAACCTACACAAGCCAGCAGACCTCCGACGGTGCAAGCTGCATAGTACTTGGGGGTCCATGGCTCAATCTTGCCTGTTTTGGCTTGAGCCTTTTGACTGGCGACATCGAATTCTCGAGCCGCCTCTTTAGTGAAAGCATCGGCTTTCTTCTTGGACTCATCAATCACACTCCACGCCGGGAAAGGCTCCCGTCTGATCGAAGCCGCAGATCCCGCTTGCTTGGGCTCTTTGGGACGGTTCAGAGGGTTCTGGGCGTTGAAGGCGTCGAGGATCACACTGTCAGAAGGGAACATGGTGGTCAATATAGAATTGGTTGGCAGTTAACTATAACACTATTAAATGACGGCGTCTGGTCAATTGACCTGATGAGCTGGTGCGAACGGATCCTCGATACCAGGTCGTTGTCTCCACTCGTAGGGCTGGTGAGTGGAATAGCCGGTTGGAGGAAGACAAGTAGATGAGTACGAATACAGATTTTATTTCAGGCTTTTGCACTTCAAAGAAACGCCACAGGGACAGACAATCCAAAGCGAAATTATTGAGGATTACATCGAGATGAGGAAGTGGGAAGGGGATGAAGAGGTCTGACAAGGGCCGGAAGTACGATGACGTCGGACTTGTACTTTGGCATCTTGATTAGCTAAACACCCGTTCTCCGCTCACTGCTGTCACAAAATGGCGCTCATTTTTCCCCTCCGCGCTGATCCCGATCCGTCCAAGTTAGTGGGCCGCAGCCGATAAAATTAACCTTGACTCAGGCTCGATTGCTATTACAGTCAATAGGCGTCGAACGATTCTTTACAGGCTTCTTCTGACTTAGCATCATAGCAAGAGTGCCATTGATTGATGGTCCGCAGTCGACTCACTGCTGAACGCCATTCTGCCCCTCATCCTAATACACCCCTCCTGAATCCGTGACACTATCCACCGAGAATGGCCTCTTATATGACCGCCAGCGAGGCATTCGCTCGCGAGAAACTCGCCCCAAATGTCGAGGTATCCACAAGTCAGACTGCCTGGGCTGACAAGTATAGAGGGGTTCGTCTTCCCTCTGACAATCAGAATGCCACGAGAAGCACCTCGATGTGACTAACCACTGTTGTAGGCTACTGTTGAAGATCTAGACCCCCCTCCGGCGCTCTCCGTCTCTCCCAGCGATTCTATTGCCTCCGCCATGCTCGCAGCATATGAGCGCGATTATACCCACCTGACAGTCATCTCATCGAATCGGTCTTTACTCGGATACCTCAGCATACCGCGACTCAAGGAGTTGCTCAACCAAGGCAACGTCAAGGAAACGGACCCTGTCTCAACTGCCATGCAGCGCTTTAACCGCAAGCGTGGCACATATCAGGTCATCACAATGGAGACGCCGTTAGAGGAGCTAGAGCAGTTCTTCGAGAGTGAAACGGGACCCAACGGAGAAAGGAGAGAAAAGCAGCAGTTTGCCGTGGTCACTGATGCGTCCCGGAAGTTTGTACTCGGGGTTGCAACCAAGGCTGATTTGGAGGAATTCGTCAAGCGACGACCTGCATAGATACCAACAGTTGTTTAATTTGCGTTTCTTTTGAACACTACTTCTTGACTTTATCACATACCACGGGTCTTGTTCGTGCATCTGCAGGCGTCAGTGGCCATTTGATTTGAGTCTTGGACATCTTGTGAGGACGACAAAGTGCATGCGACACACATAGTGTGTGGCGATCGTCGCATGCTTGACCATGAAACATAATGGATTGAACAGTGCTATTTCAACAAATATCGAACAGAATTGCTTCGGAGCTTTTCAACACACAGCGTCCACTACTTTGCCAGTCGAAATCATAACATATCAATACACATATAGGTATATCGAGAAACGGAATAAAGCATCTGAAACTAATCTGCAGGCGAAATAGACCCAATTTACTGGGCCTTTTTCTCTTTCTTCTTTGATGCTGCTTCCCTCTCTTCTCGATCATCTAGCCATGCCACGTAGATATAACCGAATAAGACCAGATTCGCAGTGATGGCGGCGGTAATACCAGCCACAGTTGAACTCGCTATCCAAATCAGCATCAGTCTTGAACGAAGCGAAATTACTGATCGGATGGAAGAAAGACATACCACCGGAGTTTACTGTGACAAAGTACATGCCGATAGGACCAACAACCATGGCGGCTGTGAATGCTAGCAGCTTGTAGATGACATCTCTATATAAGTATAAGCCTATATGAATCTAATATATGGCGCGATCCATATACTCAAACTGCAGACAGCATAGTGACAGGAAGTGGAAACGACTTACGCCGGAACTGCAGGGGTGACATCAGAACTAGCTGATTCCTTTGGCGGCGGCGCGGCAGCCGCCTCAGCATAGGATTTCTCTTGAGGGCGACGGGTAGTCATTGTGAGTGGTATCAAGGGAAAGAAAACACCTGTTGTCTTGCTGTTGTATAACGTGTTGTCGAAAGACGGAGGAATAGGCTCAATATGTAATTGTCGACAAGCCGAGAATGGTGATGAACAGATGACAGTCCTTTTTTCTTTCTTCGAATAAGTTTGATCAGTTGCTCTCAAAGAAGAATAATGCTAGATAGGCTGAGCTATTGAGAACTTGATATGCATCTACTCCTCAGAGTGTTACTTCATAGTAAGGTAGGTAGCTTAGCTTAAGCTAGTACTGACCTAACGGACGGTACAGCCTGTTTGGACGGGAGCGCATTGGGCGGAGCTGATGGAACGAAGCCATTCCCCAGCGGCATTTGATTGGACAGTCTTGTTCAACGTTGTAATGGTGTGAATACTGGCGACTGATATCGGGGTTGATGAGTACAGTCATAGGAATAATCAATGTGGTCATCTGGCAATAGGACTACCTATAGAGTATTGTTCTATTCTTAATTACGTCCTGATTGACTTGCCCCATAGATGCTGCCTTATTCACAGGGCTATGTGTTCTTGTTTCCCAGTTGGTCTTAATTGAGGCGCCAGCTCACGTGACCCAGGCGCGTCCGCCGCGTTTGTTGGAGGGAAAAAAAGACTGATGGAATTAATTCTGGACAAGCAGACGAGCTCTCTTTTGGCGCTCCGTTGGGGTTTTGCTCCTGTTTCATTGCTGTCTGATTTGTCCATCTTTAATTCGATCTTTATTGCTTAATAGCCTGTTGTCGATCGACAACATGGACGATTCCGTCCCTGATACCCCCGTCAGCGACAGGAAGATTGTCCGCAGTACTCCTCCGACCGGCGTCAAGTATGATACTGAATATGAGACTATCGCCACTCTTCCGCTGGCCGCTCAACCCTTCCAATCACTTGCAACACAATCGTTGACTCCTGCTTCTCAGCGACTTACTCAACCGACGCAGATCATTGAAGTCCCTCATTCAGCCAAAAGTACCGTCCAAGTTGCCGCTTCTTCTCCCCCAGGTCCGGCATCCTCGCCTTCCCGTCCTGCCTCGCTGGGGGGTCGCCTTTCCAATTCCATGGCACCTCCTGGAACGCGCTTCTGCCCTCCTGCCTCTGCTGGACCTGCGAAACGTACACCCGTCATAAATCTCGACGACGACGGCCCAACATACGTCGGTGGCTCTTCCGACGAAGACACCCAGTTGAAAAGAAGCACGGATATCAAACCATCTATGTTCACCAAGACATCGCGAAGTCCCGACAAAGTCATGGATTCCCCGGTGAGCGCCAATTCTTCGTCTTCTTTTGATCGGTTCAAGGAGATCACCTCCTCCGCGGTCTACAACCCGAGCGTCAAACGCGCTGCTTCCCAGATGGACCCGACCCCCAAAGGCATCCCCATAAAAAAGCCCAGACAGAATGGCCCTTCCCGCGCGCAACCAGTGGAGTTGTCCGTTATGTCACTACAGGATATTCAAGACTACCAGATGAGGGTCAAAGTGGAGAGAATGTTGAAAGTGATGCCGCAGAAATCGGTCCAAGCTTGCATGCAAGCTCTTGTGTTCAAGCGGGGCAATTATGAGGACGCATTGGATCATCTGGCAAGTACAGATGAACGAGATGCACCTGGTTCGTCCGACGACGAATTGGTTACAGCTCAACAAGCCGAACAGATCGCACCAGCGAAGCAAAACATTAAAGCTCGAGGGACAATCCAGGATAAGTGGTCGGCCATGAACTTGCAGAAGAACCTGGCAAGCCAGAGAGCCCAATCACAGTCGCAACCGCAATCGCTGGACGAGGAAGAAACGAAGCCACGGAGACGCTTGATGAGAGGACCAAAGAGCCGTATTGTTTCCCCAAGCCCTACTCGTTCCGAGACTCCTCCCAAGAAACAGCCTGGACGACTGGTACAGGGACGGAAGCAGCCTTCGCCCGCACGTTCGGAATCACCTGAAGCACCTTTGATCATAACTGACGACTCTGATTCTGGTGTTGGCGATGCATTGGAGAATGGGGAATCCGAAATCAAGGTTTTGAGGTTCATCAACACGTGTCAGGCTGTAGAGCTTGCAGATCTGGCTGCAACGACGGAGGATGTTGCCCAAGTCATCATCTCCCACCGTCCATTTAGGTCCCTAGACGAGGCCCGCGCTGTACCCGCCCCATCAACGGAGCAAAGCACAAAACCAAAGGGCGCCAGGGGCCGGAAGACGCCGAAGCCAATTGGTGACAAGATCGTGGACAAATGTCTCGATATGTGGGTGGGTTATGAAGCGGTGGATTCTTTGGTCGCTAAATGCGAAGCGCTTGGACGTCCGGTTGCAGCAGAAATGAAGAAATGGGGCGTTGATATCTTTGGAAAGCGGGACGGTGAATTGGAGCTGGTATCGATTGACCGAGAATCGCACGATTCTGGCATTGGGACACCTGCTAGCCAGCGTACTGACGAGGATAGCGATGGCCCTGCGTCAGGTTCACGCAAGTCTCGTTTTATTTCTCAACCCGGTATCATGAGTGACGACCTGAAGATGAAAGATTATCAAATCGTGGGGATTAACTGGTTGTCCTTGCTGTTTGAGAAGCAGTTGAGCTGCATTTTGGCCGACGATATGGGACTTGGAAAGACATGCCAGGTCATTGCATTTTTAGCGCATCTGTATGAAAAGGGCATAAAAGGACCGCACTTGGTGGTTGTGCCGTCGTCAACAATCGAGAATTGGCTGCGGGAGTTTCAGAAATTCTGCCCGACGTTGTCTGTCATGCCCTACTATGCAGGGCAAGCTGAACGCGCCGTGATCCGTCAGACCATCGAAGATAACCGTGATGACATCAATGTGATTATCACCACCTACACTGTCGCAAAGGCGAAGGTTGACGCACACTTCTTGCGCAACATGGACTTCTGTGTCTGTGTCTATGATGAAGGACATATGCTGAAGAGCAGTACATCAGTGTTGTATGAGAAGCTGATACGGATTCCAGCCCGTTTTCGCCTTCTCTTGACCGGTACGCCGTTGCAGAACAATCTCCAAGAACTGGCCTCACTACTGGGCTTCATCCTTCCAAAGGTCTTTCAAGAGCGCAAGGAAGATCTTCAGTATATCTTTGCAAACAAGGCTAAGACTGTGGATGAGTCCCATTCCACACTTCTCTCGGCGCAGCGCATTGAACGGGCCAAATCCATGCTCAAGCCGTTTGTATTGAGGCGGAAGAAGCATCAGGTCATCGACCTGCCCCGCAAGACCTCTCACGTTGAGTATTGCGAATTGAATAGCGCCCAGAGGGAGATCTATGAGCATGAAAAGGAAGAAGTTCGTCAGCTTCTCGCTGACCGCGCCGCCGGAAAGAAGACTGGTAACAGGTCCGCCAACATTTTGATGAAACTTCGACAGGCTGCTATACATCCATTGTTATACCGGCGTCACTACACCGATACCATCCTCAGCCGTATGGCCAAGGCCTGCTTGAAGGAGGAGCAATGGTCTCAATCCAACCCAGACATCATCTTCGAAGAGCTGCAGGCTTATAATGATTTTGAATGTCATCAGTTGTGTCTCAATCACCCTCATTCCCTCGGGAAATTTGCCCTCAAAAACGACGAGTGGATGAACTCTGGAAAAGTCGATAAGCTCTGCGAGTTGCTCAGACGGTTCCAGGAGAACGGGGATCGAACACTGGTGTTCTCCCAGTTTACTCTGGTCATGGACATCCTCGAGCATGTCCTTGAGACTCTCCATCTGGGTTTCGTTCGATTGGATGGTCGGACGAATGTAGAGGATCGTCAATCCATTCTAGACGCTTTCCACGAGCGAACCGACATTCCTGTATTTCTTCTTTCGACTAAGGCCGGTGGTGCGGGAATCAATCTGGCCTGTGCGAACAAGGTCGTCATCTTCGATTCCAGCTTCAACCCACAGGAAGATGTGCAAGCGGAGAACCGAGCACATCGTGTTGGACAGACCAGGGAGGTAGAAGTCATCCGTCTTGTCACCAAGGACACGATTGAAGAGCAGATCTACGCTCTTGGTCAAACCAAGTTGGCTCTCGACCAAGCCGTTGCAGGCGACGAAACCGAGAGCAAGAAGGGTGAAGAAGCCGGAATGAAAGTCGTGGAGGATATGCTTCTTGCAAAGCAAGAGGAGGTGAAGCCAGATAGCATGAACGCCTGATCCTCTTTCAGTCCTAGCGTCATCGGTTACAGTTGAGCTGGATTAACCTTCTTGATTTGGATTCTGTCTAGAACGAGTTTTCTGCTGCAAGCGAGTCGATCTGCATATCATCATGTTATCGGATTGTTCAGGGACACACGTGCATTCTACTGTTGTCGGATCTAGCAGGGTTCAATGGTTCCCGGCATTGGTCTTCTTTTTCAGGGGTTCTATAGCATCCATAGCATTCACCAACGCCTGTAGCGGTTGGGGACATTCTTAGAGTAATAGGAGCATTATTGGGTCAACCAGAGATCTTTGGTCCTCTGTATCTTTGATAGAATAGTTGCTTCACCTTTGCTGTAGCACAAGCCCCTCGCCAGAGCGAAGAATAAGTGTCCGTGGCTGGTCATGCAACAGTACGTAAGACAACGGCCTCAATAGTACGCTTTTACACCAGGTATCACTAGCCTCCATGGCATTCAACCCCGGTCTCACTCAGTCTTTGACTTAGCAGCTCCTCGATGATGGCTCTAGCAGCATGCTGGTGAGCTCTCATCTCTGCTGACAATAACCACGTCTAGCCATCCCTATCTTCCTGGTGGACGCTAAGTAGATGATTCCTGGACCTTGCATCACTATTCTCTGTGCGGTTACTGATTACTGCATGCCTTGTTGGACCTAATCAATGCCGTGCTACAAACTGCAACATACAGACGCGATGCGATTATTCTCCGCCATGGGAATATATGAGACTGCTGTTTCATTATTGTAGAATATACTCTGCGTTAAACCAGGATGAATGAATATATTCACTAACGAAAAAATGGGAATCTATAAACAGGTTTCTAACACAAACTCCGGACAAAGAAAACCCAGTTAAGGTCATCCATACATACACCATAACATGCAGAGTTAGAACCGAGCTATGCAGTACTATCAAAAAATAGGAAGAAAGAGGAGTGAGAATGGAAAGTCCTCGGACATGACTAGGGGTGGAAGATGATGTTATACTCATGCAGCAAGCTCCTGCTTTTGCATCTCTGGAGCTGGGACAGTGATGTCGATAGGGTGATCTTCCGGCTTCGACTTGACGGGGGCGGGGATGGAGTTGGTGCGAATGGGGCCTCCTCCGTTCACAGCTGGTGAGGCTGCTTTGGGTCTGGGCGCACCGCTTGCCGCACGAGCGGTCTCGTTGTTCTCGAGAGCGTTTTTGACGGCGGTATCGCGAGCAGAATCCTCCGTTTCGTTTTTCTTGTAGACGGACTTGTCGGCGAGATTGAGGATCTTGTCCACTTGGGCGGCCCCCGGAAGTAGGTCATCGAATTTGAGGAAGTGGCAGTAGTCCGAGTAAGACTTTGCTGTCTTTGCATCTTTGAATTCCCTGTTCTTCCCGGGAATGAGGATGTTCAGGAGGAATTTGGTGTTCCCGAAGCGGTTCTCGCACTCAATAGCGGCTTGAAGATAGTCGTGGACCACCTCCCTCCACGGGAGTAGACCACCCTCTGCTTCGGAGCGAAAGCATGACGGGTTTGCCTCGGCCGCTGTCGCTATCATGGCTCCGTCCACCCCGAACTCCTTCATAAGTGCAAGCGCTTCGTCCCGAGAGGGGACGTCGCCATTCATGACGCATGCAACACCAGCCTCGCGACAGATTTGCGCAATCATCGGCAACTGATCACGGATGGCGCGCTCGCGAGGTCGCATTGGTGTCGTGCGGCAATGGACAGTCAAGCCTGTGATGCCTGTGGCAACGAGTCTTTTGACAAGGCTTGCCGTCTTCTCCGGTGTCTCCAGGATACGGATTTTGACCGAGATGCCGATCTGGTAAGGATTTCCGACCTCCCGCACAAGCGATTCAAGGATAGAGACGAGCTTGTCGGGGGTCCGTAGGAGTGCTGCTCCCATTCCACCACTCGTACTGAAAGGTTTGGGACATCCGGAGTTCAAATCGATCCCCGCAACGTCGCCTGCGACCAATTTTGCTGCTTCGACGGCCAGCTCCGGGTTTGCAGAACCGATCTGGAACACCAACTTTCCCTTCTCCCGCACGGGGTCAATCCGGTACAGAATGGACTCCTGAGCAGGCTTGTCTGCGCGGCCACCGTTCGAGGGGAATCTGATATATTCGATGCATCCGTTGCGAGGGTTCACTCGGCGGGTGGCTCCGATGAGCGATCGGTCTATCGTTTCAGGGCCCCAAACAAGATCCGCACCGTACTTGAGAGCGACTAAACGTGAAGGCAGCTCTCCCGAACGCACCATCGGTGCCAGGACTACTTTGCCACGGTAGTCGACACCATTGGCGGGGATAGGGACGCGGGGTGTCGTGAGCGAAGTCATTGCGGATCGGAGGAATCTTAGCATAGCATTATTAACTTTTTGAGACACGGCAAGTGAAAGTGAATGACAGCGAACGCGGTGTATAAAATAAAGTCGTCCTGCAGAGTGTAAATCAACAAACTACAAAGTGGATGGCGACGGACATTGAAAAAGCGGAGATGAAAAAGTGAAAATCACGTGAAGATAATCTGATAAGCTTCGTTCGATTTCCATCGCTATTTCGGAGTCATCCGTTTGCCAGACGAATATCGATTGGAGAAATCCTTGGAGGATAAGGCAGAGATATGTTGGTACTCTGTCACCATATTTCTTATATTGAGGACTGATTTCCCTCTCCGGTTGAGACAAGATAATTGCTGTGCTTACGTTGTAACCCCCCTCCTGCCCGAGCAGTACACGGGTAGTCCAATACTACGAAGCACAGAGTAAACCAAGGTAACCATCATCATAATATGGCGGACTAAGTGGCCAGGTGAAAATAAGGTTATTTAGGTCAAGCGCCGCGATCCCTGTAAGGTGAATTACCAGGGCTTCAGGTATCGAGGGGTCTGACCTGAACAGTTAAAGTTATTGTTCTTCTTACCAATAATGGCCTTGTGAGCTGGTTATTGTTCAATAGTATGGGTCTCAATACCCGCAGACGTCGGGTACCTGGGAGCATCATATTACCTACTGAGTACCATGATTCTACCCCGAGGTAGATATCACCATTACCTCAAATATGACAGACCGGCATCACAGCTGCGGAATAGCACTAATATATTGCGGAGCCCCGCCCGTCATTGTCCCATGCACCGAGGATCTCTGTCGTGCCGACTACCTCTGGTAGCTTCCGGGTATATTTGGGAGACGTCCCGATAAACAGTGGTGGATGGTCATGTTTGAGCACTGTTTCCTCCTATGATTGCAAAAGTAAATTGAACAACAACTACCAGCAACAAGAGAAGGTAAATAATCAATAAATATAGAGAGGGAGAATGTCTTTGTACCTAGGTATCTTTTATAGCGATCAGTGGTCCTCTAGATGGGCCTCGGACACCTGTCGCCAGAATTCCCGACGCCGATTTTCCATCCCGATAATTTCCAGCAATTTTTGTCTTCGATCCCCTTCGCTGGAACAGCTGCTATAAACGGCGTAAAGCCGATCCAAGGTCACGATCACAAGCTTAAAATCAATCTAGATCTGTCAATTGAGGAACTCTGCCCGAATTCCTTCCTATTAATATACAATCAATGTCCCCGGTGGCTTCGCGCATGAGCAGCAAAACACTACTGCCCCTGTCTCCATTGCTCCGACTGTCCACCGCCTCACCGGCCCTCGCCCGCTCTCGTTCGCCCAGTCCACGCACATCAGCAACGCTGGCTCCCCCACTCGACAAGCCCCTCCTCCCTCCTCCCTCTCGTCCTCCTCCTCTTTCTCTTCTTCCTCCTCCCTTCAACAAGCAAATTTGTCTTCGTCATCATTGTCAAGAGTTCGTTCGTCGGTCAGCTCCGCGTCAACTCGTGCTGCTCTTCTTTCTAGACATTTTTCTTCGTATACACCGCCGCAATCGCCCAACATGTCTTACACCGTTCGCAAGATCGGCCAGGCCAACACCCTGGAGCACCGTGTCTACATTGAGAAGGATGGCGTCCCGGTTTCGCCCTTCCACGACATTCCCCTCTACGCCAACCCTGAGCAGACAATCCTCAACATGGTTGTTGAGATTCCCCGCTGGACCAACGCCAAGCAAGAGGTACGCAATCCGGATCCGCGAGACACCTGACAGTTGCTATTTTTCGTTACGGAACATTCGCTGATTCGGCTTGGATATCTAGATCTCCAAGGAGGAGTTCCTGAACCCCATTAAGCAGGATGTCAAGAAGGGAAAGCTCCGTTTCGTCCGTAACTGCTTCCCCCACAAGGGTTACCTCTGGAACTACGGTGCCTTCCCCCAGGTAAGTCAACTATGGAAATGGTGCATTGTCCAGGCCAATCAATGCTGATCGGAGACCTTCCTATGGTTAGACTTGGGAGGACCCCAACGTTGTTCACCCCGAGACCAAGGCCAAGGGTGACAACGACCCGCTCGATGTCTGCGAGATCGGTGAGCTTGTTGGCTACCCGGTCAGGTCAAGCAGGTCAAGGTCCTTGGTGTGATGGCTCTGCTCGACGAGGAGGAGACCGACTGGAAGGTCATCGTCATTGATATCAACGACCCTCTTGCCCCTAAGCTCAATGACATTGAGGATGTTGAGCGTCACCTTCCTGGCCTTCTCCGTGCTACGAATGAATGGTTCCGTATCTACAAGATCCCCGACGGAAAGCCCGAGAACCAGTTTGCCTTCTCTGGCGAGTGCAAGAACAAGAAGTGGGTTCCTTCTTACTCCGTCTGATGTAAACTTCCCGGGGCTAACATTTTTCGTTTCTAGGTACGCTCTCGATGTTATTCGCGAGTGCGCTGACGCTTGGGAGAAGCTCATCACCGGCAAGAGCCCTCGTGGCGATATCAGCCTGTAAGTACTTCATTAACCGTAGTTACACCCGCGAGGCAAGGATTCAACTGACTTTGACAGTGCCAACACTTCTGTTGAGAACTCCCCTGACCGCGCCGACCCCTCCCAGCTTGCCAGCATCCCCAAGGGCGAGAACCTCCCTCCCGCCCCCATTGACGGCAGCATTGACAAGTGGTTCTTCATCTCTGGTGCTGCTGTTTAAATCTATATTGAACAAAAGTTCTAGAAATTTAAAATCCTTTCCGTCCGTCCTCAGGGCGAATACTCAGTACTTTGCATATTCCCGTATTTGCTCATATCCTGTAGAAAAGTGCCGGGACTTTCGTAGACACCGTCGGTTCTAATGAATTAATGAAGGTCGCATGAAATCCTCTCCCTGGAGCTTGAATATTGCTGTGAAGACTCATAGACAAACAGGTCTGGCGGGCTGAAAAGTAGAAATATCTTGTTCAATGCTAATATATACAAAGGTCGTCAACTCACGTTATGGCTCGTCAACACCTTTTCCAAATTTCACACGCAGCAATCATCGCCCTTCCCCTTCTATAGTACAAATGCACAATGAGAAAACTCGAACCCGATGTCCTCGGCGCCGTAGCGTAAAACCCGCAATGATACCTAGAAAACCACGAAGAACAATATACAGACGCGAAAATCAACCCTTGAGGGTCTCTTCTCGCTCGATACTCCGTCCCACACGCGCAAGTTCTTCGATCACATCGCCGATCTTCATCTGGTTCTTGCCCACCTCGATCTTGACTTCCTTGCCTCCTCTGAATCCTACCGTCATCTCGGGGAGCTGTGTCGAGTGGCGCGGCAGCTGAGTAACCTTGATGTCGATATGCGTCGGACTCGAGGCGGGTGTGGTGGAAGGGTTGCGGAGGAGAGAGAGGAGCAAGCGGCAGGGACGAGCGGACCGGGAGAACGGATTGAAGGTCGCCCGGAAGGAGGTGATTGTGTGCAGTGGGATGGTCATTTTGGTGGGGTGGGTCTCTTTTTGATGGACGTTCGAATAGCAAGATGGAATGGTTAATTGGAGGTTCGCTGCTCAAGGAATTAGTTTAGAGCGTAGGGAGTGGTTTTCTGAAGATGATGGGACAAACATACAAGATCGTATGGTTACAGGGAGTCCAACACCGGTTTAAGTCAGCTTTCCGCGCTTGAGCCGGTCAATCGAGTGAGTCCGTTTGGTTTTTTGCGAGAACAGCGGCGGGCGTAGTCGGACCCTTGTAATTGAGGATGGTGGCTCCGAGATACAGAAACCAATTCTATAGCGATGAGGCCGTTGCCCGTTCCTGATCTACCTAGAAAATTACCTCGCAGTCGGCGGCCGGAGAGATGTGTTTGTTAAAGATGCAAACACTTTGTGGCCTCAGGAACCGATGACGCTGTTGATTTTGGACACGAGTGGTCGTCCGCAGAGCAATCGCAGTGGACAGCAAAGGGGATCGGCTTTCTCAAAGCGAAGCTCCAAGAACGACTGCTTTGGCTGTTATGGTGCATCCTTGAACACTCAATATTCAATATCTTGGACATATCCCACGACCTGTGCACATACTACCGAACAATCTTGATATACACTAGAAATACACTGCCAGGATGGCTTCAACAGCTGCTCTCCAAGCTCGCCTCAAAGAGCTCTCAATAGCTCTGGCTCAGATACACCCGCTCATTGATCGCCTAAGGAATTTCACAGTGGCTATTGGTCAAGGTGACGAGGCCCGCCTGGAGTTAGGACAGGAAATACATGGCTCATTGAAAGAGGCGGAAGAGCAAATGGAGATTCTGAAGGTTGAGGTCGATGCTCTTGAAACTGGCAATGAAAACGGACGGAGAGGTATGGACAATGCGAAAGAGCTGGAAAAAGAGCGGATCGTTTCGTTGGCGGGGAGGTTGGCCGATGAGATCAAGAGGTGAAGCGCCCCTCCAGGTTACATTTATCCTGCTAATATACTTGCCTAGGACGAGAGTGGAATTCCGCAACGCTCAACTCCAGGCGAAACGAAACGCGGAGGCTGCAAAACGCAAGGAGAGGGAGCTATTGTTTTCGAGGTCACAGAGCGCCGAGCGCCGAAGTCAATCTACCGAGAAGCTGTCGCATGGTGATATTGTCAAGAACGCCTCAAGCGATGTTACTGCCGCACTGCGCAGGACGCACCAGCTGATGCAGGCGGAACTATCTCGAAGTCAATTCGCCCACCAAACTCTAGGTTGGTTATTCCTGCATTGGGAGACGTCTTCAGTCTACTAAGCCTATAATCACAGAACAATCGACAGCTGCCCTATCCTCATTGTCGGAGTCTTACACCGATCTCGACTCTCTCCTCTCATCCTCCCGCAATCTCGTCGGCTCTCTCCTCCGGTCTCAAAAGTCTGACACTTGGTACCTGGAAACAGCATTCTACATTCTTGTTGGAACAATTTCTTGGCTCATATTCCGTCGCATATTATATGGACCGCTCTGGTGGCTTGTATGGCTGCCGATTAAGTTGATAGCGAGGTCCGCGTTCGCTATCCTTGGAACAGTCGGGATCACTAGCACGGCCGTTCAATCACAATCTTCAGCATCACTTACCCAAAGCATGCCTCAGGAAGCACCAACATTTGGCCAAACAGCAGTCATGCCTAGCGCTTCCGTCAGCGCTTCTTGGGACCAAGCACAGGCCTCTGAAGAGCAACCTGAAACTGATCGGCTGATTGATCAGATTGGCGATATGGTAGAAAAGAACAGCAAATTGGAGGAAGGAACCAACATCGACGACGTGTCGCCAGAAGAAAGGCAACGACAGGAAGAGATACCGCGAAACCCAAAGAAACGCATGTACGAAGCTACGGAAGTCGAACAAAACCAGAGAGATGAGTTATAGATGTAGATGGACCTATTTATCAATACAGACCATGTTTCACGATCAATCCGCTGCATTACTTACGAGACACGAATAAAAATGAACTTAGTTTTGGAGAGGCGAGCAGCAAAGGGGAAAACAAGAGAAGTAAAGATGATAAAAAAGAAAAAAGAAAGAGATTTGACAAGAGTGGGATTCGAACCCACGCCATCATACGATGATGAGGAAACTCATAGAGCTTGGTATTAAGGTGTACCTTAACCTCACGCCTTGGACCAACTCGGCCATCTTGCCATTCGATGTTTATTTTGTGTTATTTTAAATAGATGAACCAAGCTTGTCCGCAGTTGAGTTGTGTGAGCTAGTGAAGGATGATTTGACGTCACATGACGACCTATGGACAGGACGTTGGAGAGCGTTACCGAACGGGCTGTCAGCTCATTTGCATGCATACTGGCATTCCGCATATAGCAGACCTTCGTCACCGACCTGGCGTCTGCTTTCCCCTCTTTTTCCAAACTCGCCTTTCATGCCCTCATGAACCTCTATGACAACCCCAGATGCCTTTCGAGATGCGGAGCACATCGCTGACGTGTCCGGCATATCTTATGAAAGCGTCGCGAACCTCACCGAGCAAGATGCTAATGTGTTGACTCGCGAGAATGAGCGCATGAGAAAGCTGCAGTCGGCTGCCAAGGTCGCGTTCATTGATCGTCTACTTCGCGACCTTGATATCCTGATTTACTGTGAGCTATCTGCGCTCTATTACATGGAGTGAGCTGCCTCAATTTCATCGTGACTGCTTTCTGGAATTGCTCTGAAGAGCACGTCGTCGGAGTGTGGCTTGCGTTTTACTAACAGGACTCTCATTGCTTTGCTCCAGTTGCTCAGTCATACTCTTCGCAATCCGTGCTATAGTGCAGTTGATATTCTTCACCCCAAAAGCCCCTCCTTTTGATCCGACACGGAATCAACCCTTCATCGGAGCCATCTTCGTCAGTAACATCTTTTGTATGATCTTTCACAACTTCTTCAGTCGTCCTGAGGCCGGAGAAGCTACTAGAGGGTATCTTCATGGGGGGTTGTTGATTGATTTCATCGGACAAAAAGCCCCCATTTCGCTATTTCGGCTGCTGTCGCTCGATTTTCTTGTCCTAATTCTCGATTTTGTCATGCTGGGTCTCATAGTCGAAAGAGTGAAAATAACAGGGCAAACAACCCCTACTTCTGCAGAAACGCCCAGAGTACAAGACCATGACTCGGAGGAAAGAGGCGTCCATAGGACTCGACCCGAATCGCGGTCTTCCGGTGATGGTGCTGAGCTTGACGAGACCAACGCCCATGTTACCGATGCACATGCCAGTGTAGATGAGCACGCGGAACATACACAGTTATTGGCCGACCCGTCAGAGAATGGTCATACGCCTGGTGCGAAGAACAGCCACCCACTGGACACTTTCTCCTCGGGAGAGTCTGTGATCATGAACCTTGGCTTCTTTGATGTCATACGTGACCAGTGGAAATATAGTACGACTACTCCGCCGGCACGAACATCTTCTTACATACCGTCAGACCAGACGGCGGCTTTTCTACGAGCAAGGTTTGGGCTGCAGGTCGGGCCAGATGGACGTGTCCAGCGGATAGAATCCTGACTCTTTCTGCCGTTGTTCACGAATTGGTTATCAATAGCTTCTTCTGTAAATATGTCGTCGTTAATACATACCTAGATCATGCCAATGCATGCTCATCAAGTGATGGGAACCAGCTAAGGTATATGGCTAGCTGATACAGCGTAGATACGCTAATAAGTCGTACCGTGGCAGAGCCAACTGGCAGGAAGAGATGCTATGCACCCTGGGAATGGTGTGTTGAACACAACATTACACTACTATTTCAACTACGCTAGAAATGGTTGTCTAGACGCCTTTTTTAGTCGCGTGGTTATGGTTGACATCTCCGCTCTCCACTCTCCGCTCTCCGATGCTCCTACTCCAAATCCTGACCAGTACGGCAGTACCTTGCTCGATCAAGATTTCAAACATCAGACCCACCGCTCATTTCATTGACGAGACAACTGCATCTTGATTACCATTCACTCGCTCATTGATCGGTGATGAACTCAAGCATCTTCTTGAAAAGGCTGGGTCGCACCGCCCTACAGCCTGTGTTGTCGCGAAGCTTCACCAGCACCATCCCCGCATTGTCCAGCGCAATCCCTCCGAGAGGGTGGACCCCAACACCATTTGTGACTGAAACAGTGGTGAGTCCCAATTTTCTTTGGATGTTTGAGTGCTGACTAGATTGACTGACTGCTATAGGGAGGCGGTTGGCACACATGTACGTTTGTTGGCCGTGTATCAATCGTCGGAGCCAACGCCAAGCTAACAACGAGTTTTATAAGATGATATCTTTTCCAGATTGTTAAAGGTATAGCAGATTTTCTATAAGTGAACTCCGTGAAATGTAGATTGCCCTTACTTACATTTCTCTCTCCAGGAGCGCATAATCTGCCTCAATGGCGAAGTAGACGAAACCATGTCCGCGTCGATAGTCGCCCAGCTCCTCTTCCTCGAAGCCGACAACCCTCAGAAACCTATCCACCTATACATTAACTCCCCTGGTGGCTCAGTGACAGCTGGTAAATCTAGCACACCCGATATCTCGGTCGTTCGCATACACGGGCTAATCTAACCTACCTATACCTAGGTCTCGCCATCTACGATACAATGACCTACATCGCATCCCCCGTCAGCACAATCTGCGTTGGACAGGCAGCCTCCATGGGTTCGCTACTACTTTGCGGCGGCAACCCGGGGAAACGGTACTGTCTCCCGCATTCGTCTATCATGATACACCAGCCCTCGGGTGGGTACTTCGGACAAGCGAGCGATATCGCCATTCACGCCAAGGAAATTCTCCGTGTTCGCAGCCAATTGAATAAGATCTACCAGCGGCACCTGACGGGGAAGAAAGTGCTGTCTCTTGAGGAGATCGAGAAGTTAATGGAGCGTGATTACTTTATGGGGGCGCAGGAGGCTTTGGAGATGGGTATTGTCGATGAGATTCTGGACCGCAGGGTAAAGCCGCAGAACGAAGGAGGAGAAGGGGAAGGGAAGCCGCCGGTGCCGTGAAAGAGGCGGGGATATCTATGTCTTTGATGAAAAAAGTGCATACATACCCAATGCTATGCTTGCTTAGTCCTCTTCATGGGGTTCCACCGTGTTGGATGACACAGTGACACGTGAGCCCTGGCTATCAAGAATCACTTAAGAAGCGTTTAGCTTTACATCCTGCCATAGTCATCGTTTCCGAACTAGGTGTGAAGAACCCTATAAGTCATTCTAGTTCTAGCCAGTTCACCCAAGCCAAGCTAGAGTGCTAGACACATAGCCAGTTTTGAAAGCCGTAGAGTTGGGATACAGGCCCCACAAACCACGCGCGGGAGAGTCACTACTAACGGGTTAAGTGACAGCCCAGTAATCGATCCTGGCCAAAGGCGCGCTAGATTGATGTAGCTCCGCTCTCTTCGCGAGAGAATGTCCAGAGAGAAAGCCTTATTACCCTCCAAGCGTTCGTTGGACTACCCAGGCCACCATCGGCTTTTAGAAAAATAAGGCCACCATGAGGAGGTAGCTGATCAGTTTAACTCGGCCTGACGGGTGCATGAGAGAAAGGCAGGGTACTGTTATAGTTATAAACCAAGGGACTGGTCAGGATTTGGAGTAGGAGTTGGAGAGTGGAGAGCGGAGAGCTCAAATCACTGATTTCTCCGCTTACTCGCGGATTTCTTCAGCTTGTGTTTTCATGTCCAACCACAACAGCTGCAGAGCATGGAGTGCTGTCAACATCGCGTGTCATACGCGTCATGGCGAGTAGCTACGTTTCGTCAACTTTTTCTCACATCTGCAAATCCTGTATCGTCCCATCGCATCCTTCGGCGTGGAATCTCAAGCTCCATCGGCCGGGACGAGTCGCGAAGTCCAGAATCTCAGAATGAAGCCGACCCTCAGGAGGTAGATCAAGCCGATGTGCTGGAAAGCGGGGAAGCGCCATCTCAAACAGCTCAATCTGTCCGTCCTTCGCAGTTACTGCCTCAATCGCCCTTACTCACAAAAGCACTTCCCGGAGTCGAAAAGAAGCGCAAGAAACGGCCAACTCAGAGCGATGCAGACCGATTGCGGCTCAATCCCTGGGCAGTAGCACTGGCATCGCCTCTACGTATGTGCGCAGTTACCGGAACTCGTTTGCCACGAGAGTTTTTTACGGATTGGGGTCTAATCCATCGCCCAGACGACGAGGGGCTCTGGTTCATGCCTGTTGGTCTTCTACGGGACGAAATATCGACATCGAAAGTCGCGCAAGCCGATCGAGATGATCAAGCCGAACAATTATCCCCAAAGAACAAGTCGTTCCGCTCCCTCACTCTACGAATTATCGACCGTCTTCCCCTGCTGAAGGACTTGACCATACCGCTTGCGCGAAACAAGAGTGGGAGAAGGCCCCTGATTACAAGACTGGTGCCCTTCAGATGGAAGCACCCGCTGGGCCCCCTTACGACTCGAGAGGAGAAACGGTTGATTTGGCGGGAGGACATGCCTGAGTTCGTTCTTGAGAGAATGCGGAAGCATGTTCTAAAGAAACTCAAAGACATGCATGGTGCGCAGAAGCGCTCGAAATCAGGGCTTGGGTCATTAAGGATCATTGAGATCAAAGACAGTTCCTACGATGCTCTTCTGGAAGGTTTAGGATGCCTGGAAAAGATCGAGCGCATGGAATGCGGTGGGGTGCTGGTCATGGACCGTCAGTTGGAACAACGCGAGAATGGAGATTCTTCAACCGGTCAAGAGCAGGCTCATGACCACGAGTCAGCAAAGTCTCCGTATCCGGACTTGGTAACCCTTCCACAGTCCCAGTCGAAAGTACCCGTCTTTGACCTGACTGAGCTATTGTCCCAAGCCGATCTAGCAGAAGTCAGGGACTATGGTGCACTCTTTGGAAACACTGCTCTAATCCTGAGTCCAGACAACCCGGCGGCCGTTCAAGCTCTTCTGGCGCTGTGGAAACTGAAGGCATTCCTTAGACCCCAGGAAGCATGACCTGCGTGCGGACTGCGGACGCCTGTCGAGCCGTCAAGGGCGTCTAGCGTTGCTTGCGGGTGGATGCCATTCCTTTGATGATAATTTTATATGTCAAATTATATAACAACTCTATGGGATATCTTGATGAGATCTATCGACGGTGAATCTCGCCTCGAGGTGGCTGTACCGGGGCCAATGCTTGAAGGTCAGCAACGGGAGACGAGCTCGGTGATGCTACTTCACTTCGCTTCCAAAAGGTCGGAAAGTTTGTCTAGGTAAACCGAAGGCCTAATAGGCCCAGTTAGGAAGTCCTCCTTTGAGCTGACTCCAGTGAGGACACCCAAAGTGCCTCCGAGCTTGCCTTCTAACCCAAACCGGATGTCGGTGTTGGCGCGGTCCCCCACCATACACGTCCGAGATCTATCGAACTTGAATTTTCCCTCAATCGCATCCATCATTGCTTGGTTTGGCTTGCCTAGCGAGACAGGCTCTTCGCCCAGCATCATGATAAGCGGCGCACTCATGGAACCCGCGCCGGGGAACAGCGTTCCTGAGTTCGGAAGCGTGGAATCGATATTGGTCGCAAGGAAAACCGCACCACGTTTGATGTAGTGATATGCGAGAGCCAACTTCAGGTAGTTCAGATGGAAGTCCAGTCCTACGAGAACGACTCCGACCTCAGGATCAAGTAACGCTGGGTCACCAGCTGCAATAAGCTTGTAGTCCTCAGGTCTCACTTCGCGACGATACGCGGGATCTGTGCCTCCAATGAATGGAACGTTCTCTGTTTGAAGCTCTTGCTCAATGCCCGTCTCTCCGATGACGAAAACCTTTCGCTTATTCTCTGGCAGTTTGAGTATACGGGAAATATAAATGGATGCGCTGTACGAGGAGGAAAAGATTTCTTCCTGTTTTCTTCTGTCAGCCTAGCCCGGTGTACACACCCTTCTACTCTGGCCCGGCCTCGGCAAGCTTTCGCTTGAACACGTACCGTTGTGCTAGGGATCCCCAGCTTCTCCAGTTTCTTTTTGTAGTCGGCCCGTGACTTTGTGCTGTTGTTCGTAACGAAAACGACCTGCTTGCCTGGTGGATATGAGTCTAGCTCGCGGCTTCTCCCCAGCAGGTGCGCGCATACCGTTGCTCCTCAACATTTCCAGCGTCTCGACGGTCCCAGGGAAGAGGTGGTCGCCAGACCAAAGGACTCCTGTATCAGACGTTTTGTTCAGCAATCGCCCCAGCGAATTGGATCAGGTATTCGCGGAATCATCATGCCCATTGCACGGAATGAGTGAGTGAAGGAGGGCAGCACATACCATCGCAATCGAACAGAAATACCTAATAAGTCCAGTCAGTTTCTTGATCAGCGAAAGACGTATAAAGTGCATGCCATTGGAACGCGTTCATAGGTTAGACTTACATCGAATTTATCCAAAAACTCCTTAATCTCCTCCTTCTTCCCTGTTAGATAGCGGGGTACGGTCGTCATCGCGGGGTACGGCTGAGGACTCTCCGGAGGGGCCATTCTGGTTTTTCTGTACTTGGTCCCGATGCTACACGGCCAGGAGGTCTATTCGTAGATATATATAAGAGAAGAACCTTCAGGAATTGCTGATGAGACCGAACCCCAAATATGGTAGCAGTGACTGTCAAGCAGTGACTGTCAAGCTGCGATGTCGGTCAGCTTACCTGTACGCTGACTGTTCGGACAGATGCGCGAGCGGGGCCCACACGTGGTTGTGGGGCATGGCCAGAGGATCGGAGATGCTCATATACTCCGTAGTCATACTTCATACTTGGGGAGAAGCAGCAGGAATATTAATTGATGATTGTAGCGTGATTTCATGTCTTAGGTCTTCATTTGATAATACACTCCTATACGTCTTCGGAATTGCCTTACCATGAGCACAGTACTCATTAAGCGGCGCATAAGCAGTCAGGGATCTACCAGATCCTCCCATGCTTGAATGCTTCAATACATTCTTTACATTGAGCTATGGTCATGGCCATCATGAGTGAAAAAAGCGGCTAAAATCCTCGATTATGTGTAGATCAATAAATCATGAGCCGCCTAGGATGCCTGATATTCGGAGAGCAAGATCTAGTATCGACAAATGTTCGTCTGCCCCGTCGACCAGACGCTTGTCCATCTCCGAGAAAGCGGTTACGATCTTGTTCTTTTGTATGTCCGGAATAGCATCATTGTAGACAATCCGTCGGTACAGCTGCCGATCGTTAGCATCTTTGACCACGTGCAGGGTGGAATCTCGCGACATGTGCAATTGAACGGAGCCTTGTGCAAGGGAGTGGCAAAAGAGCTTACCTGTAAGACAAGCTGACCCGCGCTCCATCCATCCGCAACAATATCCGTGACGACGGCAGAGACAGCCTCGTAGGAAGACCCCAATTTCTTCGGCTGCATGGCCTGAGCGAGTCGATCTATAATGCTTTCAGGGACAACACCGGCAATCTCTTCGATCATTCGCACAGTGACAGGTTCTGAGCTGGCGTCTGTCATCTCAGAGTCCTCGTCCCCATCTTTCTGACCCGTCGGACGACCAGCGCCTACCAACCGGGCCGCACTCTGCATGTATGTGATGGCACGCCGTAAATCCCCTTCGCCACAGCTAATCAGCTTATCAGTGACGCCCTCATCAAGCTTCAAATTCTCTAACTTGGCAATATGCGCCAAGCGCTCCGCTGCGGCCGAATTATCCAGCGGCTTGAAGCGGAACTTGCTGCATCGACTGGCAAGCGGCTCAATGATTCGTGTGACGTAGTTGCAGACGAGACAGAAACGGGTGATCCGGCTGTATTGTTCCATCGTGCGTCTGAGCGCAGACTGTGCATCTTGAGTCATGCTATCCGCCTCATCCAGGATGATGATCTTGAACGGTGGGCAGGGGTATTGTTCGAAATATGATGGGTCCAATCCGGTGGGTTGGCTGAGTTGCGTGCGGGCGAATCCCTTGACCTTCTCCCGGACAATGCCGATACCTCGTTCGTCTGAGGCGTTCAGTTCGAGGATGCGTGACCGATAAAGAGCAGGGCCGAATAGTGATTTTGCAAGCGCGAGGATGGTCGAGGTCTTTCCTGTACCGGGGGGCCATAGAAAAGCATGTGAGGGAGCTATTTCTGTCAGTCATGTCCCATTATTAAATTGTTTGAGGTGAGGAATCTTTATCTCGTACATTTGAAGCTTGTAATGTCCGTTGAAGGACTTTCGTGGTGTGGTCTTGCGCGGCTACATCATCGAGGGTCTTGGGACGGCTATTGATCTCCGTTAGAACGGCCATTGCGTAGAATAGTCGATGGGCTAGATATTGCATACTATTTCTCAACCCATGGCTGCAGCCGTGTCTGCTCCTCCTTTCCATCTGTTGGCTTTTGCTTCGAACTGGTGGATGCTGCGGCAGCTGCTGCAGCTCGGGCCTTGTTGTTAAAGAAATTGGCAGCCATGAGTAGCTACTCAAACATGTGAAGCCGCTTGAGGTTAAGTAATTCAGAATCTTCAATGAAATGCTCTCATTGAAATTAAGATGGCTTAAAAGATGCTGTCTTGAGCACAGATACCCAGGAAACGTGTCTGAGAGACGCGTCTACACGTGATACGCGATAGTCTTAATATTGGGAAGACCGCCTGCCCTTTAAAGCGAAAAATACGGTCAGTTACAGATGTGCTCTACGCAAATGCGACAAAGGTAAGGGAATTTACTGTTCTAGGTCAAGAGCTTGCTGTTGATGACTCTCAAATTTAGCTGACATAGTCGCGACTTCATCTAATGAGCACTCTCTATCGTTGCCCTTAGGTCTTCCCTCGTTGGTGAGAAGCACCTTCTTAGCGTGAGAGTGAGATATTAATGCTCGGTGAGGCTAGTAGAACATCGATAGTATGTTTTATTTCTAGTTCATTCAAGTATGAGGGAGACTAATCCTGCGCCTCTACATGCTGAATGATAAGATGTGATTTCGCTAACAGGTAGTCTAGGTCGAGAACTCAATCGACCAGGATCTGTTTAGAAACGCTCGAGTAGTGTTTGAAGAAGCTGGTAAACAGGCGGATCGAGTGTCCCACATCGTAGGTACCGCCAGTCTCACGGATACTGTGCATGCTCAATTGTGGGTTACCCAGATCAAGGGTTCGAGCACCTAGTGCAGCAGACAGCATAGGCCCAATAGTGCTACCACAGCTGGAATCGTTGCGAACAACGAAGAGCTGCAGAGGGACTCCCTCGCCCCCATTTTCCGCCGCCTTTTGAGCAACTTCCTGAAGAAGAACAATGCCAGGCGAGTTGGTAGCGTAGCGAGCGTTGGCGTTGATTTTGATGACAGGGCCTTTGTTGATCTCTGGACGGTGATCGGATTCGTACTTCGCAGCGTAATTTGGGTGTACTGCGTGAGCCATATCGGCGGATAGGAGGAAGGAGGTAGACAAAGTCTGCTCGTAGGCTGTAGATACATCGTCTTGGTCGGACGAAGACGAAGGTAGAACCGACAAGCGATGAATGACGGCGGGAAGGAGATTTGAGTCAGCGCCCTGAGCAGTACGGCTTCCAATTTCCTCATGGTCGAACAATGAAATGAGTCGGATAGATGTCTCATCATCCAGTGCCGAGGAATCAGCAACAGACTCGATCAAGCCAACAGTGGCACAGAAAGAGCTGTTGAGATTATCCAGTCTAGGTGAGAAAATGAACTCCTCGTGCATGCCACCCAGGCAAGATTTTTGGGTGTCAAACAGAATCATTTCGAAGTCAAGAATGTCGACGGGCTTGACACCTGCCTCAGCAGCCAGGAGCTCGACAAAGTAGGGATGATGACGCTCAGTTATCGCCTTCAGAGGAGAAAATTCGCCCTTACCATCCTGCTTGGCTTCAGCGTCTTTGGGTTCGCCGGTACGGTTGAGCTCGGCTGCCACAAGGCCAGCAATAGGGAACAGCTGGGTCTCTTTGTTGAATGAGAAAGTTTCCTGCCGGTCAAGATGAATGGCCAAGGTGGGAATGCGAAGGACTGCAATTGAGGTCAGCTGTCACTTCCTTCGCACAAAATTAATATCGGGGAGTGCTACTTGGACGGTCGATCTTAATCAATTTCTGCACAATGGAGCCATCGCTGGTCTTAACCATAGCGCGACCCGCAACTCCCAGGTCACGGTCAAACCCTAACGACCATTAGTTTTGAGTGAGCTGTGTAGGGATAGAGTTCAGTAAACGGACATGTGTGCCAGATGCCTCCACCATACGTCTCAACACCAACTTGCATATAACCCTCTCCGCGCTTGTTGCTAACAGGCTTGACTCTCAGAACAGGGGAGTCTGTGTGCGCCCCGATCATGGAGATGGCATTGCCAGGCTACAATAGGCCGACAACTTTAGCTTTTTTGACCGAGGAGGCTGTATGTTGTGTCACCTGGTGTCGTGCAAACATACCTTCCATTTCTTGCCTACTGCAAAAGCTACGATGGTTGAGCTATTGCGGGTCAGATAGTACTTTCCGCCAGGCCGGCATGTCGAAGCCCAAGAGTCTTTTTCCTATGGGGAAAGAGTGAGAAGATTGATATTGACATGATCTGCGCCCCTAGATATAAATCATACCTTGATTTCTTGGAATCCTGCTTTAATGAGGAGTTCTTTTGCAGACTGAACAGCATGGAAGGCTAGAATTCGCGCTGCTGTCAGTTCCAGTCTCTAGATAAGAAGCAGCGTTCAACCGTAAGGAAGGTGTATTTACGAGTTGGAGAGGCATTGACAAAGGACAAAAAGTCCAAGGCGGGTTGCTTCAAGTTTTGCGCAAGCTTAGAGGTCATCTTGAAAGAGTACCCTGTTAGCTATTGGGTAGCTTATGGTGAAGTCTGGAGTAAGTGGAGAGGAGGGACTATCTATTTGTTGGCATGAGATCGGATCATAGATGCACTCCAACAATCTTGGCGGTCAGGCCGATACTAACCACGTTCGGTAGCCTGTAGCATTTGAGGACATGGCAGCTACAAAGACCTTGTTACATAGTTATGATAACTTAGTCTGCATACTCATTATTAAATCGAAAATATGACAAGACCTGATGAGTCCTATTTTTAGTAGGATCCATTTGTTTGTCGTACAGAAATATCCCACTCACGTGGTTTCTTTAATCTTCACTGTCAACCTAAGCACAGATCTGACTATGAACAAAGGCTGAAATGATTGATCTAACATCTCTAATCAGACAAAGAGGGTAAAGAACAGTGGAGGCAATTGTCCAGAAACTCAGATTTAAACCTAGTCAATATATGCACTTTCATATTGTAGTGCAGTACGGAGTAGCCATGTTGAGGTTGAAGGTTCTGAGTCCGAAGTGTCTAAGTGGTGTAGATGAAGAAATGCGGAAGAGATAAGGTATGATTTCATCATCAGATCAGTAGATAGTTATTCACGGGGAATTTTTGCCGTAGACAACCGCTCAGCTGGTGTTGGGATCGACAAAGGCCCATGATCAAAGAAAGGGTTTCTTTGGCTGCAGAGGTTGAAAGTAAACTCTCCCTTTCCCCATGGTCTGGCCCGAGCTCTCAGTCGCGTCGAGGGCGCGTGGAACGACAGGCGGTCGCGAAACCGATAGGACAGTTAGTGCGCCTGATAGATAGGGCACAACAATCAACGACAGGCTGAGCGCGCCCTTCTGGTTAGGTATATTGGCGCTTCGCGTTAATGAAGGGTTTTGTTATTTTTTTTTTTTTTTTTTTTTCAGAAGACACAACGTAGGCCGACATATTGATTTCAGTCATCAGATGCAATTATTCCCATATTTGGTACAGGACTGCATTATTGTGATCAGTGTTACTGTGGGCGCAGATGTATACAACAGTGATCTGTGTGCTCACCACATGGTTAGCCAACACAACGACAACAGTAAACTACATCACAACCAAGTCAGACAAATGGGCTCATTGACATAGTTTCTACAGTAGTTCCTCATTCTGCGACAAATCTTAGAATTAGGATAAATGGCAATATCAACAAAGGTAATCGCAACACGTTGATCCATCAGCCAACCTCCTCTGTCCCAGATAGGCTTAGTGCTCCCGACGCGTGACTGGAGGGATGGAATCCCCTTCGAAACTCCGTCACCCCCCAAAAGAGAGAGAGCCCGTAGCCCGCCCTTGGACTGCTTTCGCTACTTATCAGTCTCTCATAGCTCACCAGACGGTGGTCAGGTCGCTTTCAAATGACCTCCACAAGTTACCAGATTCCGTCAAATCAGCCTTGGGTCTGGTGAGAGAAGTGAATGGTACCCTGCCCGCCATTTGTCGCTCATCTGCCTTCAGTTATTTATTGTTCGGAGCGGAGCAGAAGGACTTGGCCGTTGCTACCGACAACCTTATTTATTCTACGAACCACCAGCTCTTAGGGCAAACTGCGATTATTCAATTAGCAAGACGGTCCGTCGCTCGTCGACTTGAAAGCGCAACATCATACGGTTTCTATATATCTCTCCACATCGTCACCGGACACCTGGAACCTGTCGCATCGCCTCGCTGGTCCCTCCTACAGTCGATACCAACCTCGAGCGCTTGCACTCCGAATAGAATCCACGCTTGCAAGTATGGGCGACAACAACAAAGATCCAGATTCTCTGGCCGCTGCTGGCGCAATGGCGGCGAAATCCACTATGAGATCGTCGGAGAGAGTCCCCAATGCCTTGAATATCGCATCCCCTCCCGGATCAAGGACGCCTCCCAGCATGCCATCGAAGAAGACGATTTTCTATCCCGCTACATCGGCAAGGAGACAGAAAAGCCACAGCAGTTCCGAACCCGTTGATCCCAACTTGCTTGCGAAGGCTCTGAAGGAGTACGAAGATGCAGGACGTCCTCGGGAAAGAACCCCTGGAACCAGCCCCAGTAGGAAAAGACAGCGAGTATATGGCGATCGGTGAGCATCATGATACATTGTATTGTCTCTTTGATGGGCGATGACTGACCGAAGGCGCCCGCAGGTTTATACCAAATCGCGAGGGGCAAGATCTACAAGCAACTTATAGCTTGCTTCATGAAGATGGATGTCCCTCTACTCCTTCCAAAACGAAAAAGCGCGCCCCTCACTCGGAGCTTCACTTCCAAAAAAGTATATTTACCTCGGGACCTTGATCGACGTACCTGGAACTGACATTGCCTATAGCGGAAGAAGCAAATAGAATGTACTCGCGCGTACTCAGAAGTGAGCTTTTTGGAAACACAGTCCCACAGGCCGATCTGGATTCACTGTCTCCTGATCCGTTACTGGGGATCCCCAACGGCATTAATGAGAAGACACGCTCTCACACACCCCCTTCACACGCCATCTCGAACCTACCGCCCGCCAGTATCACGCCATCGACACCTCACAAAAACCTCTTCACTTACGCTTCTCCGAGAATTGGCTCTGGTCAACCAACACCATCCAAGACACCCCGAAGTCAACATGGTCCCAACTTAAATGTGCGATCAGAACTTTACAGTCTATCGCCGATCAGATACGACAGTCAACGTATCCTTGAGACTCCTCGCAAGCAGCCTCGCTACGTCAATAAAGTACCCTACAAGGTTCTCGATGCACCCGACTTGCAAGATGACTTCTACTTGAATCTCGTGGACTGGGGCAGTAGTAATGTGCTAGGTGTTGGCCTAGGCAATTCGGTGTACATGTGGAATTCAAATACCGGCCGGGTGACGAAACTATGCGAGCTAAGAGATGATACTGTCACAAGTGTCAGCTGGATTCAGAGGGTAATGAAATCTCTCATACATAATCTTTGTGTTTGAGAACTGACATCGAACAGGGCACACATCTTTCGATAGGAACTGGCAAAGGTTTTGTCCAGATATGGGATGCAGAGCATTGTCGCCGTCTTCGGACAATGATTGGGCATACCAATCGTGTAGGGGCTCTTGCTTGGAACGATCATATCCTTACCTCAGGCTCTCGGGATCGACTCATCTTTCACCGTGATGTTCGCTCCCCAGATCAGTATTTACGTCGACTATCCGGCCATAAGCAGGAAGTTTGCGGTCTCCGATGGAACACCGAAGATGGCCAACTAGCTTCTGGCGGAAACGACAACAAACTTATAGTGTGGGACAAGCTGAATGAGACACCACTCTATCGCTTCTCGGACCATACCGCCGCCGTTAAGGCCATCGCCTGGTCACCCCATCAACACCATCTCCTCGCCTCAGGTGGAGGTACGGCGGATCGGACCATTAAATTTTGGAACACCGCTACTGGTTCAATGATCAAGGAAGTTGATACGGGTAGCCAGGTCTGTAACCTGGCATGGTCGAAGAACTCGGACGAAATCATCAGTACACATGGGTACAGTCAGAACCAGATTGTAATCTGGAAATACCCGCGCATGGAGCAGATTGTATCGCTAACCGGCCACACTTTCCGTGTTCTCTACCTTGCGATGAGCCCCGATGGACAGACGGTCGTTACCGGAGCTGGTGACGAAACGTTGAGATTCTGGAAGATTTTCAATAAGAGATCAGAAAGAGAACACGGACGGGAGGGCGGCAAGCTAGCGGAATGGGGTACGATTCGGTAGTATCGGCGTTAGGACTCGAGGTTATCATGACCCTCCAGCATCTTTCACATCCCTGCATGGTTTTCACATATGCATTAGACACGGCGTTCCAGGACATTGGCGTTGCAGCAATCCTGGGGATACTTTTGGTCTGTTTAAGGGAAGAGTTTTCGCTTCTTTGGCATCTTTTCGCATTTTGTTCGTGGGTCTACAGCATTTTCAACGTGGGGGACCAGGTGCTTCTCTTTTTCTTTCCATCTCATCACATCTTCCTGGCATGTACCTTCGTCGACTTTGCTCCTCTGCACTTCTTTTCTTCCCGCGCTCTACTTCCCGTCTCAGGCCATCTTTGTTATGCATCTGGCCTCGAGCAGGATATTCTTAACTCTTTCTGAAATGGTATAAGCGGTGGCGCTCATGGTGTTCACACAGGTGGGAGGGACTGGTGTTGCTCATGGGACGGATGGGCTTCAACGGCCCCAGAATGAACTCTTTTCGCTCATACTTGCATGGTGATAGCCGTATCTTTATCTCTGCTAAAATGATGATGGCATGATACATACAATTGCATGACACTTGGAGCTCCTTGGTAGTGCTTTCTTGCTCTTCGCAGATAAAATGGATTGCATACGGCCCTGGGGGAGGAGAGAAGCTGAGAAGAAGTTTGTGATACCAAGAAAAACTAACTAATGTAGTCGAAGCCTACACTAGAGACATTCTAAGATGGTGTGAAATGATTGTCTTTGCAAAAGTAGAAATGCTAATGCTACGGTACATGGTTGAATTGTATATTTATCTCATTAGTGCTACACTGAAAGACAATTAGCCATGTTATACGAAACCGCTGATTACTTTTGACTACTTACTTGGAACAGGTATAATGAATTACTGATCTATAGGACAAGCCTTCCAGGTTCAACCGTCAACAGGGTCTTCACCCGGTCCAAGAAAACCCTAGCCCTCGTCTCGTCACCAACAGGAACGGTCAAACTAAACACATTCGCGGCAGAGCCGGCGGGGTATTCCTCCATGGATGCCTTAGGGGGCGCCTTCTTCGGAGCCTTGCCGCTGAGGATATCGATGATGTCTTCCTTGACGGGCTGAGCGGGCTGATATTCAGTTGCCTCCAGGGCATTCAGCTCGGGAACGTAATCGCCACGGGATGTCTTGATGGGCTCAGCGCCGAGAATCTCATCAAAGAGCTCGTCTGCCGAGGGCTTGCTGCGCGTGGAACGGGGAAGGTCGTCGTTCGCCAGGTCGGTGGCACGGGCAAGGAAAGTCGATAGCGGCACGGTGACGCCGATCGTTTCCTTGATCTTCTTTTGGACGGAGAGCACAGTAGCCAGGGAGATGGAGACAGCTACTGAGACTGTGGGAGGGGGTCTGGCGACAGGTTCCTCGACAACTGGGGCCTTGGTCTCGGCGGGTTGTGGAGCTGCGATCTTGATGTTGCTTAGGTCGAGGTGGGAGAGCTTTTCGAGGCGGGAGGCTTGGCTGGATGGGTAGTCGGTGGGAATTGCGCCAATGTAGGCGAGAACATCACCCTTGAGGAGACGGCCTTTCGGACCCGAGGCGGGAATCTTGGAGATTTCGGATTCTGGGATGCCCTTTTCATGGAGGAGCACTTGGACGGAGGGATAGAGGGGATAGGCGGGGTTTTGCGTCTGGATTGAAGAGGAAGAGTTGAGGCCTATCAATTTCGCATTTAGCACCTGTAGATTGCATGCTAATATACTTGGGATATCCTCGCGTATTGGACTCTCTCCAGATCGTACCCGATTGAATTGCGTTTGAGGCCGCTGGGTCACTTACGTCTGGTGGTGCTGATTACCCGGGGTTGCCGTCTGGCAACCAATGCTGACACACGACGCACGGGGAAGCTGGAAGCCATCTTGCTCGATCTCGCGTCCTGATATGGCTCAAAGGTACCTTTTCTGATCGAAATGTATCTCCGAGAGCGCTTGGCGCTGAAGCTGGATTCGGAAGGCTTGAGGCGAACGAAAGGTTGTACCCCGTCGATTAAGCCGCACAGAATCCTTGATGGATCTATCTGCTGTAAATAGTAGACCGCGTTTCACTGTTAGATGTAGAGATCCATCAAGGCAGTATCAACCGCGATAAGATCTGTTTGTTCTTGCTCTAGATGTTGAGGTTGTTGGGAGCTCACCGGCGGCCCGGACGGGAACATTTTTCTGCCGCGGAGAACGACCGGAGTACTGCGATGGGAGCGGAAATTGACGACGGGGAGAGCAACGGAAGTTTGAACTTGATCTCAAGGTTAGTCGTCCAATCTCTGCCGATTGGTCTTCTCGAAGATGCTCTCATCGCGGTGCTGATAGCGTCTCTCTAATTACTTGATTCTCCTTACAGGAGCTCCCAGCTAACGTGATGTGATTGTTTTCAGTCTATGGGCACTACTATGATTCCCAGGTCATTTGCCTTTCGGGCATTCGCACAACAATTTCCTACAACACCAATATTACTAGGCTCGCGGTCGTTACCGACATGGAGATATTTCTCTTCATGTGCCCCTCGGGCCAAGGCTGTTGTCAAGCCCACGGCACCCCGTAATCCTTCAAAACCTTTGCAAGAAACGCTCAAATTTGCGGGGAGGAGACCAGAGGGATTCGGTAAACTAGAAAGAAAGGTTGCGAAAGAGGGCGACTTACTTCTTTTTAAAGCACCATCACATCGCTTCTATGTGTTGGGTGCTTACGGTATCGCAACATTCTGCTTGGCCTACTCCGTCTACAACTCGACCATCGTGTTCGGAGACCCAATTGTAGCTCTGCCGACGTGGCAGAAGAGTCTATTTGGTGGCATTTGTGTCATGATGAGTGTCATGGGAACAGTCTTCATTGTCAAGACTGCGCGGTTGATCAAGGCCGTCAATGCCATTCACTTGAATGGCAAGACATACCTTCGCTTCACTGTTCGAAGCATGATTCCTTTCCGAAAGCCATACCAGTTTGATGCCCTACCTCGCCAAATAGCCTTCTCTCGGCGTCTGGTCGTCTCCCCTGAATCGCTCAACCCACAGACGACTCCAAACGCTCAACCGGCTAAGGTGAGCATCTACAGAGCGCCTTTGACGAAGATGAGTCAGGTCTTCTGGAAGGGTTTCCGGTCTGTCCGACAGCTCTTTACACAGGAGGATATCATCCTCTTGGAAGTCGAGGGTCAAAAGGGTGTTTTCCGAATGGATTCGGCCGGGTACATCTCCGAGGATTTTCTGGTGATTGGGAACCCGGTGAGCATCAGAAGCTATTAGCATATTTCCCGCGTGACGCGGAAAGGCGTTCTCAGAGTTATCTTTCTTCTCAAACGTTGTAACTACAAAGCTTCTCACTTTCTGCTTTCAAGCCTTGGATACCGCGTCGAGGTGCTTCCTTGGCCTTCTGTCATCACGAATGTTTGCGCCAAAGATCCTATGTACATAGATGTAAATTAGATTTCAAAGGAGATGTTAAATGAGGACAAACAAAAAGGTGAATCTCTCATTTCGTAGTGGTTGGGACGGCTATGAAGCACGTGATCTGTCGACGTGCGGAGGCAGCGCGTCCTTAGGCCCCGAGACGCGACTCCATGATAGTCAACTATCGCGCGGGGTCATCCAAACACTGCTGTCAGTCGTCGCTCCATCGCTGCAGCTATATTGCTGAGTGAATCGGCGCGGGCGTCTTCATTCCCATTTTGAGACTTCAGTTTTACTTCTGTAGTCGCGAGACAGCGGCTGCCTTATCGCAAGATGGGGAAACTAATTCGCCTTGAGCTTTTTAGTACGGGATAATACAATCACTCGTCGGCGAATAGTGCTAACCATTCCTTAGATTTCAAATCCTACAAGGGTCATCATGTCTTGCTGTTTGGAGATGCTTACTTCACATCCATTATCGGACCTAATGGGTCTGGGAAATCCAACTCGTGCGTATCACATAGCCATCCGCCACAGGGTCATTTCCTCGCTGACGAGATTTAGGATGGATGCAATTTCTTTCGTCTTGGGAATAAAATCCTCACATCTGCGATCTACGAACCTACGTGATCTCGTCTACCGTGGCCGTGTCCTGCGCACATCGAAAGTCGACGCCGACGGCAACGCTACCGATGCGGTACCGAACGGAGAAGAGCAAAACGAAAACGAAGTCGACGGGGAGGAGTCGCAGGATCCCAGTGGAGCGAACGATCCAAAGACCGCATGGGTCATGGCCGTGTACGAGGATGATGCGGGCGAGGAGCAGCAATGGCGACGGTCGATCACAAGCTCCGGCATTAGCGAATACCGAATCAATAATCGCATCGTGACGGCACAACAGTACAACGAGGCTCTCGAGGCGGAAAATATTCTGATCAAAGCGCGCAATTTCCTCGTCTTCCAGGGTGACGTTGAGGCCATTGCTTCGCAGTCCCCCAAGGACTTGACGCGGTTGATTGAGCAGATTTCAGGAAGTCTTGAATACAAAGCTGAATACGAACGTCTTAAGGCGGAAGCTGAGGAGGCTGCGGAGCAGCAGACCATCCAGCTCAACCGACGGAGAGGTATCAATTCTGAAATCAAGCAATACCAGGAGCAGAAGCGTGAGGCCGAGAACTATGCCAGGAAGGCAGAGGAACGTGATCAGGCCGAGATCACTCACATTCTCTGGAAGCTTTTCCATTTCCAGCGGTTGATTGACGCGTCCAGCGCGGATATCCAGAAATACCAAGAGGAACTCAAGGAATATCGCCGCGGAATTGAGAAATACGAGAAAAATGTCGAGAACGCCAAGGTAGAGCATGCGAAGGTCGGCAGAGATGTGGCCAAGGCAGAGAGGAATATTACCAAGAAGGAGAAAGACATCGAAGAGGCGACCAACGCGTTGGTCCCTGTGGACGAGAAGGTTGATATCACCAGGAAGAAGGTGGAGAGGTTTGCATCTCGGATTGCCGAAATTGGCAAGGAACGGGATTCTCAGGCGGCCAATGTGAAACAATTGGAGAAGGACCTTAAAGTCGTCGAAAAAGCTCAGGCTCAATGGGAGGCTGAATGGCATAAGACAATGAGTAAAAAGGGCGGTCAACTGAGCGAATCTGACCAGCAGGAGTACAAAATGCTCAAAGAGGAAGTCAGCAAGCGATCGTCTGCGGAGCAAATCAATCTCAACAATCTAAGGCGCCAGAGAAAGACGGAAGCCGAGGCCTACAACAGTTTGAAGAGCAAGTTTGACTCAATGGAATGGCAACTCAAGAGCTTAGAAAATGATACGCAGACCTTGACGGAGCGCAAGTCAGCTTTGAACGACACAGTCAAGACTACTTCTAAGGAGATTGACCGCAAGAAGAAGGAATTGAATGCGCTTACCTCGGAGCGCTTGCGCATCTCTCAGATGAGGACAGAGCTTGAGGAGAAAGTCCAGGTCGTCTTGAAAAAGCTTCTTGAGGCTGACGATGGCAAGAAGCAAACAGAGAGGGAACTAAGAGCCAAGGAATTGATCTCGACCTTGAAGCGCATCTTTCCTGGTGTGAAGGGCCGCGTTAGTGATCTTTGCAGACCTAAGCAGAAGAAGTATGCCGAAGCCGTCAGCACGGTGCTCGGTCGTCACTTCGATGCCATCGTCGTCGATAATGAGAAGACCGCCAAGGAGTGCATCCAGCACCTCCGAGATCAGAGAGCCGGCCAGGCAACCTTTATCCCTCTGGAGACCATCCAAGTCAAAGCCTTCAACTCGAATCTGAAAGGCATTCACCGAGGAATGCGCCCAGCTATTGAAACGGTAGATTACGATGACTCCGTTGCAAGGGCCATCAGCTATGCCTGTGGGAACGCCATTGTCTGTGATGATTTGGCAACAGCCAAGTACCTTTGCTATGAGCGAAACGTAGACGCGAAAGCTGTCACACTCGATGGAACTGTGATCCACAAAGGGGGTTTGATGACTGGTGGTAGAGGCCCTCAACAAAATTCAAAGCGATGGGAGGACTCTGAGGTCGAGAATCTTCACAAGCTCAAGGACAAATTGATGGCCGACCTCGCCAATTTGCCCAAGGGCCATCGCAGAGGCACTGAAGAAGAGATTTTGCAAGGTGAATTGGTGGGTTTGGAGCAGCGCCTAGCCTACGCGCAAGAGGAGCTCAAGGCTCTCGAAAGAAACCTCAAGAGCAAGCGCACGGAGTTAGATTTCGTGAAGCGCCAGCTTGAAGACTTGCGGCCCAAGTACGTGGAGCGCCAGGAGGCTCTGGAGGAACTCGACCAGACCATCGCGCAATCGCAAGAGTCTGTCAGCAGCATTGAGGACGAAATCTACCGCAAATTCTGCAAACGTCTTGGTTACGCCGACATTCGTGAATACGAGGTCCAACAAGGCTCTTTGCAAGAGGAGGCCGCTCAGAAAAAGCTCGAGTTCACGACGCAGAAGAGTAGGATTGAGAATCAACTCAGCTTCGAGAGGCAACGACTTCAGGCGACGAATGATAGAATTGCCAGCCTTCAGGCACAACATGAGCGGGATGAGAGTCTAATCGGGGAACTCAAAGCCGAGCAAGAGCAAATCCGGAATCAGCTGGATGAATACAATGCTGAGCTGGATGTTCTTAGGGAGCGACTGCAGGAGCAGAAGGAGGCTTATGCGCAATCAGCGGAGAACCTCGCACGGCAGCGCCGAGAACTTCAGAAACGCAGCAAGGACGTTGAAGGCATCCTAAAGAACGTTAGCGCCTTGGAGGCCGAAATCCAACGTAACTCGTCCAGCCGATATGCTGTTCTAAGGCGCTGCAAACTCGAGGACATCAACATACCTCTCACGGAAACCTCCAAATCGCTTGATCAACTGCCCATCGATGACATTGTTCAGACAGCCGACCCTGATGCAATGGACGTTGATGAGGAAGCCAATGACGGAAGTGGTATAGTGCAAGACTATGGTATTGAAGTCGATTTTGACTCGCTAGGGGAATCTCTCAAGGAGGTAAGTACTATCGCACCCGCTCACATCGAACAAGAACTCATCAGGAACAGGAGGGCGACGAAAAAGTAGAAGAAGAACTGCTCGACAGAATCAAAACTCTCAGCAGCGAGTTGGACAAGATGGCGCCGAATACACGTGCGATGGAGCGTCTAGAAAGTGTTGAAAACAAACTGCGAAGCACCGAGAAGGACTTCGACGAAGCACGCAAACGGGCTCGGAAGGCCAAAGAAGATTTTGAAGAAGTGATGCGAAAGCGATCAGATCTCTTCAACAAGGCGTTCTCTCACATCTCAGAGCAAATTGGCCCCATATACCGTGAGCTGACTCGCAGTGCCAATTATCCCTTGGGAGGGCAGGCGTAAGTTTTTGATCTGCAGATATGAGTTTTGTTGCACCTAACTAAATGTTGAACCCCAGATACTTGGACATCGAGGACTCGGACGAGCCATACCTCGATGGTATCAAATATCACGCCATGCCTCCTCTCAAGCGTTTCCGAGATATGGAGCATCTATCCGGTGGTGAGAAGACTATGGCTGCGCTGGCTCTGCTCTTCGCTATCCATTCTTACCAACCATCACCCTTCTTTGTGCTGGACGAGGTTGACGCTGCCCTTGACAATACCAATGTGGCTCGCATCGCCAACTATATCCACGACCATGCGGCCCCTGGCATGCAGTTCATCGTCATCAGCTTGAAGACCGGGCTGTTCCAGAACAGTGAAGCATTGGTTGGTATCTACCGAGACCAGGTTGAAAACAGCAGTAAATCCTTGACGCTTGACGTAAGTTTGCCTTCCATTCTTCCAGCCGCCATTTCAAGTACTGACCTCTCCCGCAGCTGCGGAAATATAACTAGATTGATTCTATACCTCAATTAAGCCTGCCTCGCAGGAGTATGATCCGGTTACTTCCCATGGCCTTGTAGAATAGTACTTATTTTTCTCCCTTTCTTCTATCTGCTTTGTTATATCCCTTGATGGCTATGAGTTTCTTCTTTCCAGACAGTCGCGATGGATGGCGGGAAGATTAATAACAAAGGCATGATAATCAATGGAATCAACTTCGCCTTTGACTCTACGTTTATTCTTGCTTGTAAGTTGGCAAAGGAGGGGTATTACTCCTGAGGCACGGTTGAGTATTCTGCTCAACATACTCAACGCAGTATAAACTCCTCCACACAGACAACCTCGTAGTACTTTTGTAAGAGGCACGCGAGCCCGCAGGTAATTATCGCATCCACCTCCGCTGTAGTCAGTTACTGAAAAGTATGACATGAACGCAGTACGACATGAGGTCAAGCCGGATACCTAATAAGGAAACTGCGCGGCAACTTAGCACAAGCATATCGACTGTTCATTCGGGAGAATTGCCTGCACCATTACTACCAGTGTTTGGCGCAAGCTTCTGATTAACGGCTCCCATTAGGGGTTTACACTCATAATTACAAGGGGGGACGCCACATCGCCTGCTGTGACACGCAGAAGAATCAGTGCGTTTAAGAATAATCGGACGTCTGTCAACGAAGATTGGGAGGACCGTGACCCCTGAATCTACCTACGATATAGCTATGGCGAGACAAGTGCTGAAACGGGAGCTAAGAGCTTCCCAATTCCTTTCAAGCTGCTTGTTCGGGGCTCAGGTGAAGCTTTTGATGCTTGGTAGCGGTAGCGGCAGTGCAGCAGTACGCGTACAGGGGCTCAGTTATCGGTCCGTCCCGTGCCATTGGGATGGACAAGACCCCTTGCTACGGGAAAAGAATGGTGGAAGTCCATGATACAAGCGTTCATTTCTGGTCACCTGTCATCCCAAGGAAGATTGCCTCCGTGGGCCGTGGGTGCAGCGCTAAGTGACGGAAGAGGGTCGGATTTGCGGGACCACCTGGAAAGGCTGGCCGTGCTTTACGAGCTGAAGAGGGTTACCGGCGATCCGGGATGTACTAACGAGCCTGTCGAGCTGGGTGATAATGGATTTGCGGAGTTTGGATTGTCGCTTTCGAGAGCTGTTGTCTTGTACTGTATCCATGGTGACCCGGTCTCGCGGCAGAGGCATGACTGCAGGAAGTTATTTCGAGGCAATCTATGCATGACCCATTGGCTGCCATAGCTCTAAACCTTAAGGAGGAGCTCTTTCAAGTCACGAGACTACGAATGTCGATATGTAGCTATGAACTATTGTTTGAGACTATCCTTTCCCACCAATAATGGTCTGAAAATTTTTGAGATCGAGACGTATATGGAGTCATTGTCCAAGAGATCATCAAGAGATCATCACCTCTGCTATAGTATAGGAGTAGGCAACTTGCTCCAAAGACACATAGCTGGGGCGCTAAACGATGCTTGATGGCTCCGTGAAGTGGCAGATGAATTTTTCGATCTGAGAGTCTTTGTATTTGCTCGTCCGATCCCTTGTGGCGCAGTCCAAAAGTTCAAGGCCAGTGAACATCCGTAGCCCCGCGCTGCTTCTGAGTCCCAGAGGGAACTCGATTTCTTACAGACACCGTCAGTTATCGCCCAAAAAGTCTATCGCTCGAGTCAGTAGCCAAGGTCTAGTGAACTGTTTGAGTTATCCATCCTCCAATTCCGTACACAAAATGAAGCACTATTAGCTTTGTACTCCATAGTAGGTGAAGTGATTGGGCGCACGGAGAAAATAAGTCGCATGGATGAAAGTGTGGCATCCGTAGTATGCGCATATCGAGAAGCCAGTCCCCACGCCTTCAGAAGACTATTCTCAATCACAACGGCGAGCGTCATCAATGCGGCAAATTATCGATGGTTGACCGATAGCGGATGTACGCCATGAAAAATCCGAATGCTGGCCATGATAGCATTGAACTGTCGGTGAGAGACAGATAGAGAGTCGATCATCAGATGGACCATTGTATCTGCCCCATACCCGGCCGGATCGGTAAAATATGTGGTCTTCAACAATAGCAAAACGATATCCTGTGAAGAATTCTCATCCAATCAACATGCAGGCCAGATAATATCTTGGTTGCTGCAAGTGATCAGACATTCACGCAGTGAATTAGAGACCTCTTGCAGGGGCACCATGACTGGAGACCCCGCGAGAAGGATCATTTCGCTCGCATAATAGCCAACGACAGCATATCAGGTTCACTTGGGTATCAGTTAGCGAAAAAAATCTCACCGCTTGCCGAGTGATTACCCTTCGCTCCAAGCGCAAAAGGGCCTGGACTTGACAGAGAGTCTTGAAGTCGTCGAGCAAAGTCCAGACAGCAGCCACAAGTCACAACATGCAGGTGTTCCAGATATTGATACGGCTAATATTGCATGGACAATCCCAATCCCAACACAGGAAGGGTGTCTGACAGCAGGCACAAGTAAACTCTCTATGTTACCTGGCAGAAAGTTGATGGATAGAGGCATTGTTTCCACTATGATGTTGACTAGTGGACGAGCGCGAAGAAACGCATTAAGAAAAAGGAAAGAGTCCACTTTCCCCGCAACGAAGCAAGGGAGCCATGGCTGTCTTTCCTCTCTTTTCTTTTTTTCTCAGGTTGATAGGTACGTTTTTATCTCTCATCCTCTTCTTGCCAGTGGCGCGAGCTGCATAACAAGACCATCAGTGACGATGTGACGTGTCACATCGCCTCGCATATGGAGAGGCCCGTCCGCACTCCGCAGTTTGCATTCTCCCAAGTGTCAGAACTTGCGATTGCTTTTGTTTGTTTCTGTTCAAGGCAATCGTCCATGCGACGGTTTCTGAAATTCCGCGGATTTGGTCCCGACTTCATAGCTGAGAACATGAAGCCATATCCAATAGTGGTTGGTGGATGTAATATCCGCCGTAACGAAGCAATCCTTATTAAAAACTCTCCTTATCAAGAGGGAAGGTAAAGCTCTTGCCTATCATAGAACGGGCTATGGGTTTGCGAATATCAATTGAAGTGTAGTTGGCTCAAGGTTCGGATATGGTTCTCCTGAATGGCATCGATAGATGGATACCACTTGCAAGAACCAGGCACAAACCTCCTTCAGCAGTGAAAGTCTAATTCCGAGACATCTGCTCATGGCTCACTAAGGGCTGGAGGGATCAGCGGTCGGTCAAATTACTGTACTATCCTTAAGTTAGTACAAGTGTTAGAATGTCAGCTCCAACTGAATTCAGCGAGTGTTCGACTCTAGTGGGTAGTCAAACGGTACTGTTTCGAGAAGCGTAAGTAAAGCGATGCTGATTCGATAAAAGAATCGCCCCCACTGTCGGAACAGCTGCCGAGCTACCTCTCTGTACGGAGTACATCCTGCGCTTGGCTGCTGTTCCAGGAAGCCAAAGGGTATCCAGTCATTCCACGCAGCTCACCAACTACTAAGATCCCGAAGATTTTTGTGGATACCTTGTGGAAGGAGCTAAAGCCGTTGAGGAAAAGTGCGCTGATGCACTATGCTTCGGACTGTCCGTGCTTCAAGCCCAACCTTTCTCGAACTCGAAAGTTGTCCCCGCATGGTACCAAAGTGGTAAATCTTCAGCCAGCTATTCTGCCATTTGGCCTCTGAACTCTGCATTCCGGCACCTCTCCATGGCTCAATTGATAAAGGAAAGCCCAGAGAGTCGCTATTGCTCAACAGATTGGAAGGTATTGAGCAAAGCCAGCGAATAACTGTCGAATGCGTGAGCGTTGACCAATGGCTGAGGCCTACGTTAGACAACAACCTCCATGTAGCTGCACTGACGCACATGCTCTGGACAGCGAACAAAGGAAACCTGATACGTTGAGTCCGCTCTTTGGTTCGGTGGAACCCATCTGTAATTGATGGCGCTGGACGGCTGTCTCCACAGGCTATCTAGATGGCGCAGATACACCAGGCTCCGTTAGCGGACATGATTGCCACCGAAGCCCAAGCTTGAAGGGCGGTATGTCACTGCTGTGATCCTAAAGACCGGGTGCACATCGGGACATGGCCCTGAGTGACCCTCTTACACTTGTTCTCAGAGGCGTCCTGAGCGTCAGCGCCATGTCAAAAGGACGAAGGTGGTCAACGATTCGATTAGACGGAAAACGGATCCAATCCTCGGACAAGGTTCAGATAAAAGGGACGGAAAAGGGAATCGCTACTCCCTGCTAGGATGTGCCCTGACTCCTCCGGCCGCAGGCGAATTCTAAGCTAGATTCCCCGGCCTTAAACCTAGCCTAGATCGTTAGTTGATATTGCTTTTTTGGTACGTTGACGCCCTCGGTAGCACCATTGACGGAGCTTCCATCTGGCTGGAAAGGCGCTGTACGGTCACAGACAACTCTTGGATGATCTTCATGCTCAGGAGGCGGCTTGTTGATTTCCCGATGGAGACAGTCTCGTAAACAACTAGCATCCTCTCGTCCTCATTCGGCGATTGGCATCTCTAGAGGCGCGTACCAGAAGGTATGTATCAATGCCCCATCGGCCTAAAAACAATGGCGGCCATGCATCAATGGGACCTTTCCGTATAGTCCATAGTGTCACTTCTGCATGTATCTGTCTGTATTACATTAGGCTCCGCGCTGAATCCCGCCACCCAAGCCGTCAGTGATGTTAGTGAAATTCTAAAAATCTCACATGGGATGATTCGTTGACCAATACTCCAATAGGTGTACTTTTTCCACACTGCAATTGGCCGTCCGGTTATATAAAGTAGCCCAAGCCCATTGTCCGGCAGATTCTTTGGAGTTGTCACAAACTATCAAACCTCAAATCAAATATATCCTTTCGTGGAGGACTCACCATCTGGCCTCCGACGGCACATTTTTCAGCCGACATTGGTACTTTAATACATCTTTCGTACCTCAAGGTCGGTTTGCGCAATGGATCCAACAGCTCAGCCAGGGGCCCAGGAGCATCATCAGATGTTGTCCTATGATAGCATGACGGGCCAGCAAGGGCCAGCGGTATGCATGACACTTTGTCGCAGCAATAAGTCAATCCACTAACGTGATATTCCAAAGGAGAGCCACTGCCCAATGCCACGGGCATCCAACTGCCCTTTCCCCCACTTCGCCATGATCTATATAGACAACAATGGCGAGCTTGGTGTGGATGTCTCTACATCTCTTGCGGGCTGTGAAAGGGCCATTTTTACCGAAGATCTCAAGCAGAGCTTTGTCAGAGCTGTGACCACCGATTGGCAGCCAAACATGCAGAATTTTCCCTCCGGTGAGAACGGATCATGTGGAACACCTGAAAATATAATTGCTGACTATCCGTCTGTATCACAAGCCGGCGCAATTGGAGCAGCACATGGCGAACTAGCCGAAAGGCAGTCCTTCATGTTTAATGCCGGACTGGATCTACAATCCAGCCCAGCGTGGTTCCAGCATGGCCTACCAAGGCATCCCAGGCTCATCCCTTGCGAATTCCAGACATTGCAGAACAAGCGCCCTAGGAGGAATAGGAAGCGCACAAGCTCGGAAATGGGTGGTGAATCGGATTCAGATTCGACTGACGGGGCAGCCAAACGGACACCAATTCGAGTAGGACAAACCGACGTGCTGCGCCAGTTCTACGAAAAAGCATTTGAAAATCTTCAACAGCTCAACTGCAGGGTGATTGCAAAGGCGTTTGTCAAGTTGGTAGAACCTCGGAAGCAAGTCAATCACCCGTACAATGGGCGCAGGACAGTGATGGGAGGACCTTGCCAGAAGTTGGATCCTGAATTGACTAAGCCCAAATGGTGGCCTACAGGCGTTCAACACAAGGAGCCAGATCACCTCCTCAAGCATGGTGTGTCAATCGCGTTCTTCCCTCGCTTGTTATTTTGTATATTCGGTTGAGTCATGGGTCGCTGACTCTCGGTCTCTTCTAGAGAGAATTCGACTTCTTATGCACATTCTCTGCGAACTGCGAGAAAGCCATGCCATCACCGCGCAAAAGCTCAGAGAGGCTGGGCAGGATGTGCACCGCCAAATTGCACCGCCTCAGCGCCTGTTCATCTTAGATGAGATTTATGATGTCCGGGAAATCGAGGAACTCTATTTGAGCGGAAAGATCAGTATGTTTGGACTCTAACAAATCGCTCAGTGGCATCAGGCTGATCGTTAATGACCCAACAGGCGGTGATACCATTATCTATGTCTCGTCAAAGCATCTGCCAGAGGGCGTTGAGCCGGTAGTAGTGAACATGAGCGAAAAGCAAATCGCTGAGGCGGATTACTTGCCCTTGTCCCCAGTGTCAATCAGCCGCAAAAGCTCAGTTGAGAGCGGACTATCATCTCTCTCAAAGGGTATGGATCCATCCATCAATTCTAGTGAGCGAACGCAGGCGTTGAATGCCCATGCAGAGGTTCCTTCGACTGGCTCCAATTCTTTGCCGGGTTTCTATGCCCAGCATTCGATGATGTGGAGCCATGGAACCCCTGGGACGAATGTGCCATTTAATATGTCGTCAAACTGACTGGAACTTGCTATAGGAAGGTCCGTTCCCGTGAAATCTCGGCTGTAGCCTGAATCTGAGCCCGTCTCTGACCTCAACAGCTTTTCCGTGCGACTCGCCTTATCGCTGGCCGTCTTCTTGGTATTCGCTTTTGGTCATCTATCGTCCCTGTTCATGTGGAGACAAATTGCAAAACGCGATGCTCTGGTATCCCATTTTCTGCAAACGTAAATAATGTGGAGGTTTTTCGGCTTGTGTCCTGTTAAGAAGCGCGTGGGCGTATCTTTCGTTTGTGTTATCTCCTTTGTTGATTCTTCCCTGTTGCATATCACTTAGCTCATAGCGTTCTGAGCAAATGAGCCGTTCTTAGGAAATGGCCGTGTTCTGGTGAAATAATGTATACTGCCCCATTCAGGGAACCGAGTCATAGTAGTCAGAAAGGTGGAAAGTCCTTACTCCGGGCATTCTTTCCACACCAGCTGCCGGGTGCCCTGACTCAGTGTACAGTAGACCCCTCAACGACCAGGCCGCGAGGTCCAGCATTCACCGTTCTTTGGACAACAGATTTTCCGATGCAGAACCAGCAATCTATCAAGTCCATAGAGAAGCATGCGCTCAGAGTCTCAGACTTTCTCTTGCAATATGGGCTTGAATCGGAAAGTCTGGATTCAAGAGGGTCCTTACTTTATGAAACACTATTCTCAAGCCCTTTCCTCTTTCAAGGATGCAATGAAGGCAGAGCCAAGTCAGGCGATCGTGTCAACACCATTTCGCCTCCTGGACCTCCCCTTCGAAATTCGCAGCGAGATTCTCTGCAGGGCTATTTCGAGCACCGATAATTACTGGCTCGACCGTGAAGTCATCACTTTTGGAGAATCGTTAAAGTCGATATATTATATCCGTGGCCGCACCGTTTGGCGAGACTCAAATGGCGTGTACATGAATCTTTTAACCACGAGCAAGCAGATCTATGACGAGGTGCAGCAGGTTCTTTTCAGCCGTTTTGCATTCGACGCTCTAGGATGGGGCTATACTATGAGATATTCGGATCCTCCAAAAACTCCCAACCATCTCCCCAAGCACCGCATCATGCACATCGCCTATACTCCGTACTTCACCGAGTACATGCGCGAGCATCGCCAGAGCGTCGATCTCATTCTCTCCGGGCTTCCTTTGCTTAGCTCAGTTCGTATCCTGATATCTTGGGCCTGCGCACAGCGTTTGGTCATATGTGGCGACACTCGAGCTGGCTCTCTACATATAGTGGCAGTGGCACGCCTGTTTCGGCAAGTTGGAAAGGTTGCGGTTGTCGGCCAGTCCTTGATGGGTGAGTTGCAGAAGCAGTTGGTGATGGAGGCAAGGAAAGAGCTGGAGGATGAACCGTGGTATTGGGCGCTTGACCTGGATAATCATCTTTTCATGCCTTTTCTCACCAGTAGTGTTGAAGAGCATCTCTGAGCCGACGTCTGGTAGCACAGGGGAAGGGTGATTTCATGATGGACCCAAACATTCTGGGCGTGTTAATACCGCATTATTACAACCTAGCAAATGCAGTCGGACCATGATGTGAATTGGAAAGTTATTGATCCTAGTAGTGTATGGCCGCTGTCATGTCTCCTTCTGAACATAGCTCAACAGCTTTTTAGACTTTTTCTTTCTTCAAAGAAGATCCATCCAGCGTTTTATAGCCGATGGCTAACGAACAGTGTGACTGGCTTGCAAATATTTATCAGTACTTCATCTTTTCCTGCTTTATTGTGGATCTACTGCACGCAGTTTTCCAAGTGAGGTCGTTTATTCTCTTCATATGGTTGCAATTCTCCAATAATAATATCACATCTTATTATTCTATCGATTGAAGGGATAACCTGCATGTTAGATAGGTAGCAACGGAACACTGAGCACAGTGTAAGGTATCGACGGACAGTTACACCTCAGGCAGCAAATCATCAGAAGTGGCAAGGGGGATCCTCTGGCTGAAACTTATTGGCTGGCGGAGAAGATCATGCCCCAGATCCCGGGGACTGTCATAAGCCGGACCTTGGGAGTAGCAAATCAGCCGCAGCCAACCAGAGACGTCACTTCAAGCACACGTCGAGCTTCATCTTCCCAACGGGCCTTTTCTCAACACCACGGTCCTCCCGAATCGAACTTTTCACATCCTTTCTCCGCAAGTTGTCGCGTTCGGCAGTACAGTTGACTCTTGCTTGGTATCACGCGCCTTGGGTTTTGAAGGAGACTGGCGCATTTGACCATTGGATAACAGTCCCAACCTTCATTGGACGAAGATTCGTTGTTTTGCCTTGTGAGTCCTCAAGCCTACCAAAGGTAGTTATATCAGCCCCTCCTATCGATAAGACTTCCAGACTCTTGTTGCTTCCTGCATCCCAGAAGTCACTTGGTCTATTAAGCCTACGTATTCGAGCTCTCTCATAACTTGTTGGGGGACGGCGTCTGGGTTCGAAGCAACATGGTGATGCTAACTTTCGGCCGCTTTCTTAGTCGCCCCTACCCTCACAGCCGGGAAGGCCCTACAATCTTCTCGTTCCAACAAAAGCTCATCATGGAGGGCACCGGACTCGATGGTGACCAAGACGGAAAGACGAACCAGATGACGGGCGTGCATGACTCACCTGTGTTGCAACCCGCGTCGATGGAAGATATGGATGCCTTCTATGACACGGACGACTATGCGAACTCCTCCAATCGCTCATATTCACCGCGAGCCTCTCCTAGGCTGTCGCGAAATCCTTCCTTTTCGTATCAGGATGATTGGGAGACGTTTCCGCCGCTAGATAAACTCACCGTGTTTGACTTACTTGACAACCTTTCACTCTCTCAGAAACTCGAGAAATGGCAACAGGCGATCAATGTGCAGAGAGAAAAGGTCAGAAAGCAGCGCGAAAAGCTGAAGTCTACTTCGATGAACGCAAAGGATCGAGTGGTCGGAGAATGGAAGCGGCGGGTTCCCACAGCCGATGAGCAGTTGGCCAAATATCGCCGTCGGATGAGTGACGGTGTCAAGCGGCTGGAGAAGCAGTGGAATGCCACCGCCACGGTGACACTACGCGAGAAGGTTTCGTTCATCGCGGGTGTTCTCAATATTTTCGTCAGCGGCTACCTCATCGGTGCCTACCCGGAATACTTCTACATCTGGTTCAGCGTGCAGTTGGCCTATTTCATGCCGATCCGATACTATGGATACCACAAAAAGGGATATCATTATTTCCTTGCCGATCTTTGCTACTTTGTCAACGTGCTTTGCATGCTCAGTATCTGGGTTTTCCCGAGGTCCAAGAGACTTTTTATCAGCACCTTCTGCCTCACTTTTGGAAACAATGCCGTTGCTATTGCAATGTGGCGAAACTCCATGGTCTTCCACAGCATGGATAAGGTCGTCAGGTAGGCGCTGTTGAGAATTCCCCAGCAGAGGAGCATTCGCTGACATGTCTCATGCGCAGTCTCTTCATTCACATCATGCCGCCAGTTACCTTACACTGTCTCGTCCATCTCACTCCTGCGGAAATGCTGCGAGAGAGATTTCCGGCCGTCTACGACGTCAAGTTTAGCAAACCTGGCTCTCCCAACCACTATCCTCTCCTTTCCATGATGCTGTGGGCAACCGTGCCTTACATGATCTGGCAGCTGACCTATCATTTTTTCATTACTGTGCGTCGCGCCGAGAAGATCGCCGCTGGGCGTCCTACCAGCTTCACGTGGCTTCGCAAATCGTACGCGAAGACCTGGATTGGGAAGTTTGTGATTAGTCTTCCTGAATCATTGCAAGCGCCTGCCTTTATGATGATTCAGTACTTTTATGCGCTGCTGACCATGATTCCTTGTCCCCTCTGGTTCCGTTTCCGATGGGCCAGCGGTGTTTTCTTGACAGCGCTATTCGTTTGGAGTATCTATAATGGCGCCACTTACTACATTGACGTCTTTGGCAAACGTTTCCAGAAGGAGCTGGAGGAGCTGAAGAAAGATGTTGCCCGGTGGCAGGCCTCTCCGGCTGGTATGACCAGCCCGACACTACCGATCCTGAACAACGCTTCTTCCGCAGGGGCTGGCATCCTGGATGAGTCACCATCTGCGCACAAGGACAGCGACAAGTCAAGTCTCGACCAGATCCCTCCACTTGACTCCAGTGCCGCGTCGACTGCCATCGATGGCTCCAATTTCGCGGCCGCTGCCATTACGCGAGAGAGAAAGTAGAATCCGTATCGTCTACCCAATTTTGCAAACGTTCCTTTATCTCCTTGAGTCTGTCTACTGAGTCTGTCTATTGAGTTTGTCTATGCCCTAGCAATGCTTTTGGATTGGACATCGGTTGGTTTTGTGTTGCTCTTTGATGATACCCTGCCTTAGTCATTCTTTTGTCTCTGCGACTTGCCTATATTCATACATTTTATGCCTATATGATCTAGACTGTTGATGATTGCGATTGATTTTCATTCCACTAATTACACGAATTTCCCTTTCAGCTGGACATCTTTCTGCGATTTCAGTGGCGCATGTATCGCGTTGATTATGTCTGGTATGAACAGCATGGTCTACTCCGGTTGACCCCGGTGATTTTGTTAGTACGGTGGGGCCTTGCACGAACAAGTCATATTGATTCTGCCGCTATCTAGTAATATCTAATATTTTATATGGCCCCCTTCTGCATTAATTACTGTCTGGCATCTTGCCTGCATGGATTCAACTCTCAGGGACTGCAACCCAGGCAGCTCGAATTACCTCTCGTAGAGCATCATATGATAGTTTATGATCATCTGGATATCTCTCTTGGATCCAGTCCCTCATCCAATTCCATACCATCTCAATAGGGTTCAGATCAGGTGAGAAGGCAGGCCAGGTAATAGGGTAGATACCACGCTCTTGGAGCTCCCTAAGGGTATCCCTACTAGCATGCCCAGGTGCACTATCCTGCATCAGTTGAAGCCAGGTATCTTGTTGAAGAACTAGGCGTAGATATCCATCAATAATAGGCACGATCCGCTCGCAGTATCTCTCTGCGTTAATAGATCCCCATTCTTTCTCCCAAAAGAGGCACGGTCCCTTCTGATCACTATAAAATGACTCCTAAAACATCCATCCACGTCTTTTAGGAGGAGAGGTGCGAAGGCAAGTCTCTTCTAGTTCTTCACCAGCCTTCCTAGTCACGTAGATCTGCTTATGGAAGCCTGAAATAACCCATGTCTTGTTAGACCAAAGGATCTGATTTCATTACTCTGTTATCCAGTCCACATGCTCCAGGGCCCAGGCAAGACGTACATGCTTATTATGATCTGATAAAGGCGACTTTCGAAGGGCAATATGACGTGCATAACCTCGTTTCTTTAATGCTCGAGCAAGGGCGGATGGTCCAACAGGTAGATTAAGTTCTTGACAGACTTTGTAGAACGGCATACGTTGATTATGCTTAGAGGAAGAGATAAATGCTATAATATCATCAACATCTTCCTCAGAGAGCTTTGGTGGCTTGCCTGGGGCCTTTTTAGGTGTTAATTGCTGGCTTTGGCAGGTATACTGAACCTGGCGATGTGTGATTTGAAGCTGGTGAGCAATCTGTTGATAGGTAAAGCCAGCATCTCGGAGAGCTAGAATGCGAATTCGATCATCACGACTAAGGCGTGTAGAATTACCCCTCTGCTCAGCTATCTGCTGAGGGGGGTGCTAGGTTCTGGGGTATGCATTGTGTTGATTTGATTATGGCTTGCTTGCAAGGTTCATGAAGATAGGAGATCTTACTAGCTTCATATATTACTAATTAGGAAAGCGGTGGCAGAGACTTAGAAGGATTCGCCCCCTTGCAAGGCTCACTGTACTAACAAAATCACCAGAGGGGTACAGTACTTGTTACTAATTTCAGAATATGGAGCAAGTTGAGATTACCGGAGGAATACGTAATAATGATCCACCAGAAGAGCGGCCGATGCCAGTAGAGTAGTCTAGAGAGCTTGTTTCCAGAATCTCAATGGGATTTGATAAACTCCGACGCCAACGAAACCCCGAAATTCGCTCAGATCACGTGAAGAAACCACATCTTCTTGCATGGTCTCTGGAGAGTCCTCAACGACATCATTACTTCAAACTTTGAGTGTCATACTTACTTTTCCTTCTGCACGGTTGAGTCCATTACGAGATTAGGATTACACCTCTCTCCGAGATTGCTGCGCCCGTCTGCTATACTCGCTCGTCACTGCGAGCATTTCATGCCCCTAGACTTCCGCAATGTCCGTAACAATGAGATCGGCCAGGCTTATGCGCACCAATTCTGTACGCCCCAGTCTGATCGGTAAGTCAACCTTTTATGCTCATTTTAGCCGTCTTATACTTGGAGTATATTTATCGTGTCTAATAATGGTCGTTACCAACAGTCCGACCACGGTATAACGGCGCCCTGGGCGCTGCATCGGCCGCAAATCTCCGGTTTAACGGACAAGGGTTCCCAACGCACCTACAGGCTATTGCGATCTTGGTCTCTCATCAGCGCGGCTATGTCACAGAAACTTCTACCTCGACATCTTCTGCCTCCAACCCATTGCCGCCTCCAGGCTTTAACGCCGAACAGGCCAAGAAGCCCATTCGCAAGGAAGATGCGTCGCGACTTGGGGCTGACAACGGGAGCACGCAGGTCGCTCCCAAGCCAGAGACGCCTCTTGCGTCGGAGAACAGCATAGATGCACAGAAACGCGCCGAGCTGGAAGCGGCGAAGAAGCCGCTGGCGGACGATGATAAGAAAGTGACTGAGGCGAAGAAGGAGCAGAAGAAATTGACGATTGGGCAGAAGATCAAGAAGGAAGTTCAGCACTACTGGGATGGTACGAAGCTTCTTGCTACGGAAGTCAGGATCAGTTCACGACTGGCGTTGAAGATGGCTGCTGGATATGAGCTCAGCCGGAGAGAGTACCGACAGGTAGGTCTTCTGCTACCCTTGCGATAGCATTGGTGGACTCAACTCACTCATTGAACAATTAGCTTCAACGAACGGTGAAAGATCTTGGCCGATTGATCCCATTCTCGATGTTCATTATTATCCCCTTCGCCGAACTGCTACTCCCCGTCGCCTTGAAGCTGTTCCCCAACATGCTGCCTAGCACCTACGAGGGCCAGAAAGCGCGCGAGAAAAAGGCTCTTAGCTTGAGTTCAACCCGGCAAGAGGTTTCGACCTTTTTGAAGAATACTCTCAGAGAGAGTGGTCTTCCCGTGACTCCCGCCGCTGTGAGGAATGAGGAATTCGGAGAATTCTTCAAGAAGATTAGAACCACCGGGGAAACCCCCTCGACCGAGGACGTGATCAAGGTTTGCAAGATCTTTAAGGATGACTTGACCCTGGACAATCTGTCCCGCCCTCAGCTTGTCGCCATTTGCAAATACATGAACCTGAATTCGTTCGGTACAGACGCGATGCTCCGGTACAACATTCGACACCGTATGCGTCAGATTAAGCGTGATGACCGCGCGATTTTCTACGAAGGGGTGGCCTCGCTCTCTGTTCCGGAACTGCAGATGGCTTGTGCCTCACGTGGCATTCGTACGCATGGTATTTCTCCCGCTCGCCTGCGGGAAGACCTGGCGATGTGGCTGGATCTGCGCCTCAAGCAAGGCGTTCCGTCCACCCTTCTAGTGCTGAGCAACGCGTTCGCATATGCGCAGGGCGGCAAGGAGGCCGAGATGGCGTCTCAGATTGAAGCGCTCAAGTCTGTGCTGTCTAGCATCCCTGAAGAGTTGTTCCACGAAATTGAGCTCGAGGTCCATAATGCCGAGGGCGCTGCCACCAACAAGCAGCGTCTTGAGGTTATCAAGGAGCAGCAAGAGCTCATCGAGGAGGAAAACGAGCAGAACAGCCAGCACGAAGAGAAGGGCGTTACGACCCCCAAGGACATTGAGGATATCGACGAAACAGAGGACGCGAAGTTTGAGGCGTCGAACAGCCAAGAAAAGCAATCCAACGAGGCTGTGGAGGCTGAGAAAGAAGGCGACAAGGCCGAGCAGACACAGTCAGAAGACCTGGCGGCCAAGGAGAAGGATGAGAAGAAGGGAGGTTCCTCGCAATAGAGTGTCGCCGGCAGTTGATTCTCCTTCTATTTCCCCTCGCCTCGCCTTCTGCCTGAGATGATAAATCTCCCAAACGAATAGACTTGCATTTTCGTCTGATTTTCCACAGGCGCTCTCTACCACTTCCACCTTGTTTTACTTTCCACTCTTGATAGACTTCTTCTTGTTCGGTGCGTCTGATGTCCATTCTCTTGGTCGGAACAGTCTCCTCCGCTTACCATCTTTATTCTATTTATGTGATTTTGATTAATGGTGATGTATTGTCTCGATAGATATCAGGAAGTTCGACGGAGGTTTGGCACCGGGAGAGGGTTTTCGCATTGACCCACTGGGCTGTTCTACATTATGATCAATATTAATGGCCAACTCTCTACCTTTCTTCTTGTTCATTAAATTCGTTGACTTCTGGAAAATGATGTAAGATTAGATGGATGCATGCCAAAGTTGAGTCCAACGCAATATGATGCGCATCTCGCACCTAACTGCCACTGTCTACCAGCTGAATGAAGCAAGGGGACGTAATGAAATGCATTTCAGCTTACAGTTATTAAAATATTCACGCTTAGTGTTTTACACTTAACCCAGTTGTCAGGCTTAGTAGTGCCGGTCCTAAGAAAGCTCAAGGCTGGTTCTACCCCGGAACCCACGACTTTACCAGACCAGGGCCCCGGACGATCCACTAACCTCGGCAACGGCAATGTAGCACCACCCATCCCCACGCCAACATCAAGAGCTAGATCCATAGTTCATGCCATGAAGATATAAAACAAAGCTCTGAGCCCTAATCGCTCATATCCCTGCATACTATGCGAAGAAGAGCACTCCTCCAATTGACCGCGATAACCCGTGGCTTCAGCACCAACACCAGCAGGAGACTTGCGTCACAGCCCGCACCCGCAAGGGAGAAGATGCCTCCCCTGAATCCGGCTTCACAGGTACGTGCCGTTTAATTGTGGAACTCGGAGGCCAAGTTTGGATTTAATCACGCGTTACTGCAACGGTCTTCCCGTTCTGGCACTTCTCAGCGGGCTGAATGAGGGATGATCATGGGTATGTGGTGTTTCAGAGTGCGATATATGATCTCATTTCATTTCGAAGTCTGCGAGTTTCGCCGCCCTTGTTTGTCTCGGAACTATCTCTACCCTGTCAATTGCCAGTGTGGAATCGATGATGACAGTGATGACGACGACGTTGATGATGTATCTTGGCTAACCATCCACTGCTACTACGATCGCGTTGAATAGAGAGCAATTGATCGGCTGAGAGATTATCGGCCACCACCGACGAATTATGAACTTGTGCCATTGTCGCGTCGAGCGGCGGTTCTGGTGCTACTTTATGCGGATGCCAAGGGGGATCTGAGGGTTGTGTTGACGATTCGGGCGAAGACACTCAGTTCATGTGAGCACTCCCATAAGCTTCCAGGGAATGAATGTCGAGGTGTCGATGATCATATCATGACAAGATGATGAGGACGACCTACTCATACCGCTATTTCTACAGACGCTGGCCAAGCGGCTTTACCTGGAGGTGAGTGGAGCGCTCCAACTTGCGGTCAAGAAAGAATTCAAGATTCGGAGGAATGAAGATATCCCAATGCATATGATATATCATCTATCATCGCTTGCGCATTCAAGAGTCAAAATGGATTGTGAAAATCAAAACTCAAAAGTCAAGGACAAAAAATAAATCAAGCACTCACACCGCGCTTCCCAGGACGGGCGGATACGCTGGAAGAGACCGCATTCCAGACGGCACGCCGCGAGGCACGTGAAGAGATAGGGTTGCCTGATCTGAACCAGTCATTTCCCCGGCCGTTCAGCGTTGAGCATCTCTGCGAGTTCCCGGCTAATCTTGCTCGAACGGAGGTGGTTGTCCGCCCTTGCGTGGCGCTGCTCCATTCGTATGACGAGGAGACGGGCGAGAATGCCGACCCAGAGGTGTCGCTGATTCCCAGGCTGGATGCCAGAGAGGTTGCGGCCGTCTTTACGGCGCCATTTCACAATTTTTTACGCATGAGAGATGCGGATGATTGGGGCACCGACGACCCAACAGAATGGTATCAGGGATCCTGGACCGGATGGCATCAGTCCAATTGGAGAAGTAAGTGGCACTGTCCTCCGTTTGCATGGTTGCACCTAGGTACCAATGCCGTACCTTACTCCTCTACTCCGTAGAGTACATTGTTTGACAGGCGGTGTACCGTCGGTTGAATCAGGTTGAATTTCAATGAAATAAAGAAAAAGTCAAAAGAAAGAAATCAGACAGAAGGAAAATGACAAAGAAAAAGAAAAAAATAATATCGTCGGTTGATTGGATTTTTGCTTTTTCGTCGGCGTTTGTCTAGATAGTCCTTGACAGTCACTGACCCACTCCCAGTGCATCAGTTCTTTGTCCCCATCAACAGCCGGTCGGTCGTCAAACCGCGCAGCAGCAGCCGGATGCAGAAGCAGGCTGCAGAGGAGCTAGACGAGAAAGAAAAATCAGGCGAGGTAACTCGCTATCGGGTGTTTGGCATGACGGCCCGCATTCTGGTGGATGTCGCGCGAGTGGCATATGGCGAGGATCCGGAATTCGAACACAACAGCCACTTTGGCGATGAAGCGATGATCGCCAATCTCCGACAGATGGGCCGACTAAGTGCCGTTCGTAAACCCACCGATGAACTCACGCCAGAGACGATGCAGAAGGCAGCCAAACTTAGTTAGGTTTAGAGATTAGACGTGTCGACTCCTACGGGTAGCTCTCCCAGGTACCTGATTAGTGGTTCACGAGGTTGGGCACTGGGGATCTAGGTACATAATGCAGATACTTAGTTCACAATACTATCGGCCGTACCTGAGCCTAAGCACTCCTCCCACAAGTACATAGTACCTTACCTAGTTTAGTATCTAGTGGTACTGAGTAGTTTGTACCCCGGTCCGCATTGAGAGCCTTCGCGGTGTCCATCATCAGAACTGTCCTACCTACTCATAGATGTTTCACTCTCAATCTAAGATACTATTCTTATCTTTTGCCCGTCAAAGTTAACTAAACATGTCATGATGATGAGGGACAGGAAGGCAGTGCAGAGGGTCAGAGGCAGGCCGGACAAACAGTAATCTGGGCATCCCTTGCGTTGGCATGTCACCCCCTCGCGACGGTCTATGAGGCTGTTTGCTGGCCATGTTGCTCTGATGCTGATTATCCTGCGGGACAGCTCGCAAACTGCGCCGCTGCATGGTTGACCTTGCGTTATGATTTGCTAACCTTTTTGTTTTCTGCGTTATCTCTTCTTGTTTTCATGTTTTCATACTATTATTATTTTAGCTTTTCTTTTCTTTCCTCATCATTTTCTATCTAGGGGGGAGGCCTGATTACCCTCCACCTGAATAATCATTCGTTTGGCTGCATCTTTCTATCCCTTGACTTCACATTGTCCCTTTTTTATTTCTTTTTATTTTATTTTTACTTCTCTTTCTTTTCCCTCGCAGCTCTGTTGGCTTATTCTTCCCGGTTCTCCCCTTCCTTTTTCTTCTCTCTCTCCTCTTCTGTTCTTCTCTTCTTTTCTTTTTTCCTTCCCGAAGATGCTTGATCGTATATCTCCCCGCTGTATCCTTCTTGTGCATGCCCACTTCGAGGCTCGAGCGACAGGCTGACTTGCGGGGAAAGGGTCTTGTGATCAGCCATCCCGGACACCCCCAGTGGTGTTGACTGTTGACTGTTGACACGCAGACTGAACCCGTTCCTTGGCGGTTTGGGTTTCTTTGTTCTTGAGATATTACTGAACCTCATCTGTCTACTCCGTAACTCAATCTGATCCTTTCGCCATACCTAAATCCAAAATCCACCAACGTCTGTTGGTGGTTGTCTTGACGAAACACTTGTTTCTTCCCCACTTTCCAAGCGGAATCCCTCGTGGAGGGGGAAACAATACATAAGGTGTCTGCTTGACGATCGAGTATAAGGTTGGGATCATGTTGTCTCCCGCCTCTCTCGCTTACTCCCGTCAGGCTCCTCCAGTGAGACCGTCTCGATCTCTAGAGGGACTGGAGCAGGTCATCCCGCCTAGAGTTCCTCAACCTCCAGCTCGTCCTACTCTGCAACTGGACAAACCTCTTCCCGACCTTCCCTCACAAGTACAGTCGCTCCCAGATGCCTCAGAGATGAGGGGTTCGACAGCATGGAGCGATGACAGCACTACCATTAGCAGTGTGGATAGTGACGGCAGTCGAAACCGCGAATCCACCCACTCGACGGAAAGCTATCCCGTTTTTGTCCGCTCGGCGTCGGATGACCTAGCCGGGCTTGTCGATCATCCTCCGGTCTCGTCCTTGGATCGCGAGGAGCCAATAGTGGATCCCTGTGCGAAGCCATCAACAATAGCTTCCTATTCTCCAAGCCTGTCGCTTCCCCAACATGCTCTATCAGTATCAAAAGACGACCGGTATGGAAGTCCGCCAGAATGGGCCCAGAAACGGGCCGGTCCGAACCACTATTTCCGGGAGAAAAAGTGGGATTTCTTCCCCGAATTAGCGACTCCTTCAGCCTTGGGTGTTGGAGCAGCTGGACGGTTTCTTCCCGCCAGCTCGCAATCGCGGAAGAGGAATGGGGGCAAATTGCATTTATCCTCGTTTGACTTTGGAAGGAATCGCAGGCGTTCGAATACATCCGACCGGGGGACTCTGACGCTCGCCCATGAAGTTCGGGACTCGATCCGTTCCTACGTCCATCGCACATTGTCGAAGCGTTCTGCGGAGAAGGACAAGCCGAGACGACGAGGGCGCCCCGCGACCGCGCCCTCCTTCTACCCACCCAAGTATGCATCTTCACAGGGGACCGCCACCTCGAGCGACCACCCTCATTATGGAACATCTATAGAAGAATCGAGCCCGGTGGATATAGATATCCGGATGAGAACCCTATCAATCTCAACTGATTCGACTATGAGCGAACGATGGGTAGAAAGCCCCAAGCCAATTCCCATTCACCGGACAAAGCAGCTCGCTGTCCCCATCACTCCTTACCAGAAGTATGGTGCGGCCATCTGGGACAAATCCGGCGGCACAAAGAGGGTCAGCTATCGACCAAATCACCAGGTGAAATTTCCAAAGCACCAAAGGAACATTTACCCGTCTTCCGCGCAAAAGTCGAAATCAAGTAGGGACTTCACATCTGCCAATCCCACTGCGCCCTTGTCGCCGCCGGTACGCTCCGTGATCCAGCAGAACACTAGAGAGGCCATTCGAGTGTTACAGGATGGAACCACTCAAGTGCTAGATGTGCTTGATGAGGCGAAGAAGAAAGTGATCAAGTCAAGCGTTGACCGTCGACGAATGCAGCTCAAATCGCAGATTAAATTGATAGGGCCGGTCAACCCATACACTACCTACGGACGCGTCGATTCTTGGATATGATTATATCTTTGCTTTTTCTCTTCTACTGTTTCTGCAGTCTGTCTCGGCCGAGCTCCTGGACTTTTCCCGTTAAATTTTTCGCACCTTTGATGATTTCATTTCTCCCTTGATATTTTGATACCTCTGGAAAGGCCTAAGGCTTACGTTTGGCGTCTCGGCACTGGATTGGATGATGTGATGGAAGCGACTTTTTATGCCAGCTATATGGGTTATACACTCTTTGTAATTGAGAATTCTGCAATAGATGAGATCTCCACCTATTAATCTCACCATACTTGTCGGATCCTCGTCTCAATGCAGGATTTTAACCCTGTACTCTGTAGAGATAAATTACACTGTCTGGAGTGACACGAATCTGTGATCTAAGTATAACCTGAAGCGTATCTCGGTCCAGATGATACTGTCATGGTACAAGTCCTACTAGGATATTTATCAATAACCCTGTCGATATTAGCTTCGTCAGGTCAATTCAGACAGCCGAGAGGGAGACATTGACTAATTCCTGGATCATGCAACATCTCATGACCATCGTCGATGTCTCACATTCCACCTCTTCCGCCCCGTTTCCCCGCCATCGCCCGCTGTTGACTTCTCCGCACTTAAACGTCATCCCTGTTCCTGGGGACTTTCCGGCTAGGCTCTTTTCCCGACGTTTCCCTTTTCCTGTTTCCTCTTTTTCATCTCTACGGAGACTAAAGACACTCAGTCAGAGTTTTCACCAAGATAGTCCCTAATCAAACCGCTAAGGTGTATCCCTCAACCTATCTACATCAACGGTCTAGGCCCGCCGAAATGGGTGGAGACGCCCCATTGCGAGCTCCAAGCTCACTCCCTCGAGCCCCAGAACATCCCGTCGGCCAACGCATCAAGAGTATCTACACGGATCGGCTGCGCCAATTCACAGACTCAGGCCAGTACCGTGAGCAAAGCCTCATCTCGTACGTCTATCCCATCTACAGAAGAGTCCCCCGCTAACTCCCCATCACAGCAAGCTTCACGAAGCCACCACCTCCGACCAAGACCATGTCAAGCTGTCCGTCTACTCTCCGCCAGACCTGCAGCGTCCAACGTTTGAAGAGGCGATATCGCACGAGTTCAAGCCCACGCATATCGGCGCCTCGTTCGGCCCTAGTTGGTCGACGCACTGGTTCCGGATCCGGCTGACGGTCCCGCGGGATATGCTCGACAAGGAGCGATTGGAGTTCCACTGGGATGCCAATAATGAGGGCTTGGTGTGGATGGAGGATGGACGGGCGGTGCAGGGGTTGACTGGTGGCGGGGAGCGGATCGAATGGGTTATTCCTGATGCATGGCGCGACGGCAAGGAACATACGTTTTACATTGAGATGGCGTGCAATGCTATGTTTGGGAATGCGCCTGGCGGCGATTCCATCCAGCCGCCTGCGCAGGATAAGTACTATACGCTGCATACGGCGCGGATTACTGCGGTCAATGTGGAGGCGCGGGCGCTGTTTTATGATTTCTGGATCATTGGCGGTGCGTATACGGCTGCTGTTGATATATTTATCAGTGGCTGACTTTTGCAGACGCGGCGAGGGAGTTCCCTGGTGACTCTTGGGAGGCTCATGAAGCGAATATGGTTGCCAATGCTGTCATGGACGCTTTCATAGCGGGTAACGGAAGCCAGGAGTCGATCAAGGAAGCGCGCAAAATCGCTCAGAAGTATCTTGGAGATAAAGTCGACTCGTCTGAGGTCTATGAGACGGATACCCAGCCCATCGTCTATGCCATCGGGCACTGCCATATCGACACCTGCTGGCTCTGGCCTTGGGCGGAGACAAAGCGCAAGGTTGCTCGCTCATGGTCTAACCAGTGTGACCTCATGGACCGGTACCCGGAGCACCGATTCACTTGTTCTCAGGCGCAACAGTTCAAGTGGCTCGAGCAATATTACCCTTCGGTCTTTGACCGCGTCAAACGATGGGTGAAGAAGGGCCATTTCCAGCCGATTGGTGGCAGCTGGGTCGAACACGACACCAACTTGCCCAGCGGTGAGTCGCTGGTGCGACAATTCATTTACGGCCAAAGGTTCTTTGAGAGCCGCTTTGGCGAGCGTTGCAGCACTTTCTGGCTCCCGGATACCTTTGGCTACTCCAGTCAAATCCCTCAGATATGCCGGCAGGCAGGCATGAGCCGATTCTTTACCCAGAAACTCAGCTGGAACAATATAAACAACTTCCCGCACACTACCTTCAAGTGGGTTGCGCTTGACGGCAGCCAGGTAATGTGTCACATGGCTCCATCAGAGACGTACACCGCGGAAGCGCATTTTGGCGACGTTAAACGCAGCGTCACCCAGCACAAATCGATGGACCATGACAACACTTCGCTTCTAGTATTCGGAAAAGGAGATGGTGGCGGTGGCCCTACCTTTGAACATCTGGAAAAGCTGCGCCGCTGCCGGGGTCTCAGCGACAAGGTTGGATTGCTTCCGCGCGTGAAGATGGGCGACTCGGTGGATGATTTCTTCGCGAGGCTTGAGCAAAAGGTTGCAAATGGGACAGAGTTTGTCACCTGGTATGGCGAGCTCTACTTTGAACTGCATCGGGGCACATATACTACGCAGGCGAACAACAAGCGGAACAACCGCAAGTCTGAATTCCTCCTGCGCGATCTAGAATATCTCTCGACTCTCGCATCCCTTACCAAGACGAATGGCGAGTACAAATATCCAAAGAAAGATATTGATGACATGTGGGAAGGTGTGCTGCTATGCCAGTTCCACGATTGCCTACCCGGAAGCTCCATCGAGATGTGCTATGACGATTCGGACAAGCTGTATGCACAGATTTTTGAGACCGGTGAGCGAGCCAGACAACAGGCTCTCGAGGCGCTTGGGTTTTCCGGGAAGAGTACCGGTAAGAGTCTTGTTGCCATCAACACGTTGCCTTGGTCTCGCTCGGAGATTGTCAGAATACCGGATGAGTTTGTCGCGTTGACAGGCTCACGGTATGCTCTAGCAAGCGGAGATTCTGGCCTCATCCAATGCCAGATTCTAGATGTTAAACAGAAACCCAGCGTGACGGTGGCAGAGGTACAACCGGGTGTTTTCCGTCTTAACAATGGCAAGTTGAGGGTCGACGTCCAGGATGGCGTCATTACTTCTTTGTATGATCTTGAAGCCGATCGAGAAGTTGTCGCCAAGGGAGGGAAGGCGGGCCAGCTCGTCATCTTTGACGACAAGCCGCTCTACTGGCAAGCCTGGGATGTGGAAGTCTACCATCTCGAATCGAGAAAAGAGCTGCATGCGAGAGAGACCTCGATCGCAGAGGAAGGCCCGCACCGTGTCAGCGTGGCCACCAAGGTCCAAATTAGCGACAAGAGCTGGGTCAAGACGACCATCAGCCTGGCTGCGGTGGTGAATGAGCAGCCCTCATACGTTGAATTTGAGAGCGAAGTCGAGTGGCAGGAGACCATGAAGTTCCTTAAGGTCGAGTTCCCTGTGGACATCACAAACACAGAGGCATCGTACGAGACTCAATACGGGATCACCAGACGACCGACGCATTACAACACGAGGTATGTAGAGCCTGTCTTCTGATCAATATCTGCTAACCAAAAAACAGCTGGGACATGGCCAAATTCGAGGTCTGCTGCCACAAATGGGCCGATCTGTCCGAGTACGGCTACGGCGTCTCGATCCTCAACGACTCCAAATACGGCTTCGCAACCTGCGGTAACCTGATGCGTCTCTCGCTTCTGCGTGCTCCCAAGGCCCGGACGCCCATGCCGACATGGGCCGCCATCACATCCGCTACGCCATTCTCCCGCACTCTGGGCCCTAGACGCCCGCACCGTCCGCGCCGGTTACAACTTCAACAGTCCCCTTATCCTGCGCCGTTCGTCGGGCATGCAAGCCGCTAACGTGTTCAAATCCATCGCTGTAACGGGCTCACCGTCTCTCATCCTTGACGTGGTTAAGCGCGGAGAGGACGATGAAGACGTTTCTCGGGGCGAGTTGCCCAAGCGGCCCGGCAAGAGCACCATCCTTCGTATCTACGAGTCGCTTGGCGGTCGATCAAGGGGCACGATTCATGCCAAGTTCCCGGTCAAGGAGGCTTGGAAGTGCAATGTGCTTGAAGACAATGAGGAGCGGTTGGAGGTTTGCAAGGGCGAGGAGGGCGTCGCAGTCAAGATTGAGCTGCGGGCTTTTGAGGTTGCCACCTACCGCTTGCAGCTGTAGATTTGCTCATGATTGATGAATATGTCTATACGATGAACAGTAGCATCGTCAATGTCATTATTTGCCTTGAGTCTAGTACAGTCTTCATACAAGTGGATATCAACAAAAGAGCAAGACAACCGTAAATGCTCACATGTGCCAGTCCCAAAATGAACAACCCTGCGCCTAAGCTCCATTTTCCCACCCCTGCCTTGATGCGTAGAATGACACCCCGCAAAACAAACTCCTCGAGTCGAGTCCAGAAAATCTAATCCCTCCCATAAGTAATCTTCAACCGCTTCGCAGGCGGCTTATCCCCTCCCTCATCGCCCTCATCATCCTTATCCTTGTCCTTGTTACCGCCATTCGCACCCCCAGACTTCTTCTTATTCTTCGACGACGACGACGAAGACGAAGACCCCTTGACGCTCGCCGCAGCAGACGACGTCCCCTCGCCATTCGGCTTCCCGTTCGACCCATTATACGTCGACGTCGGCGTCGGCGCATGCGAAGGCGTAGTCTGCACGGACGATGGCGCGGGTGAATCCTAGCACTGGTCAGTCCAACAACACACCATAACAATAGCCCGCCTTTCAGGGATGTGATTCTAGGATGTAAAGGCTGACGCACCCGCATGAAACTCGCCGAACTCCTCGAAAACACCCTATCCGCGTCTGTCACCTGCGCCTTGCGACGCGCTGCGCCGCCCATGCCCCCGCCAGCGCGATCCCGCTCGCGCCGAGCCCCGTGCTCGACCCGGACCCCTTGATGTAGTTGTCGAAGCCTTTGATGATGTTTCCCGCGGTGGTTTCTTCGAGGTAGGATTGCTCGAAGCGGAAGATTTGGTCTTCGAGTTGGGCCTATGACGCGGTAATTAGTTTGCGGGGGAAGGTTCTGGCGGACGAAGAGGGGAGGGTAGCCTACCATGCTTTTGTCCATGAGACGTTTCTTCTGCAGGGCGTCGCGGAGGTCGCGGCGCAGTTTTTCGTAGTAGGGTAGGCCGCGGTTTCCGCTGTTTTGGTCTGTGGTGGTTGTGGATGTGGATGTGTTGACGCTGCCGGTGATTGGGTTGTTGGTGCTGGGGGTTGTGTGCTTGTTGTTGTGCCTGATGCGCCTGCTGTTGCTGGTGCTGTGGATGTTGTTGCACCTGTTGATGTGCCAGTTGCGGCTGGGGCTTGTGCTGGGACCGTGTCTGCCATTTCGTGTCGCGCACCAAAACGGCTGACAGAAATTGAATTGCCCAATTAATATACTGTTGATTCGTTGATAACAGGTTGAGAGGGCACGTGTTGGTCGTGATGTTTGGGCTATCCTCTGTGACAGGGCGGTAGATTGAAACCGGTTGGACGACTGCACTCCCGTATTTAGTAAGTGTGAAGCCAAAGGGAGGATCTTATCGACTTTGTTTGTCTTGTTTGCATTGACATGCGTTTCGTCCTTGATGAATGCATCAACTGTCAGCATCGATCTGTCTCTGTTTCGTCATTTTCAGATCCTTGCATTTGCCTTATATATATATTTAGCGTGTCCTTTTGAACAAATATACTATTTAAATCTGGAACGATGGACCACAGCATGCACCATTCCGGCATGGATATGGACCATGGACATGGGGACATGGATATGGGCGGACAGTGCAACATGAACGTGAGATCTCCTAGATCTATCTATAGTTACAATCTTGTACACTGACAAAATCAGATGCTATTCACCTGGTCTACCAAGGACCTCTGCATCGTCTTCAGTCAATGGCATATCACCGGCCCCTTCTCCCTCCTGATATCCCTGATTGTCATAGTGCTTTTGACAGCGGGCTACGAGGGCGTCCGGCAGGCCACCCGGAAATATGAAGCTGCCCATGCACAGCGTCTGAACGCTTTCTCGGCAACAACAGCTACGATTGGTAAGTACTTCGGTCTGTTCTGAGTTATTGGACGTATATCTACGATGGCATGGTGCGTTGGTGGACTCTGCCGAGCAAGTATTTGTTTCATTGAAATGTACTCCCGCTTTCTATGTCTGCTTTGGTCATAGCTGGACTGGAGCCCTCATTGACGAACGGTGTGCAAGGCAATGAGTTCGCCGACGAGTCCGCCACCGCCAACGTTTCCTCTAGTCAAACCCCCAACGAGAGCTCACCGCTAGTTGCAGGTAGGGATAACAGACGGGCCGTGGAGCAAAGAGGCAAGATCACCCTTGCAGCCTTGTATGCCGTGCAGGTGTTCTATAGCTTCTTCATCATGTAGGTTTTCTCTTCTGCCTTTTGTTTCATCAGTTTAGATGCTCAAATGTGTATAGGCTGCTGTTCATGACGTATAATGGGTTCGTCATGCTTGCAGTTGCTGTTGGTGCTTTCGTCGGATATCTGGTCTTTGGAGATAACCAGTCAGCCGCTAAGACGGTTGCTTGTCATTGATCTCGGATGATGGTTGGTCCTCCTAGAGGGTGTAGGCGCCAGATTGCCCAACAACAATTTGTGCTTAGGAATATATATGCTTAAACCGTATTGTGACAAATCCAAGCGAATGGAAGTGACTCAAGGGACTTCCACGTCGCTTCCATCATCTCCAAAGCCGAAACTGAATCCACCTGCTTCAGAGGCGGCTTCGGCGCCCTCCTGGGCCACCTTCCCGTGGACCAGCTCATCCCACTTGCGCTTCCTGCCATCTGACTTTTTCTTCAACTCGTCCAGCGCCTGCTGGAGTAACTCGGGATGAGACTTGCGCATGTTTTCCACAAACCGCTCGTAGGGGTTATGCACATCTTTTCTGAACCCAGAAACCTGATCGGCCTTGTTGGACAAGAAGTCAAGGGTAGCAGTCAAATGCGCACGCGGGGTGAAATTCTGCGTAATAGCAATGGAAGGTTCCAGATTCACAACCAAATGCCACCATCCTGAAGGCACATAGAGAATTTCGCCTTCGCCACAGATACCTTCAATGCAGCCAGGAGTGCGCCGTGCCTCAGCATGGAACCCAAGCAGCCATTCTGCAATGCTCAGAGGCGATGTGACTTCGCTCTGATCGTCCGAAACAAAGACGCCAGGCGGGGGTGGCAGTTGCGACGACGAGGGAAACATGATCCAGTACTTGGAGCCGCGAACGACCGCGTTCCAGGCGCTGGTCGCATTGGGATCCTTGTGAAACGTACTGCCTGATCGCTCAGGGCCAACGATGAGCCATTGCCTATCCGGGCGGTCATTCCCCAGCACGGAGAAGAAGTCTTCTCCAAAGCATGGAGGAGGCCAGTACGCCGCCTCAGATTCCTCCTCTGGCGGACCAACCTTAAGCCCCATTTTCGACACAAAGGCCCGGTCAAACAGATACAAAGGACTCTCATCTGCATTGTGCCTCATGTAATCCACGTAGGTGCTCAATTTCCAATCCACAGCTTCTGCACGAAAGACCGTGTCCCCGTACTTGGCAAGCAGTGAGTCTACGGACCAGCTCTTGTAAGCCGGCCACTGCTTCACCGGCTGGGTCAAGATGAAAGGCTTGTCGGACCATTCTGCTTGGAAATCCTCTGGTGAAAGGTCCGGAAGACGGGTGATCTGATTTTTCGAGGGAATATTCTTCACGTAAATGTCCAAGGAGATGTGCGCGCAATAGAATGGACGATGAAGAGCATCAGAAAACAGACTTGAGCAGTCCAATATGGCAACGCTGGACGGAGGCAAGTTGAGATAGGTCGAACGCCATGTTCCTCTCCATGTGAACGACGAAGGGGGCGACCTGAAGATTGCCTCTTAGTGAAAAGTCTCAAGACTACTAGATTCTAAGGTCTAGTGATCATGTCTAAATATACGAAGATCTATATATCCTTACCAAATAAAAAGAGCCTTCCACAATTCCTCCGCTCTCGTAAATGCATAAAAGGCCTTACAGGTCCTCCCGAACCGCAATAGACTTAGACCATCCAGAGACTCTAGAAGCATCAAAATCAACTCATCCGGCAGAAGATTGAATGTCCCAATCGTATGACGCAGATTCTCATTGGCAAATAGACCGTTGCCACTCGGCTTTACACCTAGCGGATGACAGGGGATTGCATCATGACCAGTTAGATCCTGAAGGCTGTCATCCGGTGAGAAAGAGTGAGAATCAGTCTCCCCAAGTGGGTGACTCTGTAAAGAGGTAATATCAGGCATTTGACTATGGTAACCAGAGCCTCAGTAATCGGATCCGGCACTAAGAATGGGAGGAAGTGTATAACGAAAAATAATGTACGGGGTACTCCGAATATACGGGGTACCTGGTTCTGAGAGGTTCCGGAAGCTCTATATCAGAGAACAAACAGAACAAAGGTCATGATAAGAAGAATAATTATTGCATCCTGCACGAGAACCTTCTGTGCCTCTATCAAGTATCAGCATCACCCGCCACTCACAAATCACCAACGGCAAAAAAAATCCCACGAGGCAAACGATGAAGCCTGAAACAGCAGGCGGTGGATGTGGGTTGGGCAGAATTGGCGCTAAACAGGAAAAAATCAAAAATTTCGCGGCTTCACCAAAAAGAGACAAGGAAAATCTTTTTCTCCCTCTTCTTCTCCAGCCCACATCACTACCCGGTGAATCCATCTTCAATATCTTACTATCTCAACTACTACCATCACCACTTTACTAGTTCCTAAGAAATCTCTCTCGTGAGAGTCGTGGTTCTAGTCTCTAAAAGTATCTATTAGGGATTTCATTACTCTCAGATCTCTGCGACTACAACCCCACTGGGACCTGTTGTCGCTAAGAAAACTTCCAAGTTCACAACCGACACCCCACTGTTCCATCGATCACAGCTTTTCGCTTGTGATCACCACCTACTACAGTCGCAATCATGGCTTCTAACGACAAGGGTTTGGAGGAGATCCCTGAGGGTATGTTTAAACCTCATTTTCTTTCTGTTCTTGTTGGCTGTGGTGTTACACTGTCGACTGCAAACATTTTGTGGCGTCGCTTGCAACCGAAAAATTCAGCAAAAGATTCAAGACTGACAATACTTCCCACTTTTAGGACAGATCGAGTCCAACTACGATGAGATCACCGACTCCTTCGACACCATGGAGCTGAAGCCCGAGCTGCTTCGCGGTATGTTTCACTCATCTCAACTCGACGATATGGCGGAGTATGTGTGTAGCAAGTATTGACGACGTCTTCTTCAGGTATCTACGCCTATGGTTTCGAGCGTCCCTCTGCTATCCAGCAGCGTGCCATCATGCCCATCATCAAGGGTACGTTTGTCCTATTACGGCCTCTGAAAGCACTGTCATTAATCCGGAAATCGCAGGTAGCGATGTCATCGCCCAGGCCCAGTCCGGTACTGGAAAGACTGCCACTTTCTCCATCTCCGCTCTGCAGAAGCTCGACCCCAACGTCAAGGGATGCCAGGCCCTCATCCTTGCTCCCACCCGTGAGTTGGCTCAGCAGATCCAGAAGGTCGTTGTCGCCATCGGTGACTTCATGAACATTGAGTGCCACGCCTGCATTGGTGGTACCAACGTTCGTGACGACATGAAGGCTCTCCAGGAGGGTCCCCAGGTCGTTGTCGGTACCCCGGCCGTGTCCACGACATGATCCAGCGCCGTGTCCTCCGCACCGACCACCTGAAGATGTTCATCCTCGACGAGGCCGATGAGATGCTTTCTGTAAGTTGACCTTGGTTTGCGCCTATTTTGGCCCCAACATGTGGTCTAACGTGGTATACAGCGTGGTTTCACCGAGCAAATCTACGACATCTTCCAGCTCCTTCCTCAGTCCACCCAGGTCGTCCTGCTGTCTGCTACCATGCCCCAGGATGTCCTGGAGGTTACCACCAAGTTCATGCGCGACCCCGTCCGTATCCTGGTGAAGAAGCAGGAACTCACCCTGGAAGGTATCAAGCAGTTCTACATCGCCGTCGAGAAGGAAGATTGGAAGCTCGACACCCTGTCCGATCTCTACGAGACCGTCACCATCACCCAGGCTGTCATCTTCTGCAACACCCGCCGCAAGGTCGACTGGCTCACTGACAAGCTGACTGCCCGTGACTTCACTGTCTCCGCCATGCACGGTGATATGGAGCAGTCTCAGCGTGATGTTATCATGAAGGAGTTCCGCTCTGGTTCTTCCCGTGTCCTGATCGCCACCGACCTTCTGGCTCGTGGTATCGACGTCCAGCAGGTCTCCCTGGTCATCAACTACGACTTGCCCGCCAACCGTGAGAACTACATTCACCGTATCGGTCGTGGTGGTCGTTTCGGTCGTAAGGGTGTTGCCATCAACTTCGTCACTGCTGACGATGTCCGCATGATGCGTGAGATCGAGCAGTTCTACAGCACCCAGATCGAGGAGATGCCCATGAACGTTGCTGGTAAGTTCAACTTGTGGAGTCTGGACTTGATTAAATGTATGCTAACATGCTGTCAGACCTTATCTAAACGCCCCAACCTCGAGTTACCACCCGCATCTTTTATGATGCGGCTCACGATCGCAGTATGCCAATAACGTGCCAAGGGTAAGCTGCGGTGGAAAAAGGCGTTTTTTAACATCGTTGCTTGTCTTTTGGCGAAGGAGAATCCTTTAAAAGTGGCTTTCTGTGTCTCCAGCTCTTCTTCTGCTGGCAGTGGATTGCGGAGGGTGCAGTAGAAGCAGCTACTGCACATCTTCGGAAGCTGCTGTTCATGGTTTCCTTTTGTTTTCTAATGGAGATGCGACATGTTCCTGTGCTTTTTAACGCTGTAATTCATGGTTTCTCTTTTCCTGCATCACTTCGAGTTTGCCGACTTTTTTCCCTTACCATTTTGTGCTTGGCTGGCCTTGGTTGGTTAAGGATGCTGCTATCATGCTTAACCAGTCGGTTGAGTGTAAAATGCTATTTGTTCATTCAGTTGCTTTTTCTTTCTGCTTCATGAACAGACAAGGCACTTTGGGTGGATGAATACATGAACATGACATGTGAGGTGGTTTCATACCTGCAGTACCATAGATAGAGGTAAATGCCATTCCAATTGCTAAACTGAGCTTGTACTCTTGTCTTTTCAATTAGTACTCGTCCAACTTCACCTCATGCAACGTTCATCATCAACTGCCATCAACAATCATCATCCACTATTCGGTCATAGAAACCAGTTCCATGAACTCACGCAATATCCCATCCTTATCTAGAACGTCTCCCATCAAGACCACTCCCCATGGACAAAACAACAGTACGGGCATGGGACCCAACAGCCCCCTCTCTCCTCTGGGCTCACCAGATCCGCCGCGAGAACATCCACCTTGTCAACCAGCTCGACAGCACAAGAGCAGATCTCGCCGGCGCCATCTCCACGATCAAGGAACTGAAGCAGCAACTGAACGAGTTACGAGAACACGCACAGACAGCCGACACCAATCATGATGCATGCGACCGGAAGCTGAAGGATATTCCGGGAAGAATCGAGACTAGGCTGGAGGGGATCTCTAGTCGGATTGATGCCGTTGAGTGTGAGAATGGCCGCTTGAAAGAGAGGCTCGATGGCATCGAACGAGGACACAGGGAGCAGAACGGGCTGGGCGAATTGGGCGAGTCGATACGGAGGCAGGTTCTGGACGAGGTTCGGGTTTGGTTTACGAGAGAGAAGGAGGTTCTACAAGGTAGAGTGGGAGGTCCAGAGCGTGGTGGTATGTCGCGTTGGATTCCCTATCGAGGTTGTACTTGTGATTCCCATATTTTTTGCTGATCAAGGACAGACTCTACGGGAGTCAAGCAGGCATCTCCAGAGCCGGAGCCAGACATGGTACCCGATTCAATGCGCCGGGATGAGTCTGCTCCATTCGCTCGAAAGGCCTCTTTGAGAACTCTCACCGAGACTACGTGGGGATCTTCGAGCCACTCGCAACAATCTTCGAACCAGATTGATCTCCACCTGGAGAAGGAACGGATTGCCGGACCCGATTCAGCTATGCTTCCGCAGATTCGACAAGGCGGGCGAGATCTCGGGGAGTATCACTCGTCCGTTGAGGACATGCGCGCGCATTTGCCTCTGCGGAAGAGAGAGGGTGAGATCGTTGAGGCTTTTGTGCGGGGCTTGATGATGCCGGGACGAGAGGTCGAGTGGAAGGCGAGATGGATAGAGCCGGGTGGTCGTGGGATACGCTGGCGAAGACAGTGCGCAGCGAGATTGAAAGGCAGCACAGGCCGGCCGTGGAACTGAAGCGAGCTGTCAAGGGGGATGTCGAAGAGCGCGTGCAAGCTATACAGGCCCCGGGTGAAGTCTACATGTCCAGACCACGTAAGAAGCAAAGGAGGTTCATTCCGATTGTGCCAGCAGATGAAGATGATTTGATAGTCTAAATGTACTTGAACTTGGGGTGGTCCCGCAATGCGAATTGTGTTGCAGGGGGATGTTGTATATACAGCAGCTAGCCCAATGTGCAATATCCGATTGATACACGATATCACGTCTCACTGTACACGTATCTGCCTTCGCGATCCTTCACCTCCACCTCGATTCTACCCTCCTCGATCTCCTTCCCGTCCACCTCGATGGAAGCCTTCATCACGTCACCGGCCTTGACCTCTCCAACCCCTTTGGGGGTACCAGTCAGAACAAGATCGCCCTTCTCCAGGGTCATGACGCGCGAGATCTCTGCGAGCTGTCTGGGGATCCGGTAGAGCATGAGGCCGGTGGAATCTGCCTGGCGCAGCTGGGAACCAACGCTGAGGCGCAAGAAGGCATTGTGGGGATCGGGGATGCGCGCCTTGGGGATCTCTTCCGAAATGGGCAGGAAGGTGTCAAAGCCCTTGGCGATGGACCAGGGGAGGCCCTTCTTCTTTGCCTCGTCTTGGACGTTCCGGCCGGTCATGTCAATGGCGAGGAGGTAGCCTGACACGAGGATAATACGTTAGTCCTTCGATACGGAGAAGACAGGAGAAATATCTGGCAAGGATACTGACTGCGAATCGCATCCAGAGCACCCTTCTCATCGTTCGGGTCCAGATCCCGAACTGTCTTGCCCATCACCAGCGCTAATTCCACCTCATAGTGCAGGCTGACTCCCTTGGGACGCAGAACTGGACCCTCGCGAGGCAGAAGAATAGAGGAGGGAGGCTTCAGAAAGAAGAAAGGCTGCTTCGGCTTTGCGTTGTTGAGTTCTGTAATGTGGTCGCTGCGGGGAGCGTTCGTCAGTGGTGATAATGCTGTTTAGGGCAATCCGAGTACTCACGCATAGTTCCGACCGATGCAAATCACCTTTCTGCAATTGGCTCTTATAGAGGCCGCCATTGTGAGGAAATGCAGTTGGAAGGGAGATCAAGTCTTGCTTAGAGGCGCATTCGCTGTAAGTGTCAAGAAATAATTGTAGTAAAATCCCCGTCTTGACATCAGCCGGTGCATCTCCGCAATCCGCGGAGAGCACCCCGAATCTCCGACCTCGGCACTCCATGTCCGGAAATAGGTCATCTCGACGCTGTCTAGGAATTTATAGTTATGCTGGTCGATAGAAGGGTAAAACATGCCATGGCAGTGAAGAAGATGAACTCGAATTGAGTCCTAGAGTGTGAGGCTAATGAAAATACCTGATCACCATGCATGATCCTGCCAAGACATGGTCATCTTCCTGACGGAGATATCCAGAAGAAGAAACGTTCTCGACCCTGACTTAAACATATCATACTCATCCACCATGCAGGTAGCAGAGATCCTCTCTGACCTCACCTCGCTACGAGTCTGCGTACGTTCGACTTCTCAAAGATATCAGCTTAATAGGTACACTTCTGAACTGATACAGGACTATAATGATGCCCTTGCCCTAGTCACCGTCAACGAAAGGCTCAACGAGGCACGAGTACCACCAGACGACAGAAGCAAAGCCGCTGTGAGCAAGCGACAGCAGGAGCAGCAGAATCATGATCTCCGACGGGCAAAGGAGCTTGTTGATCTGCATTATGAGATGAAGACGAAGTATGCGCTCGGCACGGTTGATGAGGAGCTTACTCGTGCTCGGGAGGAGGTGAACCGGGTCCTAAGGGAACTGGAAGCTTGAGACTGTGTTCAGGGACACTTATTTCACTCTACATGTTAACACTGCTACCATTATGATGCCATGATTTGATGTTACAGATGGCTGCGGTTGATCGGGTCACAGTCACATATCTAGTTTGTTTTCAGTATTTCAGGTTCTGGGCTCGCGTCATTGCGTCCTCTGCTTTGTTGTACCTCACTCAAACACACATACCCAGTGCAATAGGAGCACTAAAGAATTAAGCATTATTCTCTATTCCGTATTTCGTTAACTATGACCTAGGCTGTGTCATTCACTAAGCAGCTGTAGTCGGCCCGACATGACCTCCGAGGTACGGACACCTTTGCGGCCACAAACGCAATTTGGAGCATCATCGCAATCGCACGCGTTCTTCCTTTTTGCTTCAATCGCGCTTTTGGCTGTACCACGGATCGTCACAGGTCATCCAGCAAATATGGCGTCCAGCATAGATGCCAGATTGCTCAAACAGACCAAGTTCCCTCCCGAGTTCAATCGGAAGGTGGACATGAAGAAGGTCAATATTGAGGTTATGAAGAAGTGAGAATCGATCTTTGAACGCAATTATCCGGGAGGAGCTTTTGCTAACAAAGACGCCTGATTGTAGATGGATTGCTGGAAAGATCTCCGAGATACTTGGGAACGAAGACGACGTCGTTATTGAGCTCTGCTTTAACTTACTAGAAGGCTCGAGATTCGTATGTTCCCTTCGGCGCATGTTCTGGGTCCGGAGCAGTTCACTGACCGATTGCTTTGCGATTTATAGCCGGATATCAAATCTCTACAAATTCAACTTACGGGCTTTCTCGATAAGGATACCGCCAAGTTCTGTAAAGACCTCTGGTCACTATGTCTCAGCGCTCAAGAGAACCCGCAAGGCGTCCCGAAGGAGCTCCTGGAAGCCAAGAAGCTTGAACTCATACAAGAGAAGGTAGGGCCGCTAGATTGTTGGAAAGGTTTTGCACAGGATGCTAATAATGTCCCACTAGATCGAGGCCGAGAAAGCAGCGGAAGAAGCTCGCCGCAAGAAGGAGCAAGAGCTAGCACGCGAAAGGGAGCTGGAAGAAATCCGGCGAAGAGAACGCTTCGATCGCAATCGGGGCCGGCGAGGCGGCGGCCGTGGGGCCCGAGACTTCGATAGACGGCCATACAGGGACGATCGATCGCCACCCAGGCGACGAAGCCGCGAGCGATTTCGTGATCCACCCTCAAGACGAGAATTTGATTCTTACGTTCCCCCAGGTTCGCGTCGGGGCCGTCGGCCTTCAAGATCGCCGGACGCCTCTCCCTCCCGCTCTCGTTCCATTTCCTCATCTCGATCCCCTCCTCGTCGACGCCTACCAAGCAGAGACAGATACCGGGATAAACGTCGCCGCTCCGCGAGTGGCTCTGTTTCTCCAGAAAGAGGAGACCACAGGAGACCGAGAAGACGAAGCCCAGACTACGGTGATCGAGCTAGATCCGTTTCCCGCAGTGATTCATCGCGCTCACGTACTCCCAGAAGAGACCGAAGGAGACGAAGATCTGTCTCTTCCCCCAGTTCATCCCGTTCACCTGCTCCCCGAGACCGGCACAGAGGGGAAGACCGATCCCGCTCCAGGTCAAGGTCTAGGTCGCGAGGGCCGGATGAGAAGAGCAGCAGACGGAGGGGATCCTCACCTGACACCTCAAGAGCTGACAAGAATAAACCAACCGCTGATTCTGCAAAGGCCCGCAAGTCCCGTGATGATCGCCGTTTGAGTCGCAGCAGAGATCGCGATGATGAGCGCAGACGACGCCGCTCAACCAGGAGTGTCAGCCGCAGTCGAGGCCGTTCTCGCACTGGCAGCGTCAGTCCGAGGCGTGCTTCTCGCAGCCGCAGCCGCAGTCATGGGAGAGAAAGGAAGAGACGTCGCTCTATTGAGAGATATGCCCCTGCTGCCCGAAGACGGCGCAACACCTCTTCTGTATCTACACATACTGAGAAACGACAGAGGATGGCCGATCCAGCCGAGGAATCCGCAAAGCGGTCGTCTCCACCGCCTGAGCAGCCGAGCTCGACAGATCACGAGACGAAGGATACTGAAGAGGTGGGTAACTGATTTCAGATGGATATTATACCCGATGAGTAATTGGACTCTTGATGTTCGTTCCTTTGTCTCTTACTCCATTTTCCCCTCTCAAGAGCTGTAATCAGACTGACGAACTTCACAGACTATCCACTCAAAACCGAATCGGCCGCGCATATCAAGCACGGAGCTGCGCGAGAAGCTTCTGCGCGAAAGGCTAGTTTCAATGCGCCGTACTGCCTCTCATGATAAGGTAGGTGGCAATACGACAGGCTCCAAGCAGCATACGGTTGGAACATGAAGCTGGTAATCAATAGACGCCTTGACAAGCGGGATGCGGCTTACTAGTGATCTAGAGAAAGATAACTATGTGCCTTTCTAGGAATTCTTGATTCTAGAGATCTTCTCTTTCCTTCTCACTTACGGTTGTAATTTTGAATACGTGGATATGGACACCACGTGGAAGCTGATCAGCAATAGTGTCAACCATGTGGGAGACCTTGGTTCGTGATCTGCACTATTTATTAAATCGAGTGATATAAGCCAAACTCAAATAAAGTCAAACTCAAACACTTAGACCCCCATTCCCCCTATCTGTAGCGGTCCAGGAGGATCATCTGCCCAGAAGTGTCAATAATAACGATCATCGCCTTGCAGGGCCTCCCGTAACCCTGTTGCACTCTTCGGAGTATCTACGGAACAGTTCATCCTTCATTTCGTGCTACCAGATAGATACTCGAGTCTAGTCCCAATAATCCTGCCCGTAAGTACAGCGTGCTGTATGGAGTATCTAGAGTGTAAGGTAGACTATGGAGTAGCGGACCCACGATCAACGTCCATGCCGACTGTCAAACCGTCGATCAAACACGTACGGAGTCCTTTCTCTGTTTGCTACGATTCTAATTACAATCAGCGGTGATGAGCATGACCGTGCTGATCGAAATGTCCTCTACGCTAGTGGCCCGCTCTCGGCCTTCCTCCTTGGATCCTTGCCCTAACCGGCCATGAGATTAGGTGGAAGGGTCGGTTAGACTAGGCAAAGGGAGTAAGTGATGTCAACGACATACGAGACTCTAGGCTACACATTGTATATTCACTGTCTCTTGACAATCAATTTGATATAAGAAGCTTAAAGACTTGATCTATTCCATATGAGAAATGTACTTCACATGGTTGGGAACCAAGGCGAATGAAAAAGAATAAGGGTGGTAATGCCACGACGTCCGGCTCAACTGAACTTCACCATCCTGATGATACAGCTCCAGGATATGGAACAGCAGAATTATAATTAAAATTAGTTATGTACAAGACTATTGCACCATTTCTCCCATTTCCATCGTTTCATAAGTTGTAACTGGGCCTCACGAGCCAACAATCAAATCTAGTAGTCGCAGGCAGAAACGGCGACGGTCTTTGTGATGGTGATCACCTTGGGACCCTTAGAAGGCACCGCGGTAGGGGCAGCGGTGATAGCCGCAGCACCGCTAGAAACGGCCCCGGTCTTGGTAGCAATGGGGACAACAGTCTCAGAAACGAAGGTCTCGCAAGGAGTCTCGGCGGCCTCAGGGCCAGCAGGAGAACCACCGGAGGAAGCAGAGGCACCGGAGGAAGAAGAGCCACCAGAGGAAGCAGAGCCACCAGAGGAAGCAGAGCCACCAGAGGAAGCAGAGCCACCAGAGGAAGCAGAGCCACCAGAGGAAGCAGATCCACTGGAGGAAGAAGAGCCACCGGCAGGGCCAGCGGGAGAGCCACCAGAGGAAGCAGAGCCACCAGAAGCAGAGCCACCAGAGGAAGCAGAGCCAGAGGAAGCAGAGCCACCAGAGGAAGAGCCACCGGTAGGGCCAGCGGGAGAACCACTGGAGGAAGCGGAATCACCGGCAGGGGCAGCGGGAGAACCACCGGAGGAAGCAGAGCCACCGGCAGGGCCAGTGGGAGTAGCACCGGAGGGAACAGAGACAGCCTCGGGAACGGTGGGAACATTGCCGTTGGGAGTTCCGGTAGGGGAGGCACCAGAAGGAACAGAGCCGCTGGGGACGCTGGGGATGGAGCCGCTGGGAATGCCGGAAGGAGTGGGCACAGCAGAGACAGAAGGAATACCGGTAACAGAGCCGGCGGGAGTTGAAGGAAGGGTGGGGGCACCATTCCTGGTGAAGCTGGAGCCGCTGGGAAGGTGGCCACAGCCGGTAAGCCATCCGATGAGAATAATTTCAATGCTGGAGTCAATTTCGATGCCGGCGGCACCTCCAAGGATAGCAGCCAGCTGGGCACGAGCGTCAAGGGACAGGGAGGCCATGCTCTCGCCGGAGATCAGGATAGAAATAACGCCGCGGAAGACAGCGCCGAGAGTAGCCTCGATAGTGCCAGTAATGAAGGAAGTAAGCTCGCCAAGGAGACCTGTGGACACGCTGACGGAGACATCGGCCTCGAGAGCGAACGAAAGCCAGAACAGAACAACAGCCTTGAGCTCAGCGCCGAGCGAGCAGCTGGAGCTGGTGAGCCAGGCGACGAGAGCGGTACGAACTTCAACATCAAGGGAGACGGCGGCACCGCCCTTGGCGCAAGCCTCGAGGGCGGCCTGAACGTGGGCATCAAGACCGACGGAAATGTCGGCTTCGAGGAAGGCGGCGAGAGAAGCCTGGGCGCTGGCGGAGAGGATGCCAGTCTCCTCAACAAGGGCGACGACGGAAGCACCGGCCGAGATCGTTGCCAGACCACTGCCGGGCAGAGAGCCAATGGCAATGACGTCGGCACCAACCTTACCCTCCAACCAAGCCAAAACGGCAACCTTCAGAGAAGCGGACAGGGTGCATTCGGAACCGGCGAGCCAGGCCTTCAGGGCGGCCTGAACATCGGCGGCGAGGTCGACGAAGACACCGCCGCCAGCACAAAGGCTGAGACCAGCCCTAACCTTGGCATCGAGAGCAGCATCAATAGACGCAGAGAGGAATGCGGACAGAGAAGCCTGGGCGGAAGCGCTCAGGACAACATTGGCGGCGACCTCGGCGGAGGAGAAGATACCCTCAAGGGTAACAAAGAGATCGCCCTTGGCGGCGATGTCAGCGCAAGTGGGGATCAGCACTGACAGTCCGGCGCAGACATCCACGGAAAGGGTGACGGAGGCGTCACCTTCACACCACTCGAGAAGGGATGCCTTGACGGATGCATCGAGGAAGGCGGCGGCCTCAGCACGGAGCCAGGCGGCCAGTTCAGCTCTGGCGGCGGCATGGATCGCACCGGCCTTGCAACCAAGTACACCTCCCTGCAGGGCAGCGGCTGCCTGAGCACTCAGGCCAGCAAGGAGGGTCGTGGTGCTTGCGTGTCCACCAAGGATAGCGCTGATGAGCGCGCTCAAGTCAAGACCACCATCGATCGAAATCCCCGCGCCAATGGAGAGATCACCGATATCGAGGTCAGCGCCCAGCTTCAGGTGGCGGGTCTCTACGTCGGTGGGAAGAGCGAGGACGTAGCTCGCCAGACTGGCGAGCAGGAGAAGGTTGTTAGAACGCATTGTGTGAGCGTAATAGAGTGAGATGTTAACGAGTGTCTTGGTAGGTAATAGAATGACTGTATCCTAAGAGAATGACGAGGCTACGAATAGCCGAATTGGACAATGACAGACTGTTCAAAAAATGTGACAATCAGAAGAAAGACCGAAAAAACATAAAAGAGCGGAAAGAAATGAAGCGATTGAGGAGGAGTTGATGATCAATCAGAAAGGTGATCATCATCCAGGTATATATACTACCCCTGGGGGACTGCAGTATGGCTGGTCGTGATGTAGAGACTGGAGAGCACTCCCCGGCCTCCTGCACGATTGGCGGACCACCAGCAGCGCCACCCTTGTCTAGCATTGGTGCCAAACTAGCCAAGATTCTCAACAGGGCAGTGAGGGCAGGCGTCCAAAGGACTAGGATCATTAGGAGGGAGGAGTCGTTTAGCACTAGCGGAGCCTGTGTTGTTAACTCTTTGGGTTGGGGACCCGGATCTTCAAGGTTCTCATTAACCGAAGTGGATCGTTGACTGCCAGTGAAATGGCGAATGGATCACACTATCTTCAAATTGTGGAAACATCCGAAACGAGCGAGCGAGAATACTATTTCAGGTAACCTGGTATCTAAGCCGACCTGCACTCCAACGGCACATGAAGAATCGGAAAGATCGACTAGGCAGATAGCCGAAGATTGGGCGAACCGTCATTGCGTCGCCAGGGGCTCGCAGCGCACATGAGCGAAGTACGAAATTCAAACTATCATGTGTCTCTTGCCTGGGAAAGCATAAATCCGATGGTATGAATACCTAAAGCTGTAGTGAGAAGCTCCATTTGTAGGGAGAAACTCAACATAGTCAAAGCCACCAAACGCATAGTACGGAGAACCGTCAACAATGCCAAGGGAGACCACATAGGCCTGGGACTGAGAGGAAGCTAATAATGTAACCTAAAGAACGGGGAATTTTCTTTCAAGCTCGTGCCTTCGACATTCGAGGAAGTCGGTCTGAAAGCAGTTATCCCGTGATCGACGACAGTCAAGTTGTAAACAGCAATGATCGCGATTGACACTGCGAATCAGGTGGTTTGTTGATTGATTTTTGCGGAGCCGTTAGACCAAGGCTAGGCTGCCAACCATGCTTCCGTTTAAGGACGCAGCCAGAGCCAATTGCGAGTCGGAAGGGACTTATTTCGACAGGTGGTAAACCGGCAGATCAATAGATTAGTACTAGTAGACTGTTAACCTCGGGACCGCGTTCGTTGCCGAGTCCAACCATGGGCGATCAACGAGTCACGACAACCGGTGTTTTGACCCAAGCTGCTAGCGGCTTTCCCTGAGAAATCCATAATTTCGTAAACTATGAAATTAGTACGTCGTTAGTATCATGAGTGGATGTATCATAAAACCATCCTGTGCGGAAAAGCTTAAACCTCCTGCCTTTTCCTTTGTTTGGGGAAAGACGATAAACAGGGTGAGAGTAAAAAAAGAAAAAAGAAGAGTCTAAATGTCATTGCTTGGGACAGTGTACGAAGAACCTCCCCGAAGATAGTAGTGTAGTTCGACAACATAAAGTGAAGACCCTCTTTTTTTTTTGGAATTCATTGTTGACAGATCAATTTTTGGGACCAGCGGGCCAGCGGGCCTAGGATGCACATAGGAATCCTTTCCGACGGGCAGGAATCTGGATGCATTACGGATACTGGCGACGGCTAAGGGTTGAAGATGACAAACTTCATCGTATTCACTGTTCAGACTGCCTTGAGGCGGTTTCGCCGACCGACAGCATTGGAGACAGGTACTAGGTAGCACCGTAGTACCACCCAAACTGATATTGTTCGAACTATCATCTCTTTGCTATGGATGTAGTTGTTTAGATGGTGAAGTCTGCTGTGGTCGCAGCAGGCTCTGGACCTGTGGCTGATGACCTGATAAGTTCGATAACCCAGCCAGGGGGAAATCTAGACTCTCGGAAGCTCGGAGAAATTGAAGGATGCCTAGTGCATGGTGCAAGTCAGCGCAGTTTGTCAGGCAAGCAGGTGAAGGTATCACGAAGTGACAAAAAGAGCTCGGAATTGGGAAAGTGACCACGAACTTGGCAACCCCTGGCGATTGCGGGTAACGATGTAGTATCCAGTTAGTCAGGGACAAAGAATTGAGATGCATCCGCTAGCCACTTTCGGGCATCTAGCGGAGACATAATCCCTCTTGAGCTCGGAACCAGCATCGACTGACAAATAGTACTCCGTTGCCCATAGTCAACAGCTCGTACGAAGTATGTGTCTTGTTAGGTTTGTCCGTCATATTCTCAACTTCCATGGGGGGGGAACCAAACACAACGCTCGAGAGCAGCCGGCTAAGAGAGCCTCAAAATGAGAACACACTAGATAAATGGTCAAAGCTAGATTTTATCCACTGTGTATGCAACTCAGTAGACTGAAGATGGGTCAAGCATAGTACTGAACGATACCATGTTTGGGATTCTTGGGAACCGTTCCTGAACCAAAGTCCCTGTATCCTTGGTTCCTGAGGCCACCCAGGAGTCCACCGGCAGTGGTCCATTCACTGTTGGAGCCGAACTGTGAGGATGGCCACCAGGGGAAGTTGACCCGTAAATTCCCTCCTCCAGCAATCGGGTCATCAGATAAAAATAGCTGATGCATTGAAGAGAGAATGTGATTTCACTTGTTCAAACAGGGAAACCGATATCAGAATTTGTCCTTCTGAAACGTCCATAAAAGCTTGAGATCGCACCAACGTTTCATCATCCCTGGCAGTGTCTTTGGATGAAACTTATGACTTTTCTAGTTTGCACTTTGGAGAACCAGGGGCAGAGACGGATAATTCGGCGATAATGCTCCTCGCTAGCGGATTTGGGCATCAAGTGCCTGCTTGTGAAGATGGCTGAGGGAAAGGAAAAGCGAGAGGGACTCCCCGGGGACAGGTTGGCCGTCGTCAGGTGACTAGCAGGATAGCATGTGCCATTGAGCTCTGAATACGATACCATTAGCTAAGGTAGATTGCCAGTAGAGTCTACTTGTCTAAGTGTTTCGATCGTAGGAGCAAACGAGAAGAGTAATCTGAGCAGTGATGCCTCTTCTCTGTTGCTGTACGAATAGCCACTGACTGCAGAGTATATATCATCGATAGCTGATCCTTCCGGCGATCGCGATGACGATACGCTCGACACATCTTAGGGTAGAATTCAATTGAAAGTGAATCATGACCTGATCAGACGCAGGTCAGGTTCATTTAGAATTGAGGACATGTTTCAAACCTAATGCTCCATGTCCGATGGTTTCCTTAGTGAGCATCCGATGACTCCTCTCGGCAACAGAATTGTATACTCGCGGAGCATGCAATCACCGGCCATTGAAAGCTTCGCGGGCAATAAGCTGGCAACGACATCCTACAGCCGAACCACAAATTTGCAGACCAAATTGCATATTATTGCTTTTTCAACTGATTTGATTCATCCATTCGTGATGAATGTTGATGTTCTCTGATCGCCCCGGCAACGAGCTCTTATCAGGTGACTTCCTCCGAGTCCCCAGCCACCCGCGATGTTTGTCATGATCCGAGAACCAGAAACAACAGCATCAACTCCGACAAGCGACACAACAAACACGAAACGACACGCCCCGCCATTGGGGCATCCGATGATTTTTGGGAAAATTTGGGACAGGCGCATTGGTTGACACGTCCATGTAGGATTTATTGACTGAGCTGAAAAATGTTATGATGGCCTCTCCGAACTCTCTTTCCTCCGCATATACTAGTGGCCTGCACCGACAACCATCGCTGCGGCAAATGTCTCGTTCTACGCTTTCTCGCTCGAATTCTAGACGCTCTTCACCGGCTCTCGACTATCATACAACTTCGCGGAATGAGAGAATATCGATTCCGAGACAGTATTCAGCCGGTGACAGCTCCGATGATGAGGTTCCGGAGCCCAAGTTCAGCGCTTCCGTCAAGGCTCTCCTCGACGAGGACGGACTAGGCTCTTCCCCTCATCTCAAGTATAGCAGCAACGAGCGTCCCTCTTCAACCGAACGTGCGACGTCGGCTGCGACAAGTCAATCGAGGCAGTCCCGAACATCGTCACCCCTTGATCGATCAACCGGAAGCCCCGCTCCTCGTGTAGTGCGCATCGCTCCAGCTCTCACCAACAGCAACAGGCATGCGCGAGAAGGATCCCCTCTATCACAGAGTGAGAGCGCAGGCTCTGGTGCGAATTATAACTCAAAAGATCTCATCACGCCGGCCCCCAGACCGCGCAGTGTTCGCATCACTGGATCGCGAAGTCATACACGGTCGCCTACTTCGGTGTCCCCCTCCCAAAAGCAGTCTGCTGATAGGAGCTCCATTAATGAACATTCGAGCGCAGAGCGCTCGGAAAATGGGAGGACGATGAATTACGAGGACGACTACGCCCCTCGATTTGGCACTGCATCTGTGCTCCGCTCGCGCCATGGGGAGGATGTGGGCATGCAGAGTTCCCTTCGCGTGAAAAGAGTCGGAAGGCTCACAGGAACATTTCTGAATGGACCTGCGAGAAGGGGTGTTCTGCGGCGGCAGAGCGAGGAGAACAATGACCCTCATAGCTATTCCGCCGAACGACATAGGGAATCGATTCTCGACCCGAATGACGACAACGCCGAATATCGCTACAAAGCTAAACCCCGAAGCTCCTCGTCGCCCAAGGTAACATGGGCGGACCCCAGCCCGCCACAGGAAGCCGAGCGACCTCGAGCATATGATCCCGCTAGTGCTTCCTCTGGGGAAGGCCCATTCTCCAGGTCTTCATCGCCGAGATCCTCCGGATCACACTCCAAATCGACACCTGGTTCCGCCTCGGAAATGTCCTCCAAGCCTTCAAGTGCTCATGAGGAGCCTGTTTTCAAGGTCCCACCGCTTCCTCAACTCCCGGCAACCCGAGACCAAGAGAATGAGCCTCCACCAACTTTCAAACGTGATAAGCCCCAGGGGCTTAATCTCCTAAGCAAACCGGAAAAGCTCTCTGTAGTCTACGGGGACGACCAGAAAGACAATGCGGAGACGCCAGCTGGAAATTCCCCTCGAAAGATTCTAGCAACAAGGAGTAGCAATACCCCTCATCGGCCAGCGCCCCCTCCTCCGAAGATGTCGATGCTTGAGACCGCCACAGCGACGGGAGGAGCGGCTACGGCATCTCAATCTCGCAAAAAACGAAGCCAAGTCTCGGTCAATCATAAGCCATTCACGCGGCTGGATTGCATCGGACGTGGCGGAAGTTCTCGTGTCTACCGGGTCATGGCCGAAAATTATAAAATCTTTGCGCTGAAAAGAGTGAATCTCGAAGATGTCGACCCTGTGACTCTAGCTGGCTACAAAGGCGAGATCGACCTCTTGAAGAAGCTGGAAAACATTGATCGGGTTGTCCGTTTATTTGACTGGGAACTCAATTCGGACAAGCACACCCTCAGCGTTCTAATGGAAATCGGAGAGTCTGATTTGGAAAAGATCCTGACGTACCGGTTGAATGCCGAGGATGCTGTCTTTGATATCAACTTCACGCGCTATTACTGGAAAGAGATGCTTGAGTGTGTTCAGGCGGTCCACAATTGCAACATTGTGCATTCCGATCTGAAGCCGGCCAACTTCCTCCTAGTTCAGGGAAGGCTGAAGCTGATCGATTTTGGAATCGCCAACGCCATCCAGGATAACACGGTCAACGTGCATCGGGAGCAGCAAGTCGGCACACCCAATTACATGTCACCAGAAGCTTTGATCGACTCTAATGCCTCGCTTGGGCTGCCAGCCAGTGTTGGAAAGATGATGAAGCTCGGCAAGCCCAGTGATGTCTGGAGTCTGGGCTGTATCCTTTATAAAATGGTATATGGCCAACCGCCATTCGCCAAAATCGCCAAATATTACGAGCGCATCATGGCCATCCCAAATCCTAAGGTCCAGATCGACTTCCATGCTTTTGGTGTTGGAGGAGTTGCAATACCGCCCGGGCTGATCCGTACCCTGAAACGCTGCCTGCAACGAGATCAGACCTTGCGACCGACAGTGGAAGAACTTCTCAGCCAGAGAGATCCATTCTTGTACCCTGACGCACAATTGGAAGGCACTGTTCCAGTCAATCAGGACATGCTAGGCAGGATCCTGATGAATGTAGTCCACCACTGCCGGACTCGGGGCATACCCAAGGACGAAGAAATAGCCGCCTGGCCGGCTGGATTCTACGCGAAAATCAAGGCGGCACTAGAAGAAAATACTTGATCACACTTGACTCGCCACAACTCCCTTTTGTCTTTTGCTTTGGTTGAAGATCTCGTTTCATGATATCCTGGATGATCCGATGACACGGCGTCCAAGTTCACGTCTGCTCTATGGAATAGTTCCCTTTGTCACTCATTATCTTCTTGTACATATTCTTTTTGGGAGCCATTTCTTCCCCCTTGGTATGGGGAGTTGGTGTTTCTGGAATGCGCTTCAGCCTTGCATGTGTATGCCGCGACTCGTTGCATTGGGAAACTGTTGGGTCAGCATGGTCTTTGGAGTTTCAGTATATGGAATATATTTAAGTTATTATCCATCGAGGCGGTTGCCTATACTCATCGTCTACTTTTTATCGTTTTGGTTAGTGTCCGTGATGTTCGTCTATATATATACCCGCTGCAGACTTGATTTATCACTGCAACCGGACGCATAGCACAAAGGTGAATTAAGAGCTCTCCATTGGATCCGACAAGAGCAGTATTCAGCGCCTCTGACTGTGATGAAAGGATACTCATGATTGGTAAAGCAGACTCGAATCGGTTTCGCAACATGACGTTCGTTGTAGAAAAACGGTGTTTTAGTATTACCCGTAGCTGAAAAAGTTATACATGAAATATCCTTGCCATTTTGATACGCAGATTTTTAATCCACGTACCGCTGCGAAATATACCCTTAAGTGGTATTTGAAGCATTGTATGTGTTCGAAATCTGGAAGACATGTTGGATATGTTTCGTGGATATATACATTGTCGAAGACTTATACATATCCTCTGTCGACATGTCTGTGTAGATGGACTATGCTTGCGACAGGATCATATATCAAGATGTCTGGAATATGGACAGTTAAGCAACGTATACCTGTATTGATTTAAATATGTATAGGATACGTAATTTCACTGAATATATACTGTAGCTTGGTGAACTACGTATATGTGTACAAGGTGATCTACGGCCGACGCGAAGATCTGCTCATCAAAATCATGATGTCTATTTCTACTGACTTGAAAATCGGATCGATGAACTAGAGGGATACTTTTAATAGTTGGAATCACAGTGCGCGCCTTGAACGCCTCCCAGGAATATAGACTGCTGAACTGAAGAAAATGCCAACGAGAATGCAGACTTCTGCAACGGAACTGGTATCAAGGTGCGGAGGGCCGCTTAAGGACAAGATTAGACCAGGAGGACTCTGCACATGAAAATTAGTATAGCTCTGTCTTGGGAGATGGATTGGTGAAAGGTCACATACGCATTGACTGTGCCGTCGTTCTCGGGAGTATTGGTGATCTGTGCATATTTACCCCATACGACCTTTCCGCTTGTCGTGACGAGACCCAATTCGGACACATTGACTTCGATGACGGTTCCCTTGGTTAGGACACCCAGTTGGGTGTAGAGAGGGTTCTGCGGGTTCTTCTTGACGCCCAGAATGGGCAGTTGCACGGTGACGCCGAGCTCCGGGCTATTATAGATTGTCAGTCGAGGTGATATGCAAGAGACAGAGGGAAGGAAGTTAGCATACTGCGTGACGTTGGCCTTCTTGTAACGCAGACCCATCGGCCGGATGAAACGCTCGTACTTGACCGGTCGTCGGGTGAAGTCGCTACCGACGAACGTGGGCTTGGTGATCATCCGCTTCCACGACTTCTGGTGCGTCTTCTTGCCGGTGTTGACAACCTTGAACATCTCCTCCTCGCTGATACCCTTCACCTTGGGCAGGGGCACCGCAAACTTGGCCGCCTTCTCAGCTCGCTTATCCTTGATAGCACTGGACAAGGCCTTGGCGTTGGTCGCCTGCGAACGGTCGAGCAGGTACTGGGGCAGAGGGGTCTTGGACGGCTCGTCGGGGGCAGAGGACTTGACATTCTTCTCCTCCTGTGCCTTGATGCGCTTGCGCATCTGGATCTTCTCGGCATGGCGCTTCTGCTGGTACAGCTTGGCCCGCAGGCCGCGCAGGTTCTGGGCATCCTGCGACTGTTTGTGCGATTCACGGGCCTGGCGCTTGCGGACGCGCTCGTCGTGGTCGAGCCGCTTACCGTGCTGCTTTTGCCAGCGCTCGATATACCTAGGATTCGGTTAGATTGTGGATTGACCACAGCTGAGTCGAGAGGGGTAGACGAACTCGTTCTGAGGCTGTATTCAAGCAGTTAGTACTGGTTCAGTAATTTTTCACTCGTGAGAACTTTGCATTTGTGGCCACCATGGAGCAGCTGATGCATTATTCTGGAGATTGTGAACAGGGTAACATACCATGATGAATGTATAACAAGCAGAACGTTACTGACAAGTGATGTTGATGGTCTCCTCCTGGCCGAGACTGAGACAAAAAAGTTGTTCTGCGGGCGACGCAGGTTCGATATCGATAAGTCACGTGATATTCTTATCGTGCTGAAATTTTGTTGATGGTCTGCCTACAACGAATCGCTTCCCCCAACGAGACTAATTAATCTGATTGATACATCTATTGAAAGACTGAGCAAGAGATTTCAAACAGGCAAACCTAGTTTGACTGAGTTATGAACCTGATCCCGTAGTTGTGTCGAGTCGATAATATCACGTGCCACTACGGAAAGCGAGGCGGCCACATCCGCCATTCGCTGGAATTTCTCGATTCAACGACCGCCGACACCGACGCCCATCAACAACCAGTCCAGCCCAGCATCAAGCGTCCATTGCGTCTCGTCCTCGTTTGGGAGGAACGCAGAGACCTACAAGACCCAATTGACTTCAAATTGGAGCAAACAATCCATACCCGCTTCACCATGTTCTCCCGAACAACGCTCGCAAGAGCCTTCGCCCTACCCTGGGAGCAGCAGCACCATGCATTCCTGCGCCCCAGCTTCCGCGCCTGCCTTCACCAAGCCACGAACACAAGCAGCAGCAGCAGCAGCAGCACATCACAACCTGAGAGCCCACTCGGCGCCACACCACGGGCCCAATCGTCGACGCCCACCACCCAAACTCCATCCCAACCCTCAGCCGACCAAGCGTCACCCCTACGCCTCACCAAGTCTCTCCTCGAGAAACTCCCCTACCTCACCTCTCAAAAACCGCACTACATCACCGCGCACCTCCACGCAAAACCGTACCTCCTGACCGCAGGCGACCACCTCCGCCTGCCATTCCTCATGCGGGGCGTGAAACCGGGCGACATCCTCCGCTTCAACCGGGCGTCTGTGCTCGGTTCGCGCGACTTTACGCTCAAGGGGGCGCCGTATATCGATGAGCGGTTGTTTGAGTGCCGGGTGAGGGTTATGGGCGTGGATGCGGAGCCGTTGCGGGTGAAGGAGAAGACGAAGCGGAGACAGCGGCATGTGCGGAAGGTCAAGAGCAAACATAAGTACACGCTTTTGCGGGTGATGGATGTCAAGGTCAAGACGCCGGAGGAACTACTTGAACAAGGAGCGGTGGTTGTTGAGGGGGAGGATGTGCCGAAGATGGAGGCTAATGCTTAAGCATTTTTTCTGGGGAACAAGCAAAGGAAAAGCTGATTGGCATATGGGACTGTTTTAAGGGTATCCTGGGATTATTGTTGTTGCCTATATCCACTGATGGGCATGCTATGTACAGATAGATCTGACTGCACATGGGACTCGTGCATTGTATTCTATATCGAAACTGATGTGATTGCTTCTTCTACAGAGGGTTACTCTGACAGGTCGAGAATATTGATCTTGATACGGAAGTGATGTAACCAAGGCTATCTCCCAGCCAGTATGTCGTCTGCAATCTTCTCCGCAAGAGCATACACCACCGCCTGCGGATGTCCCGGCGTTATAAACGGAAAGCTACTGGTGTCAACAACACGCAAGTTCTGAACTCCAAAGACCCGAGCCGTATTATCCAGGACCGCCAGCGGGTCATCTTCTCGTCCCATCTTACAGCTGCCAGCCACATGAAACACAGGAATGATGCTTTTAGCCAGGTACTCACGGATCTGCGAGTCCGTCTGGACATGCTCCCCCGGGTACGCTTCATGCGCATCAGCAACACCCATTCTAACAAGTACCTCCCAGACCTGCCGCTGGCGCTTGAATGACTGAACCGCCAGGTCGGCATCCGTGGGATCAACAAGCCATTGCGGGTCGATGACAGGTGGCGTATTCATACTCGCGTCTGCGAGAGTCACGCTCCCTCGGGAGAACGGCGCAGCGAGCGCCGTAGCGATGGTGGCGTAGTTGTGGCCGTCGCGCGGATCGCCGGTAATGAAGTTGGACCCATCCCCGGTCCAGGAATTCAGCGGCAGCCATTCGATCTCTGGCCAGTCGCTTGGGACGCTGGACAAGGCCTGGATCGAGGCTTCGGAGAGCTGCGAGCGATACGGTTCGGGCAGCTTCTCGAAGCCGTAGTATCCGGCCCCGAAGATGGAGAGTGGGCCGGTGGCGTTTGTGAGGTACTGCTCTACCTGTCTGGCAGCGAGAGCTGGATCATTGGCTGGTGCGGACGCTGTGATGACGTTGACTCGATGTGCGGAGCTGAAGAAGGCGTGGTCTTGCAGGTTTTGGCCTACGCCGGGCAGGTCGTGGATGCAGTGGATGCCGAATTTCGAGATCTCGTTGCATGATCCAACGCCTGAGACCATGAGCAGCTGGGGAGACTGGAAGGCGCCGGCGGATACGATGACCTCCTTGCGAGCGTTCAAGGTGTAGTTGACCGGTGGGGTGCCAAATGTCCCTGCGGTTGACACCTGGACACCTGTTGCGACCTTGTTCTCGTCAAACAGGATTCTCTGCGCCATGGCATTGAGGTAGAGCGTAGGAGGCGAGCCTTTGGCGATGGCGTCCTGGAGGAAACTCGCCTCGGACGAGGAACGCTGTGCATTTTTGGGGTGGATGGTAGAGGTTACGTACGCAGCGCCCAGCAGCCTGCCGCTGTTCAGGCCATCGAGCTCCTCCAAGCCGACGGCAGTAAAGGCCCTCTGGGCCCAGGTTCCAAACGCATCAACGCTATGGCCAAAAGAAACCTGCAGAGGACCCCCAGAAGGATCAAACGCGTCCGGAGTCTGCGTATTAGTACTATTGACATACAGACTCTGGTCCGGAGGCGTATAGTGGCACGACTTCTTAAAGTACGGAAGCATCTTGTCGAACGTATAGCTCTCGTCACCCACCTCATCCGCCCATCGCTGCATGGTGTCTGCCGTGGGCCGATGATAGACCATGAAATTCCTCGCAGAGCTCCCTCCCAGCGTCTTACCCCGGGCATAATGCGCGGTGCGATTGCCTGCACCAGGCTGGGGGGTTGTTACGAATCCCCAGTCGATCAGCGGCTGGTAGTCCTCCGGGTCCGTCCCGGCAAAGTACGGCGCGTAGCCAGGAACGATCGACTTATTCCCATTGTCGATCTCGTAGAAGCTTCCGGCTTCGATGACCGCGACGCTCACTGATCGGTTCTGGGCGAGTCTGCTGGCGACGGTCAGGCCGGCGTTCCCACCGCCGACAACCACATAGTCAAAAGCTGCGTCGGCGCCTGGAGTCCCAAAGAAGGTCCCTAGCAGGGGGCCTTCCTGTCCATAGGAGAGGAGGTTAGGCTTCGAGTGTATATCTGCTGCCGCAACAAGGCCGACGAACAGCAGGTAAAAGGCACGCATTTTTGCGGTACCGAGTCGCTGATGGAAGGTGTCCTTTATTGAGGAGCAGGCCAATTCAAGCTTTGGCACGGAGAATTTATGCTTTTATGTCGTTCAGAAAGAATGTGAGAAAGTCCTGAATAGAGCTAAGTCCATCGTTGTGTATACGTACAACCCACATTGTTTGTTATGGAATCAGAACACCATAAAACCCGCCACAGGGAGGAATACAGCAGCAGATGGGAGACTCCCCGTCTTGATGCAAGAAAATGAAGGTGGGCTGAGTATGATGGCTGGATGAGCGTGTCATTATGCTTGAGCAGTCAGAAACGAAAGAGCCTGGCTGCATCTAAAGCGTGGTATCACATCAGCTCAACACAGCAAGGATTGCAATCTTGAAGCGATTATGTCTCGAGCAAGATGCTGATAGGAGTTGATCTCAGTTATTGGTCTCTGTGACACAGAAATGTCAGTCTCGAAAAAATGTACACTACATAAGAATGAGACATAAGCATTGGAATGACAGCACTTCACTTCTCGTCAGACGAAAGAACATGGTTCACTGATTTAGTTAGTTTAAGAAATGAAACAGAAGTCTCTCTTATGCCTACCCGATAGAACTCCTATTGAGTATCCTCATGTCCGTCGAAACATGCCAGTTAGCTGCAATACATGTATCGCCGTTCACATCAACCCACCTAAGGAATGCATTCCGGACAGATTCCCTCCTCCGTCTTACAAGTCAGACAGGGAGGGTAATGCTGGAATGCGCATGAAAAACTGCGTTGCGAAGTAGCGACCTACACCTCGCTTTTCTCTATAAGCTCCCTGGACTAAGGCATCAGGGGACCTTATACAAGATACGTTCGATTGACAAGGGACTGGGACAACTTGATCTCCACGTGAAGTCATCATGGTCCCAGATACATTGCCATATAACATTTGAGCATCAGTCTGACTACTAAGAAATGAAGACATAGGGAATCTACTCCAATGGATGGAATGATTCGCTAATAACGTGCAAACGCAAATCACTGGCTGACAATCGATCCAACTCTCCTGCTGGATCTGCTCGTACAGGCAAAACTCATCCAACACGGGAGCCCCCAGCATCCGTTGAAATCCATCCGGATCAGTATCAGCCTCCATAATCAGCTGCTTAGACTGTGTCATACGTGCTGGCCAAGTTCGAATTGAAAATGCCCCCAGCGGATAAAGGCAAGAAGTCCTCATACGTGAGGGGCTCGTAGTCGAGCAAATTGCCCTTCAACAACTTGCGCCAGCGAAACAAATTCCACGCCGTAATAATATGCTTTCCAAGCATGAGCCGTTACCCGATAACAGAAGAAAGCCAGTTTCTGCGCCTGAAGCTGCGCCAGGTCATCCGGGAACTCCTCAAAGCATCTTTTCAGGATCATCTCATACACCCCCCGAGCCAGCAACCTGCTCCATCGCTTCGCGATTCACCCACGCAAGAATCTGATCGTACAGCCGGCGCCCTCTTCCGCGTCAGCGCACACCCCCGCTGCTCACCCTCCCCAAACCGCGCCGTATACGAGCCCCTCACGTACTCACCCCCACCCGGCACTGCGAAAGTACAGTACACCGTCTCCTCCAGCGCCTTGAAGCTCGTCTGACGCAGGGGGATGGGATTCACACGGCGCGGGCGGGCCGTCGATGCGTTCCTTAGCCGGCATTCCCCGCTCGCGCATCATCCTCTGCACGAGATCGATGTCGATCGTCCGCGGCGTCAGATGATTGATATGGCAGCTGGGGAAGGAAGACGATATCATCCACGAGCGGATGCTCCGCCCTTGAGGACGCGGTACTCCTCGAGCGTGACCGTCGCCCGCGAATGCCACCGGAAGGTCTCCAGCCCCTCGGCGATGAACTCGTCGCGCTCTGCGCCGCTTAGCGTCCCCTTCTTCTCAGCTTAACTCGAGTAGCTCCAGTAACCGGGGGTGGGGGAGATCTCCCGCTGCGCGAGCGCCCGCTCCGCCAGCAATCTCGTCCGCTCACTTAGCAACTCCATCCGCAGCACGGCCGTGAATACCCGGAATGGATGCCGTGCTAGAGCCTCGCGTGTGCGTGGCCGGAACGGCCGTCGCGTACATAGGGAAACCGGCGACGCTCAGATCGTAGTACCTCACTGGGCTCATGCCCATGATGGGCGAACATGCGGCGGCTGGTGGAGAGTTCGCGCGCGGTGCCGAGACGGACGGCGCCGTGTCGTTCGACGCGGTTTCGGGCGGGGAGGATCTCGACTTGGATTGATTGTGATGGTGGAGTTGCTGAGGTGCTGTTGGCTGGTCTGGAGGGCTTCTGCGTCGGCTTGCCAGACGAGGTTGACGAGATCCCCGTATAGGGGCCCTTTCGGCTTTGTACATCTCCGAGAGGGGCATGGCGGAAGCGTGCGCGGAGGCTGTCTTGGTCTAAGGTCATTTTGCTTTGTCCGTATCAGCTGTAAACATCGTAAGGACGAGGACGGTCTTATACTATGCCTGAATACTACGGCAGTGCAGTATGCAGGGAAGACCCATCCGATAACACCTCGAAGACGTAGACTAATATACACAAGCACGAGACCATCGCCGGACAAGCTCACGACTAACATGTCTTCCTCCTCGCTGTTATCAACCATCTCATCGTCGTGCATATCCGTCCGGATCACGGATATCACCCGATCAGCAAGACATCAATTGCTGTCTATCCTCGGTTTAGGTAACGGAAACGCGGGCTGTTGGAGCAAGCGGGGAAGTGCGGAGAATATCAGCCTTTGCATCGGAATATGACTTCTGTATGGACTGTTGTTAGGGTGGAGAGGTTGCCGCTTCTTCTTGTTAGGGCTGAGTCTATCGGAATCGATCGATTGCGGAGAAGTCCAACCCCATTGTCGGATTTTGCTAGGGTGCTGCACAGCTGAGTCAAGTCCACTTTCTGATCGGATGTCCGACATTGCAAACTACTGAGACTACTGATGATTGATTGCAGACGAGATGGTACACCCGATCGTACACGAGAAATACTGCACAGTGATGTAATACCATTAATTCGTGATCTATCCCAATCGCCGATCCAGTCTATATCCGGGTTCATCATGAGCTAGCATACAGCGGAAAATCATCATCAAACAGGTATAATCGATACAGGCAAATTGAATCATCCAGTCGTCCATCCGGGAATCATTCGTAAATCCAGATCCAGTGAGTAAGGTAGGCGGTTAGGTCAAGTCCGCCGCCGCGTAGAAAGGGTTAAAGGTCATAAGGCATAATGTGATGTAAATGTAGATGATATGTGCAAAAAAGAATGTGAAGAAAGTTACAACGGAGGAACGGAGGCCTCCTGGACACTTTCGTCGCTGACGGAGGTAGCCGGAGAGGCCAGGCCTGAGATGACAGACGAGGTGCCGCCGCGGGTGCTGTCCTGCGCGGGGTCCATTTCGAGCATCGACTCGTCCAGCTGCGAAGCAGAGGGCAGATGGGGGTTGTTGATGGTCGGTTTGGCGGCGCTGGTCATCAGCTCGTCGATGCCCGGTTTGCCCGGGACGTGGCGGTCAAGGTTGGAGGCGTTGTCAAGACTGTCGAGGGCGAATTCGAGGAACTCGGCGTGCTTGTGGCTGACGCTCAGCGTCCAGCGGTACTCGCAGAGGCGGAGGCGGTAGAACTCGGCCTCCTCCTTGGTGGGTGCGGTGATGCGCAGGAGGATGCCGAAGGATCCGATGAGGGAGAAATTGGTGCGGGAGGCGGCGGGCCAGAATGAGCGGAGGTGAGACTGGCGGAGCCGGTTGACAAAGTCCATGGCGGAGATGAGGCGCGTCTTCGCGGCAGAGCGGCAGATGTGGGAGAGGTAGGCGTCGGCCGTGTCCGGGGAGAGGGACCGGATGATGCACCGGTGAAGGGTGATTTCGGTTGCAAAGTAGGAGAGGTGGAGGGGCCCGTTGCGGGCAGTGTCTTCGGTGACGGTATCGAAGAGGTCGATGCTCGAGTCCATCTTCAGTTGCGGGGGCAGTGATGCAAACCATTCCTTCAGTCGGATCTGCGCCGGTTTGGCGCGCTCCAGGATCATGCGTGTCCGGTTCGCGCCGGCCGCTTTGAACTCCTCGATCGCTTGAAGAGTGTAAAACCGGTCGAGGATGTCGGACAGGATGGTGGTCAGCGCCACCATGTGGCAGAAAAAGAGCGGACCGTGGCCGACATCTGCATCGTCCTGCTGCGCGTTGTCCGTGTGGAAGGCCTCGGTGAAATCCTGTTCTACCAAGTCCTTGACGGTCCAGTTGAAGGCGAAGATGTGGGACGGCCGACCGTGAATCAGCGCCGACCATTTGTCCTGCATATACAGGGCCCACGCCAGCCGTTTCCGCAACCCCTTTTCCCAGGTCTCCATGTTCCAGCCACTGCAGTCCTGGTGTAGCCCAAGCTCGAACCCAGCGGTGACCAGCTGGGCATTCAATGCATGGGTCGCGATGGTCGACTTCTCCATAAGAAGTAGTCCGGCCTGGATCGTCGAGATAGTTGCATGGGGCAAGGACTCGATCAGAAGTTTGAGCGCGGTGCTCTCGAGACGGCCAGCATCCGGGCGTCGCACCGACTGCGAGGCAGGGCCAATATCCACAAACTTCAAAGCGCAAACATAAACAGCGGAGAGCAAGAGCGGCGAAAGCCCTTGCCTGGTCCGATACGACTGACGAAAGGCATCTTCCATCAGGATGGGAAACACTGGGTGGATGCTCTCAAAATACTTCTCCACCAAGGTGGATCCATAGGGAGCAACCAGGCTTTCGATAGCATCGAGCGAGACGGACGGAGAGTCCGCCTGGGACGGGGGTTCGACAACACGCATAAAGGTACCGTCGTTACCGATCTTACGTACCCGGGCTGATGCAACGACTCCTTCGTCGTTCTGGTCAAGAGGAAGATGTTCAAGTAGGGCCGGCTCTAACTCAGTGGTCATGCCAATATACTTGGCAGACTGGGACCAATACCCCGACGGGATCAGGAGGTTTTGACCATTCACTGGTGAGCGGGAGACATCTGTTTTGGAAACTGGCGAGAGGGCTGCTGCTGCTGGTTGTTGGTGTTGTTGTTGCCTGCCAAGGAAGAGAAAGCGAGAAAGATTAGTGTTTATCTTGCAACATGCATAAGCATAACTTGACATGATGTCCGAAATCGGCATGGGGTAAGATTCCCCACGAGGAAGAAAAACACATCGTCATACCTCTTGCTAGTGTCCACATCCTCGGGGGCGGGATCTTCTAGTTTTCGCTTTTTGGATTGTGCATCCGCCGTACCTGGACGGCTGAGAGTGAAGGTGCACTCCTGGCGATGGAAGTCGCACGAGTAGCATTTATTGACCATTTCGTTCATGGCACACCGGCTCTTTCTACGCAAACAGGCGTCACAACTTGACCCATCCCGACCAGGTGCCGGCAGACGGGGCAATGATCCAATGGAGGCAGAGGAGGGCGAGATAGGTGCAGGAGTCGAGATAGCCTGCTGCTGTTGCGAACGGGCTCGAAGAAGGTGGTGGTCTGAGGGGTGAGGCTGTTGGAAGGGAGCTGCAGACGTAGCCGCAGGGCCAGCCGTCGTGGACGACTGGAGAGTGATAACGGCAGCCATTCACTGTGGAGAGATTCCCAGGCACAGTAGGGGAGAAAACGAGAAGTGAGGAGAGACGATCCCGATAGGGAAGACGTAGATAGAAAATGGAGATAGCAGATAGCTAGGTAGATAGATAAGAGATATTTGTGCAGGGATTATGCGCCCACACAGTCTTGACAGATAATTCAATTGGATTTGCTCTCGTAAACCGGGATATCCGGAGATGCCAGGATGATGCTCCGCAAGAAGCTAGAGACTACTCCTCGACAAGGGTTCAGGAGAGAGCTGTGTCAGGTTGGGTGAGCTGTCGGTAGATACGAATAGCTTCAATGCAGTCCACCAACCAATCAATGACTGGGGATGCAGCCCAAATCGACGGGGTGAGAGCAATGTACGAACCGCGGAGGAGAAGCTTATCGGTAGACACTAGACAGGTGAAAAACGAGTCTAGATAGAAGTAGATAGACTAGACTCGACACAATTCCAGGTAGAAGAAAATGTAGTCCGGAGATAGCAGTAGTCAACTGTAAAAAGCGATATTGACCGGGGGAGCGGAGAGAGCGGAACCGGAGCAAGGATCGATAACACTGCAACCAGTTGGCTGTCTCGACAGTTGATTGAACTAACAATTGATGAAGAAGATGAGATGTAGATAGTAATCGATCTTTCTTTGCTGTTGAAATAATAATAATAGAGATATGACGATATGACAAAGTAATGATATGATTGTATATTGGTGTTATCTTCAACAATAGTAATGAGCCTTCGCGAGCGATTGCAGCAGTATCAAATGCTTGATAGTCCGCTCTGTCATTCCGCGGAGGATGAAAACTGTTTCACTCTATGACTTAGGGATGAATGATCGATAGACAGGCTGTTAATGATGATGATAATGATACGAACCGAGTAGAGGAAAAGCTATCTCTCAGGAAGGATTCCAGGATGAATGACTCCAGGTACACGGTGGTATATACATGTTGTCTCTGGATGCCTCGCAGTCATACAACTTTTCCACCCGGACTTTCTGCCTTCCCTCCGGTTCAGTTAAGATTGGATAACAGAAACATCAACATTCCAACGAGATCCCGACTCTCTCCATGCGATCAGCTCGGAAACGACGTTTTCCACACGTAACAGATTGCCTCTACGCCGCTGCCGTTTCCCAATGATGACAATTGCCATTATATGATTGTTCCTGGGCCGTCGCATCTCTGCTGCTTTTGGTGTTGCCTCCCAAGATAAGACTACTGCGCCTGATTGGGCCGGGGGCGAGGAACCTCACTTTAGATTACGTACTGGCAATTCCTCTCTGCGTTAGTCAGCATGCGATCATACATACTACATACAACCCCCGAGGACTGAGGACAGCACCATGAGGAATGTTTAAGAGTAAGTCTACCTCTCTAAAAAAAATCACATCTGAGGTTTGATGCAAGAATTACTTTAAGTGCTTAGACCATGCCACTAGGGTACTTCGTAGAAGCGAGACATCAAGCAGAATCAGTGAGGTGTACCGTACTCGCCCGACAGATAGATAGAGCTACTATCATCCAATCAGCAGCGTCTGATAACAGCCTTTCCCTCTCCAATCACGCACGCCCTTGGGAACCCAATCGGGCCTGGTGCAACACCGGCAACGGGGATCGGCCTGCAGCTGGCCTTTTCTCCACATCCGACTACTCCCTTTCCGGGCTAGGGGGCGCTACACATCCAATGCAAAGTAACAGTGGAGACCTGGCCAGGGCCTTGGAGTCTGATATTAGCCGGGGTGCCATTGGTCTGGTTCTGATCTCGGGCATCACTGCTGATGAAAGCTCTGCGGCTTAGACTACCTAGACTAGCATTTCAGGAAATGAATCATCTGCAATAGGTTCTCCGGAGTACTCCCACCCGTCTTGCTTTATTATTAAGTAGCATGTGGCTCTCCAGTCTACACGTCCTTGGCGCGGTCGAAATTCGGCACATTAGTAACAGAATCGTCTGCATTGGGGATGGATTCTCGTCTCGTCTCGATCTGTAAAGCAACCATCGCGCCATGATTATATATCCGTGACTTAAACGGAAACTATGCTTGTGACTTTGAAATCGCTACATGAGCACCCTGTGTATGAAAGGATTGCCCATATCAAAAGCAATTTAAACCTCAATCATCAGATGTGTTTACCGAGCACCAGTCCTGCTGTCATCCCATGCTATATCAAGCCGATGCATGGTGACCACTGACCAGCCTGGCCAGCCAACTTAATTAATTTCATTTCTCCAAAACCCGGGCCTCCGCATTAGCTTCTGTCTATCTACTCGTGCACCATTTACCTTGAATGATTGATGTGGCTGAGAGTCGACAACTCAAAATAACTCGGATAAAATTGTAGTTTGCGCAGATAGCAATCCTTTGAAAGTGTAATTACAGTTCTCCATGACGTCTGGGCTGCACTCCAGATGTACCTACCTATCTTTACCCCACGGGCATGATCAAGTCCGGGCTCATGGCATGTGAACAACACCCCACGTGACAAAGCTTTTCAGACTCTGACATGTGAACCATCTGGAAGTGGTCATTAGCAATATAGACCAGGTCAATATCAAGTCATGCGCAAGTGTTAGCACCAATTCAGTAGATTTGAGTATGCTCGGTTCCAATTCATATGGACTGTCCGCTCAATATGCCTATCACAATCAATATACCACTCTACAAAAGTACATGCAGAACAACATCCCAAAACGCCCAAAACTCCATGCTATTCCGAGACTCAGACCAAATCCAATCTCGTCGAAAGGTACGGAATACTCCGTATTCACTCCGTGAAATTCCTCAGCTTCGTCAACTCATCCAACAACTCCTGCAAATCCGCATCCGAGATCTTATGCTGCAGACTCGGAATAAGCGACTTGGCCTCTTCAGCATTATCGCAGCACAAGCTCCCTTTTTCCATTATCAGCAAACAGCCAGACACAATAGCCCAAAGCAGGACATACCCAGCTGCGACCGCTCAAACATCTCCAACTCAGTATGCGAGTTCAGCAACCGCTCCACAGCCTTGATGTTCTCCTCGTCCTTGAACCGCGCAAATACCTCGAGGTAATCTAGCGTCTTGGTAAGATTCCTATTCATCCGAGCCTGTTAGCCCTTGTGTTTGTAGAAGGACGGACCGTCACTGTGGAGGAAATGTGACGGGCAACGCAACGCAACGCAACATACTCGGGTTCCTCGTATTTCTTCCCCCCGCGGCGCTTATTCTCCAGAACCTTGTTGATGACGAGCCGGGCCTCGGACAGCGAGAGAGTATGTGTGTTTTGATCAGCACCGAGTTTGAGGGTTGAGGCTGCTTCAAGCTCGCCCTGGGGGAGGGCGCGCTTGCGGTGTGTCGCTGGGGGCAGTTGAACGCTCATGGTGAGTTTGCTGCCTGGTAAAACTTGGATGCCTTATTGGAAAAGCTCCGGGATGTACTCCGTAGACAGTAGAAGGTTGATAGACCAGCGATGCGGAGCTTGAACGTTGCCGGAAGCGGGAAAACTTCGAGATGGAGGGCGAAAGGCAGTTTGAGGCGGTGACATGTTCACCGCCTTCCACATACGATTTTCTATAGAGACCGCCGAAGTGCTATGAATGATTGCGAGCTCATAATAGGGTATCAGGTTTGTTTTATGTACAGAATACCAAGCTAACGCCTCATGCTATGCGAGGATTGTCTATAACAAGATCCCCTAGATGTAGAGTTATACCTTTTTGAACGCAACCTCCGCAGGCAGCCGGAAGCTAGCACAGAACATCTGCTTCTTAGGACTGACAAGTCTGACGTTATGGATCGAGAGCTCAATGCTCTGATCCCCACTGCCTCCGATCCGATCCTCAGGCGTGATAGTATATCCGATACGCTCGGATATCCGCTGGCAGATGTCGATGTGGTCGTCCAGCTCGTTCTCGGAGTGGCCCGAGAAGCAATACACGTGGACCATGGGTAGACGCTGGGAAGTGTGCGGCGCAAACAGCGACTCCCTGCCGGCGTAGACGCCGGGGAACGCATCGAGGAACTCGATGGCCGTCGCGGGGAGGTTCATCACGTAGTGGTCGAAGAACACTGGACGGTGATACTCCTCCGGATGAGGCGGGGGAGCCTGCTCGACTTTATTGCCCGATTTTCTGTCTCGCCGCACCTTGGGATGAATGGTGACGGTCACAGGCTCGGCCTCCAGAAGCTCCTTGGCAGACCAGCGGATAAATTCCCGGCCGTCCATGTTGAACGGCGTGACGAAGCCCTCCACCTTGTTCCTCTTGATTGCGTCCTGCATCACCTCGTACCCGTGGGGGTTGAGGTCGTTGGCCCAGACAAAGATCTTCTTCTTGCCCGCAGGCACAGCAAACGGTCCCACACCAGCCATCACATCACAAACCATCTCGCCCTTGTTGAATTTCTCCACGAGTCGCCGATGCTCCGTCTCCAGTCGACTATTCCAGTAGACGCGGGAATAGTCAAAGCGGAACTCGCAGTCCTGCTCGTGCTGGACAACATTCAAATCATTATCACCCGCCAGAAGCTCAAAGGGGAACGTGCGGAACTCGCTATGCGATCCAACGTCCTCGGTCTTGTTGATCACCGTCCTAATCGCCTTGTTCTTGTCCTTCAGAATCTCCGCAATGAGATACTTGTATGGGAGGTATTGCTCGCGCAGATTCAAATGCAGCACATGTCCCACTTGAGTAAATCCTTGCGGAATCTCTTGTAGCTCGTCCTCGGGTAGAATCGAGGAGATAATATCGGCGTACGTCCAAAAATCATAATCCAGCGTCAAGTCGTACGGCCGCATTGCGATCCTCCCCTTCTCGACCAGCTCGCTTATCTTTGGCGACCACGTTTCCTTATCGTCATGCTTGACAGTTTCGCGCAGCAGCAAAGCTTTCTTTATCTGCCCGTCCTTGTCTGCAACGTCCCGGATACAGTTGAGCCGAGGCACAGCCAGGAGGTCCCGGCTCTTGTGTAGCTCCGCTCGCACCTTTGAAATATCTGAGTTTTGGAAGACCGCAGCAGCGGACAGAGGAACCGTCTTGCGAAAGAACGAGCGGTCCAAGACACGCATCGCGCGATTCACGGGTGGTCGAAACATTTCCGGAAGGTCGCTGCTGCGGAGCGAATTGGAGGAGTCGGTCATGGAGTCCATGGACGAAAGGACAGGTGCCACGGGTGTATGCTAAGCGGTCTGTTGTCTAATTATATGATATGAGGCATCGGTATGTTTTGCGTGCTTGTTAGTGGGGAAGTGATTCATACTTTTTAATCTTCTGCATCTTATCAGTCACGTGCCTAATATTGATCTATACCTGGTGCCTGTTTAATGGCAATTATTGATCTCATGTCCGGCATAATATGTTGATGATCTCGAAATCCATGAAGCATAAATGGTATTGGTGTATTTAAACAAAATGAGATATAATATACTTGATGTGGAGAGACATGTTTCGTGGTGATAATATATGATTTCACGACATCGACTTCGACCCCCGAGATATGAAGAGAATAAAATGAAAACATATGGAAACCGTACTTACATTGCCGGCCAGGGTATCATGAATGCAATCTCCCTATCCTTCCAGCCATCTCACTAGAACGATTCTCGTCACTGTCCCCTCAACCCATCAATGATAGCTCGATCCATTTCCCTCTGCGACTCCAGGCTCGCAATCCTCTCATTCAACCTCATAATGGTCTCATCCTTCTTCTTCAGCGCGATTCGTGAGATGTCCCGCCCGCGGATAATCCCTTTCATCTTCAGATCATGTTTGTTCAGCAGCGCCAACAACTCGTCCTGCGCCCGTTCCGGCACGACCACCTTGTGATCTTCTAGGATCTTCAAAGCCTGAAGACCTAGCTCAGACGAATCGTCACGCGCATCCGTAGACAGCACATTTCTGTACCTGCCAGGCGTAGGCGTCATCGAGACCTCTGCCGAAGCCGGCGGTAATCTGGTCTGCGTGCGGGTCGAGAAGATAGACGTAGGCGTAAGCGCGGTCGTACTCTCGCTTTCCTCATTTTCTATGTCCGCCAGGTTTCGCTTGCCGGGGGACGTGAGGGTCTCGGTCCGCGGCGCTTTGCGAGGCCCATCCTGTCCGAAATCCGGCTGACGAGGCCGCTCAAGCAACTCGGTCAGCTGCTCAGCCTCCGACGAATCATCCCAGCTAAACTCGTCCGTATCCTCCGTCATCATCCTGGCCTTTCCGCTCTTCGACGGTGTGGGCGTGCGGTTGGCGCTCATCCCGCGGACATCCTGGACCTTCGTGTCCGTTTGTGGCGTGAGAAGGCCGCTTCCCTGCACTGATGGCTTCGTAGGTGTATTGTTCGCCGAGCGCGGCTCAGTCCGTGAGTTCGAAAGCACGGCTAGTTTCTCCCGCGCTTCTGCATCGCTTTGCCAGAGAAAGAAGTTGCAGCGCTTATGTTGGGGTTTCTGGCAGGTGTAGACTGTATCGCTTCAACAATGATTCTGTATTATGCTAGTCAAGGCCATGAGGAAAAGACTTACACCATCTCCCATGGTTGACTCCGTGGTTCTTCGTTTGCAGCCTGACGGCTGGGGGCGTTCGGGACAGTTGCACCTCCACACGCCCTCGACAAAGAGTCCCCGCAATGGGACGGCGGTGCGAGGCGACAGCCCTCCGATCGCCCGTTTATGAGGAGAAATCATGGATGAGGCAATAGAGAAGTATCTCCCATCACATGGTGAGGGCAGATACAGCATCCGAGTAACTTCTTTACTGTTGTGGTCGTTATGACGCAACGAGTGTTGGCAAATGCCTTGCTTGTCGCTATGGAAACTGATAAGCCAAACGTTGCAAAATAGAATGCGGGGAATCGTTCAGAGAGATATAGTATTCCACACAGTCATCCGAAGCAGTATGTATACGCCTGGTCGTCTTCTGATGGAATGATAGATATTTTTCTTTATCATGAAATGGAAGATTACAGGCAAGCATATACCAGTAGCAGGTGTGTTAGGTCATGGTCTCGCCGGAAAAGGAAAGCAGGAGAGCACACCGCTGAAGACAGCAACATATGTTCTATGATACTGCCTTTCATTGTATCTGAATTTGGAATCTAAAGAGCTATCCAAGATGTCTATGCTTTGATCTAAAGTATGCAAAGTGCAAGCAAGCAGACAGACAAGCGTACTCAAAAGTGACTAACTGCAGCGGTATCATCGCGATGAGTCGGACTTATTCGGCTAGGACCTGCCTTAACATAGCATTAAAAGGCTCCGAGAGCTTGAGAATCTCCTCGACTTCCGGCTTGACCGGCTCTCCTGCAGTCCGGCGAAGCTGATCCTGTTTCTTGACGCGGCGTCTCCTCTCAGCTGTGATAGGATCAAGGTCGTCCTCTTCCATTTCCTCGGACTGTTCGGATTCCGCGTCGGAAATGGCGAGATCTTGAAGATCGGCCTGGAAGTTGGTTAGACATGAAGATAAAGCCCTTTGCATTACACATACCTCATCCAAGCCAAAATCACTGCCGCGGAACGTCGCGTTCCCGGGGAAAGACTCGTTACCAGTGCCTTCAGCCGCCATCTTCTGTCGCGTCTTATTCAAGTGCCACCGTTTGCGATCCTCGTGCCACTTGATCAAAGCATTAATCTCCTCAATGGCCTTGGCCTCATCGATCTGCCCGACATCCTTGGCTCCGTGGAACAGAGCATTCATGTCAAGCTTACCCCTTGAGGTCCGTGGCGCAGGAATTCAAGGATATCTTCAATCCAACCCATGAGGGAGGTAAACAAGCCATTATCGTGAAGGTGCACTTCGTGAATGAACTTGTAGAAGTTGTCTTGGTGCCGCTCGCACAGATCGATGAAGGCCTGGACGGTTTGGTTAGGGTCGGCAGAAACATCCTGCCTGTGACATTTCTCAATCACAGCGATCGCGTCGTCGGCAAATTGCGCAAAGTCAGTAATGCTACTGTACACATTCGCAGATTTGTAGACGCGCACTAGGGGCTCGTAGAAAATAGTGAAGAGATCACGGAATAACTGAAGGGTGACAGGCTCCTCGATGATGCTGAGAATCATTGCCTTGTCGCGTTGTCGGGTGTAGAGCTTGAGCAATTGCTTCATGTTCGCAAACCACTGGGCCCCTTCCTGCATCTCAAGGTCCACGTTGTCCACCGCATGATTCCAGGCCACATAAGCATTGAACACCTTTCCAACCTGCTCTGGAGTGAGCTCAGGTGATATGAGCTCCGACCGAAGAATAACAACGATCAAATCCACATCTTCATCCGCAGCCTCTGTCCGAATTTCATTCTTGATATTCTCATCTGCATGCGCGAATGCTTTCAACTTCCCAGTCAGGACGGGATCGTCAATCTTGGCTGCCAGCGAGTCAATGGACTTTTGGAATTGTTTAATGCCGTCATTTAGAGCCATGGAAAAGATGCGCTGTAGCAGAGACCGCGACCCAAATGGCTGGGCGAGGAAAAGATCTAGGACACCACTCATCACAGCCGCAGGGTTGGCGATGCGGATGACATTCTTTAGCAAGGTATACGGGACAAGAGAATGTATCCTCTTGAACTGCGCGAACATCTCGGGAGAGTTGTCCTCAGCCAGGAATACGTGATAGAGAGTTGCCGCAACCCTAGTAATAGTCAGTCGAGAAGGACAAAATTGGAAGATCCAGGTAATCAACGCACTCAATTCGGAGCCATTCAGCAAATTTTTGGTACTGAGGGCTAAGGTCCGCTATCGTCTTCTTTTCACGAATCTCGGAGAACAATTTCGTTAGACCATCTGAGTTCAACATGTCAGTGAAACCGGCCTTGGGTCATTGTGACTCGTTCCTTACTGCTCTCCACAATATCCCGGCGGAACTGCTCCATGTACACATCCAATTCCGCCGCACGTTGCCTTGCAATTTCGTAGAACCGCTTCTGTTCCTCAATCCTGATGGCGTCCGCTGCTTTTCTTCTTTCGACATCGGTTAATTCCTCTTCATTCAAGGTGACGGGATGCGCTGTGAGAAACTCCTCCATCGCCTTTGACTCGGAAACTCGCTTGTTCTGCAGCAAAGTGCGTAGAAATGCTCGGAGAGAGACGCGCTGCTCCTCCCTGTAAAGCACCGTCTCTCTCGGGCTCTCACTTGAAAGTCTCCCGGACTTTGATGATCTCATGGAGGAGCGTGACAATGAACGACTGTGATGGGGTCCGGGAGCCAGCGTTCGACCTGCGTACCCCTCGCTAGTATCTTGAGTTGACACGGAAGAAATAGAGGACGCCTCATCGTCAGCCGAGCCGAAAAAACTAGCACTTGTTGATGACTTATTTTTTCTCGGGAGAGGAGCTAATGTTCTACCCGGGAACTCTGTACGCAGTCTCTTATGAAGTTTTGCGAATTCTCCATATCGCCTGGCCACAAAGATGTCAGGCTTGCCTTCCCGCCGCACACGGAGGATGAATTCCTAGCGGAGTGTCAGTTAACCTGGTTACCATCCGTCCGTACTTATCCCTATCACTGACCGCGTGTTTATGGTATCGCACTGTCCGTTTGACCGAGGTAACTCGTACCGCCGCGACATTGACATCCCAGCCATGTATCGCATGCCCCTCCGGCATATTCACGAGAAGGCCCTTCTCGTTCGCGCCGCGATCGACCACCTCCATCTCCGAGAATGATATCCGCTCTTCATACCCCGACGCTGTGGGGATTCCCGATACCATCATCAGCTCGACGAGCTTTTCAGCTTTCCGCGCCAGCTTCCTGCGCTTGGTCTCCTCCAACCGGTCTTCCGAGGACGATACATGCTTGTTAGCGAACGACTCGAGGAACTGCATGAGGAACGAAGTTAGTCGCACTGAGTCTCCGGCTACCACAGACAACCCAAATTGGTGCAATCACATACCACCTGCAACCTATCCTGCCAAAACTCCTTCTCGCGAGCCTGGTCGAGGAAAGGGAACTTGCGCACATGGTGCACAAAGATGTATCGCAGAATCGGCAGTTCAGAATCAACGGGGGCAACTTCCCCGAATTCAGATTTGAATGGAGCGCCGAAGCGGTGGAGGGCAGTGGGGGAGTTCAGCTCGGTGATTTCGTTGCGCACTTGACGGCCGATCAGCTCGCGCTTCAGATCTGTACCGGTTAGCGATAAGTCCTCTTCAGTCAGAACTTGACCAGATGGAGACAATTCTCACAGTGCTCTTGCTTTCCCGTCAGAATTTGCCCTGGTGGTACATGAGTTGACAGCGGCCGACCGTCTGCAGTCAGATGGTCGGCATCATGGGTGGCGGGGTTTGCGTCAGGCATGTCGAGCCAGGAGGGATCTATCACTTCGATCCGTTCGTTCAATCGACACGTTGAGAGACCATTCACCTCTCAAAGAAGAGTATGGTGCTTCACTTCGGCGCAAGTAATGGCTAGAATCCGTCTGCCTAATGTATGACAGGACGTTGTTTTGGGGTAAGCTAGATGACGTCTCCGCTTTCAGTGCCAAGCTTCCAGGACAAAGTCCTTGTCGGGTGACCGAATAAAAGAAAAGGTAGAAGGGAAAAAATAAACTGAATAGAAACCGAAGAAACTGTATGAAGGCTGGGAATTATTCAGCACGACCTATCAAAGAGCTTGGTAAGGAAAAGAGGTACTTCCTAGAGAGAATAGAAGAGGGTGAGTCTATGCCGCAGGTGTCGTCACAATCGATCCAGGTCCAATTTGTAGGTACTGGTACGAATCACATTGTTACATACCTAGGTACCAATGAGGGGCACTTCGAACTCTCTTTTCTTCTCTTATTAGGCTGAGTGAAATCCCTCATTTTCCTGCTGCCACTGACGCGTCCAGCACTCTAGTTGAGGGGCCTCAGCCTTGTAGTCCACGCTATTGTAATGAGGTGCTAATTTCGACGGTAATGGATCGTCGCCTAGAGCAGGATCGACGTCGAGTGCCAGTGGAGTGGTATCCATACAGCTACCGTAAAAGGTAAAAACATGACATTCAGCTAAGCGGAACAAAAATAGGGGACAACGTTACTACTTTGTATTAGAATGACAACTAGACGGTGCGTGTTGCTTTTTGTTCACCTTGAACAGCTCGGTAGTCAAGAAACACAGCCACATGCAGAAATTTCATGCTCGCATCTGTCTATGATTGACGGACACATGATCCAATAGCTGGTAGACTATCAACATGGGCCTCTGATGAAATGAATAAAGGTAAATACTCTTCTAGGATAGTCAATTCGTACGCCATAGTACGGATGAGATCAAGGATGCTTCCTTGGAGTCATTTCGCGTGTGTGGCGTCTACCAAGGGTCCGATGCTCGAATTGCTGACACGATACCAACAAGATGTACATCTTCAGGCAGGCTACTTATTTCCTTAAGGGTACCGCGTGATGACCGTAGACAAAAGTGCTCTTCATAAGTACGCACTGACATTTTGGAGGAATCATTTGCGCTTCTAGATAAGACGTGATCTTTGACAAATCATTCAGCACAGAGTACTGCTTGGTGGAATAGAGTCATGCATGCGGTGATTACACAATCCAAGTTACAGATCAACGTCAACTCGGGCAAGGAATGACCATAGAGAGTGACTGGCAAGAAAGGTCAAGCCGTAACAGAACATGCCGCACTCGTAGATGGATGACAAGGTTGTCAGTAGTGGTGATCCCAGTAATAACCATAACTCGCTTTCAAAAGGAAAGAAACAAATACACGGCCCTTCCGATGGTCCCAGACTCCAGAAGTAGGAAATTAAAGAATAAAGGCAAGAAGATCGAGTATGACCGGCGAAATTAGAAATGTTCCATCTCCATGTCCTGGGGCCACCCCTGGGTCATATAGTTGAGATCTTGGGTATTGAGAGAGGGAAACATCTGATTCGCGTTGTGGAGCGCCGAGAGATGGCAAGTACTCGACATATCGACAGAACCCGCCCCAAAGTTTGCATTCTGGTCGAAAAGCATAAAATCTGCCTTACTCTGGTAGCTGGGATCGAAAAGATCCGAGACGCCTTCATCGACATGGCAGGAGTCAGGCGTGTAGAGCGGATTCTCTACTTTCAGGACCGGGAGCGGAGAGGGGTTTGAGATGGAGGGGTCTCGAGAAAAGGAGTTCAAGGCACTCATCGGGACCGAGTGCTCTGGCGTAAGCATCTGCATGGTCAGAGTCGTAAACTCTTCCTCGACATTTTGAGCGTCAAGCTGGCTCCACGCCAGGTCGAAGTTCAGGCTGCTGCTGTCAGTGGATGCAACTGGCGACGTATCGAATCCCATAGTTCCATTGATCAAGTCCGGCACTGGAGACGCGGAGTCGAATGATTGACGATCGAAAGTCAGAGGAATGAGGCCATTAGGGTCAGCCCCCTCGAGCTGGGATTGAAACGCTTGGAAGTCCAACGAGGTGGTTGGCAGCGGGCTGAAATCATTTACACCAGCGGCTAAATCCTCAAATGGGCTATTCGTAGTGAAAAGGGGGAAGTCGCCGCTACCTGTTTGGGTAGGGGGATCCGCGAATGAAAACGGTGGGTTCGGAGGGTAAGCAGTGACGGGTTCGAACGGCGAGGGTTCGGAGCCGGTAAGGGGCGTTGCAATGTCCTGAGCCTTCGAGCTAGGAGTAGCAATGCTGGGAGTCTGGGGTGTAGCTCCGTTGGACGCCTTCTTGCTGCTCCTGCCATTATGCTTTGAGCGAATGTAATCCCAGCCGTGAGCCTTCTCCATATGCTGCTTGCAGTTACTCTCTCTCTTTGATGAGTAGGTACATGGCGCGAATTTGCACTTGTACAAAGCGGGGGCTCTGGAGTGCTTGTCGTTGATGTGGCGGTCTCGCTCTTTCTCCGTTGGCCATCCAATTTCGTGATATTTGCAGGAAGGTTCGGAGCACTTCCAGGGACGAGAGTGCGTCTTCTCGTGTTTCCTGGAATCGGTCAGCAAAGTGCTCCGAATAAAATGTAGTCAGGGGAGCAAAGTGAATTCAGTAACAGCACTTACGTAAGATCACAAGGCCTTTTGAAAACCTTGTCACAGTCTTTGCACTTCTGGTTAATGTCCATGGGGGGTGCATTCTTCTTGCGACGAGCCATGGATCGCTCGACGCCCTCATCGACGGAGCGAAGGCTGAGAGAACGCTTCATCGCAGGAACGGCATTCTCCTCGTAGGGCTTGCCCGTACGCAGCGAGATCATCTCGCCATCCTTGTGAACCACGAGTTCAGCAGGTCGTCCGTTCTTGGATAATCCACCCTCCAGGGTAACACGTTCACTGCGGACAATGTCAAACCTTGCAAACCACCCAGAGGGCGGGGAGAGAACATACTTTGGATCACTAGCCTTTGCACCGTCCTGTGCTGGTTCTCTATTAGAAGGCATGCTGCTTCGGGACTCATTAATCATAGCTGCATATCGGCGAATCTGTGCGACGAGATCAAGGAAGTAGCCGTTAGTGTAAGGCCTGTCTGCTGGCAGCCGTTGATCGCGTTCGTTGAGATGATAGACCGACGTATGAAGACACTGAATCGTAAATTCGCAGAAACGGAGGTACGAAGCTCTGGAAGCCGCGTAGTTCTTCAAGAAACGAGAAAATAAATGAGCAATGCACCTAACGCCATTCCCTTTTTGAAAATCACTTACTGGTGCCAGCCACAAGAGTGTCTTTTCGAGGTCACGGAGACAGCCGATTTCTCTATCTACAATTCGCTGAGGGATACTTTGAACGAGGGGATGGAACGGCTTCAATCTCTCTTCCTTGAGGATGGGCTTGATGACAAGGCGTTCAATCTGCTTGCATGCAGGCATTCCAAGTTGACGCTTCTGAGATACCTTAGCATCAAACGCCGAGATAGAGCTGGTGATGGCCGATTGAGTCATTCGAGTAGCAGCTTTGGCAGACGACTGAGATTCGAATGATAACTGTCCAGCTTTCACTGTAACACGCATGTTAGTGAAAGGAAATGCGGCTGTAGGCTTGAAAGAACGAAAATACCTTTACTTTTGTCCGAGGCCGACATGTTCTCACTGCTGAGGGAAGTGCCCAATCCACTGTCCGAGGCATGGCAATGGGTCTTGCGGACCTTGGAAGGAGTGTGTAGCTGAGAGGATTGAGCAGGTTTGCTGACTCGGTCCGCCATTGACTGAGAATCGATGTGGGCTTGAAGGATGGCTCGAGGAACAGGAAGATCGTCTCCGTTGTCTTTGTCAGAAAGAGGAGAAGACGGTTCCAAGGAGTTGAGGTTAAGGTTGCTCAGATAGTCGACCATGCGCTGCTCTCGGGCGGCGATGGCCTCTAGGCTTCTGGGGCATGTAGGTGAGCGCTGGGGAAGAGACCTAAAGCTAAGCACCGGGTCAAGATCGTCTGAGGGTGGTGGGGAAGGTGAATGGAACGTTTCCCCTTTCTTCAAACTCAAACTTGGTGACGACGATGACGAGTCGGCGACATAGCTTTCCAGCGATGTTGAAGCAGAAAGGGAGGGGGGTGCTGTCTTTAAGGGACGCCGACGCGGGTGAACCCGGGTATGCTCAGCCTGGGAGGTCGACATGGCTGAAAAGGCAAGCACGAGTCACAGTGCAGGGCAGACTTAGCAAGTCAGCGGAAGAGAACAGATTGGCCCAAATGCTAGGGTACCGGCTAGACCACTGTGTCTGTGACTCACCTGGTGCGATGTAAGATACGTATTCAGAAGGATGACTACCCTGGTGATTCAAATGACGTACATGCAAGTCAATGGCTCGGTCTCCATCGAGAATTAGCTATTTAATCCCAGAAAAGCAACGAGGGTGAAGCAGCAGATGAAAGGATAAAATCTAAACCGAAGGTGCAAACACTTACCGTGATGACAGTTGGCTGTTGATGGAGTGGACGACCGAGTCGGCAGATGATCCCTTGAAGGCACTGCGATACTCTCTATGATGACCGTGAAGAGTTGGGTGAAATGCAAGGACACCAGCAACGTTAAATAGGACTACGATTCCGAGTGACCAAGAAGTAGGCGACAGGCGTTGGAGCGGATATGTGAATGCAAAGTAGAACCACTGCTGTAGATAACAAAGTACGGAGATAATCTCGCTCGAAAGTCTTTTGAGAGTTGGACAAAGTCTATATCGAGGTAATGGCGACCTTCAATGTCCGAATTCTCTCTATTTTGCGACTATCGAGAATAGGAGGAAGGGCAAAGTTGAGCGCACAGGTAAGGCGATGAAAATGTGATGATAAGAATAATGATCGTGAGGACGGAGTCGAGGGAGGATGATAGTCTATGTCTGGGACGACAGGCTGACATCGACAGCAATGGAGGCTGTTCGTCCGGCGCGGATCTGCTGGTCCGCAAGCTGAGGTGGTTTCGATGTCTGCCTGATAGACGAGCCCCCTAATCCCAGAAAGGGAAAGATTGAGAAGAAAATCAGAGCGCTGGTTGGATTGTTATTCATAGCCTCGTTGCGAGGGCCCCACTGACGTGGCGCTTTGCCCGATCAGCAATCGGCGCAGTCGGCCGAGGTACCTTGTGTATCCGGAGTACGTCTGGGGCTGTGATCCTGGGTTGTATTTTACCAGTATATTACGGGTCGAAAGGGCAAATTCCGGCTGGAATGACAAAGATTCCAGCGGTGTCGTACCACGGAGTTACGACATCAGTCTAATGCAATTGCCGTTTGGCTCCATTTCCACCCTCTTTGGCTCTTAAGGGGTTTCTTTTCACTTTTTAGAGTCCTTTGATTTAGGTATGGATTATCGGCTAACCAGTTTTGGTGCATGCAGGTATGATGAAAGTTGGAAACCCTGAATGTGAATGGGTCGGACAGTTCCAACAATCCGAAAATGAGGACCAACGGAGTCGGACACTTTGGGACCCCGACTGAGCCTCAATCAATTGGACGACAAAGGGGCACCACGACTCGTACTTTTGTTATTTTCGTACGGAGTAACGATGGCGCTTACGAGCGCAATACGAGTATCTAGGTATTTTTACCCTTCCGCCGCGCTTCGAAAGTAGCCAAAATGACCTTAAAACAGAACATATGAAGAAATTAGTATATTCGCAGTAGGTAAAGGAATCCTTGAGAAAGTCTTATTTATCAATTGTTTCTCCTAACTGTCTGTAAAGCTATGTCGAAAACATTCCCTTTCATGATCGGACGTAGATCAATAAACGGGCGGTCATGGCTGTCACGGTCGTTACAGTCGATACCGTGGTCGTCTCAGAATGACTTGTCTTTTGGACAACTGGTTTCTCATCCTGGCTCAAACATGACAGGGATCCCGTCCTCTCGCTCACATGGTGATATGATTCGACATTTCTCCTTATTCCATGGATGACGACTCAACCCTTAATAATCATCTTTAGCATCTCAACACACTCTCCAGTCCAGTAAGGCCTCGTAGCCAGAACTTACGCAGCGACTAGGTTATCCAACAGTGCGTACCTACCTTAGGCATCTCAGTTTCAAATGGTTACGTACTTGGCTGCAACCACCCATGTCAAGTATGTGGCTATGTGCGGAGTCTTTGAGCCTCATCCCTCTTTCACAGGGTCTGGCCACACTCGGAGAAAGCCTCTGACATATGGAAGGGAGCAGTGTCGTTCCAGCTCGACCGCTCAAATTGGGCCTTGATCCAATCAAAATCCCCAGATTATCACCAGATGTCGGTGACGGTTTGTGAAGGGTGAACAACTGGCATCGTCTGATACCTTCTGCTGATCGGCTCACGGTCTGGGGTTCATGTTACCGTGCCTCTGGTTTACATCTACAGGGTATCTAGACACACATCGGATACTCAGGCAGTTGAATGGGAAGCTCAGGTGTTTGGCATGAGACTGAATCTTTATTCTTATTCCCATACCTTGGGCGGCCATTATCACGGTGGCTTGATTGACTCCGCCACGCTTGGCGAAGCTAAGCCCAACATAACAAGGTATGGTGTACGTTACTTGTCTCACGAAGTTGTGGACTTTGCCTATCCTGAGCTGTCATACGCTTAATTGGTCCTTTACTCTGTGTGCTCTCGCAGCTCCCATTGAGGATGAACTATCTGGAGCTTTGTATGGACGCGATCCGCTACAGCCATCCACACTCTAGAAACACTGCCGCTTCCTCACTCAGCTTATATAAATGCTGGGGTTATCATCTTGATTGGACGTTTCCCTATCATTGCCTTGCCCAATTGGTCGATTCGTTGCCACTTGGCAACGGCAGGGAAAATAAATAGTGATGGGGTAGGACTCAGTTTGCGCCAAACGAATCAATCCGGGATGTTACAGGCTCACAATGGCTTTCAACAACGCCAGCCTCCGTAGACTACCTAGGCATCGGTTATCTACAAGAGCTTGTAGCACAAGGGACCAAGCAGAGCGCATCAGTTATTGTTGCTGAAAAGAGCCCGTCAGTATTGGGACTATCCGTGGCAAAACTGAGGTCCTATTCCTCATCTTCGCCAAGTTCCCTGAATCTCGAAAGTCCCCTGCCCATCATCCATGAAGACCAAAAGCTAGATGAACATGCTCTAACACCAGCCATGCTCCTTTGGCATATTTTATTCAAACATCTTCAGGCTGAAGCTATTTTACATGACTTGAGCTATCCCATTGATCTTCTTTCTCTACGAACTTGGTACACGACCAAGAACTTGCCTTAGAGTATACAGTAAATCACAATGGAGCCGCCATTACTAAGCAGATTGTCCAAGAGGTACTGACCATGATCCTGCTACATGCGGTCATCCGCTCACCAGCACGTCTTCATCAGGACTATGCAGATCACTCCGCAGTACTCTAGTCTCGCAAACAGCAAGGACTTTTCTATTGTGCAGTGCCGCTAGATACTATTCCATCATTGTCACCAGGCATTCTTCTAGTATCCTCTTGGCAATCTACAAGCGGCAATGCCTGACCCAATCCTGTCTCCAACACTTGATTTCTCAATTCCTAGCGTTATGGTTTGGCGAGGGTAAAAGAGATCGAGGGCTATCGAGCTTAAGCCAACGGACGCGACGCAACGGAACGAGTCATGGAAACCCTTGAGCATGACTCTGAGAAACAGGCGTACCTAGTTTAGGAGCGAGTCAGGACCATAAATTTTTCGTTTATCTAAAGCAGCTTGCAAGTGAGTCTTGCCGACATACATATACCGAACGGGTGTCGTTTGGGCTGAGCTCAGATACGCCTATCACAGCCTCGGCTTTCTCTTATTCTCCCGGCCGGGATATGGAATGGGACGATATTCGCAATCAGTCTAATAATGAAGATTCCTGACGCGCCCCGGCGGGAGATTTCAAGATGGTATTCCGTACAGAATATATGTAGAGAGTGTGCGATGCAAACCTACTATAAGGTCCACGATTATCTCCTTCAACTTGGAAACAGCTGCAAGTATAAAGGATGTTCAATCAACAGTTTCTTTTGTTCCCGTTCCATTCGCCAGCCGAAGTCGCTGTTCACTGCTTGTCGCAATGGTGATTACGAGCGGAGAATGGCAAATACTAGGAGTACTCCTATGAGCGAGGAACTCCCATGTAGACTTCGTATGAAAGGACTGCAAGCTGCCACATCTTGGATCATTATATCTTCAAAACCAGATAGGCTCTTGAGAGAGTGAAAGTTGACCTATTGTTCTTTTTAATGCAGCATTCAGTCCTATACGACAATCCACTTAATCACCGCATCTTGTGAAGCAGCGCAGCTGGACCTCGGCTCGGGAAGTGGCAGAACGCTCGGGCGGTGCCGAACAGTCACTCGCTCCCCGGACTTTCTCCATCCACTGTTCTTCTGCCCGCACTTGAGCTAGGAATTATCCTCTACAACATCTGCGGTCACTGTCTGTTGCTTGGTCTTTCGTGTTCTGTCACTACCGGACGATTATCATGGCTTGTTGACTTGATAAATACACCCTCCCACAATCTTTACACCAGACCCAGCATCGTCCGCGCCCCTCGGCGATTACCCCGGACACGACACCGCGCTGTGATTCACCATGGACTTTCCACACCATGACCGTGTTTCTGAACAACCGAGACGACGAAGACGAAATATCGCCAAACGGCGATTACGCAATAGGGCCCCTATATCTGCGCGGCTAGCTCTGGACAGCCAGCTGCGTGGGAGCGTCGGGATTGTGTCTGATGACCTGGCGAACGACCTCTTTCAGCCGCCCTCTGTAACAGGTGAGTGAGCTGAAACGGCTTCACAAAGCCCGTGGCAAAAGCTACTGTTAGCGTCGTATGTTTGCATGCTAAGTCGCCGATTGTATTACAGATGATGATGGCATTCGCTATCTTGCCATATCGCCCTATACTCCGGGTTCTAGCGCGGTAGATGATCTGGCGTGGACGATTGTCCCTGTCCGGTTGGAGTCTTTAGATCGTTCCCGTGCCTCGCCACTCCCCCACTCGACGGTCCTTTTTCCGGATTCTGCAGACTCCCTCCAGCCGTTCATACAGACTCTGACCAAACTCGATCCTACGCGCCACTCTCTGCAAGCGCAGCGTATTGTGGAGATCCGAGCTCTGGACGTCGTTCCTTTGCGCTTGGATACTGTTTATGTAACG